TTTAAGAGCTGGAAAACGGAAGTTTTCTAAACCATCGGTTTGTTTTAAGTTATTATTCTTGTATCCAAACAATTTTTTCCATTTATTCTTATATCCAAATAGGTTATTCTCTTATTCTTGTATCCAAACATTCCAATCGCACGCGCGGGTCTGTTCTAATGATTTTTTAAATTGTTATATTTAAATTTATTTTCTTCCAAAGCTTCACAATTTTTTATTTTTTGCTGTTTTTTTATAAACTTATCTTTGTAATATACTTTTTAATTATTTTTTTACTTTACCAATTTAATTATTTTATAATTAATCATAATAAGTAAGGTACTTTTTAAAAACGTATTTTCTGTAAAAAACATACAATAGCCCTATCCTCACATTTCTTAATATTTATATGTTTTGTCAATTGCTTCATAAAATTCGACATAAGAATAGATCCCAAACTTTTCTTTTTCAATATTATGACAACATGATCAGCCTGAACCAACATTGTTTTTAAGTGAACCGTATTAGAAACTTGTGAAAAAAAAAACCTTATAATTTGGCTTGTCGTCTTTGTTCTAAATTGGTAGCTTCTTTTTCTTTTTATTTATTCTTATTCGTTTTTTTGGTCATCTTCACTCATCTTCTTTGCTCTTCTTCGTCTTCGCTCGTCTTGCTTCCTCTTTTGGTTTCTTCTCCTCCTTTCTTCTTTGATTAATTCTTAATTTTCAATTTCATCTTCGTGGTTTCTTATTCGGTGTTTCCGTCTTCAACTTTGTTATTCTTTGGGTCTTTTTTTTTCTTTCTACTTTGGTATCTTCGTCTTCGATAATTTTTAATTTTATCTTCTTAATGTTCTTCTTTCATATCCTCTTCATATGTCATTTTTCAGTCTGAGTATATGATTCAGCCATTTTCTTCAACAAACTTGTGGCAAATGAGAACTCTTCACTGTAAATCCTTCAAGGTGCAACAAAGATGATTACTTTGTCTCCAATAGTTTTATTGTCTACTCCTTTCCACCCTTGGATTTTTTGGCATCCGTAGAAGGCTGGTACTCTCTTCCTATTTGAATATTGTGAGTTACAGTAAAATAAAATCTTCCTTAAGGCTGTGAAAGATGTCCATGAATGAATGCCCGAAGTTCAGCTAAGAAAGCAGCCTCTTTTTATCCTCTGTTTGGCATGCATTAGAATATGGAACACAAAATATTGTTTTTGTAATGCAACTTGGAATATTTTCTTAGAAAAATGTGGTATGATATGGATTATCAAATCTCCCTTGAACTCTCATCTGCTCCGTAGAAGTGCAAGTATACTAATTACTTCGTTTTTTCTTCCTCTTCACTTATATTCACTCATCCACACTCATCATCTACTTTGATCTTCTTCGTATTTGCTCGTCTTGCTTCTTCTTTAGACAAATGTGGTATGAGATGGATTATCAAATCTTCTCCGTAGAAGTGTAAGTATACTAATTACTTCGTTTTTTCTTCATCTTCACTTATATTCACTCATCTACACTCATCATCTACTTTGATCTTCTTCGTATTTGCTCGTCTTGCTTCTTCTTTTTCGTTCTTGTTTGGTTTATTCTCCTCTGTTCTTATTTGATTCCTTATATATCAATTTCATCTACGTGGTTTCAGATTCGGTGTTTCCATCTTCTACTTTATTCTTCTTTGGTTTTTTTTTTGTCTTTCTATTTTGGTATCTTCGTCTTCGATGTTCTTTATTTTTATCTTCTTATTGTTCTTATTCCATATCTTCTTCATATGGTATTTTATAATATGAATTTGTGATTCAGTCTTTTTTTCAACGAAGTTGCGGCAAGCGAACACCTTTCATTGAAACTTCTTCAAGGTGCAAAAAAGATGACTACTCTGTCTCCAATAGTTTTATTATCTACTCCTCTCTACCTTTGGATTTTTTTTGCATTTGTAGAAGGCCCATAAACTTTTCCTATTTGAATATTGTGATTTACATAAAGATAAAATCCTCTTTAAAGTTGTGAATAATGCCCAATTGCCCATGAATGAGTGATGCCCGAAGTTCAGCTAAGAAAGCAGACTCTCTTTACCCTCTCTATTTGGCATGCATATAATCTGAAATGGAAAATCTTGTTGTGATAATGCAACTTGGAATGTTTCCTTGGACAAATGTAGTATGAGATGGATTATCAAATCTCCCAAGAACTCTCCTTTGCAATGCAAGTCTAAGTTGATGGTCATGCTGGTGTTTTTACCACTCGAACTTGCGATATGGATGGCCCCATCAATATTCCCACTTGATATATCGTAAGAAATACTAGCTAACCTATTGCTTTTTTTGGAGATTGTGTTTGAGTGAGTCTTTTCTAACTCGTGCATCTACGCAGTGTATCCGACCCATTTAGTGAGATTCCAGCCGTCATGCTTCTGTTTCAAATATGCATACCGTTTATTATCGAGCATTACGAGACCACAATCAAGTCCCTTCTATGCTGCTGGTTCACCGGCGTCAGTTGGGCGTTTGGTTTGACAGACTACCTTTTGCCAAGACCAGAGGAAAACATTGGTCAGGACAACGTAAATGGTGAACCAGGAAGGCAGAACAGAGCACAAGTGTTGCAGGTCGGTGGACATGACACGGCCATGGTTACACTTCCAGCAGCTGGGAATGTCAACACGCGTGAGGAATATGAAAATGATGAAGAACAATCTGATTCAGAGTAAGTTCTTACTTAAGGAATAAGCTAATAGCTTGTTTTGAAGTAACTAAGATTTACACTACGTCTTCCCCTTAAATAAATGTATTTTTGTAACAGGTACAACTTTGTTGCCCGGATAATCCTTCTTCTACTTGTTGCATGGGTGACTCTTCTTCTCTTCAACTTAGGAATGATAGTTGTACCAGTTTCTATTGGGCGTGCTTTATTTAGTGCCATCCCAATTCTCCCAATAACGCATGGCATCAAATGCAATGGTAACGTCGGTTAACTTTGGTCTTACGCACTTCACTCTTTCAAACAGCCACACATTACTAATAGAATCTCCTAAATCTTTAGACCTGTTTGCTTTCTTCATTGGCACATACGCCTTTTGGACTTCCATATCTGGGGCTAGGTATGCCATCGAGCATGTCAATTCAAAGAGGACTTCAGTCTTGCTAAACCAAATATGGAAATGGTGTGGGATTGTCTTCAAGAGCTCGGTGCTGTTAGCCATATGGGTAAGTGGTTTCTACTGTTGTTTATTATTTCCGATTTTTGAGACACTCCAAACTCGTTTGACTCTGTATTCTATGGTTTTGAAATGGCTTCTGAACAGGTTTTTATAATTCCGGTACTTGTCGGACTTCTGTTTGAGCTATTGGTGATTGTTCCAATTAGAGTCCCAGTAGATGAAAGCCCTGTGTTCCTCTTGTATCAAGACTGGGCTTTTGGACTCATATTTTTGAAGATCTGGACTAAACTGGTATGTATTTGTCTCCCGTTAGCAATTTTTGCCGTATGAGAGATATATCATGTCACGTAAATAACGACGACAATGGACAGGTAATGCTGGATCTTATGCTTCCAATATTGGGTCATAGCTGGAGAGCAAAGTTTGAGAGAGTAAGAGAAGATGGCTTCTCAAGGCTTCAAGTGTTATGGGCACTCAGAGAGATTGTATATCCGATTGTGATGAAACTCCTAACAGCACTATGCGTGCCTTATGTCTTGGCGAGAGCAGTGTTCCCAATGCTCGGATATCCGCTAGTTGTGAACTCGGCGGTCTACAGATTTGCTTGGATAGGTTGTCTCTCGGTGATCCTCTTCTGCTTCTGTGCGAAAAGATGTCATGTGCGGGTCAGGAAACTTCACAACTCCATCCGTGATAAACGTTATCTCGTTGGTTTGAGACTCCATAACTTTGGGGAAGCTGCTTACTGCTAAGTGCTAACCCAAAACCAAAAGAAAGCAGTGAGGATGCAGGAGATGGTGATAGTGGGACTTAGGCTAAGTCGTGCAATCTAACAAGAAGCTTAGAAAGTATAGTGTTGAAGATTATATTAGCATTTCTTATTAGATTAGGCTATCTTATCATCTCTTATTAGGGATTAGCAAGTTCTAATTCAAAGAAAAGATGTAAAGTATGAATGAATTGTAGTCTACTGATTCGTTCTAATCTTATATAATCTGATTCAAATCTATGAATGTGTGGGACAGTGGGAGGATTTTGATCAAACAATAATAACAACTTAATTTTAATGATAGAAACTTAAAAAAAGGATTATGCCTCGTGCGTCGTATATTATACGAAAAAAAACAAGTCTATGGAACTTTTTTGTTTGAATGTATTTTTTCCTCCAAGGATATAAACTATAAACCTTAAAACCCCTTTGCTTGTCTCAGTACCTCTCCACCACCATGGATCCTACAGTTGCAACGGAGAAAGGAGGAAGTTACATTGATGATGATGATGAAGACGAGGAGAAGGACGTTTGCAGGATCTGCAGAAACCTAGGAGACGCGAACAATCCGCTTCGGTATCCGTGCGCCTGCAGCGGGAGCATCAAGTTTGTGCACCTGGATTGCCTCAATAAGTGGCTTATTTACAGAAGAAACTCTCGTCGATGCGAGGTTTTGCTTCTTTTCCTCTTGATTATTTCGGGATTGAATTGATTTCTAGGGTTGGATTTCGTAGATTCCGAATCACTATTAAGATAATGGATCCTCGAGAGAAATTTTGCTTCTATATGATTATTTTGCGAGTTTTGGGTAAACGATTGGGCGATTTCATCTCTGCAGGTTTGCAAGCATCCGTTTTCGTCGTCCCCGGTGTATGCTGAAAATGCTCCCACAATTCTCCCTTTCCATGAGTTTGTACTTGGCACAGTGAAGAAAGCTCGCCGTTGCCGGACTTTGCGCTTGTTTCCGCGGTTGTGTTTTCGGCTTTCAGTCACGCTTCTCTCTGTTCATTTCGTTACATTTTGGATATGGCGATTTGCTTTTGTGCGGAGTTTTGGTGAAGCTCAGAGGTTGTTCGTAAGCCACATCTCCACCACAGCTATTCTCACCGATTGTTTGCTCGGGTCATTACTATCGGCTTGTCGTCTCTTAATTTTCAAGGGAGCGACTTCATTGCGGGATTACTTGCGAGAGTTGGGAGGACAAGAAGAGAGAGAAGATGAAGGGGAGAGAAATGGTGTTCGTGCCGCAAGAAGACCTCCTGGAGAGGGAAACGGCGAAGTTGCTGGAGATCAGGGTGCTGCTGTTGGTGGTGCACAAGACCGTCACGTTCCATTTTACCAACTAGTTGGAATTCCAGGTCCGGTGTTCCGTTTCGTTAAGAAGGTCTTTACTGTAAGTTGAATGTTTCTCCTCTTGCTGTTACTCTATTTCACTTTTGGCCTCTCATTAAACTATTAATTGGTGTTGTGCGTATTGATTTTGCAGACTGTAGCAAGAAATGTGTTATTCGTTGGTGTTGTCATCTTTGTGCCCTTCACATTAGGACGGGTTATACTGTATCATGTGTCGTGGCGTTTTACTGCTAGAGTCCCTGCCGTGACCGGATCAATGCATTTGATAGATACTGGACTATCATTGTTGACTTCTGTCTCAAATTTGACCAACGAGGGCCAAGAAAATGGACTGCTTGGTCAGCTCACAGACATGATTCAAGTCAATGGGAATGGAGCAAACAATACTCTATCTCTTGCTGCTGATCTCATGAAAGGTTCTGTTGCTAAATCATCAAAGCTTTCTGATGCTACAACTCTGATTGTTGGGTACATGTTTATAGTCTTTCTGGTGTTCCTTTACCTCGGGATCATTGCGCTGATTCGTGATGCCAAGGGTGAGCCACTGACCGTTGGGAAAGTTTATGGTATCGCTGCTATAGTAAAAGCCGTACCATCCCTTCTTAGGCCGTTCTTGCCAGCTATGAGGCTTGGATCCTTTTATGTGGTCGTCGTGCTTGGGATCTCCCCACTGATGTATGGGTGGTGGTTAGATGTTTGCACTGTTAGGATGTTTGGTAAAATAATGTCCCACAGAGTACAGTTTTTATCAGTTTCGCCACTGGCAAGCTTACTTGTTCATTGGGTTGTTGGAGCCATGTACGCGCTGCAAGTAAACTACATCATCTGCCTTCTGGGAAAGGTACTGTGTTTCCCCTGCTCATAATTTATTCTATACTTCTGCGCTGCTATATCTTATTTATCTTTCCACAACTGTGCCATCTCTATAACTGCAGGTTCTTCGCCCTGGAGTTTTGTATTTCCTTATTGATCCTGAAGATACTTATGCTACCTTCCGAGGTTTGATTGATGTTCCAGTACACAAGCTTGCTCGGGAGGTTTTGTTAGAATATGCAATCGATGGGAGTTTGACTGTCATTCTGGTTTTTTTACCAGTCAAACTTGCGATATGGATGGCTCCTTCAATATTCCCACTCGATATATCGTAAGAAATATTGCCTAACCTATTGTTGTTGGAGATTGTGTTTGAAATAGCATTAAGCAGCTTCCCCAAAGTTATGGAGTCTCCGAGCGATGACATAACGTTCATCACGGATGGAGTTGTGAAGTTTCCAGACCCACACAAGGCATCTTTTTGCACAGAAGCAGAAGAGCCTCACCGAGAGACAACCTATCCAAGCAAATCTGTAGACCGCAGAGTTCACAACTAGCGGATATCCGAGAATTGGGAACACTCCTCTCGCCAGGACATAAGGCACGCACAATGCTGTTAGGAGTTTCATCACAATCGGATATACAATCTCTCTGAGTGCCCATAACATTTGAAGCTTTGAGAAGCCATCGTCTCTCACTCTCTTAAACTTTGCTCTCCAGCTACGACCCACTACTGGGAGCAAATGATCCAACATTACCTGTTCATTGACGTCGTTATTTTAGCGACATGATATCTCTCTAATGCGGCAAAGGGGAGAAAAATACTTACCAGTCTAGTCCAGATCTTCCAGAAGATGAGGCCAAGAGCCCAGTCATGATACAGGTGGAAGACAGGGCTTTCATCTACTGGGACTCTCATTGGGACAATCACCAATAGTTCAAACAGAAGTCCGACTAGTACCGGAATGATAAAAACCTATTCAGATGGCAACCATAGAATCTAGGGTCAAAAGAGTTTGGAGTATCTCAAAAATCGAAAAAAATAACAAAAATACAGCAAAAACCACGTACCCATATGGCTAACAGCGCCGAGCTCTTGAAGACAGTCCCACACCATTTCCATATTTGGTTTAACCAGAACCAATGCAGTGAGGATGCAGGAGATGGTGGTGTCTTGGTAGAGCGTTAGGGAGATGTTGATACTGGACTTAGGCTTAGACGTACAATCTAACAAGAAGCTTAGAATGAATAGTGTTGAAGAATCTTATTAGTGATTAGCAAGTTCTAATTCAAAGAAAATTTGTGAAGTAAGAACGACTTGTACTGTAGTTACTGGCTATCTTATAATCTATGAATGTGTGGGTTACATATTACATAACATAATCATTAAAAAAAAACAAAATTACAAGCATATCTCTACAAACTTACAAAGTACAAATCATACGTTTCACTTCAGACTCAAATCCAACGGCTGAGATCTTCCTTAAATCCATTTCTAGGTTACAAGGGAAATAAAAATATTTTCGTAATATAAAACCAGAGAAAAAGGAAACCGTAATGCCTTCTCTTTCATCTCTCGCAATTCGTTTCGCCTAGAATCTCTCGCCCCGATATCTTCTCTATCTCACTCGCCGTCGCAGGCTTCGCCGCCGGCAAGTTCTTACCCTTTTCTTCTTCCCTCTCCTCTGCTATCCCCAGACCACAGAAAAATCCACACTAAAAAAAAAAAAGTAAAACGAAAAGAGAAAATATTCGCTTAGCTTTGTTTGATTTTTGCCTTCCGCTTCATTTTAGCCTGTTCTTTCGATTTTAGGGTTTTCGATTTGGTTTCAGTCTAATAACAAGAGGGGAGGGAAGATTAATTAAAACCCCAAAAAAAGTCAAAAAAGTTTCAAAAATCAAAAAAAGAGAATGGCGCAGATTCAACCTCAAGGTCAGACTGCGAATGGCTCGACTGTGGCTAACACTTCTCCGGCGGCTCCGGCAGCGGGAGCACCGGCGAGTCAGTTCGGCACCACGTCGCTCTACGTGGGGGATCTGGATTTCAATGTGACTGATTCGCAGCTTTTCGATGCGTTTAGCCAAATGGGTCAAGTGGTCTCGGTTCGAGTCTGTAGGGATTTGGCTACCCGCAGATCGCTCGGCTATGGATACGTGAACTTCACCAATCCTCAAGATGGTATGCCTTCTGAATTTGAGTTTCTTACAAACAAGCAATTTCCAATTTCAAAGAAAGTAGAAGGGGATTAGGGTTTTCTCGATGCTGCTAAATACAAGATTTGACTGGGGTGTGTTGGAAATGTTGTTCCTCTCTGGAGTTTATGTGTATATTCTCTCAATGTGTTTGATGCTGTTGCATTGAAATTTATCCGCTGCTTGTTATTTCACATGCACACATCAGTCTCTTAATGCTACATTTCTCGTGCCCTCTGTTGCAGCTGCAAGAGCGATCCAGGAACTGAATTACGTACCTCTTTATGGGAAGCCTATAAGGGTGATGTATTCTCATCGTGATCCTAGTGTTCGCCGAAGTGGCGCTGGGAACATATTCATCAAGGTACTTTTTTTCTGTGTCCTCCTCTTTGATGTTAATCTCTCTGCTTTCCGTTTCTTACAAAGAAATTCGAGTAGTTGTTTCTCTTCAGTAAACCTTGCTGTAAATATTGCAGAATCTGGACCTGGCCATCGACCACAAAGCACTTCATGATACATTCTCAACGTTTGGGAACATTGTGTCGTGCAAGTTGGCTGTGGATCCTTCAGGCCAGTCAAAAGGCTATGGCTTTGTGCAATACGCTAGTGAAGAATCTGCCCAGAAAGCTATTGAGCAACTGAACGGCATGTTGCTAAATGACAAGCAAGTGTATGTGGGTCCTTTCCTGAGGAGACAAGACAGAGACACGAGTGCTAACAAGACGACATTCACCAATGTGTATGTGAAGAATCTCGGGGAAAATACTACTGATGATGACTTGATGAACGCTTTTAGCGAGTATGGAAAGATAACAAGTGCTGTGGTGATGAGAGATGGAGACGGCAAGTCTAAGGGCTTTGGGTTTGTTAACTTTGAAAAAGCTGATAATGCTGCTAGGGCTGTGGAGGCTCTCAATGGCCACAAATTTGATGATAAGGAGTGGTATGTTGGCAGAGCCCAGAAGAAGTCCGAGAGGGAAACAGAACTAAGGGTCCGTTATGAACAGAATTTGAAGGATGCTGCAGACAAGTTTCAATGTTCAAACTTGTATGTGAAGAATTTGGATCCTACCATTTCTGACGAGAAACTCAAAGAGATATTTTCTCCTTTTGGTACCGTTACATCTTGCAAGGTTCGATACCCTCTCTCTTTTGATCTGCAATCAATTGACTCTCTTGATTCACTATATAAGAAGCTCTTTCATGAAATATGACAGGTGATGCGTGATCCTAATGGCCTAAGCAAAGGCTCGGGTTTTGTTGCTTTCTCAACTCCTGAAGAAGCAACAGAAGCTGTAAGTCAGTTATATTCTCTTGTTGAGTATATGTGTGAGGAAAGGAACTTCCATTGTTACTAACAGTGGAATATTGTACAGATGACACAGTTGAGTGGTAAAATGATCGAAAGCAAGCCACTCTATGTTGCCATTGCACAGCGAAAGGAAGACAGAAGGGTCAGACTACAGGTTTGCTTCTCTTGGAATCACCTCATCTTGCGATATACCAACTACTCCTACTTTGTCTGTCTGTATGTCAATTCTAAACAAGTGGACCTGTCATATCTGAGTCTTAAAATGATCCATTTTGTTAATATTTCATCATCGATGCTGACGTATCTTCATAGTTGTTAACCAATTTAGCATGATTCAAATGTGATGAGAATACAGAAATGACTTCAATTCGTATCAGTTTCCATTGCACAAGTACAATTATGTAGATTGTAAAGAACAACATGCAACTAATAGAAGAATTGCTAATTAGACTAAGAATTAATCTCCAACTATATTGTTGATCACTTCCGCATGGTTTGGAGTTCTCCTGTTACGTGTTTGAAATTATTCTGGTATATTTTCGTCACATTGTTCTCTCATTTTTTATCTCATGCTTCTTACTGTGTTCATGATGTGAACAGGCTCAGTTTTCCCAAGTGAGGCCAGTTGCAATGCCGCCATCTGGTGGTCCTCGCATGCCGATATTTCCCCCGGGTGGTCCTGGTATTGGACAACAAATGTTCTACGGTCAGGCTCCTCCTAACATGATTCCTCCCCAGGTAATCATCAATTTCCGTCGCACTGTCTGCCATCTTTGTGTATCGTCTCTGTTGTAATTCACTTGTTTATCTTACTAGAAGTTGTAAAATCTCTGTCTTTAGCTCTATAGTTAGCTACATTCACACTTGAGCCTCTCCAAAACTGTCGGGGTGATATTAAACTTGTGATTGTGTAATGCCACAGGCTGGGTATGGGTACCAACAACAGCTTGTTCCTGGAATGAGACCTGGCGGGGGACCTGTACCCAATTACTTCATGCCTATGGTTCAGCCACAGCAGCAGCGTCCTGGAGGAGGAAGAGGACGCTCTGGAGGGATGCAACAGTCCCATCAGCAAGTTCCCATGATGCAGCACCAGGTTCTTTCTCATTTGCGATAAGAACTGTTTTGGCTTGCTCATCTCTCTTTTAATGATTGTATGATTTGCTTTCTGTTTTGGTTGTGATCAGATGCATCCAAGAGGACGGATGTACCGGTTTCCCCAAGGGCGTGGTAGTGGTGGTGATGTGCCTCCGTATGACATGGGCAACAACAACCTACCAATGCCCGTTGGAGCTTTGGCTTCAAATCTGGCTAATGCTTCTCCAGAGCAGCAGAGGACGGTGAGAGAATCTCTTAAAGACCAATAGAGAGTTTTGCTTTTGTTTGGAATTATTATTATTAATGCTGTGAGTTTTGGTGTGTACAGCTGTTGGGTGAGAATCTGTACCCATTGGTGGAGCAGCTTGAAGCGGAATCTGCAGCTAAAGTGACAGGGATGCTTTTGGAGATGGACCAGACCGAAGTTCTCCATCTCTTGGAGTCGCCAGAAGCTCTCAAGGCCAAAGTTGCAGAGGCTATGGATGTTCTCAGGAGCGTTGCTGCTGGTGGTGCATCCGAGCAGCTCGCTTCCTTGAACCTCTCCTAACTTCCTTGAAACCGTTTGATCTTTGCCTTTTCACTCTCTTCCCATACATTTTACTGTTGGAGTTGTTTCTTCTCTTTTCATTCGTTTTTCTCCCTTGGGAATTTGGATTCCTCATTACTGCTTTTGTGTGGTTTAAAACCTTTTTTTGAATCATTAAGGAAAAAAACCAAACTTAATCTGGCTTTGTTTTGTTTAAACTACAATCATCTTCGTATTATCTCATGAACATACGATTATCACACGCATTGAATGATCAACGAATCTATGACGAATAGCATGAAACAAACTATAATCACACGTAAAAGGTATGAAAACGTATTAAATAAGATTAAAGGGTTTATTTAGTATAAGTATTAAAAATGAGGGGTTTATAAGCAAGAATTAAAACCCTAGGCTAGAGGAGGAGCGAGGAGGGTTTAGAAACTGTGCTTCTCCTTTCATCCTTTGTATTCTCAAATCAAGCTTCTTCGGTCTTCTTCGTCTGGTTTCGTTTTATAAATGTAAGTTTTTCTCCTTTGGTGATGATCTCGAGACTTTCAACGATTGCCATCTAAGTTTGTAGCCATCTCGTACTTTCTACTTTCTCAGATTCTAGCTAAGCTAGAATCTTAGATTCGGATTATAGTGTCAGGTTGTTAATCGTTTTATATATTACAGTGAGAGAAAGCAAAGTGGTGCTCTGTTGAAAGGTGACCACTGGGATTGTGCTGTTTTATGCATCAAAATGCGTAAGAAAAAGAGTACTTCTTCCTTGAGGAAGAAGCCATCATCAAAAGCAAGACGTCCCAAACCTGCCTGATATAGATAATTTACATATTTCAAAGTCGGTTTTGGTTTTGGTTTTGATTTAAGTTTTGGTTTTCCTTATTTAGACTATAAGTCGGTGTTGGTTTTATTATTTAAAGGATTGTAAGTTTCATTATCAATACATTCAGAAATTTACAGAACTCGTTCTTTTATTAGCTTTCTTCACAAGTAACTCAACCCTAGCTGAGAATCTTCTCTGCAATTGAGTAAGGAGTTCGCGTTTTAAGAACGTTGATTCCCGTCACTATCCGGTTACTGAGATATCACGAATTAGCTCTACCAAAGGTATCAGACGTCGATCGATTCTCCGGAAAAGATGTCCGACGCACAAACACGCTCTCAAACAGCCTTGAAGGAGTCAATTCTTGGAGAAATTGAATCTGCCCTAGGTCCTCGCCTTGAAGAGATGTACAACCGCCATAATGATCTGGAGGAAAAGATGGACAAACAGCTCCACAAGATAGATAAAGACTTAGCTGGTATGTTCGACGCGATTCGTTCGTTGTCCGATAACGTCGCTTCTTCGTCGCCTAATCCCTCTCCTGACAACAACTCACCATCGTTCTCACCTCCCGGACCTACTACTACTCATGATTCCCACCGTCCTCGCCCTACTCCTTCTACACCTTACTCAGGAATGACACGACTTGCTAAGATAGAGTTCCCAAGGTTTTCTGGTGATCGATTTCAAGAGTGGCTCTTTCAAGCCGAACAATTCTTCTCCATTGACAACACACCGGAAGACTTGAAAGTCAACATCGCTTCAGTTCACTTCGATGGTCTTGCCGCTAATTGGCATCAATCGATTGTGCAATCTGAACTTGGTCAATCGGTTCTCTCTAGCTGGCCCGCTTACAAACTACGACTACACGAACGTTTTGAAGATATTTTGGACGACCCTATTCTAGAGTTAAAGCGTTTACAAGAGACTAACGGCATCGTTGAGTACCATGGCCGGTTTGAACTCTTGCGTACTCGAGTGAACTTCTCTGAAGATTATTTAGTTCGCCATTACTTAGCTGGTCTCCAAACAGAAACGCAGATGCATGTGCGCATGTTCCAACCAACCTCTGTTCGTCAGTGCTTACTTCTTGGGAGGTTGTATGAACAAGCTCATCCCAAGAAACCTCAGTTCTTTCGTCGAAAGGATTCAGAGATGCGACCTACACAAGTGGAGAAAACGCCTGAAAAGGAATACGCTCCTCAGAAGTTTCTTACTAATGCCGAGATGGTTCAACGTCGGAAGGATGGCTTATGTTATTACTGTCCTGAAAAGTATACTCCAGGCCATTTTCTTAAACACAAGAAGACACAACTTTTCATGATTGAAACAGGGGAAGAAGATGACCTTGAAGCTGCTCCAGAGATACAAAACGAGGAAGAAGAAGCCATAGATATCGCTACAATCTCTGTTAATGTTGTTTCAGGAATTTCCGACTACAATACTCTAAGGGTCAAAGGAGAGTGTGGGAAACGCTCCATATTTGTCCTTATTGACTCTGGTTCTACACATAATTTCGTTGATACTCGTACGGCGGAGAAGTTAGGTTGTACGGTACGCACTTCAACGAGATCTCGAGTTACTGTTGCTGATGGTCGTCGAATTGCTATTCAGGGTCATATCGACAATTTCAGGTGGACGTTTCATGGTACCACTTTTGAATCCGATGTTATGGTCATTCCTCTTGGAGGTTGTGACATGGTACTAGGAGTCCAATGGTTACACACCTTAGGCCCTATTACTTTTGATTTTAAGAAACTCGAGATGTCTTTTAAATGGGAAGCAAGGAAGATTCTACTTCACGGAATTAAGCAAGACTCGGTACGTCATGTGAAAGCTGCAAAGTTAAACAAATTACAAGACGAAGATGTGCAGTTGGCCATGCTTTACGTTCAATCAGGGGTAGAAGAAGAACCAATCCAATTTTATTCTCTCGACGCGACAACAACCTCCACCACCGTTTGTCCTGCGATAGATGGATTGCTTACTGAGTTTTTCGATATTTTTGAGGAGCCAACAACTTTGCCTCCATTCCGTGAACATCATAACCATCGTATCCCTCTTTTGGAAGGCTCTAATCCAGTGAATCAACGACCTTACCGCTATGCCATCCACCAGAAGAATGAAATCGATACTATGGTGCAAGAGCTTTTAACCGCAGGTACTATTCAACCTAGCTCTAGTTCTTTTGCATCACCGGTGGTTCTCGTTAAAAAGAAAGATGGAAATTGGCGTCTTTGTGTCGACTACCGTGGCTTGAATGGTCTGACAGTTAAAGACAGATTCCCAATTCCATTGATTGAAGACCTTATGGACGAACTAGGAGGCTCCAAGGTCTACTCTAAAATCGACTTGAGAGCCGGTTATCATCAGGTTCGGATGGATCCTCTTGATGTCCACAAGACAGCGTTTAAAACACATGGAGGACACTTTGAGTATCTAGTAATGCCATTTGGGCTTACTAACGCGCCAGCTACTTTTCAAAGTTTGATGAACTCTATCTTCAAGGAATTTCTTCGGAAATTTGTTCTCATCTTCTTTGATGACATTTTGATATACAGTTCTTCTATGGAACTTCATATCACTCACCTGCGTTGTGTTTTTGAGTTAATGCGCCAGAACAGCTTGTTTGCAAAACAGAGTAAATGTTCGTTTGCAACAGATCGGGTGGAGTATTTGGGGCACTTTATTGAAGAAAAAGGTATTTCAACGGATCCAAGCAAGGTTAAGGCTGTCGCAGACTGGCCTATTCCGGTGAACCTTAAACAACTCCGAGGGTTCTTAGGGTTAGCTGGTTATTACCGACGTTTCGTCAAGAATTTTGGAACAATAGCTCGCCCCTTGACTGCCTTAACGAAGAAGGATAGTTTTGAATGGTCAGAAGAAGCCCTTCACTCGTTTAAAGATTTGAAACGAGCATTGTGTGAAGCTCCGGTGTTGGCCCTACCATTATTTGATACACCTTTTGTGGTCGAGACTGATGCTTGTAGCCAGGGAATAGGAGCTGTACTTATGCAGAATGGCCATCCATTAGCTTACATAAGTCGTCATTTAAAGGGTAAGCAACTTCACCTCTCTATCTATGAGAAAGAATTGTTAGCTGTGGTCTTTGCTGTAACAAAATGGCGCCATTACTTGCTCAATGGTCACTTTGTGATCAAGACGGATCAAAGGAGTCTCAAGTATTTACTTGAGCAGAGACTCAACACTCCGATACAGCAGCAGTGGCTACCTAAATTACTCGAGTTTGATTACGAGATCCAATACAAACAGGGGAAAGAGAATTTGGTTGCTGATGTGTTGTCTAGAGTCGAAGGAGCCGAGGTTTTACACATGGCCATGTCTGTTTTACAATGCGATTTACTACAGCAGATTCAGGCTGGTTACGATACTGATCCAACAGTGAGGGATTTGATAGCAGAGTTACAACAGAAACCATTAGCCAAAAAACATTTTTCTTGGACACAAGGCATCTTACGGAGAAAGAGCAAGATTGTGGTCCCCGATAACGTGCTTCTTCGAAATAAAGTTTTGGAATGGTTACATTGTTCTGGAAGTGGTGGCCACTCAGGGAGAGACGCAACACATCAACGTGTGAAAGGCCTCTTTTATTGGAAAGGGATGTCGAAAGACATTCAATCTTATATCCGTGGATGCAATGTGTGTCAGCAGTGTAAGTATGATCCAGCAGCATCACCAGGGCTGATTCAACCTTTACCAATCCCTGAGACAATCTGGACTGATATCTCTATGGATTTCATTGATGGCTTGCCTTCTTCTTATGGGAAGACGGTTATTTTCGTTGTGGTCGATCGGCTTAGTAAGGCAGCTCATTTTATGGCCCTTTCACATCCTTATACCGCTTCCTCCATCGCTCAAGTCTTCTTGGATAATGTGTTTAAGCTTCATGGCTTTCCACAATCTATTGTTAGTGATCGTGATGCTATCTTTCTTAGTGACTTCTGGCGTGAACTCTTCAGCCTTCAAGGAGTTGCCTTAACCTCTCTAGTGCCTATCATCCTCAAAGTGACGGACAAATGGAGGTGGTCAATAGATGTCTTGAGACATATTTACGGTGTATGTGCAGTGATAGACCTCATCTTTGGAGTAAATGGCTGCCTTTGGCAGAATTTTGGTATAACACGAATTACTATACTGCCATACAACTGACCCCATATGAGGCTGTCTATGGTCAAGCTCCTCCTCAGCATTTACCATACTTACCAGGCGAGTCTAAAGTAGCTGTGGTTGCCAAGTGCTTACAAGAGAGGGAGAATATGATTCTGATTTTGAAATTTCACCTGTTGAGAGCTCAACATAGGATGAAACAGTTCGCTGATCAGCATCACACTGATCGTAGCTTCGGCATTGGCGACTTTGTTTATGTTAAGCTGCAACCGTATCGGCAGAAATCTTTGGTCCTCCGTCACAATCAGAAGTTGTCTCCTAAGTATTTTGGCCCTTACAAGATCGTTGACAAGTGTGGGAAAGTTGCTTACAAGTTACAACTTCCTGCAACATCTCAAATTCACCCTGTTTTTCATGTTTCTCAACTGAAATTACAAGTTGGTGCTACACTTGTTGCCAATCAACTTCCCTCGATCACCCACGATGCTTTTGTCAAAGAACCAGAAAAGATTCTTGAGAGAAAGATGGTACAACATCAAGGCCAGGCAGCTACGATGGTATTGGTCAAATGGACTACTGAAGCAGAGGACGAAGCAACATGGGAGTTCTTGTTCGATCTGCATAAGAAATATCCTTCCTTTCAACCTTGAGGTCAAGGTTTTTCAAATGGGGGAGATTTGATATAGATAATTTACATATTTCAAAGTCGGTTTTGGTTTTGGTTTTGATTTAAGTTTTGGTTTTCCTTATTTAGACTATAAGTCGGTGTTGGTTTTATTATTTAAAGGATTGTAAGTTTCATTATCAATACATTCAGAAATTTACAGAACTCGTTCTTTTATTAGCTTTCTTCACAAGTAACTCAACCCTAGCTGAGAATCTTCTCTGCAATTGAATAAGGAGTTCGCGTTTTAAGAACGTTGATTCCCGTCACTATCCGGTTACTGAGATATCACGAATTAGCTCTACCACTGCCAAAGAACGAACCAAACCAGTTCCAAAACGTCGTAAGTTTGGGTCAGAGATTGATGAGATCTTTAATGCGAGAAAGATGAAGCAGAAGGCGCCAGAAGTTGAAAATCCCGAGAGGAAAGAGACACCGACAAGGGAGAGGGAGGAGCTTGACGGATTCAACAACAATTTGCAAAACCGGCCCAGGAAGAGAACCGAAGACGGTTTCCCACTGTTCACGGAAGCTGAACTTGGTATTAATAAGGCTTGTGCTGGTCGTACCCGTCGTTGCCCTTTTGATTGTCTTTGTTGCGTCTTCTAGCCAGCCACTCCTTTTTTTTTTTTTTCTTGTACCAGTTTTCAAGCTTTATTATATATACAGTTAAAATGGATTTAACACAGATTGTTGTTCATGTTTTATGATGAAAATACAATTACATTTTTTATCCAATTGCTTCTTGAATGATTTGTGAATAGTAGATAGGATCTTAGTAGAGTTCTGTTGGAAATATGATCCAATCTCACACCTCCTGCTTGTTTCAGTTTTACCACTGTAAAGAAATGTGGTGAAAAATGTCACTAAACCCACAAACCTTTGATATTGGGTAAAGAATTTGTGTAAACCGAACAGTTGTCAAATTTATAGATATTATTTCCTTGGAGATATTATTTTTGATGTCAACGAACACGACAGAAAATTCCAATAACACTTGCAACCAAAAGAGGATTCAAATTGGCGTTTCTTCTTGCATCGAAATTGGACTTTAACAAAGTGGAAAAATTGGACCGAAATTGAAGACCCAAAGGAAGCGTAAATAAGCCGGACCGACCAATCGACCGTATACGAAAAAATGATATGTGGCTGTGACCCCACAATACCACCACCTATCACAACTTGTCTACTTTTCTCCCAATCAACACACAAACACAATTCTCTTCTTCTTCTTCTTCACCTCTTCTCAAATTTCTTTTATACCTCCGAGTTTAACATAAAAAAGAATTGATTTTTCATTGGAATTCGTGCTTAGCAGAGGATAAGCGATTATGGGTTCGATATCTTTGTCCAATTCGATGCCCATAACGCGAGTTCCATTATTTACATCACTCAATCCATGTCTTCTTCCGACTTCTACTTCCTTCTCACTTCCTCCTCTCTCAAATCGTCGTCGCTCCGCTTTTTCTCCGTTAATCGCCGCATCTGCCGTCTTCGCAGCTCCTGCCGGCGTTAATAACTCCGTTCCCGTGAGTGAAAGCTGCCTTTTTCATGATTTACCCTTTTCATCTCAAAATTGAAGCTTTTTTTGGTTTGATGATGTGAGATTTGTTTGGTTTCAGTCACGAAATGGGGGTTATACAGTTGGGGATTTCATGACGGGGAGACAGTATTTGCATGTTGTTAAGCCAACAACATCGGTTGATGATGGTAATTAAACGAAAGATGGAACAATTTTCCGTTAAATTTTCAGTCCTCAATCTCTACCATCCAGGTCTCTAATTTTGTCTTTTTGGTTTATCTTCCGTGAATTTTAACAGCTTTGGAACTTCTGGTTGAGAAGAAAGTCACGGGATTGCCTGTAATTGATGATGATTGGAATCTGGTATAATTTTCACTTTTGCCATTGTGTTCCTCTGTTTGCTTTAAAGGATTTTTGAGCAACAAGCTCGTGACTAAACTTTGTCATAAACAGCTACCCTAAGTCATATACAGAAGCTAATAAAAATATGATTTATCTTACTTACTCCTCTACTGTAATCTCCCCTGCAGGTTGGTGTTGTTTCTGATTACGACTTGCTTGCACTTGACTCTATTTCTGGTAATGTATACGGTTTCATTTCCATTATATTAAACATTAAACAATGAATGCTATAATCAGATAGGAAGGAGCCGAGTCATAATCCATTTTGTAGTATTTCAGTTTTGGAACTTTAGAGGGATCTTAGTTTTGTTGTCTCAGAAAGTTGATGTATCTGTTTGGTGAAGCAACTCTAACCTCTTGTCTTTTGTATTAGGCGGCAGCCAAAACGATACAAACTTGTTCCCTAATGTCGACAGCACCTGGAAAGTATGTTTCTTCTTTACTTATCCATTTTCTTGCAATTTATATAAGGACTAGTATATGATATTTCAAATTCTCCTTTTGGACAGACGTTTAACGAACTCCAGAAACTGATAAGTAAGACACATGGAAAAGTTGTTGGAGATTTGATGACGCCTTCTCCTCTGGTTGTCCGTGATTCTACCAATTTAGAAGATGCAGCCAGGTTTCTCCTCCTTTGCAAACATTGAACGTCATTATCTCTGAACTCAACATTTGTTTACAAATATCTGTAAATATTTGTCTGTCTCTAGGTTGCTTCTCGAAACAAAGTTCCGAAGATTACCAGTTGTGGACTCAGATGGAAAACTGGTGAGAATCTCACTCAAAGTCACAATCTTTCCTTCTTCTTCTTCATTCTTTTCAGTTTGATTTGGTCTCTCACCTTTGTTTTATTTATTTTTGTTTCCGCGCAACAAGATTGGGATCCTAACAAGAGGGAACGTTGTAAGAGCTGCGTTGCAGATCAAAAAGGAAACAGAGAACACTACATAGAGCTAGAAGAAAGCACAATTTATAGTGCAGACTCTTTATTCTGCCATAGTTTATAGCAAATATTTTGATTCCATTTATAAGTATATATAATATGTAATGTCCAGTTGTTCTACCTCCGCAAGCAATTTCTTTTACTTTAGGAGTAACATTTCTCAGACACAAGAATTCAAAACAATTGGTATCTGAATATATATGTATAATGGCTTTGCTCTGTCTTTTTTCTTCTCTCACTTCTCTCTGCCGCCAAAAATTCAATCTTTTAATCTCTTAAAGACGGAAACTTTATTTCTTTTACATCTCTAATGTTATCGAATCCCCTGCGTTTCTCGTCTCGTCTCCTTTCTCAGTTCAAAGTATCTCAGGGTCTATGTTCTGTTCCGGCACCGGTCGTATACGAAGATTCCGACGATCTCCTCTTCGGCAGGAGTAGCAGTGGCTTCAGTGTTTTTGACCTCCTCGAGAGCAATGATATTCCCGCCGTTAGACGTCTCTACAACACGCTGTTGAAGGAATGCGCCGTCTCCAAGCGACTCGCTCAGGGGAAGATCATTCACGGCCATGTTACCAAGTCTCTGTTTTGCTCCGGCCTTGTTACGAACAACACGCTCCTCAACATGTATGCCAAATGCGGAAGCTTGGAAGAGGCTCGCAAGGTGTTCGACCAAATGCCTCAAAGAGACTTTGTCACTTGGACCACTTTGATTTCTGGTTACTCACAGCATCACCGACCCCGTGATGCTCTGCTGCTGTTTAATCAGATGCTGAGTGACGGATTCAGTCCCAATGAGTTCACTTTATCTAGCGTGGTGAAAGCTGCTGCAGCTGAGCCTGGAGGCTGTTGTGGTCACCAACTTCACGGCTTCTCTCTCAAGTCCGGATTCGATTTGAATGTTCACGTTGGTAGCTCTCTGCTTGACCTTTACACACGTTATGGTCTTATGGACGATGCACAGTTGGTCTTTGATGCGCTTGAGAGCAGGAACGATGTTTCTTGGAATGCACTGATCGCTGGACACGCTAGGAGAAGTGGTACAGAGAAGGCTCTTGAGCTTTTTCAGCTGATGCTTAGAGAAGGTTTCAGACCTTCCCATTTCTCGTACTCTAGCATCTTTGGCGCTTGTTCGAGCACAGGGTTCTTGGAGCAAGGGAAATGGGTTCACGCGTATATGATCAAATCCGGTGAAAAGCTTGTGGCTTTCGCAGGGAACACTCTTATTGACATGTATGCAAAATCAGGAAGCATCCATGACGCGAGGAAGATATTCGATAGGTTGGCTAAAAGGGATGTGGTGTCTTGGAACTCTCTGCTCACTGCTCTTGCTCAACATGGACTTGGCAAAGAAGCATTGTACTTGTTTGAAGAAATGAGAAAGGCCGAGATTGCTCCCAATGAAATCTCGTTTCTCTCTGTGCTTACTGCTTGTAGCCATTCTGGTTTGCTAGATGAAGGGTGGCATTACTTTGAATTGATGAAGAAAGATGGGATAGTACCTAAGGCTTGGCACTATGTCACCATTGTAGATCTTCTTGGGCGGGCGGGTGATTTTGAGAGGGGAATGAGGTTTATCAGAGAGATGCCAATAGAGCCCACTGCAGCTATATGGAAAGCTTTGCTTAATGCTTGTAGAATGCATAAGGATATGGAATTGGGAGCTTATGCAGCAGAACGAGTATTTGAACTTGACCCTGATGACCCTGGCCCTCATGTGATACTGTATAACATCTATGCATCTGGTGGGAGATGGAACGAGGCTGCAAGAGTGAGAAAGAAGATGAAGGAAAGTGGAGTGAAGAAGGAACCTGCTTGCAGTTGGGTAGAGATTGAGAATGCTATCCACATGTTTGTGGCGAATGATGAATGTCATCCTCAGAGGGAGGAGATTGGTCGCAAGTGGGAAGAGATTTATGCAAAGATCAAGGAGTTGGGATATGTGCCAGATACGAGCCATGTAGTAGTCCATGTGGATCAACAGGAGAGGGAAGTGAATTTGCAATATCATAGCGAGAAAATTGCCTTGGCGTTTGCACTTCTCAACACACCTCCTGGATCAACCATACACATAAAGAAGAACATCCGTGTCTGTGGAGATTGTCATTCAGCGATCAAGTTGGCTTCAAAGGTGGTTCAGAGGGAAATCATTGTGAGAGACACAAATCGGTTCCACCATTTTAGGGATGGTAGTTGCTCTTGCAATGATTATTGGTGAATGTTGTACACTACATAGCCACAAAGCAGCTATTACAGAGTAAACATTTCTCAGACTCAAAACTCAAGACAATCGGGTAATCTATACGATGATTATGAGCTAAACTCTTGTATGAAACTGTTTAGGTCGTTAAAAGAAGACCCTCCTTCTTCCACGGCGGCTCTAGCCATCTCCGCCAGTTTCCTAGCACGTTCCCGCCTTTCCTCAACCTCTTCCCCAACCAGCACTTCTCTCACAGCCTTCTCCACTTTCTCTCTGCTTATTATGAAATCTCCCATAACTTTCACATGCTTTGTGGCTCCCACGCTCACTCCAGTTCTGAGCACTTGCGTAACCAGCTTCTCGTTGTAGAATTGCTCTGCTCCGATCGGCCACGTCACCATCGGTACCCCTGCAGCCACTCCTTCAAGAAGCGAGTTCCAGCCACAATGAGTCACAAACCCTCCGGTTGCTTGGTGCTCAAGTATCAGCATCTGTGGAGCCCATCCTCTTATTATCAGCCCTTTCTCTTTCGTCCTCTCCTCCATCCCTTCCGGTAACCACTCTTCTTTCTCACCTGTGTTGGTTTTCCTAACGACCCAGATGAAGTTTACTCCAGAAGCTTCTAACCCTAAAGCAATCTCGATTAGCTGCTCGTTCTTGAAGGAAGCCACACTCCCAAATGACATGTAAATGACTGAATCTTGTTTCTTGGAGTCAAGCCACTTGAGGCATTCGACCTCATCGATGCTTGATTTCTTTCCTCTCTCAGCTTTCTCCTCAAATCTTCTGTTGTAAACCGAAAGCGGACCGATATGCCACGCTTTCTTGGCTACAAATCTCTTGTAAAAATCTGCGTAATCAGGTTCGAGCTCGTAGAAGCTGTTCACAACAACACCTGAGCTCTTCACTTCTGATTCTCTCACCTCGATCATAAACTTCCCAATCTCGGATTCGTTGTCGCCGTCAATGATCTGTTCTTGAGTTATCACTATGTCCCCAGGAAGATCAGGGATCACAAACGGCTCAGAGCTCGAGGCAACTCTGTTTTGTGGTTTATGCACTTTGATGCAAAAACCAGCGCACATGGAGAAGTAGCCAGTGCCGTGAAACACAAGTCTTGGCACACGAGACTTCTCAGCTGCTTCAGTAGCCCACGGGAAGAACATGTCGGCGATGAGACAGTCCGGTCTCGCTGTCTCGAGGAAGTTCTGAAGCTGGTCTTCGAAAAACCTTGTCGAATAAAAGAATTTTAAGGTCATGTGAAGTCTATCATAGTCGTTGGTTAAAGAGAAGACATCGACGTTTTCGCATCCTTCTGGTAAACCGAGCTGGACGCAAGGGAAATCGAAGATCTGGATGTCGATTTCGAGACTAGGGTTGAGGTTCTTGAATAGGTCGATGGGTTTTTGGAAGGTCTTGGAGTTGAGAGGTGTGGTGATGATTGTGGACTTGACTCCTCTGCTAGAGAAAAGCTTAGCCATGTCGAGAGTTGGTATCATGTGGCCGTAAGCCATGAAAGGGAAGAACACAACGTGGAGCTTATGGTGAGGAGGATTACTACTAGTCATGTTTAGCTTTGGTTGAAAAAGAAAATGAGAGAAATGGAAGATTTTTGAAGCTCGTCGAAGGATTAATCTCCCTTGTCGTGTTGAATGGTTTGTAGGAGTCTTGGAAGTTGGGAATGATGACGAATCAAACCTCACGGGAACTTGGATTATTGGTGTGTCGTGGGTTCTGACGTATTTGCTTACGTCACTTGTTTTTGGTTTCTTTGGTACTAACCTCTGTCGACTTGTCGGGATCCAGGATCACTTTTCAAGGTCCTTTTGTAACCACACTTTATTAATCTAAAGACTTGTCAAATTTTAAGATCTTCACTACAGTTATGATGAATTTAGTTGAAAAGTAAAAACGAAATAAAGTCTGATTAAGCGAACTAAAGGATATTCCAAGAAATGCCACTTAGAAAGTGATGTTCTTTGTTTTGACAAAATGAACAAAACTATAAAACGAAATTGCTTTTAGTGTGAATTTGTTTTCTGATGGCTCAAGAACCTAACTTCACGTTGAGATTGATACTTTTCTTTTCAGTTTGTTTTTAGTCTGATGGCTCAAGAACCTAACTTCACGTTAGTAGTAGTTATACTTCATTTTTTTGCACGTAACAAAGACATGACTTAAAACACTTTCAAATTAAACAAAACATGTGACATAGAATCTGAATAACAAAGTAATTGCCTCACTTGCAAACCGTTCAACTTTTGTTTTCCTCTTCTCTTTGCAATCTGACCAACTTAAGCTCATCCATCAACCTATCCAACTCAAGATCTGAAGATCCTCCTTCTTTCACCGCAACTTTCGCCATTTCAGCTAACTCCTTAGCCCGTTTCCTCATCTCTTCACCAACCATCACTTCCCTCACCACTCTCTCCACTTTATCTCTGCTAATGAAATCTCCAACGACTCTCATCATCTTCTTCACTCCCACACTCACTCCTGTTTTCAACACTTGTGTCACCAATTTCTCGTTGTAGAACTGCTCTGCTCCCACTGGCCACGTCACCATTGGCAGTCCCGACGCTACGCCTTCTAGAAGCGAGTTCCATCCACAATGCGTCAAAAACCCTCCAGTTGCTTGGTGGTCAAGTATCAGCACTTGCGGCGCCCAACCGCGGATTATCAGTCCTTTTCCTTTCGTCCTCTCTTCAAATCCCTCTGGTAACCACTCTTCTTTATCCTCTGTTCACAAAACACCTAACTAGTTTAAGATCCACTAACCAAATATGATGCAAAACAGAGAATTATACTGCAAGAAAATAGCTAGAGAGATGTGTATGATACGTACCTTGGCTGGCAGTTTTGTTAACCACCCAGACAAAATCATGTCCTGACATTTCTAAGCCAGCTGCAATCTCAATCAGCTGCTCGTTGTTGAAACTGGTCATGGTTCCAAAGGACAAGTAAATGACTGAATCACATGTCTTAGAATCAAGCCATTTCAAACATTCATGCTCATCAATGCTCGCCTTCTTGCCCCTCTCTGCTTTCTCCTCGAACCTTCTGTTGGTTAAAGAAAGCGGACCGATAGACCAAGCCCTTTTCGCCACAAAACTCTTAAAGAAATCTGAATAAGCCGGTTCAAGCTCGTAGAAGCTGTTCACCAACACACCAAAGCTATCTCTCTCTGACTCTCTCACTGACTTCATAAATTTCCCCATCACAGACTCTTCGTCTTTCTCTATCACCTGTTCATCGGTAATCACAACGTCTCCTGGGAGACCAGTGATCACAAAGGGCTCAGAACTCGAAGCTACTTGCTTGTATGGCTTGTGGAGCCTCATGCAATGTGAAGCGCATAAAGAGAAGTAGCCTGTGCCGTGGAAGACAAGTCTCGGCACATTAAACTTCTCAGCGACTTTAGTCGCCCAAGGGACGAACATGTTGGCGACGAGACAGTCTGGCTTCATTGTCTCGATGAGATGCTCAAGTTGCTCTTTGAAATACGTCAATGCGAGGAAAAACTTCTGACTCAAGTCACCTGTGCTTAGTTCATGGCTTGAGAAGATGAAATCTGTGTTCTCGCATCCTTGGGGCAAACCGAGCTCTGCGCAAGGGAAATTGAGGATCTTGATGGTGATGTTTTCAAGTTGTGGATTCTCGTGGTTGAATGATTTGATGGGTTTTTCCAAGAGGATGGAGTTGAGAGGTGTAGTGAGGATTGTGGATTTAGCTCCTTTGGTGGCGAAGACCTTGGCCATGTCAAGAGTTGGTATCATGTGGCCATGAGCCATGAAAGGGAAGAGGAAGAAATGGAGCTTTGAGACTTCGTCCGCAGAATTTCCCATGGTTTGGATGCTGAGAAATCAAGATCTTGGAAAATTTTCCAATTCTTTGTATTTTATTTGAGATTTGGGTGTTTGAGAATCAAGAAGAGATATGATGAATGTGTATTGATTTATATAATATATGGATAATGGGGTTTTGGAGGTTGAAGCAAGACGTAAGGAAAGAGAGTAAAGTTTTGGCAGCTAACACTTGGTTGATATGGAAGCACGAACTTTTTAGTGTTCATTGACTATAAACTTTTCACTCATATAGAAATATTTAGAATTATAAAAAGAAATCATTTTTTCTAGATACTGTTGATGAAATGAGAGAAAAATGCAAAACAGCTTTTCAACTACCATTTTCTTTTTTTTGCAATATCAGTTTTGATATAGAAAATCTACAAATCAACGGTCCAAAAAGTCATAATCGACTCTAATATTGCAAATTGTGTGTCGCTTTACAATCACAAATTGTCAAATTCCACAAGAAGAAAATTTGGGAAAGGAAGGAAGGCAGAAGAGAGTTGAATCTCACGTCATGGCATTCGTCATCCTTCTTTTAGTTGTCTTTTGCTGTTTTGTTTCTTAAAAAAAAAATATTTCTATTTTTGGTATAAAGCAAATACAGTAAATCCGTAAAAATTTTAAAAGACGTTTAGGAAATATTTTCTTGGAAGATTCTATTGCATCCAAATTTCTGTACAAAGTGGATCCCACATTAGTTGGCAGATATGGTTGGACATGATTAAAATGAAATCTCCAATGCTTCCTGGGCTTTTCCTCTATTAGCCCTGAGCTAAACCTTCCTGGGCCTAAACCGAAACTCTCCGGTTTAGGCATGTTCCTTCGATTGACAATATCATCCGGTACGGTACGATTATTGGATTATTTCTCAAACAGTTTCATCATCCTCCAGGCTTTAGTTTCAGCAAGCTTTGGTTAATTGACAATCCTGCAAAATTAATCCTCATGCCCGACGACGATAAGGAATTGCAAGAGGCAAAGGAAGAAGAAGAAGACTCCTACGTTTGGGACAGCGATACTCAGCTCTACTTCCATCACAGGCTACTTCTCTTTCCCAAATTTAAATTTTACTTCATCTTCTAGGGATTCTAAAATCGCCATAACCAAATTTCTGTAGGTCGCTTTAGTTTTAGTAGAAAATCGGATTGTATCAGCTTCTTTGAGATTGATGCTTAGGTCCATGAAACTAAGAATGCACTTGCCAAATGTTTGTTGATGATTTTAAGCTAACTTTTGTTTTCGAATTTTGCGAAATTGCAGTAGTGGGTTTTATCATGACCCAAATGCTGGTTGGTATTACTGTAGCAAGGATGGTCATTACTACAAGCATGAAAATGGTGAATATGTCCCCTTGGAATCTGACGTGAACACTCCTGTAGAAACTGTCACTTGTGATCAATCTGAAGATGACTCAGGCGAAAAAGATTCTCTAGCTCAGACTGAGAATAGGTTACCAATTGTAGAAGAGGAACATGAACCTCAACGACCTTCCTTATGGTAGGTTATGTATTTTCATTTTCATGGAGACTAATATATGTTTCTTCATCATATGGTTCCTCAAACTTTTTTTTTTGTAACTTTGGTTTAGGTTGGAAGATACACTGATCGAGCTTTATCTGGCTGGAAATAATCAACGGCCTGGCTATGAGACAGGTAATGGGGTTGGTAATCAGGATTACCAGATGTTGTCAGATAATGGTCTTTGCCTGGGATAATGCTTATTAGCCTTTTATAATGCACAAATTTGGAATGAATTTGCTCTTTCAGTTTGGATTCTAAGGAGAGAAGCTAAAAATTGTGTTTGTTATTCAGGAGATGATGATGCTGAGGAACTTGAAGAGGGAGAGTGGATTCCTGAAGAAGATTTTGATCCACAGGAAGACAACTTCGATGAAGGTTTGTTTTTTTAAATTATGTTCTTGTCATTTGCTTTCTCTCTGCCACCAAATCATTTTTTTTTTGGTTATTGCTATTGATATATGAAGCTGCATAAATCCTAATTCCACATGGTGTATAGTATTGTTCTCTCGTAAGCTGATTTGAAGTCATGAAATGATTTTTAACTAGCCCGTAGCTGTTGTTTAAGGGAATCTTAGTACTTTTCTTCAGCTCATATTCATGGCTTTGATGCTCATAATTTTATTTGTAGCTGCTCCTTCAAAGGAGGAAGAAATATGGCAAGAGCAATATGGTCAAGTCACTGAATCCCCTGAGGAGACCCTGCCTGAGATCTCAGCTGTTGATTTGTGGGATTGGAAGCTTGTTTGTGAATCAAAGGACAATGATCAGGTGGCTAGGTTAGTAGGGAGGCTGGTCAGACGGTCCGCCAATCTTCATCCATCTGTGGCTTCCGGTGGCACACTTTTCAAAACTGCACCAATTTGTGAAGCAAGGCTTCACCTGGTGCGAGTTAGGACAGGTTTACCATTTTTTACTTTAACCGAACCTTGTTCCTATAAACAACTATCTAGTTTTTTCTAGCTGCTCTTGACACACCAGAGGTGGTAACTTTATGTGCTTTGTTATGGATTTTAACTCTCAAATCTTGTGTTCCAGGACAAGTCTATAAACTGCGAAATCCTAGTCCAAAACACCTTGCATCCTTTTTAGTATACGACTCGTCCAACCCAACAAAAGATTGGGGATTCCCTGATATTTCAACTGCATGGAAGAATCCTGAGACAAAACGAAAAGCTAAGAAGGTGAAACCAAAGACCGACTGCAAAGTCACAGTGAAGCCACAAGATGAAGCCAACGTGATTGAAGAGGTACTCCAAAGTCCACCTTCATGGCTGGATTCTTGTATTCTATGTTTCCGTGGCATGGTTAAGTGTTATTGGAACCATAGTAAGAAACAAGTGTATTCATTATTTCTTGTGGTGTTTACCAGCAGAGAAGCTCTTCATACAGAGATAGAGCGGCCGAAAGAAGAAATTTGCATGGTGGATATGGTGTTGGGCCAGGTCAGAAGGGAACATTGGTGGGCGTAAACTCGGACGAGGATGATGATACTGATTATGTAGAGGATGCTGGAGCGGAAGCATTGGAGATTTCATTTGGATCTGGAAGTTATGCAAGGAGGATTATGGGAAACATGGGTTGGAAGCAGGTAACTTATGAATCTAAATATCTAATAGACTTTTGATGTTGTGTGGTGTCATCGTGATTTATGACTATTGAGGAAATGCAAATGCAGGGTGAGACGCTCGGGAAGAATGCAAAAGGTTTGGTTGAACCGATACAAGCAGTGGGAAACACTGGCAATGTAGGGCTTGGTTTCCCTCAAAGGAGAAGGAAATAATCTCAGGTACCATATTCTAAATTACTTGAGAATGTGAATTCGTGTTCATAATTTACTTGAATTGGCTTTATAATGAGAGCTTCTATGAGAATGAGGTTGAGTAGATTAAGATAAGTCTAACTTCCTGATTTGTTTTTATGCATAGCAGCGTCTGCAGGAAGCATCCTGAATCAGGAATTGATGATCTCAACAAGTAAATTCTCAACTTTGATCTTATGTATTGCATCAGTACCAAACATGTTTTTGATGATTATATGTTATGAGTTTGTTGGATCTTTACACATTGTATAGTTAGCTACAAAGGAAAAAGAAAAAGGAGATGTTATCTTGGTAGAAGTACCTGTCTCTGTTCTTCTTAATTCTTCTATAAGATAAGCGTATAGACAAATTCTTTGACTTTGAATAAAATCATTTCAACAAAGAAGTGTCATTTCCAGACGGCTGCCTTTATAAAATGAAATCTTTGGGTTACCTGTTCCACAGGACGATGTTTTTTGAGTTTCTAGACTAACCTAACGTGGTTTATACAGCATAAGCTTGAAACATGTATAGTAGTTTTTGCAGATAATCTTATTAGTTATTACTCAAGTTTTAAGAATAAAAAAGGAGTAATTATTTCCTTAATCAGAAACTAGAAGTAATGGATAGACAAGGAAATAATATTAAAAAAGACGCGTATGGATATATCTTAAGCCGTGGCCCGTGGCAGATAAAGGGAGTAATAATTTAATTAAGTAAAAGTCAAGGTAACGGTCAGCGCCATACGATACGCGTCTTGCTCTTGAAAGCAACCTTCCGCGAAATTCAAAGTCTGATTTTATTTATATATCACGGACTTTTCTCTGGATTCAGCTCAATCTCTAGTTTTTCCGAATCTCTTCTCTTCTTTCAAACCCTAATCTCTCTGTATTTCTTAATCAATCGGAATCTTCAATCCATTCATATCGATGATGTCGGGTATTCAAGGCCAGATTCTCGAGGTCACTGGTTCGTACCTTTCTATTCTTTCCCCCACATCCCTAATTTGTGTTCTTCTATTTTTCAAAAACCATTATTATCTAGCTCAAATTTCACCGGAGTGTTCGATTTGATTTTCGTTTATGATTTGGTTTTCAGTTGTTGGGTGCCAGAAACTGAAAGACACGGAATGGTTTTCAAGGCAAGATCCATACGTTGTTCTCGAGTATAGCGGCACTAGGCACCGTACCAGAACCTGCACAGGTTCTTATTATTCTCATACCACCTTTTTCGTTCATATGATTTGTTCAGATCTAAGACTAATTTGTGGTTTTAAACGATGTTAACATCTTTCCATTTTTAGATTGTTTTGAATTGAGCTTGCTCATGTATGAATGTTTTGATTTTTGCAGATGGTGGAAAAAACGCTGTATTCCAAGAGAAGTTTATGTTCACTTTGCTTGAAGGCCTTAGGGATGTGAAGGTAGCTGTTTGGAATAGCAATACACTCTCCACTGATGACTTCATTGGCAATGCTACGTATGTCACTTTTCATCTCTGCATTCTTTATTAGTTAAGCTTTGAAATTTCCTGATTCGGATTTGGAATTGACTCTTTTGCCGTATGTTTCTTCGTTTTGTTGTGATTAGGATTCAGTTGCAGAAGGCTCTTTCTCAGGGATACGACGACTGTACCTGGACTCTCCAGACTAAAACTGGGAGGTAACATCATTGCTTTCACTACTTTTGGTTCCTTTTTGCAGTAACTATCATGTTTGGCTATCGATATCCACTGTTGGTTTTGGTGTTGGACTTGCTAATTATCAATGGAACTTTTTTAGTGGTTTTGTTAGCAGCATGTAGTGCTTGGATATATATTTGCCTCAATTGCATTTCTGCATTAGTGTGCCATATACCTTCTACTTAGGTGAAATGTTTAGTTTTTGCTATGGAAGCATGTTTTTGTTCACTGGCTAGAGTGGTTGTGTGGAGTTTTTTTGTCATCTTTGGTGTTAATAGCTGTTTGATTTCATAGAAATTGTACTTCTTTGTTAAATCTTTTCATTTCTAGTATAATGTGAAAGACATTCATAAGATGAGCGCATCTTCCAGTAGTCATCACTGAGCACATTCTAGCATTCAAACTTATGAGATACTGAAACCTTTAGTGTTGTCTTATAACAATATGCAAAGATTTTGGCAGCTTGAACTCAGCAAAAGCTCTTCGTAAAAAGATTAGTTCTTTGATTATAAAATCTTTTGAAAATGCATCATCTTTCTGTCTTTATACAGATATGCAGGAGAAGTAAGACTCATACTGCATTATGCAGGCGCAAAGGTAAAGTCGAGACTCAATTAGCAATACTGAATAACAGGTTCAGTTTATTGACAAAAAAAAAGAGAGGCTAAAACATACAATCCATTTCTTGTGTGCAGAAACAGAATTACGGGTCTGCGCCATCAGCACCACCGTATGCGCCTCAAGTACCTCAGTACTCAGCACCTCCTTCTGCATCTCCATATTCGTCAGCACCATACACTGGACCATCCCTATACCCACAAGTACAATACTCTCAGCCGCAATCAGCATACCCACCAGCTTCAGCTTTTCCTCCTCAGCCGTCTGCCTATCCTCCTCCTCCCGGCCCTTCAACCTACCCTCCCGCTCCCTCAGCGTACCCTCCTGGTCCTTCAGCTTACCCTCCTCCACCACCTTCCTCAACTTACCCTCCTTCTCCATACCCTCCTCAACAAGCCTCACCATACCCTTCTCCATACCCACAAGGTACATAAACGTTCTTTTTTTCTTCTCTTCTAAGCTTTTTGATTGTTTGCTCTTGCTTTTGTAAAACACTTAATATGTGTGTGAATTTGGGTGTGTTTCTAACTTTCTTCTATCATTGTGTGGGTGGTGATTGATTTTGTTTCCTTCTTGTTTTACAGGTCCATATCCAGGACAATACCCGCCTCCTCCGTACTAAAGCTCCGGCGTTTAGAATTTGACGGAGAGTGGTTATGATGTATAGATAATGCCTAGTGATGCTATTTCGTTTCTTCTTTTGTATTCTTTTTTTCTTTCTTTTATCTTCTTCCCTCTGCAGCTCTGCTGTTGTTGGCCTTTGCAAATTGTAGCGTTATGGTTAGCTTTTGCGAATGGTTAGTGCAACTCATTGAGAAGTTTGGATCTTTTCATATTAAGCCAGCTTGCAGATTATCTTGCAAACCTATTGAATTAATTTGGTGTTTCCCAGATTCTTAATCAGATCGTATCTACTATCTCTAGTACTCCGTAAATTAATTTGGTCAATGTCTATCTTGCTCGATATTTTAAGTCAAAAATGTATTCTATTGTTGACAATCGGCAAAAAAGTTGTAGAATTTTGTTGATTGCCGACAGATTTTACTGCACTTTGGTTTCTCGATCTCTACTCCAATGAGTAAAAGTGGGTAAAGCGGGAAACAGAAAAAGAAATTACACATAAAAAATACAAAAAAATAAAGGATAATACAGTAGGAAAAGGAAACTACACATTAAATATCATAAATAAATAAATAAACAAAATATAGCGCGAGTAAAAGACAAACGTGAAAACCATCTCGCCTGCTCTCATAAATCAGTCTCCTTCTTTTCGCTCTCCTTCCCACTTCCAGCTTTCCTCTCTTCTCTCTCTCTCTTTCTACTCTACTCTCTCTCTCTCTCTCTCTCTAGGCTCTCTTTTGTAGCTTCCTGCTACAGCTAATCTCTGCACGTTTCCATAGAGTGGTGTGATAGACGGAGAGAGAGAGAGAGGAAGATGAGTCTCTCTCCGAGAGATTTTCTCTCTATCATCATCTTATCTTCTTCTGTGTAATGCCCTGAGCCAAAACCCAGTAAAACGAAAGAGGAAAATAAATAATACATAGAAGAGAAGATCTTTCTTCTCATTCTTGAGACTATTCAGAACAATGGCGATTCGAAAAGAGGAAGAAAGCAGAGAAGAACAGAGCAATTCGTTTCTTCTTGATGCTCTCTATTGCGAAGAAGAGAAATGGGAAGACGAAGATGAAGCAGAAGAAGAAGTTGAAGAAAACTCTTCCTTTTCTTCTTCTTCTCCTTCTCCTTCACCATTCGTGCTTCTGCAACAAGATTTGTTCTGGGAAGACGAAGATCTAGTCACTCTGTTCTCCAAAGAAGAAGAACAAGCACTCAGCTGTCTCGATGATGTTTATCTCTCCACGGATCGAAAAGAAGCCGTCGGCTGGATTCTGAGAGTCAATGCTCATTATGGGTTCTCCACTTTGGCAGCTGTTTTAGCCGTAACTTATCTCGACAAGTTCGTCTGCAGCTACAGCTTACAGAGAGACAAACCATGGATGCTTCAGCTCGTTTCCGTCGCTTGCCTCTCTCTAGCTGCTAAAGTCGAAGAAACCCATGTCCCTCTTCTCCTAGACTTTCAAGTAAATGTTGATACTTGACATCATTTCCCTTTAAAGTTTTGATTTTTCTTAGTCCTCCACATTCTCATCTCTCTGTTTTCTGTAGGTGGAGGAAACAAAGTATGTGTTTGAGGCCAAAACCATACAGAGAATGGAGCTGCTGATTCTCTCTACACTCAAATGGAAGATGCATCCCGTTACTCCAATTTCGTTTCTAGACCACATCATCAGGAGATTGGGGCTTAAGAACAATGCTCACTGGGATTTCCTCAACAGATGCCATCGTCTCCTCCTCTCTGTAATCTCCGGTTCGTAAACGACAAAAAAAAAAAAAAAAAAAAACCCATTTCGTTTACTGAATCTGAGTAATCTTACATTCTTGTCTTTTCTTCCTCGATTGTTTTTTTTGTCAGATTCAAGATTTGTCGGCTACCTCCCGTCAGTTGTTGCCGCAGCGACCATGATGCGAATTATAGAGCAAGTTGAGGCCTTTGACCCTCTTTTATACCAAATTAAGCTCCTTGGTGTCCTTAACATAACCAAGGTTTGTTAGCTTTTATATAATCACTCTACTAGTCAGACTCTGTTTCACTCTGGCATTTTAACAAACAAGTCTCGTGCTTTAAACAGGAAAAGGTTGAAGCTGGCTACGATCTCATCCTCCAGTTGCCAGTGGATCGCATTGGTTTGCAGATTGAGAACCAATCTCGCCGGAAACGCAAGTGTCCCGAATCATCATCGTTGAACAGCCCAAGCTGCGTGATCGATGCAAACCCTTTCAACAGCGACGAAAGCTCAAACGATTCGTGGTCAGCGAGTTCGTTCAGTCCACCGTCGCCACAGCAAGAACCTCCGATGAAGAAGATGAAAGGGGGTCAAGAGAACCAGAAGAAGAAACCGATTCTGCATCTTCCATGGGCAATCGTAGCAACTCCATAATCGATCGAGCTCGGTTTCGTCCCGTTTATATATATTACTGTTCTTTAAATTGGAGCAATCTTTGTATTAAGTTCCCCGTTGCATATACGAAATGTCGTGAATGCCCTCACTTTACATTGCTTGATACAGCCTGTGTGCGAAGGGTATTCATGACATTTTGACTGCATGGGATGGGATGAAGAGACTTAGAAATAATAATAATCTTGCGTAAATTTTGAGGCTTTTGCAATCTTTGGCCCTTAATCTCCGGAGTTGTTCATATTTAATCTTGATTAAAAATGTTAACTATGGAATTTGTTGTGTTTATGTTTGAAAATGAAGGAAGTAGTAGTGTTGAAAGCTTTGACTTGGTGAGAAGTGTTGATTTTTGGGTCAGTCTTTAAATAAACATGAACTAATAATTCTATTATTCTTTTAAAAATGAGAAGAAGAAAAAAATTGAAAACCCAACATTAGTTAATTGCTTTTGCTGCTAAAGTCTTGTCAAACCCTCTCTACATGCACCACTAGACGTGTAATCATCAACTAACCCAAACATATGATTATGTGAACGCAGTCAAATAACAATAAGAACATGCAATTTCTCGAAATTAACATTAACATGATTATACATGTTTAACAATGTATATGTATGAATTATAGAAAATAACATGATTATTAAAAAGATCATTTATATTTGTATACTTTAAAGTGATATAAAAAAATCAGCAGATGTGTAAGATAGTCTTCGAAAATCAGTTGCACAAAAATTCTGAATGAGAGTAGATAGATAGTAGGGAGTAATTAGCAACCAAGTCTTTAATTAGTTGAAGAAAAGGAAAAATTAAGAAAGAAAAACACAGACTTATTAAATCGTTGACCTAGCAGATGAATTATTTCGAGAGACAGACAAGAAGGAGGGGGTGCAGTACACGCGCCACTTTCCTCGAGTGGTGTTGGACGATCAAATCTGGAGCAGCAGTAAAAACAGCGGAACCAAAGCAACCTGCTTCCACTCTGAGCATCTGGGATGATGCCACGTGACCAAAAGCATTTCATCGTCACTATTCTTCGCATACAACAAAGTCGCTAACAAAAATTATTTGTAGAAGATATATATTACGAATTTACGATTGATACAGATCTTTTTGTTGTTTTCTTTTGCCAAACGATTGACGATACTGCTACAATGAACAAATAGTTCATTTTTCTTTTTGGGGTTAAATATAAATACTTTTATGTAAATCAAACAGTAACTGAATAAAACTATAGTTTTACGTCAGCCACATTAATGTCGTAAAAATACTTTTGATGACAAAATGTAATCAATCTTCCCCTTTTGTATCACGAGAAAGCTTTGCATATATAATGCTAATACATTTTTAGAATTTCATTTTACTTTTTAACAAGTGCCATCAAGCTTTAGGTGAAATCTTCTCTTCTTCTTTCCCACTTTATCTTTTCCATTTTTATTTTCTCTTTGAACTTTTATTTTTATTTTTGCAACCAAAAGAATATTCAATCTCTACTTTTTTCACGTGTGACACGAATTTTCTCCTTTCGTAATTTATCTTTTGTTTTTCCTTTATTTTTCCCAATTCATTTCAGAATTTAGAAAAATCCAATTGCTTTAGCTGGTGTCGTTTCTTAACGCTCAGCCTCGCGTCATCAAAACATCTCAACTCCTATAGTTTATGTAATCTTATAATGCGAATACGTTTAGTATTGAAATTATAGTTACGAGAGGGTGCAAAAATGTATCAAATCATGCACATATTTAACGTTTTAGCATGACTCCCTATGTAAAGTTGTGTGTATCGCCTCTAAAAATAATTTTCTTGGATATAGAAATTAAAACAGGTAGATGCATTACGAGTATGTGATTATGAAAAGTATATATGATTCTTTATCTTTTATTTTATCTCTGACCAAGTATGCTAATTTATACGAAGACATTAGCAACCTATTTTAGTTTGCGGAATAGATATACACAATGCAAGATACAAAACTAAAAAGAACCAAAAATACTGAAACTGGAGTCGCTAATCTCATGAAAGTATCATTAACAAACTATGAAACCTCAAATATGTAGTATTGAATGCTTAAGACTGACTATCATTAGTTACATACCGATCGAGATGACATTGACATCAAATCAAAATCGACTATACATGCACAAGCATAACAGTAAAATCTTAAGATATAAATTTGAATGTTTGGAGAACTAATGGAAAGCGAGAAAGGATGTATGTGGAGATCGGGAGGTTTTCAAAATGGGAGACCAAAAAATCTTTGTGGTTATTCTTTTTCTATATAAATTTTAAATAATCAATATGTTGTGGAGAATGTGTTTTCTGTCTTTTTGTCTCTTCTATTGGTCTTCTCTTTACAGTATGTTATCAATATCATGGTACCATACGCATCTCGTGAACCATATAATGACTTGCCATAAATTATTATTTTTCTGAAACAAGATAAAACGAACAGAAGAAAAGAGAGAATTTTAACACCGTAAAAAAAAAGAAAAAGGAAATATATTTATCAAAAAAAAGAAAGAGAAAGATGGTTTCTTATCTTCTTTATGTTTTTTATACAACAGTATTCCTCTCGGTTGAATAATTCATTCCCTCCATTCCATTGCATACCATCCCATCAAACAGATGTGAATCTGTTCTTAGTCAGCTTTGAATTTTGATTAATAAATAGATGTTGAATTCGATGCTTTATTGAAGAAAAAACCCGTTACTAAAATAAAAACCAAAACATATTTGTATCGGTAAAAGAAAAATGGGGGAAAGGAAAACAGCTTGCACCCAACATGGAGAAAGGGCAAAGAGGTCAATGTGTATAGAATAATATTATAGATATTATCATTGGTTATAGAATAATATTATCATTCTCAATGGCTTTGTGATCTTTATATCTCAAATATTTCTTCTTTTGACTTAGTCTCTTCCTTTTTACTTCCATTCTTCTTTTTCCTTTATTGTAATTCGACGGGGGATGAGCTTGTGGTTGTATGGTCAAAATGTTATGCGGGAGAGAAGATTCACTATACATCAATTTTGTTATAGAACTGCATATGCTAATGAAAGACGAAGAAATTTGCAGAAATTTTGGATTAATTATCAGACGCACCGCATGAATGAGGTACTGAAGAAGAAGTCATTAAGAATGACTTAAATTATCTTTATCTGAAAAAAAGAACGACTTGAATTATTCTCTTTGTTGACGAAATTATCGAATCGGATAAAAGTTACATATAATATAAACTAATTTTACCTTTACTGGCCAAGGCTTGTTGACAAAAATCACATGCAACGGAAAAATTAGACATGATTAGCTTCAAAACGAGGAAGTGGGATGAAACTAGTGGATGTAAAATACAAAAAAAAAAAAAAAAAAAAAAAATCAAAAAGTTAAAAGAGCTGCATTCTCAAATTTGTAGTCTATTATTCTTTCTTACAGCTGCAAACTGCAAAGTCTAATGGTCGTATTCCAGTGGTATTTGAGGGAGGTAAATCCCAATACGGATCCGGGTTCGAAACCAATTGGCCACAACGGATTTAATATTCCTTCCGTTGGGACCCTGGACCCCTTTCGAGGGGATAGTCGGGTTTTCCATTCGGGTTAGATCCTCGGAATAATTGGATACAACTGGACAAAGTTCATACCATTGGTTTGGGCTCAAGACTGGTCAGTGACTGTTCGGTCGACTCCTCAGACCCGGATACCAGAGATACAAAAAAAAAAAAAAAAAAGTCTATGATGGTTAACACATGAGATGAAAAACTGTAAGGAAAAAAAAAGTGGTCAGTTTATTTGGTAAACATATAAAACATTATTTTTAATTACCATATAAACAAGTCATCTTAAAACGTACCAAGCAATTTTTCTATGTAATGTAACACGTGAAATTACATAACTGAAATAAAATAGAAGCAATATAAACTTCCAAACCATACCCGAACCGAACTATAACTTTTTTAGTTCAGTCAAAATCTACACTAAAAACTAGAAAGGTCGATAAACCAAATGCGGACTCTTTAAATAAAAACGCTGGAATAAACATGAAATGCAACACAAGACATAAGTGGGAGGCCTGAACAGATCTGTTCTAATGATTAGTAATTAATTGAACAATTATGGCAAAAATGATGGCAAAATCGAAATGTAAATTAAACACAAAGGTATAAATGAAGTAGGACCGAATGAAAATGAACAAAGAAGAAAGGGTATTGTGTGAGCTGCGATTGCAGATCCTGTCGCTATGGCCCCTCCTTCAGAGAAATCAGACTTGCAGGTCCCAAACCCTTGTTCTATTTCGTGATTCACATTATTGTATGCTTTTATCTCCACACTTCTTATGTATACTTGCATGATGCTTACTATACGTTTATTTATTATCTACGACTATATACAAGTTGCCTTACGTATGTATATGCATATAAGTTTTGAGCCTTTTTTTAATTAGACCATTGTCAAAACGAATGTAACATTTAAGTTATAATTCACTTACCATCGTACTAAACAGCGAAGGTGTCTGGATTTTTGTCTAAATCAATAGACTGTATGATGTATAAAAACTAAGAGTGTTCTCGTCGAAAACAAAAGAATCTAAGAGTGCTCATGATGATTTGTCTTCGAATCAACTGACAGTTTAAAAAAATGAATTATTTGTTGATATAAACATGCCCAACCCAATATTGTAACTGGTATCCAATGTGGTATTTGTGTATCCATATCATTTAATAGTGGTCACCATCCCGTATATGAAGCCAAATCTAGTCTCACGTTTTCACAAAGAAACATCAAGAAACATACAAAACTTCTCCAAACAGTTTCTCCTTTTCTTTTTGCATGAGTTTATCGATTGGAGCTACCAAAAGAGTTTCTGTTTGAAAATACAATATTTCGAATGTAGCTAATAGTAGTCACTAACAATGATAAATTATTTTCACATGCATACAGTATAGTGATACAAATAAGTGTATCAATTGGTTTCCATTCACTAGCCAGATAGCATTAAGACAAATCCAATGTGAGTTAAACTCAGGACAAATCCAATATGAATTACACTCAGGACGCTCTTACACCAGAATATGTATATATTTTCTTTTTATATATGCTCTTTCGGATTTTGAGATATAATATCTATGTTATAAAAGGATTTTGGTTTTCATATTGTCGTATTGGAGTAAAGGTAATCATCATATGGTACAACAATATTAGAGAAGAAAGATGAAATTCACGAGATATGTATTTCATGTTGTCCAAATTCGTGGACAAACGATTCACTACGGCTCAGAATCTTTTTTTTTTCTATGCTGAAAGTTTACCCTCTTTTGTTTTTTTCATAAATAAAAAGAAGAAGACAGACATGCAGGTATAATGCATAATATGGAATTGGCGGTTGGGTCGTACGTACGTATTACTTGAACAAGTAAATGTCGGGATTTTGACAGACGAAGCGAATGAGCAAAACTATGCCCAACATATTAAATAAAGTCAGAGCTTCCTTTCAGTTTCTTTCTTCATGAGTCATATGATTTCAATTAACTTCTTCTTTTTTTACCTAATATCACTACCCTTGTCCTTTGAATATTTATTGAGTTTTACCCCAGTTTTATTTTTAATCATTCCACAGAAACCAAAAGTAAAGCATGATATTTAAAACACTACTAATTTTTGTTAATATGTATATCACTAAAAAATGTGTAACTCTTTGATACATTTAAAATGACATGTTTGAACTTTCATGTTATCGAACCTTCTAACTATGCATGTAATGTACATATAAGACAGAATTGAGTGTCTGAAATTGGTATATATCGTTTCAAATAAGGTCTATGCTTTTGGGCAGTTGAATGTTAGATGGCTATATTGAAGCCAACTGGTCCAACCAGAAACAAACACAACATATTTGCAGGGTTGAATCAAGCTTGCATCTACGAAAATAGTAAGAACAGCGAGTCAAAACTTTGAATGTACTTATACAAAACTTTACAAAGTAATAGAGTCAATCGGAGTATCGGGAGGGTCAGTAATTGTTTCTACTTTCAACCAAGGTGCATGTGGGTAAGAAATTAATTGCAATGGGAAATTCGAGGTCAATTCAAAGGCAAGCAAGGGCTGATTTTTTCAGTAATATTCGATTTTCTATTTTGTTAGGACACAGCATAAATGTGTTCTTGTTTAAAAGATATCAAGTAATGAAGTAGGTTTGGATGTCTCATCAGTCATCACTGCAAAAGGATGTCTTGTTATTAGACAAAGATTTTGGGGGTATCTTCTATCTTTATACGACTCTTAAGATTGACCTATCATCTCTTATCTTCTCACTCTCTCCTAGACTCCACTATTTACCTTTACCCTTTTTCACATTTTGAAAGAAGAAATAAACAAATCTCTTTTTATTTGTGTGTGGAAAATAGATGGCATTCACTAGTATGTCCTTGTTGAGCCCATTCATTAACCTGAAATCCATCTTTGAAAGCAAATGTTACTCAACACTATCGATCTCACTTTACAGGCTTTGAAGCCAAGCCCATTCGAGTAATGGCCTTAAGCGAGTCAATACTCAATAGCTAGCAACTGTCCTACGAGCCTTGCAGCAGAAATATAGACACCTGGTTTTAGCTAGACAGCTTGTCTTCTCAACAAAAAACAACAGACTTTCATGAATGTGAACAATTTTTTTTACTGCATTGATGAAAGACAGTATAGTTCACAGATCCTTAGGGTTGATCTAACTATCTAGCAAGAAATTAGAGTCAAACCTGGACATGTGACTATGAGCAAGCCAGGGAACAATAAGTTCCAAGAAGATTTCTCTATGTTCACTTGAGTGCAAAAGAGGATAGACAAGAGCACTAACTAAGATTTTCATAAACCGGGCAAATGAGGACCAAGTTCACCAAACTGATCACCAGCTTCTACGCTGTCCTTTGAGAGATGGACAGCTTTGACTGTAGCCGGGAATTAAACTGTGAATATGAAGCTATCTTATGTTGGGTGGAACTCTATGAGTCCCATCTTTCCCATGGACTCTGCTTTCTTCATCATACGTGTATATGCTTCAGGATCAACAATTACAGCCTATTCATTTGGATGACAGTAAGCAAACCAAAAAACAAGGAAAATTACTATGAAGATGATAGTATAATATCCAAATGAGTGATTATGTCAATAATGAAGAACATGAAGCTTGGAATATTTAAGCCATGAATTCGATCAAGCCCTATGTGTTGAACAAGACGAATATAATTGCATTAACACCCAACAGTAAATGACCATAAAAACGTTTTCAATGAGTGCTTGGTTCTGTTAGGGTTATAAGTTCAAAGTCACATACAATAACAGCTCCATGCTCAAATTTGGCTTCATTTATACTGGAGTTAATTAGCTTAACCCAAAATGATGCCAATAGGGTACTAGCCTAATCACCTTACTAAAACTTGCAAAAGACCTAGCCTAGTCATAAAGAGGCACAAATCAATTCATTTTCCTTACTCTGAAGAGCTTTACAATATATCTCAGATCATAACATAACTATGCCAACAACATATAATTCGAAACCCCAACACAGACAAGCAACCACATTACAATTTACACCAGTAATAAAAAGAGACATACATACAAACATACCTCTACTCATTTCATTCAGTTCCAGATGGAGAGAAATCGACGGGAGTCACAGTAGGATCGGTGGTGCAAATATCCCTGCTGGTGACATCTAGGGTTTGGTCCGCCAGTGACACACTTACCGCTAAGTCGGAACTCGACGGTCACCATCGCAGTCTCGTGAGAAGTGGTCACTGGGGAGTGGGATGAGGCCGAGTCGTTGGGCACTGAACGAACTCGCCGCTGAAAAGCTGACCTCGATTTCGACCACGTCTATGTCTATCCCCACTGTTGGGACTTGGGATCATCACGGGCCTGATGAGCGCAATAGCCTCGACTATTGAAACACATGTACCTAGTTTTTACTTTTTACTTACAAGTCACAACAAATTAAAATTACAATATAGTTTTAAAATTCAACAAATTTTTGCTTGTACAGATGTAAGGAGAGATGGCAAAAAATACACGTATAGTGGGAAATAAAAACAAATATGAAATTGGTTAAATTGGAGAAATATTTTCTTTAAAACAGTTTTGGAAGAAGATTTTTGTATAAGGAAAGGGATAAAACAATATAGAAAATATACTTAGTGGCAAGAACTGTCAACACAGTGACCACAAAAATATATGGTAAACTTATCTATATTAAAACTCAATTGTGAATTTATTTTACTAGAAATTGTTTCAAAATGCATTTAAGTTCAATTGGTATATTATATTACAAATATCTATTATCAAAGATAGACTTAGATTCTGAAATTCAACCAAAACCAAGCAAACTAATTTTTCATATCTGACATAGCAATTGTTTTTGTAACCAAACAAAACAAGGATAAATAACTCAAAATAACCAAACCAAATCCAAATAAAACATCGAAAACATCCAGAATTTTAATATTAAACAGATAAAACTAGAAAAATGTCACTTTCCAGTTTTCACTAGATTATCTCGAAAATGCTTTCAGCCACTCTGTAGAGTAATCCGGAATGGCCTCGAGCTTTTCTTGACAATCCGCTTAACCTCCTCGAATGCAGCCAGCACCAAGCTCTTTTGCCCCTGGTTCAATCCCTCTGCCCCGTAAATCTCAAGCCGCTCAATCACACGTCCGGTTCGAATCAGGTACTGCAGCACATGTAACACGTTGGACTCGCCACGAAAGTTCTTCACTTTCACCACCTTAAGTGTCTTTTCCAGACACTCGTACGTTTGGTTACTGAGCCAATACACTTCCGCATCCATTGGCGGCGAAACCCTCTGCAAAATCCAATAATTAAGATTAGAACGTTTTAACATATTTCTCACACGACCTTTATCATATATGCATATGTAAGCGAAAAAATAAAACAATTTACCAGGATACGCTCATTCGAATCCATATCGAACATCAGGGATTCCAGCTCCGGACAGCTATTGAGAAAGATCGCAATTCCCATGAACTCGTTTGTGTGCATGTTTGTCTTCATCACCAGATGTCGTGTTTTCAGCGGATCGTGCACGTCCATAGGATCGTCACAGTCTTGGATCATCTTTTTCCAAAATAAAATTAAAACTACGTAAATAGGCCAAAAAGAAAACGTTGCATGTACACAAATGTTTGAACAATCTAGTCCTTTCTTAACATTAAAACAAACAAACAAAAAGAATCTAGTCCTTTAAAATGCAAAGATTTCTAAAGTAATTAAGGTTAAAGTAAAAATTATCTTACAATAGTTTTTTTAACCCAAATAATTAATTACTTCATAGATATATCTAATCTATCTCTACAAAATTTTCATCTTACAATCTTATCGTGAGTACCAATTCATATGACTAGATTCAGGAAAAAACAAATATAATATAGATTTGATGGATCTCATATATATGAAAGAGTGAAAAATATATACCTGGAGAAGAAAAGAGCAGACCGTTAAGTTTGTAACATATATGAAATTGAAAAAGATATAAGAAATATCTATCCCGTTGAGATGATAATGAATCAGTGCGAGCAAATGCTCCTCAACACTAACTTCTCTCGGGACAGGATTTGAGAAATCGACAACCATTTCTTTGGTTTGTTTGGAGGCAGCAAATTCGACAAGAGACTCGATATCTGCCTCGAAACCCACCGTATCAGAGAGATAAAGCTCGAAACTTTCAATGACTGCACCGGTAAATGTCGTCATCCAATGACGCAGAATGCTAACAAACAATTCTCTCTCAAACTTTATGTCATCGTTGTTCAAGCCAGATAGGTCCACGAACTCAGATTCTTTGAACACGAGGCGGGTTGTTTCACGACAAAGATTTTGCCAACGTTTGGAGAGAACACTCGTGCGCACAGATTCTTTAAAAGGTAACAGAGAGATGATAGAAACCAGAAGACAATCGGGTAAATCCGACAGAAGACGTGATTGTCTTTTTGAAGCCATAGTGAAAATGAGATCTTAGAAAAAGAAAAAAAAAAGAGAGAAAGAGAGAGTGAATTAAGATGGTGTTTATGAATGACTTAATGATTTTTCCACTCTAGAGAGTTATCTATTTATATGCATTTGAGTGGTTAGGATTTGTTTGGTTTGTGATACTACTAGTGTTTAAGTCTTAAAACCATTTTTTACATTTGTTTTATTAACTTTCTCTCTTTTAGTTTTGAACAAAAGATATGTGACATGGGTTATAATTGTGGTCTGGGAATGCTTTTTATTAATTATAATTGAGAAGAAAATATCCAAATTTTATTTTTCTAATTCAAACTAAACGAGTTTTTGTATCGTGCGCGCGTTTTTCGTCGATAACGGTATGCAAATTTAACGATATTTCAAAAATATAGTTTCAGTTACTTTTTATATAATAATATTTATCTATAACATAAATATTTTATTTTAAAAAAATCTAAATATATTTAATATCTTTTTTTAGTCATTTTTTATTTATTATGAAATCTAAATTAATATATTTCCAAATTTTAATTTTTGTTTGTTTATCTAGAAAATGATGATTTCTTTTATATCTTTACAAACAAATCTTTACTATACTAAAAATATTAAAGTGATTTTACTTCTCCATGACATGTGTAAAAACTTTAAAGAAATATATAATGAAAGTAAAACTAATTTGATTTATTTCACACCAAAATTAGCATATGTTTTAAAAGAAAAAAAAGACTGTCATGAGGAGAAATAAATATCAAACAGCTTTAATTACAATAAGATATACTTTCCTTGTTGAATGCTGATACAAATGTACATTATAATTAATATATGGTAAAAGTTATTTCCTTTTTGCTAGAAATACTCATAGAAAAGTTGACTAGCTTGACCAAAGAAAAAAACAAAAGCAGCATAACTTACCTTTCTTACATTTGGGCAGCACAGAAGTGTCTACAACACTGAAAAACAGAAGTAAAATTATCTATCTAACAACACAATTTCAATTTCCATTTTCAAGTATTGTATATACAAATATTTGTCATTATTCGGTTTAAAATCACCTTAGTGTCATATGAGTCATATACCATCAAGTAAAATGAAATCACCTTACTGGCATATATCATCAAGGAAAATATTAGCTGTAACAATAGTCATCAAGGAAAATGCTAGCTGTAACCACTCAATACACATTTTTATCGGATATCAAATTTTGATGCTAACTTTTTATTTATTTTTCTTTTATTACTATTCAGTTTACTGTAATACATTTTTACACTATTTTTAATTATTGTAAAAAAACAAAAAGCTCGGATTTCACGACGAACTGAAACTGTCAAAAACTTTACATCCCCTAATCTCTACAAAAGATTACAGTATCTAGAAACTGAACCTTAAAACATACATAAAAATCAGAGACAAAAATAGCTTTATCACATAATTCTGTCATAATTAAGTCCATCACTGTAACAAGTGAGTAAATATAGGGGTCATTTTGCAATTTCCAGTAAATAGAAAACTGTCAGCGTCTGATTTTATTTTTGTGTGTGTGATTGCCCCCTGACTCTTGTTAACTCCTTGCACGGCTCAGATCCGAGTTTGGGAGAAGCTCTATCTCTTTCTCTGTCCCTTATCGTTTAAGAAGAAGAAGAGATCTTTTCACTTTGTCTTCTCCGTTCTCGTCGCGATCAAACTCCTTTCGCATCCCTCAGGTCAATGTTGCTCTTTTGTTTGTTTTGCGTCAAAACTCGATCACACTTTCCTCTGATTTTGTGGCGCGATTTTAATTTCGAGTGATCGGATCATTTCTTTCTCAATTGTCTGATTCAATCGATTTCGAAAGATAGTGGGATTTCGTTTGCTAATTGATCTGTTTTCATTTGGTTTCCTCCTTGACATTTTCACGGATGCTTGTAGATCGTGTTTTGTTTATGCATTCTCGTTGATTGAAAATGGTCAAATTGTGTCACGATGATCACGAATTTGATTATTTTATATCTTTCTCGTGGGAACACTCTTGGTTTGATCTTAAATGATTTTGCTTTGTTCTGTTTTACATTTGCAGGGATTCGGATCAGTTCAATCTCAAGTGGTGTTGAAGTTTCTGAGCTCTATCCATGGATCAGGCGGAGCTGACTATGGAGCAGGTTGGTGATATGATGTTGATGTTATTGAACTTGATTTTTCTGCCTTCACGTATTCGAAGGCTGCACAATTACGGATTTTGACTTTCATATTTTGCATTGAAGATTGAACCTTTGCTTTGCTTTGAATATATTTAGACATCCTGAACTTAAAATTTTTTATGATGTGTTTTAGCAGTGTGATTGTATTGAGAAAGTTAACAAATTTCGTGATAGTTTTACTGTATTCAATCTCTCTGTTGTTGGTTTAACTCGCAGGTACTGAAAAGGGACATTCCATGGGAGACTTACATGACAACTAAGCTGATTTCAGCAACAGGTCTCCAGCACTTAAGGCGCTATGACAAAAAACCTGAGAGTGAGAGGGCACAGTTGCTGGATGAAGTAAATCTTCTACAACTCGTCTCATTTCAAACAGTTTAGAGAAACTTGTGTCAGTTTCTCTGTGTTAACGACCATTCAAGCATTTGCCTTGCCATTATGAAGTGATATGTGGTGTCGTTATTGCAGGATGGTCCAGCTTATGTTCATCTGTTTGTTAGCATCTTACGTGACATATTCAAGGAAGAAACTGTGGAATATGTTTTGGCTTTGATCTATGAAATGCTCTCAGGTAAGCAAAACCTGAAGATATTTGCATTTTTTCCTTTTATTCATTTTAGATACCGACTAATATTTGTGCATCAACTGTCTGCCAGCAAACCCAGCGAGAGCTCGTTTATTCCATGATCAATCTTTGGCAAATGAGGATACTTACGAGCCTTTCTTGAGGTGAGTCCCTATGCAACAGTTTTAAACCCTGATTTGAGTCACCATGGTCAGTTTATTAGTTTAAATAGAGTCTTCCTGAGAAAGGGAAAACTGCTATTAGTTACATTTTTTTCTTCAAAACTGTGCAAGCTGAAAGATATGTCCTCTTTCAGGTTGCTGTGGAAGGGAAATTGGTTCATTCAAGAAAAAAGCTGCAAGATCCTTGCCTGGATAATAAGGTATTGTAGAGTTTAATACTGCTTATCAAACTTTTGTTAAATATGTATGTAACATACATGATCATTTACTTGGCGGGTTTTGCTCTTCTCTCAACATATAGTGCTAGGCCAAAAGCTGGTAATGCTGCTATTGCTAATGGAGAAGCTTCGGGTTCTAAGAAACAGATTACTACAATTGATGATGTACTCAAGGGGTTGGTGGAGTGGCTTTGTGCTCAGGTTTCTTCTTCTTTTCTCTTTGTTTTCTTTTTTGTTATTGGTGTTTATATGCTAGTGATACTTGAAAAGCGTTCGATGCTCATCTAGATTTCAAAATCCTTTATTTTGACATGCAGTTGAAGCAACCTTCTCATCCTACTCGTGGTGTTCCAATTGCAATCAGCTGCCTGTCGTCACTGCTTAAGGAGCCTGTTGTCAGATCATCGTTTGTTCAGGCTGATGGAGTGAAGTTACTTGTCCCTCTGATCTCCCCAGCATCCACTCAGCAGTCTATTCAGGTAACTATATATTTGGTGGAAGTCTGTAAAGAAATATTATCATGTAGCCATTGGCGGAAAAACGATGACTAGACAGACACTTCACCCGTTTTGGCTTTCAAATGACTACTAAATCTGTTTCAGACTCTCATTTTTTCCTAATTTCTCAGTAACTAATTCTTGTGTTTTTGTATGCCCTCGACGAACAGCTTCTCTATGAAACATGTCTCTGCATCTGGCTTCTGTCCTACTATGAACCCGCAGTGGAGTACCTGGCAACATCCAGGACAATGCAAAGGCTCACGGAAGTGGTCAAGAGCTCCACTAAGGAAAAGGTGAGCTATGTTCTCTTGTGTGACTTGGTCATTGATATCCTGCAATTAGTGTTAAAAGATCACATGACGTGGTTTGGTTGATCAATCAGAATGTCCGTCTGTAACCACCAAGATGTTTGTTTCTTTTATTTGTTTGGGATCATAATTTGCATAAATGCTGTGTCGCGCTTGTTATGTTTATCTGACGGTATTTTGTCTTATAGGTTGTGAGGGTGGTCATATTGACATTCAGGAACTTGCTTCCAAAAGGTACATTTGGTGCCCAGATGGTTGATCTTGGACTGCCACATATTATCCACAGTCTGAAAACGCAAGCATGGAGTGACGAGGTAATACAAGTTAAATTACAAAGCCTGAGCCTGAGGACTGCTTCTTATTAGCTGTTGTCTAAAACATGAATTTCTAAATTTTCTGCGTCAAACTTGTGAACTTGTAAGGACTTGCTGGATGCACTGAACCAACTAGAAGAAGGGCTAAAGGACAAGATCAGGAAACTGAGTTCCTTTGACAAGTATAAGCAAGAGGTTCTTCTTGGTCATCTTGACTGGAACCCAATGCACAAAGAGGCCAATTTCTGGCGTGAGAATGTCACATGCTTTGAGGAGAATGACTTCCAGGTACTCTTCTTTATTCCTCTTCTCTCCTCAACAACCACCACCACCACTAAAACAACCCTAATGACTTGTTAAAAACCTTTGTGGATGCAGATACTCAGGGTCCTCCTGACGATCCTGGACACGTCGAGTGATCCAAGATCATTGGCGGTGGCATGCTTTGATCTCTCACAGTTCATACAGTACCATGCAGCGGGGAGAGTGATCGTAACAGACCTCAAGGCGAAAGAACGAGTGATGAAACTGATGAACCATGAGAACGCTGAGGTTACAAAGAACGCACTCTTGTGCATCCAGAGGCTTCTCCTTGGTGCTAAGTACGCTAGCTTCTTGCAAGCTTGATGGGACTTCCATGTTTCTTTCTTATACATGGAAACCGAAAGCAACCAAAACAAACAGAGATTGCGTTTCCCCTTTCTTTTTTTTCCCTGTGGATTTGTTGTTCAATCCAAACTCCAAACAAAACCTGCCCCCACTCATGCCTGCTTCTTCTTTTCTTTCGATTCAACATCCCAAGACCATCTCTTGATTATTTTGTCCTGGAAATTCTGCTATTTGTATGCTTAAATAATTTCTGGTTTTTTCTTTTGTATTTACTTATTCAATAAAAGGCCTCGAGAAATGCTTTTGTTACAGACGCACACTTTGGGCCAGTTTGTTGTACGAATGAAATGTGAGAGTTTCAGCTATAATGCAGATGAGATACATACATATATGGATACAGCTTTGATTTACTCTGGTTACAACTCGCAAGACATTAATCGTTATTATCATGCTCTTCAGAATTACATACAAAAACACACACACACACACACACATTATTATCATGTGCTTCGTTTACAACTGGAATCATCACATCTGTGACATCTGATTTTATGGTATAGGATTATGGAAGTAAGAAGCATATTATTTATTATCAGAAGAAGAAAAAGAAAGAAGCCGATGATGAAATGAATCACTCGATGAGAATGCATCTCGTTGGTGCACCTTCTGCTCGAACCAATCTCAATGGTAGGCAATGAAGCATGTACATTCCTACCTTCACATCATCCAGCTTCAGCCCTTCCACAGGGATTATATCCTGAAATCAAGCGTTAAAATAGCTCATGTTTAGTCGAATCCCATTGTTTGATATCCAAACACCACAACAGATAAGGTTTCCTTTAGAACATGGCAGCAATACAATGGCAAATTTTCAAGAAACAGAAGGAATGTTTAGGTACTTGACACTCTTTAAACAGAGAAAGATATACTCACCCTTCCTGCAAGAATAACGTTGTGCGTTGCAGGTGATTCCTCATAAGCAGCAAAGGAGAGATAATCAAGCCCTGGGTTTAACAATGCAGAATTAACCGGTTTCAGAAAACACGAGCTAAGAAATGCTCTTAAGAAACCCAAGTTCCAACTCTTACCAACAAGTTTGATGTTCGTATTCTCAACCAACCATTTGGCCCCATCGGTCACGAACCCAGCATAGCTTGAGTCGAACTCTTTCTTGAACATAAGCCTCCTGATAAATGATAAATGAAGAAAGCAGTGTTCAGGTTCGAAATTAGAGCTCTCTTTTTGCCAACATTTAAGATTTTGTTCATACTTGGTACTGAGACTTACTTGTCAGTGTTCTCTGTTCTGAAGAGCACACGACGAACTCCCTTTGGAATATTAAGTGATTCCATTACCTCAGCTATATATACAATTCAACCCGAAAACTACTTTAGACAAAGAATTTATTTACAAACAAAAAAATCCATGATTTCCAATAATCAACTCACCAGTGATGTTCTTATTTCTCGGAACATCCACCAACAAAGCAGGACCTAAAGTAATAATAACACAAAGTCAATTTTAAAACGATCACTAAAACTGAAGAAAGACGAAACAAAAGGTTCTGAGACAATTACCGTTGAGGACTCGGAGGTCAAGCGAATCGGAATCGAAACCGGCGTCGTAATATTTGTCAATGAAGTGGCCTGGAGCATCGATGTGTGTTCCCGCGTGAACTGAGAACTTCATCTCCGATACGTTAGCGACGGATCCATTCTTCATACTCGCGGCGAGTCGCAGGAAGTTCACCATCCCCTTCGTGGACTCCCAAGCCGGCATCCCCGTCGTGTAACGGTGGCTGATGTCGAATATCTTCCCTCCTTCATAAACCTCCCGACGGTTTGGCTTGAGATCTTTCCCTGCGACGACGAGGAGAGATGAGAGGAAGAGTGCAGAGGCGAAGAGGACGAGAAGAGGGAGATTGACGGAGCTGGTCATTGTCTTGGCTTAACGGTTTATTGTTCGTGTCGAATTATGAATCAATCAATCCGTTGTTGGTCTTATATAGGCCCGAGTCCTTTTAAATTTCAAATATCTGGGCCGGCATCAACAGCAAATGTGGTGTGGTTCATGTGTTTTTTTCAGTTTAACTAAAATAATAATATTTTAAAATTCTTTGAAGAATTCTTTAAAGAGTGAGCGACCAAGAATCTGACAGTGACAGAGAACATTGTCTATGCTTGCGTCGCTGATTTAGAAGGTTAGAATATGTGAACATTGTCTATGCTTTCTATGGTATGTGTTTGTGAAGAAAAGAAAACTGATCTTACACTACCTTATATTGTGTTGAAATCTACATTACTACACATATCAATCTCTCGTTTGGGATTCTAACTAAGCCTTTAAGTTTGTGAGTTATCAGATTTCGAGAGTGATACGTGAAGAATGGTATCTTGCTTGCTTCATTTATATGGGCCAGTTTGTTGTATGAATAATGTGAGAGTTTCAGCTATAATGCAGAAGAGATACAGATATGGGCTACAACTTTGATTTACTTTACTTCGGTTACAACATATTAATCTTTTGTGTCTGTCTAAATATTTTATCATGTCCTTCAGAAACTACATACATACACACAGATTTATAAAGGTATTGCTTCCTTTTACAACTGGAATCATCACATTCACATATGTGATTATTATTATCAGGTTTTGTAAAACTTAAAGAGAAGAAGATGAAATGAATCACTTGATGAGAATGCATCTCGTTGGTGCACCTTCGGCTCCAACCAATCTCAACGGTAGGCAATGAAGCGAGTACATACCTACCTCCACATCGTCCAGCTTCAGCGCTTCCACAGGGATTATATCCTGAAATCAAGAGATAAAAGACACAGATAAGGTTTCCTTCAGAACTAGCACCAATACAATGGTAAATTTTCAAGAAACAGAAGCAACGTTTAAGTACTTCATAGTGATACTTTTTTTATAGAGAAAGATATACTCACCCTTCCTGCAAGTATAACCTTGTGCGTCGCAGGTGACTCCTCAAAAGCAGCAAATGAGAGATAATCAAGCCCTGGATTTCACAATTAACCGATTTCAGGAACACAATGTAATACGAGGTAAAAAATGCTCTTAAGAAACCGAAGTGCCATCTCTTACCAACAAGTTTGATGTCTGTATTCTCAACCAACCATTTGGCCCCATCAGTCATGAACCCAGCAAAGCTTGAATCGAACTCTTTCTTAAACATAAGCCTCCTGATAAATGATCAATTCAACCACAGAAGAAAGCATTGTGTTCAGGTTCGAAACGAGAGTAAGCTTTGCTCTCTTTTTTTTTGCTAACATTTAGGATTTTATCAACACTCTGTTCTGTTTTGCTCTCATACTTCATACTGAGACTTACTTGTCAGTGTTCACTGTTCTGAAGAGCACACGACGAACTCCCTTTGGAATCTGAAGTGATTCCATTACCTCAGCTAAATACAGTTCAACCAGAAAACTACTTTAGGCAAATGTTTTATTTTAAAAAAATCCATGATTTAAAATTAACAAACTCACCAGTGATGTTCTTATCTCTCGGAACATCAACCAACAAAGCAGGACCTAGAGAAATTACAGATATCAATTTCAAAATGATCACTAAAAAATCGTACAAAAAAAAAAAGAAACAGCTTCAAGACAAACAGATTAAGAGACGATTACCGTTTAGGGTTCGGAGGTCAAGCGAATCGGAATCGAAACCAGCGTCGTAGTATTTGTCAATGAAGTGGCCTGGAGCATCGATGTGTGTCCCCGAGTGAACTGAGAGTTTCATCTCCGATACGTTAGCGAAGGATCCGTTCTTCATACTCGCGGCCAGTCGCAGGAAATTCACCATCCCCTGCGTAGACTCCCAAGCTGGCATCTCCGGCGTGTAACGGTGGCTGATGTCGAATATCTTCCCTCCCTCATAAATCTCCCGGCGGATTGGCTTGAGATCGTCGGAGGGTTTCCCTGCGACTGCGACGACGAGGAGAGATGAGAGGATGAGTGCAGAGGCGAGGAGTGAGAAATTGACGGAGCGGGTCATTGTTTCGGGTTAACGGGTGGTTTATTGTTCGTATCGAACTCTCAATCCAATCTATCCATTGTTGGTCTTATATAGTACCACACACTGTAAGATGTTTGACTTTTGACTTTTGACTTTTCAGTTTCGCACAAAACCGCCTATATTGACAAAATGTGTCTTTTCTCAAAAAAATATTCAAAAATTTCAACTCTAATAAATGATTGTATGTCTTAAAATGTTGAGTTCTCACGTTTCTCCACTCTCTGATTCGTACAAATGTCTTTAGATATGTCATGTATGTATATGAAATTAATCTTTAATAGCTTTGGTTCGGTCGTACCATGTGAAGAAGTCTTTAAAGAGTGAGAGGTCAGGAATCTGACAGTGACAGAGAACATTGTCTACGCTTTCGTCGCTGATTTAGAATGTGTGTTCGTCAAGAACAGAAAGCTGATCTTACACTATTAACCATTTGAGGTCGGGAGTTATCAGATTCCGAGAGTGATCGATCATAAACACGACGATTTATTCTAATTATTATACGTGAAGAATGTTGTATCTTCATATTTTTGGATATTGCTTACAATATTCATTAACTTGTGTGAGATTGAGTTGATTTTCTGTCTTAAGACCTCAAAACACATCTCACTGGACTTCCTTCAGCTCCAACCAATCTCATCGGCAAACAGTTCACGTAGTACAATCCTGCTTCGACTTCATCCAGCTTTAAGCCTTCCAATGGAATTATCTCCTAACAAAATCATTCAAATGAAAAAACCAAAATTTCATCAAATCTTTGATTCTAAAACACACATATACATTCCAAAAGACAGATATAGCAATACCCTTGTTTTGAGAAGCTCAATATGCGCAGAATCCAGATCATCGTACGCAGCCACCGAAAGATAATCAATCCCTGTATCAGAATATCAGGTTTACATCTGGTTTGGTTGGTTATCAATGTATAATATATAGTTAATAATCATGGAAGATCGTATTCGTACCAACAAGCTTGATGTCTGTATTTTCGACTAACCATTTCGCACCATCAGCTGAAAATCCCACGAAGCTGTTGTCCTCCTCTGTCTTGTACATGAGTCCTCTGAAAACAAAAGGCATGACTCGAATTTCTTAGTTCAAAAACATTTGGTCATGAGAGTATCAAACATCAGACCTGTCTGTGTTCGAAGTTCTAAACAGAACACGCTTTATTCCTTTGGGAATGTTCAGAGACTCCATAACTTCAGCTGTGATCTTCTTCTTGTCCCTAGGAACATCAATTAACAATCCAGGCCCTGTTCAAGATCATAATCACAATAAAGATTAGAGCGAAAGAATGAGAAAATCATTTTAGAGAAACGAAGACTGTTACCGTTGAGAACATTCAAGTCTAAGTTATCAACGTCCAAGCCGGCGTCGAAGTAGGAATCGATGAAGTGTCCAGGAGCGTCGACATGAGTTCCAGTGTGAACAGAGAGCTTCATGAAAGAAGAGTTGGCGTTGTCACCTTTCTTTATTGTTAGGATCTAAGAGCCTTGAGGCGTCGACTTTCCTCAAGATAAGAACCAAACACACCAAGAACAGAACACGTTTGTTGTGAAAACAGAGAAGAAGAAAGAGCTTTGTGTAAGAACAGAGGAAAGAAAGAAAAACAGAGCACACAACCAAGTTTACCCAGTTCACGCCCGTTAACTAGGGTCGTTACGTCTGGGCCGAGACTCACCTCGGAATCCACTAGATTTAGAGAGTTTACAGCACAAGAAGATACAAGTAGTCACTCTAATACCCTTCACTAGTACTTAGACACTACTCTGTTATCTTCTTGTCTAAGAGAACACAATGAACACTTGTTTATGCTATTCAAAGTTTCTCTCTCAACACTCTCTCTAAATCTATCTCAAGTCTCTCGTAACTCTCTCTCTTGCCCCTTGTGTCCTTTTATATTGATGACACACTAGGGTTTCTTGTGCTACACAAGCCGCCGCGTTAACGTCTCCGAAACGCCGTTAGCTTAGCAGAAGCGTGGACTTTCCTTTTTGAGCACAAACAGACTGAGGTCGTCCTAAAGGCAGAAACAGACTTAAGCTTGTTTTATATTGCAGAAAGCCGTTACCCCTGATTGTGGTCCAAAAGCAACTTAACCATGGTTTGGTTTATTTCCACCATAGTTAGTCTTTACTTTCCACGCTGGCAGAATCACGTGAGCTTGATCATCAAGTTATCTTCTTCACATTTATATTCTTCTTCAGCCACAAGAACTGTCCCAATCCGGCTCCGCCGGATCCCCATGACACCAACTCCGGCGTTATGCGGTGTGTGATGTCGATGATAATACCGTTCTCGTACGAGTTGCGACAGAGGGATAGGCTTGGAGAAAGAGAAGGAATAGTAGCAGAGGAGCCATTTGAGAGAGAGTGAGATAGAGAGAAAGAGAGACTCTGTTTCGGTAATAAGCTTTTCTTCTGAATGTTGCTTTTGTTTTTGGCCGTCTATTACTTGATGCTCAACTATTTCGATTATTAACATTTTCCTAACTTATGAGTGTCCATATATAGAAAAATCTAATGCACACCACACAATAATTCAACCAATAGAAGCAAGCATTGATTCTTTGGCATAGTTACTGTAATTCCAAAAAAATCTCTTGAGTAAAGAGGTTAAGAGATGTAAACTCGGAACAGTACATAAAGCTGGTAAGAGGATGGAAGAAGATGAATCTACGTATAGACACAATCATGATTCAGAAACATTCACATTCATAGCAAAAAGAAAACTAACAAAAAAACAAGGGATTTGCATTCTGATGAATGTAGAATTTATGTGATTATGAGAGAAGAAACTTTGATACAACAAAATGATCATAATAAACACAATGGGACTTTTATCAGTTTTTAGAAGAGGATTGGAAGATGAAAACCGCAGTTAGAACACCAACCAATGCTGTGACAGCCAAAGCAACCGTAGGCAATGGACTCGCAACCCCAAAATTCTGAACAAAGACAATAAGACATGATCAAAAATCTTAAGTAGATAAAAGGTCTCTTCTTCTACATTTTTCACAAGGAAAAAGTCTCATGCTTTCCATAAGCAAAAGAGTTTTGATGAATGTTTACCTCAAGAAGTCCTTTTCCCGTAGCAACCTCAACAGTAATGGCAACTGCAAAACCAATCATAGCGCCACGACCAAGCCATACGTCTAAACCGCTGCCACCTTCTGAGCTTTGCTCGCTTCTAATCGAAACCGATGCTGCTCTGTTTCCACTTCTTCTTCCTCTGCGAGTCATTCTCAAGTTGATTGGCACTGAAACAGAGACAGATAACACAAAGCTAAGCAAGAAAGTTTCTGTCTTTCGAATTCACTCACATTTCCAAGCTAATGAACAAGAAATTAGTTACTATGTCAGCTAAAACCACATATGAATAATCTAGTCGGTGACACGAGAAGCATAAAGTCCCAAAATTTGAGCTAATTAAGAAACCCAGAAACCAAAATTACAAATTCAAGTTACGATTTTGAAATCTGAAGGAAGACGTACAGAGAGGAGAGCCGGAAGCGAAGGTGGATCGGGTTCCAGCAAGTTGCGGAGCCGGGACGTGAACTCTACAAGCAGAAGTAGGGTTTGCGATTCTGGGTAGATTCATGGCGGCAGGATCTGGGAAGATGAAATCCGAAACTAGTGAGATACATTATAGAGAGACTAGTAGCAGAGGAGGAAGCGTAGGATACCAAAGAGAGAAAGAGAATACTGGAAAGAGAGAAGGCGAGAGACGCAGACACTTGAGATAACGCCATCTTCTTCCTTTCTACTGTTAATTTCCAATTGGTTTTCTTTAAGACGCAGACAATTTTGAGTTTTGAGGATTCTTGTATGTGTGGTCTTCTTCTTCGACTAATCAATCCTTTCGTCTTAGAATTATCTGTCCGAGCGTACGACACGTGTCATCTCTCCACTCACTAAAGACCACACACATACAAGAATCCTCAAAACTCACATTGTTGCCCAACCATGATCAAGTTTTGGCCAAATACAAGATTATATAACTAATATCTACTACTTGTAAATTGTAAAATGAGTCGTCAATAGTAGAGAAAAAGGAAAGGTCGTTATCTAGATTTGTAAATTGGGAAATGATATCAAATCTATATGTAAATAAATAGATGCTGAGTAAAAAAATACAAGACAAACGTCCTAAAAAAAAAAAAAAAAATAATTAGACGAATGAACGGTAGTAACGAGAGCTTGCATTAAAGACCCCGAACTGCTTGGCCCATTGGGTATAAACACCAAATCAAATCACTCAAGCGTACCCAAAATTTCTCCGTTTTGGCGTTTTTCTAACGCAAATTCCGCACACCAAATCGTTTCTCTCTCATAACGTGAGTCATACTCCTTCCACAAGATGGCTATTTTTCCACCATGATCTGCCAATTTGAGAATGCGGGTAGCATCAGGCCAGCGAGGCAATCCTTCAAAACCCTTCAAAGCTGTCCATCCTCTTTGTTTGGGGTCATACAACCGAATAATCCCGCCCTTGATGTAATTGTAGAACACGTTCTCTATTACACAATAAGATGATGGTGAACAGCAAATACTCCATATCCTATTGATTGATAAGTCTGCCTCTTTCCATCTACCTTTATGTAGCTTATAAGTCACATTTTTGTCGTTGGACCTTGTTGGGGTCGGAATACTCCCATCAAGTTCAACGATAAAGAAGTTCCAGGGAGAGTTTTGGCCCACAAGGAACAGATCGATCAAGCCCACAGGTCGATCGAGCCCAGGAGCCCACAACAGATCGATCGAGCCCATGAGCCCACAACAGATCGATCGAGCCCATGAGCCCACAACAGATCGATCGAGCCCATTAGCCCACAACAGATCGATCGAGCCCATTAGCCCACATCAGATCGATCGAGCCCATAAGCCCACGGCCGATCAATCGAGCCCACATGTCGATCGAGCCCACGAGCCCACAGCAGATCGATCGAGCCCATGAGCCTACATCAGGTCGATCGAGCCCAAGAGCCCACATGTCTATCGAGCCCAAGAAAGAGACTCATAGTTTGCCCTAGACGATGGTGAGAGCCGAAGGAACAGCGCCGCAGCAGATAACAGGAAATCTTGAGAATACCTTTAGAGAATCTCGCAATAAGTCGGTTCTATACCTTGTATAAATAGAGATCGAACCAAAAGGGTTCGATCATCACTTTTCCATTGCAAAACACTTTACACTTTACATCAATAAAATCACCATCTTTGGATCCTCGTTTGTGTTACTCTTAGAATTTCTAGTTCCTCTCTAAAATCATAACTCAAATCTATTGTGCGGATTTCGGTTCACACAGACCTCACATAGAGTGTTCCTTCATACTTTACGCTCATGTACTCAGAGCCGCTGAATATCTCTTCGCTAGGGATCTGTAAAAACTCCCAAGTTTGGGTCTCCGTATCGAAAATCTCCATCCAGTTCCTTGAATCGAGATTGTCGCAGCCTCCGGTTACACATATTTTCCCATCAAGGGCGCAAACCGATGGGAGCACATGGGCCACCCGCATGCTTGGAGCCTCAAGCCATGTGTGAGAACGACTGTCCATGACCATAACGCTAGACGAAGCATCTTGCCTAGATCCGCTACCAATGACATATATATTTGGACCAACCACTGCAACACCCGACATGGATAATGTAGAGCTGATATTGGGAGATGAAATCGGGACCAAAACTCTTCTAGAGCTATCTGGTCTCTGGCAGAGAATGAACCAATGTTGTTGGTCAGAATCGGTATGGGGTCGTAAGCACGTAGAGACAATTCTCGGTGTGGCCTAAGAGGGTTCGGGTTTGGGAAAGCTCCGTTGAAGCAAGGAGCGACCGAAATCTCTTAGAGACTAAGGAGAGCGTTAGATAGTAGAATCTTGGGACGCGGGATAAGAAGTTTAATAGCAAATCATCAGGAAGCATCAGCATACTTTTGACCGGAAGCTCTTCTCCATGATTCATACTTGACGATCACCTTTTCTCCCCTAAGCTTAAGGTTGCCGGTCACGTAAGAAACTCTTCTTTTTTTTGGCTACTTGTTTCGTTTCTTGCCTAAGCTTCTTTTGGTCTCCTATCCTACCACCAATCCCGCCTGAAATTTTGTATAGGTGATTATCATTCATAATCTCATTAGTAATCCGAACGTGTATATATTATATTGTGAGAACTACAGTTTGACCCGCGCCTTGCGCGGGGTGATGATTTCTAAATTTATCTTTTACAAATTTTTGATAGTTGTGACATTCACGGTTGATTCTACCACTAAAACTGCATTACCAATTTTTCAAAGTTTCCTCTAATTTTAGCTGATGTTAATATACCAATTAATAAAAACAAAATATGTGTTGCGCAAAATACAAAATAAAAATAAATATTGTTTGTATTAGTAATGTAATTGCAAACTAATTATAAGATTTTATTTTTGTTTTTATGTGAATGTATGTATTTATATTTTTAGAGATATTAGTGCAGACTAATATATTTAATTTGATCTATAGATATTTTGATCGAGCCCATGAGTCCACAGCAGATCGATCGAGTCCATTAGCCCACAGCAGATCGATCGAGGCCATTAGCCCACATCAGATCGATCGAGCCCACTCAAGCGTACCCCAAATTTCTCCGTTTTTGCGTTTTTCTAACGCAATTTCCGCACACCAAATCGTTTCTCTCTCGTAACGTGAGTCGTACTCCTCCTACAAGATGGCTATTTTTCCACCATGATCTGCCAATTTGAGATTGCGATTAGCATCAGGCCAGCGAGGCAATCCTTCAAAACCCTTCAAAGCTGTCCATCCTCTTTGTTTGGGGTCATACAACCGGATAATCCCGCCCTTGATGTAATTGTAGAACACGTTCTCTATTACACAATAAGATGATGGTGAACAGCAAATACTCCATATCCAATTGATTGATAAGTCTGCCTCTCTCCATCTACCTTTATGGAGCATATAAGTCACATTTTTGTCGATGGACCTTGTTGGGGTCGGAATACTTCCCATCAAGTTCAACGATAAAGACGTTCCAGGGAGAGTTTTGGCCCACAAGGAACAGATCGATCAAGCCCACAGGTCGATCGAGCCCAGGAGCCCACAGCAGATCGATCGAGCCCATGAGCCCACAGCAGATCGATCGAGCGCATGAGCACACAACAGATCGATCGAGCCCATTAACCCACAGCAGATCGATCGAGCCCATGAGCACACAGCAGATCGATTGAGCCCACTCAAGCGTACCCCAAATTTCTCCGTTTTGGCGTTTTTCTAACGCAATTTCCGCGTATATTCTCTTAAGGGAACCAGGATACTTTACTTTTATCATTAGGATATTCCTTTATTTATTTTCTTTTATCATTAGGCCGTTTTATTTCTGTGTATATTTTCCATATATATGTAGCGGCTTATAGGGAAAACCATCAAAATACAAAGTCTAGGGTTGTTAACTTTGAGCTCTTTATCGTTTCTATGTCTTTAATAGAAAAAATACTAAATTTGGGAAATCTTCTTAAAGAATTTTTTCGAACTTTATTTCTCCCCATCTTGCATATACTGTATATATTTCTCTTTCGTCAACCTAGATTGAAGTGGAAGTATTGGGCTTTGGATCAATGTGGAACCTAAAAAAAAAAAAAAAAAATCCGATTACTAACCTTGAGTTGTAAGCAACAACAAACAGGTAAACTTGGATTAATGAATAAAATTATATTTGCATGTATTATGGAATATGAATGATGTATCAATTTTTGTACACGATTTGAAATAAATGACGCTAAACATAGAAGAGACCGGATAATATGATAATATATATAGTGAATTTTGATATTTAAAGTATCAAGCAGAAGATATCGCAACAAAAAGTTTACTGATGATGTAACTGATGTTTCTCTGATTTGATGCAAAGTTGGAAAAAATTATTGATTAATTAAGCCCAGGCCCATGCCTAGGCTCAGGCCCAGTCGAACCCTAACATACTAACCCTAACCCTAACGGCACAAAAAAAAAAGAGGGTTTGTTTTAAATCTTCTTGTTCTTCTTCTTCACCGAGAAAATCCGTGTGCGAAAAGGAAACTCTCGATTCATCTTTTCTTCCGTATTTCTTCATTCTTTCTTTCGCACCTCCATCTTTCTTTACCGTCTCTCTGAAATGGCACAAAAAAAGAAGTTATCTTGCTGCTTTTCATGAGGATGTGATCATGGAGTGTTTCTCTCGGGTCGGAATTCAACATCACCGAACGATGAGTATCTCTTCAAACAGTTTAAAATCCGTATTCTCATCCGAAGATCTCTATTAGCAATGGACCTTATTAAATTAAAAATGAGAAATCAAAAATGAACTTGACGAAAAATATTAGTATATAAAGAATCATTGGTGATATACTTAGAGTTGACATAATGGTTTTTCTAATCATGTTTATTCTTCTTTTCATTCATATGTACAGTTTAAGTGCATGTCAAGCATGGGCTCAGAAATCTACACTACGATATATTTGGTTTCAACAAACCCCCAAAATAATACTGCACTTCTCAAAGATTCTTGGAAGACTCTTCCCAATCTTCTCTTGGAGGACAAGAAGATTTTTTTGGTTGGTTCTTCAAATGCCAAATTATCAGTTTGGGCGGCTAATTCTACAACTTCAGCCAAGTTTGTAAAAAATAGAGTGGAATCTGGTAGAAGGATTTAACAAATTGGAGAAGATACGCACAAGGGTGGTTCATCTGGATGGAGGAGAGTATTGTGTTTTTGGTCACAAAGAAAAATTATTTGGTATTATTTGGCATTAAAATGTGGAAGAAGAACCAAATAATATTTGGTCGATAGCTGTGGAAGAACAAAGGTTTTGAGTGATCTTGAAGGTGAAATTGCATGTTAAGTGTCAAACATTGAGGTTTTTTTAATTATATCAGAGATGTGTTTGATTTTTGATTTTTATACTAGCGGCTAACTTAGTTAAATTAATATAAGTAATTGTTTTTTATTAACCATATCGAGAGAAAGAAGAACATTCAAATAAAGTAACCATAAAGTTTAAAATTTTAACATTACCAAAACTGTGAGAAAAGCAAAAACATTATTGAAACAAACAAACGAAAACCGATTCAAGAATGAACAACAACACATTAAACTAGAGCTTGAGGAAAACAAACTCCTCCACCGCAGGGATTTCACCAATCTTCTTAAGAGTCTCCTTGCTTGGCTGATCATCCACTCCAATCGCCATAATCGCTTGCTTCCTCGGTGCGATTCTTCCAACGCTCATGAAGCTAACATTGACGTTAGACCCTCCAAGTATGCTCCCGACCGTCCCGATCATACCAGGTTGGTCCACCTGCCTGCACAGTATGATACTTCCTTCAAGAGTCACATCCACCTCAAACGATCCCACCTTTGTCAAATGCGGCACTCCGTCTTTAACCCTTCCTTCCACTTTGACCTCTCCTGATTCAGACAGCGAACTCGCGAATTTGGACTCCACGTTGCTTAGCTGAACGGTTATCGTCTCCAACGGGTTCTCTGGTGATCCGTCCAAGAGCACACGTTCCTCTGAGAGTCGGAGACCTCTCTGCTTGGCTGTGAAATCGGCGTTGACCAAGTTGACGTATACGTCAGAGATTGGCTCGATGATTCCCTTTGTGATCATGGCTCGGAGCAGTCTTGTGTCGAGATCGTCGGTGGCTCTGGCGGAGGTGTATGAGACTTTCACGTTCTTCACGCCGCTTCCTCCAGCCACCAGTTGCACCGCTAGTCTCCCTAGCTTCTCAGCGAGTATCACATATGGTTTCAGCTCGGTCAGAACCTGCGGATAGAATTTGGTGTAAGCTTGAGCAAATTACAACAAAATATTTGAAGTATTCCTAATTGCAATCTGATAAGAACAAAGCTACAAAACGGCTCAGCCCTCAACAACTGCTCCCTAATCAAGTCAGAACAGCGCTAATATGCTACATTCAGTCAGTCCTAGGCAAGCTAAGAGTTGAGCCATTGAACTTGCATAAAGCTTATCAGAATCTCATTAAACAAAACGAGGCTAAGAAGTTTGCATGTTTAATTTAAGTTTCAAACGTGATTAAGGTTTCTTTGTAGTTAACTAGCACAGGACAGTGCTCACCTCAGCAGAAACCATAGGTGCATTGACAGCAGTAGCAGCAAGCTCTCCGTTAAGAGCTCCAACAACAGCTTCAGCAATTTCGATGGCAACTCCTTCCTGTCAAAGCCAAAACACCAACCAAATATCAGAAGCCAAACAGCAAAAAAAGAACTTGATTCAATTATCACATGAATTTGCAAACCTGAGCCTCCATAGTACTGGCACCAAGATGAGGTGTCACAGTGACCCTCTCGTGCTGCACGAGCTTGCTGTCTTTAGCCGGTGGCTCTTTAGTGAAAACATCAAGTGCAGCCTGAGCAACAATGCCAGCATCCAGGGCTCTCACCAACGCGTCTTCGTCTATGACACCTCCACGAGCAACATTAACAATGCGAACTCCTTTCTTCATCTTGGCAAAGGTTTCGTCGTTCAAAATCTTCGATGTTGCAGGGGTAAGAGGCATGTGCAGAGAAATGAAATCTGCAGTCGCGAGGGCTTCATCGAAGCTCACTAGCTCAACACCAATGGCGTGTGCACGGTCTGCTGGAGCGTAGGGATCATGAGCAATGACACGCATGCCAAGACCCTTGGCACGACGAGCAACTTCCGTCCCAACTTTCCCAAATCCCAACACTGCAAGGGTCTTCCCCACAAGTGATACACCAACATACTTGTTCCTCTTCCACTCTCCTGCATTACAGAGATATATAGCAACCAAGATCTTTCAGAAAAATTATCCAAAACTCAAATTCTTCCTCAATTTCCATCAACAAGTTTTGGCGAAATACAACACTTGTAATCCTAGAATCGTCAACAGTACAGAAAAAGGAAAGCTCATAATCTAGATTTGTAAATCGGAAATGCCATCAATCAATCAGAGTATCAAAATAGCAACAGCAATAAGAATATCGCAAAGTATGGAAAGTATTGAAACTGACCAGCCTTAACAGACGCATCAGCTTGAGCGACGTTCCTGGCCATGGCAGCCAAAAGCGCGATTCCGTGCTCAGCGGCAGCGATCGTGTTAGCCGTCGGTGCGTTGACGACGAGACACCCGAACTCCGTCGCTGCGCTCAGATCCACGTTGTCGATCCCAACACCAGCGCGTCCAACAACCTTGAGCCGGCCGCGAGACGATTCGAACACTTCGCGCCCAACCTTGGTCCCACTGCGAACAATCAACGCATCACAGAGCGAGATCTTCGTGTTGAGCTCCTCGGGGGTCATGTTGTACGAGCAGTCGACATTGGCGAAATCCTCCAAGAGCTTCACCCCAGCTTCACCGAGCTTCTCAGCGACGAGGATCGTAGGCTTGGATCCGTCTCCGGCGGTGCAGGCTACGAGAATGAGGCGTCGCCGAGGAATATCGCGGTTGCGAGAAGGGATAGCAACGGAAATGGCGGTTGGGAGAGGCGATCTGGAGGATAGAGACAAGCTCTTGAGGGGATTGGCGGCGACAGAGATGGCGGAGGATGCGGCGGCTGACATTGCTACCGCTTTTGGAGTAGTGTGAGTAGAGAGAAAAAAAGTTGGTGGCACGACGGAGATCTAAAGGGTTAAGCGGCGACGTTGCGGGTTTTATAGTCGGCTTGAGGGGTTTGGTGTGATGTGAATGTGGTGATTTTGTTGTTGGAGAAGGCGATGGAATCTCACGCGCGCCTTGGAATATAGGCTGTGAAATACATGAAATCTAATCCTAATTAAACTAACATAAATATTGGAGTGTTACATAATGTATAAGAAAATATGAATCATTAGTATATTGTTCTAATCGCACGCTGCATCAAAATAAGGTGGCGCGAGTGGGATTCAGTTTCAAGGGTGAGAATGGGTTTTTGTAATTTCCAAGTGTTTCGGCGAATAGTATTGCATCTATTTGCGGAAAAGTTGACAAATAAATATTGGCAGATTTGAGGAAAAGGTAAATTTATTTATTACTATTACAGAGATCTCATAAAATATTATCACTGCAAAAATATTTTACAGCTTTGAAGATTTTGGTAATTCCAGCCTTGACGTGGTGGTGGGGTCTTATGATGTCTGGCATATCATTGCTGCAAGCCTGCAATTTTGAATACAGTATCTTTCTCAAGATTTTAAGCCAAAAAGAGGAAACGAAATTTGCTTTTTAGGAGCTTATTCAAATGAATGGCCAGGTAGATGAATTTATTTCCTTCTTTTATCCTTGTTTTTAACCAAATAATATGATGCTCGTTGCTAAAAAATGCAAGGTTTGGACTTTGGAATGAGACATGCTAAACACTTTGCTATAATGACCTGATTTAATAGATTAGATGATTTTATAAGCGAATGTCCGTGCTTTAACCCAAACAGTAAGAAACTGTCCCACTAATAAACGAGCTACGCACTAGAGAGAGTTGCACTTTCACTAGTTGAAAAATAGTTGAAGACTTCAAATTTGAATTGAATTAGAACTGTAAAGTATAATAAATCTCAAGTTTATTTTCCAGGGCAAGTTGGTCGTTTGTGTCAGCAGCTTACACATACGAATACAAAAAATAAAGTAATGTTATAGTACAGTAGCTTTATTTTGTTGGTGGTCAAATTTTAGAGTAGTCAGTATTATGAGTATAGACTATTGGGGAATATTTAAAAGGATATACTGATGGCTGTGACGCAAGTATAGTTTATGGCACGTGAAAGATTTGCTTTTGTCTGTTTGCAACTGTCTAGAGATGCATTGTTTTTGCTGGTAGGTCGACCTGTCGAAAATCCTCGCATAAATTTGTAATAGTATTCAACGCAGCCGCGCGTGCTCTATAGAGTATACACTGTTGAATTTTCTCATATAAACAAACATCTTAAGTTTTAGCTTTTGTTGAGCAAAATCAGGGATTATTAGAAAAACAAACAACAAACAAATCTTTTTGGTTTTTCTTCTCGAATTTACAAATATTCCTTCCTTCTAAAAGCATTCTAGATTTGGTTTCAGAAATCTCAAAATATGGAATTTGAATGGTGAAAACCGAAAATGAACAAGATAGGCTAATTCGCTTGTAATCAAATCAATACATCATTATAACGAGTCTTGTGTATCCATCAGTCTCTAGAACAAACTAGTTGTTCTTAACTTTGAACATTAATGTTCATCATTCCATTGTAACGAATCTTGTGATATCCATACGAACATATAGAGAAAGTCATGAAGCTTAACACACAAACTTACTCGATTATTGTCTAGCAGAAGTTGGAAAGGTAAGCTTGTGCTAAGGAGCGACCAAGCTGGACTTGAGCCTCAGTGGTTAAGTGAAGATTGTCGGGCTTTAGCGGCAATCCCTTAGCATCTACACAAACCACATTTGAAAGTTTCAGACCAAGCTGTGCTTCTCTCACCTTATCTATGTATCCTCCTCCTGATGCTATTGCCACCTGCTCCAACCAAACCACCACGATTACTAAATGCATCAGTCTGAATTTCAAACATATTCTTTAGAACCATAAGGAGAGAGACCTGAATAATGGGAAGAGAAGGGAGGTTGAGATCATGACGGAGGTTCTTGATCAGACGGTCCATATTGGTCCCGTAACTCTCGGCGTCGTGGATGTCCAACACGTCACTCTCTCCTTGATACCACAGCACCGCTTTGATCTCTCCGCCGCATTTCCTGCTCTCCTCCGTCCTCTTAACCATCGTCTCGTACAAGTGGCTCCCACGCTCCCACTCTTTTATCGCCGTTCCACCGGAAGCGCACGGAACCAATCCGATCACGCCCGAATCTGTTCCCAGGCGATTCTTCACCGCGTTCGCGAACGCCATCCCCGGACCTACACCGCACACTTTACCGGTGTCGATGTCGACGTGGAGCGGCTCCCGCGCTTCTTCCCACCGGAGATCTGCGCTCAGGCGGAGGATCGATGAGTCAGGTACGCATTCCGGCGGAACGATTTTATCCCATACCCAGCGGTTGTGGTGGTGGTCCTTGACGACTCCGCCGCGTCCGGCCATATTGCTTTGTCCGGAGAGGATAAAGATCTGATTTGGAGGTTGAATCTCAAGTGTCTCCGCGCCGGTATTGGTAGATCCTCCTTCCATTTGTGGTAGAGATGTTATCAGAAAAGAATTTTCCAGAGTTACTTAAAAAGTTTGCTCATCCAGTGTGTAGATCACACTGACACTATAGAGATGAGATGAGATGTTTGGTCTGTAGCTAAAGTTTGGTGAGACCGGAAGAGTGGAGCAGAGAAGACGATTAGGCGTTGACATTTTGAAATTAGTTCGGTTTATGTTGGTTTGTTCTGTTTGGCCTTTTGGTCAGTTTAACCGGAATTCTACACCTTGAATTTGCGCTCATAAGAAGAAAATATAAGACACTTGGATCTATCTACAATGTCAAATCGTTTACTAGTTTGATTGAAATACAAAAAAATTGTTGAAACAGAGATTTATTTCAGGCTAAGTGGAACCAAAATTAAACTAAAAAAGGTTATGGATACACAGCTTATAGGATAACGATAGTAAGTAAAGTAAAGCTAACACAAGAGCAAATACACTTTATATATTGCCAACGAGCGACTTTAGGCTAATTTCTCAAGAAATCAAACTAAGCACACATTTTCTCTAACACTTGCACCACTTCTTTCATGGACGGTCGCTTCTGAGGCAAGGAAGAGACACATTCGATCCCTAACCGAAACCACGCCACTGCAGCATCCTCATGCCGAGCCACGTCGCTTCTAATTGCAGCGTCGATCAACCTTAAGAACCGGCCTTTCTCTTCTGCTTCAGAACCGGGTAATTCCGACCACTGATCTATATCTTGATCGACGGTGAAAACTTTGCCTGTGAGAAGTTCTAAGAGTATGACGCCAAAGGAATAAACGTCCCATTTAGGGTTCGGTTTCTGGCTCGTGGACCATTCCGGTGGCTGGTACGGTGAGCTCGACGTTGGTCCAGTGGTGGTGAGAGGTTCACGCACCGATGTCATGAGACGGTCTAGGCCCAAATCGGTGATAATGGGCTCGTTCTCCGCGTTCAGTAGAATATTATTGGGCTTGATGTTACCGTGCACGTGTTTCTTCTCGTTGATGTAAGATAGTCCTCGAGCCATTCCTCTTGCTATCTTGAGCCGTGTCTCGAAACCAAGTGGATTTTGCGACGACGATGAAGCAGTCGAGCTTGAGCTTGCCTTAGCTGTTTTGGATAGGAACAAAAGGAGTGTTAAAAGCTAAACTGCCTCAAATGATGAGCGTATTTTAGAAAGGAGAGGGAGAGAGGAACTTACTGGCGGCGAAGGAGCAAAGGAGGCTGCCATTGGGAACGTAGTCGGAGATTAGGAGCTTCTCGTCGTTTCCCCAGCAGAACCCACGAATTCTGACGAGATTCGGGTGTCGAAGCTTAGCGATGGCACGAACCTCCCGCTCAAATTCCTTGACTTTCGCCGCCGCACAGTTCTCCGTCTCGATCCTCCGCACAGCGAACGCCGTGCCGTTCTCCAGCACCGCCTTGTACACAATTCCGGTTCCGGTGGTCCCCAATATGTAAGCAGACGCCTTTAGCAGAGTGTCTAGATCCAGCCGAGTCTCGCCGTCGACTGTGATAAGCTGAGTCTGGGCGTTGTGTTTCAGTCGCCCGCCATCTGTTCGATTGAATGACTGAACGGTTTGCTGGTTCTCTACGTCGCTCTCCGACGTCGACGTCTCGTCGTACCTTCCTCCGTTCAAGATGATGCACGAACCGCATGCCGATTTTGCATCTGGTGATTCTGTGACTTCGAACTCCGCGACGGGTTGTTTCGGTTGGTGATTCGATTTTTTAGCTTCGTTTTTCTCCAGACAGTTGTTGAAGAAGCTGAATTTGCTGGATTCTGGATATCGTCTGCGTTTCCTGACTTGGTATACGTAGAGCACGAATAGACCTATAATAGCTAGACCAACTATGTCTGCGACTGTGATTACGGCAATAGTGCTTGGCTTTAGCTTGCTTTTTGCGTTTGGTGATTCCGTTGAAGAGTTTGTTGGAGCCAAGGTTCTGGGTTTTACTGCTATCGCCGGTGAAGTATTTTCAGGGATATATGGAGGGTTTGAACGAGTAGAAGGGATTGAACAAAGCGTCTTCAGTGGCTTCCCACACAAGTCTGGATTACCAGAGAAAGACTCAGCCTTTTGGTTGAGTAAAGAGAGGGAAGTAGGGATTGGGCCTGTTAGGTTGTTGAAGGAGAGATCGACTGTGGCGTTTGCTGGAAATTTCTCTGCAAATCCTGGAGAAATCACGCTGGAGACTTTGTTGTGTGATAAGTTCAAGTAGTGCAAGCTTATCCCTCCCAAAACTCGAGGAATAGAGCCGTTCAGAAGATTTGAAGAAAGATCAAGAGCCTGTGCTGCTTCGAAGCCGCTTGGAATATCGCCTGAGAAGGAGTTCTTTGTCAAGGAAATGACCGTTAGGTTCTTCAGAAGTGAGAGGCTGAGTGGAATTTCGCCAGTGAATGCGTTAGCAGAGAGATTCAAGAGCTGGAGGTTGATGACACTGTTGATACTCTGAGGCAAATCACCAGAGAGATTGTTGCTTCCAAGGGAGATGATACGGAGCTCAGTGGCGTTGAAGACCGAGTCCGGGAGTGTCCCGTTGAAGAAGTTGCTGGACAGATCCAAGATCCTTAGGTAGGGAATCGAGAATAAGCCCGGAGTGACGGAACCAAGGAGGTGCTTGTTGGGAAGTACCAAGCTTGCGACTCTGAGCATGTCTGGTGTGTTGGGATTTCCAAGCTCTGTGCAGGTGACACCTGTCCACAAGCATGGTGTTTCGTCATCATAGTTCCAGTTGCGTAGAACGGAGAGAGGGTCACTTAGGATGGCGTATTTGAAAGAGAGCAGAAGAACACCGTCTGTGTTGAGAGCTTGGACTAGTGTGGGGACAAGAAGAAGGTGGAAGAGGAATAATGTTAGGAGGTTGCTTCTGTTGGAAGTCATGGCTTTTCAGTTCTTGGTATCTCCTTCTCTTACTATGATTACATATGGCTATACATGTTCATAGTGGGAAGAGTGAGAGAGAGAGAGAAGGATAGAGAGAGGTTGAACCACTCTCATAAGTTGTTCTGGTCACCAAATCTATGTGATATTGGAGCAATCTCTGAGATGTTGAAGGAGAGAGAGAGAGAGAGAGAGAGAGAGAGAGAGAGAGAGAGAGTTGATAAAGAAGCTTTTGACTAGACATGGGACAAGGTGTAGAATAAATGATTCCGGATCATTATTCATCAGTGTAAATGAGCAGCAGCTAAATTTTCACACGCATTTTTTTTTTACTTATTACGTTCAACAAGAAAAAGAAAGAAAAAACAATTAATGGGAGACAGAATGATGTATTACTGTTTGCTTGTGTTATTGTTCATCGTTTACAGAAGAAAAAAAAATGACCACTTAAAAGGTTTCTAATATGTGAAAAGCAAATAGGTAAGAAAATTAGTTTTAAGTAGCATTTATTTGGAAAATTCGGTCCGTAGAAAGTTCTCTGAAGTGAAAAAGGAGAATTCGATTAGGTTTTCAGTTTTAAGTTTTTAACCAAAACAAAGGGGTTCGTGTGAAATGAACCATACACATAAATCAAAGACAAAAACAAGGGACACAAACCTGACATGTCAGTTATCCTCATCTTTAACAATAAAAAATGAAAAAAAATTGACCTTGCAGAGTTTGATTTTTGAGTTAAATGTTCACATGATTAAAAAGATGACAAACTGGATCTTTAGGAAAATCGAAAAGTTAAAACGTGTTCCTAACGAAGAAGAACATTAATTAGTCATATAACTGAAGGAAATTTAAAGTGCTTGATAAAAAATGAGAGAAGCCAAAACATAATCAAGGGAAAAAAGGGTTTGGAGGTAGAAAAAAAGTAACAGGAAAGCCACGAGTGGAGAGGTAATGGCCGCATTGCTTTCAGTGTCGCCCGTAGACGAATATAAAACAAACAACAAAGGGTCGAGTCGAGTGGTCCATGTTTTTTGGTTTTGAGTGAATTAAGATTCGAATAAGAGATATTGAGACCAAATAAACGACAGTGTTGTCCGAGAGAGAAGTTGCAAACAGTCACACAAACGTTGTGGTGAATGTAATGTATACTGTATGTGGTAGATATATACATTATCTAACAAAGGAAATAATACCCATTAAAGCAATGTATTCATTTCCGGAAAGCTAGGTAGAATTCTCATGTTGCTCTGGCGTTTTTTCTAGTAGTGTAGTGTAGGTTAGGTATAGCTAACATTCACGACCGGTTTAGTTGAGTGTTATTATGTAAATTTGTGGAGAAAGTTCAAACGGGTGATCATCAAAAATCTAACATGTGCATTATAAAAGGTGCCAATGGATATGATAGGGATTAAACCTAGTCCATTTTCAAAACACACAAGATAAGATTTTTGGACATAAGTAAAAGTACAACATATAAAGTATAATAATTCTCATGGTCTATCGACATGACGATCACGGGTTGATGTCGTTTACTGTCTTCCTATTTTATTCCCTCTCTGTTTTCTTTCATAGTTGTGTTTATTTTGATTTCTTTCTTTGCCCAGTGCAAATGTCTCATCTATCGAATACTTTTTGACTGTTGAGTGGCAATGATTTTCTTGTACTTTCTAGATCTTTAATTTTGATAAGTCATTATATAAGTCGATCGATCAAGTTTTTGTAGGATTTAGTTCTCTTGAAATCTTACAAACTAATTATTGTCTTAGATTTTTCTTTGGGATTGAAAATCTATTGACTTTCTAGAGAAAAAGAATTACGAACAAAAAACTTTGAAATAATTAGCATTCATTCAATGCTTTGTTTTTATTGTCGGAGGCTGATAAGGCAAAGTAAACTTCTACCATACTCTCACACACAGCACTGATTGTTATAGGCCTATGGCCCATGTCCTCCCCCACGACATTGGATTACATGTCTTCAAAGATAATGTCAGCTTTTATTGTCGACAATGGGTTAATTTCACACACAAAAGAAATATCTTAAAAACTTGTTTTTGTGGTATTTTTGGAAAAGATAATTTTTGTGTTATTTTTGGGAAAAAAAAGTAATGGTGGTAATTTTGGAACAAGCCCCTCTTTTAGTGGTATTTTTAAGAATTTCCCAACTAAATATATAAATTGTTGGAGGGTTTTAACTTTTTTTATGAACCACCCTTTTGATATTCCTCCTAAATCACGGACACAAAAAGAAAAGGCAAAAAGTTTATACACTTACAAGATCACAGTACATGCTTAAAAAGCCAAACCAAAGGTGTTTTGCAGAGAGAATCAGTCACAAAAATAAAATTACAAAGCTGGTGTATGATCGAAATGGACTACAATCTGATGATGTTTTTTTGTGTGTTTCTCTGATTATGGCAGTGGCAAGCTGCTACAGTCAAAAGTGAATTAGAAATCATGCAATGAAGGAAAAGTAGCTTAGTTGGATAGCTTTAGCATGTGTCTCATCATGCTGCGGTTGGCTGAGCTGAAGATGGACAGGTTCGCCGGAGTTATCTCTCATGTCTAGACCATTTGTGAGAAGAGAATTCTTGTCTGCGCTTTTCACACCCTCAACCTCTGAAACCTGTAGTAGCAAGGCAGTATCCACATTACATTACATTTTATGCTCAACTAAGCAGCAAACAAAAACGTTGTAAGCTTTTTAAAGATCACAATCCAAGATACCTTTCTGTGTAATTCCATATTCTGTTGGTGCATTAGGCTTACTTTCTTGTGGAGGTCCAAATTCTCTTGGTGCACGAGATTCCCCTGCAACCCAAAAACACAAACAAGTTATAAGTATTTTAGCATTCTACGTACCAACACTGTGGTGGACTAGTGTAATTTCTATCTTCATGTAATCAGAGTGTTCACCTCGCGGTTGAGTTCTTGAATTTCTTCGACTAATATATGATCCTACAAACGTCAATAAAAAATGGAGTTAAAGTACAACCATTACTCTTTCCAAATGTTCAAAATGATTCATTGGTCACAGCATCAAAACCTTTTTCATTCGTACGTCACGAAGGCTCAGTTCAAGCTGATTTTCCAATTTCTGCAAGTCTTCAACACTTAGTCCAGAGAGCTCTTCCCCCATCATTTGCCTGTCAAGAACAACCTCTTTCCCCATCACTTTTGAATATGCAAACTTTTACAGAGTCATTTACATACCACAAAAATAAAGAAAGAAAGAGATGGGGAATGTGGAAGTCTAGATGTGTAGAGGTATAACTCTGTAGGTGGTGATTTTGGGGAAGACATTCCAGCATCATGGTAAAATCCTTAAGAGGTGTTAATACATTTATTTTGTCGGTTTTGCTTTTTTATTTTACTACATAACTCCCTGTTCCAGTTGTTACAGTCGAGAGTGTTTGACGAACTCAGAATATGTAAAACATACCGGTGGTTTTCTTGCAAGTTATGTAGCTGCCGCTTTAGAATCGCGGCCTCCTTTTGCCAAAACTATAATATAGCAAATTTTCAGGTGACTGAGACTGATCTTCTAGATTAATTTGTTATCAAGTCTAGAATGAATTCTTGAAAAATAAAATGCAGCATTTATCTGATGATCATGTGTTTTAGAGACTCAATTTTGTGATCAGCTTGAGAGTTGTAAAAATTTAAATATGCTAATGAAGTTGAAATAGGCTACCATTAACTAAAGTACCAACTAACTGTCTCTCTGTTTTAGAATGTCACTTGTTTGGTCTATTTGTAACCCATTTACAAAATTGAGTCTCTAATTTATTCGTTGAAATCCCTAGAGAAGCGTAATAATAAGAGAACCAAGAATAGAGTACCTTGATTTCTGAAGCTGGATTACTTTCCAAATTGGCTTCCCCTTTGGCATCGCTGTATCTCTCTATTATCGTTTTCATGCTGCCAAAAGAAAGAAGATCAATGAGGTAACCCAAGCAACATTTCTCCTTACATATTTCAGTAAAACTTTTACTCAAATAGATTTAGGCTAAACCTAAGCAACCTTTGACTACATGAAATGGGATTCTATGCACCCAAAATACAGATTCGCCATTATCAAAATGTAACATGATCTATGCTGCTTAAGCAGAGAATGGGACAAATGAGACAAAACTGATGTAGATGTGGAGTAATGATTCTCCTATATGATATAGTGAGAGATGAATGCGTAGGACCCTTTAGCACCACTACTTCTCAAATCTCTGACGATCTTTTTTACTTTATGTATTTTATTTTCTGCTGGTACAACTTGTGCTACAAATCTATTCAAAACCTTTTTTATAATAGAAGATAATGATGTTCCACATAAATAGATATATTCAAAGTAAAGCATCCTAAAGTAGAAAATCAGAAGGGATTGATGAGATAATGTTATCTAACAACCCTGCAAAATGTTTCCAAAAAGAAAGACTATACACTCCTATAAACCACTAAAGAATGGCCAAGTTGGGATGTAGAGCATTAAAATGGGGTTACCTAATTGGATAATTAAATAGGAAAAAAAAACTTGATTATGGATGACAACGAAAGCAGAAATGATTCCCCCACTTGGCTTACTAATCTATTTTTTAATAGTGCAGCTCATTTTAGGTACATCAACCCACCAACTAGTTGTCAATAAAGAAAAAAAGATCAGTGATTAGAGATGATTCTTTCTAAAAACCTCTAACCAAACCAACAAGTTAGTACCCAAAAAAAAGTGGTGATAAGCGAGAGAGAGAGAGAGAGTAAATTTCTTGTGCCCTACTAACCACTAACCACTTCCCTCTTCAAGGAAAATTATACCAAATTTAGTATGTTTTAGAGAAACACTACAGGACCCTGACGATCTTACGCTTCACATCTTTCTAGTCCTATCAAATTTTATATTTCAATTTACTTTTGCCCTGTCCTGCATCTCAAAAAATACCATAGACACATACAAACCCAGAAACCACACTCTTATATTCCATTACAAAACAGCTATGAATCTCAAGCAAACCGTATTGGTCTTTCTTTTTTTCAGTCAAATATCATATAGTCAACCAACCAAGTGATCTACAAAGTTTCAGCCTTTTCTTTCAAAAGCATTTCCAAATCAAACGAATCATCGTTCATCTTCAGTGATTTACAACACACCAATTGAAAGATAAATAACAATTCCCGGAACTCGAATTGAAATTGGAGATTTATAGAATTGATATATGGTCATCAAAATTGATGGACTCCCTAAAACAAAAAAGTCAACGAAAGAGAGGAAAAGAAACCTGGAGCTGGAGAAATCGTAGAGCCTGCCGGTGCTGGAGAAGATGATGACACCGACCTCAGCATCGCAGAGAATGGCGAGCTCCTTGGCTTTCTTCAACAATCCGTTCCTTCGCTTCGAGAAGGTCACTTGACGGCTCGTCGAGTTATCGATCCTCTTAATCGCGATCTTTCCCCTTCCCATTTCTGCTGCTTTTCAAAAAAAAAAATCACAAACATCATAGTCAACCATCTCCGCAAATCCAGGAGACAGTCAATAACTCAGAATAGAAATCAACCATTACCTTTTTTTTCTCAGAAAGGTTTTAAGAGAAAACAGATCGCGCGAGATCTGCTCGGGGGAGAAGAAATGGTTGAGAGATGTGGTTTTGATCAAAAGCGGAAGACAGAGAGAGAGAGAAAAATTAAAAAAAAAAAAATAGAAATAGAAAGAGCAGAGAGAGCCACAAAAGGAAAGAACATATGATAATTTGGGAATTTAGGGCAAAAGACTTCTTACTATATAAACATAGATCACTTGTTATCTGCTGACACATGGCATGCTATAACAGGGTTCTTTTGTCTAGTTTTATTACATCAAATCAATATCATTCTTTATTTATCGTACGACATACTATTAAAGTATTAATTAAAGAGCACACAGTTTTGTAATTAAGGGGAAAAAATAAAGAAAACAGCCTCAATAATTTTGACTTTTGAGAATGCCAGAAAGAAAAGAATCCCAGAATCCCGACAAAGACGAAAAGCACCCCAATTCAGACATAACACACAGAGATACGGACACGGATTCTGTAAGAGTATCTATACACCCCTCTGTGTATGTAAGAGGGAAGAGAGACGAGACAACGACCAAGTATACCACAAGAGAGAAGACTAGTTTTACTATCCCTTACCAATTCAACTAAGCAAAAAAATGTTAAGAAAACAAAAACGATCAATTCAATTGTAATAACAGGCCTTCATTTTGGGCCCGTTCTCCTAACATAGGGCCCTTTCAATCGGATTACAGTATATTCCGTAGAAGATCTCTTTTTCAATCTGATTTTAGAAATCAAATATTCATTGAACCACTTGTCTCGTAAATATTTTAGAAGAGGAAGAGAGGGAATCATATAAAAATGCCAAAAGGTTAATGAATTATCAACTATATAAACCTAAAGATTCTCACCGGATGCTCTCTGGCCTGGTCCAAGATAAGTTCTCACGTAGCACTGAGACGCGTCTTTATCCACCAACTACGCATTTCGACTAATATAACATATATGCACCACCAAATGTGCATGTACATTTTTCTATGCTAAATTTATGATCAACGGCATCGTTCTTGTGTGTATTATACTATTATATAATGCATAGAAATTTTCACTTGCGTTATGTAAATTAGCCCCACCCCCTAACCTAACCTATCCCACTCACTTGGACAAACATGACATCAGTAAAGATGCATATTCTAATCAGACCAAACACCTTAAGTTCCTCAACCACCGCATGATTAGCGATTTTTTGTTTTTTAAACAGCTAAGTCGTACTTTTGTAGCTGAGTTTTGCTTTTAGTCACTTTTTAGTCCCCAAACATTATTATTTATTTATCATAATCCGACTCAAACCCAACCTGCTCATCAAGACCACACATCATATAAGTAACTCATAATTTTAAATGCTCAAATAGTTACGTTTTCATCCCAATATCATTATATATTTTACTACTTTTCTCATGGAAAAACAGAGACAAACCATTTTAAATGGTCATAAACAAACCGACAATGGTCCAAATCGGGTATGCAAAGAGTAAAACAGGTGCTGTAATTTCAAGAAATTCACGCCTCGAGTTTGCTTCCTTCCACATCAACCACGAACCTGTAACGCACATCGTTCTTCTCGAGTCTCTCAAGCGCAGTATTGACATAATCCATCTTCACAACTTCGATGATCGAACTCAAACCCTTTTCTTTACAGAACTCAAGCATCTCCTCTGTTTCCTTCATGCTCCCTATGAAGCTCCCCGTTATCACTTTCCTCCCTAAAATAAAAATCATCATCATATAACCAAACTTAATACTCCTCAAAACCACAATCATTAAATATTCAATTAGTGTTATAAATTAATTAACTCACCAAGCATAACCATAGGAGTGAGAAACTGCATAGGATTGCTGATGACTCCCATGAGAATGAGCTTCCCATCAAGCCTAAGCAGAGACAAATAAGGCTCAAGTGCATGATGGACAGGGACAGTGTCGATTATGTAATCCATTGAATCCGCCAATTCGTTCATCTTTGCTTGGTCGGATCCGATAACGTAATCATCGGCTCCAAGATCTTTCAAAGCCTCTTCTTTCTTCTTGTTTGACGAGCTTATGACAGTCACATGGTGACCCATTGCTTTGGCTATCTTCACACCCATGTGACCAACTCCACCTAACCCTAGTATGCCTCCTCTTAGGCCTGGTTTCTTCAGTCCAAAGTGGCTCAGTGGACTGTACACCGTCACTCCGGCGCACAGTAGCGGCGCAGCCTGCTCAACCGCCATTCCTTCTGGAATCTTCACCACAAACCTGAACACAAAATTGATCTTAGCCATCAAGACATATCCTAACCTGTTCTCCAAGAAACCAAACCAAACCTAAAGATCCGGTTTGAAGCTTCGATTATTATTATTAAAATATACTCACATTCATATGCACACTCTTTGATCTTAGAATAATATAATATTTGTATATCAAGATCATTAGTTGAATGACACCTAGTTTATGTATTGAATTCCAACTTGAGTTTAAATATCAATTATAATTGAATAAGACATGGTACCAACTATGATTATGAAATAATCAAATAAGACAAGATTGTTATGGTATAATTTCCAAATCAAAATAAAGATAGATTGATTACTTAATAAATTAATTTAGCATAGAAAATGGAATCATAAAGTTAGAAAAAAAAAGAGAGAACTTTACTTTTGGTGAACGACGGTGGCTCTAGCGAAGCCACCTTGTGTGGGTTGACCATCGATGTAGACATCGTTGTAACTCCAGATCTTCTTAGGACAATACTGCTCAAGATCTCTCTCGCAGGGGCTACAACCTCCGCAACATCCGACAAGACAACCAACTCCAACTATGTCCCCAACGGTGAACTTGCTCACATCTGATCCCACCTCCAACACTTCCCCTACAACCTCGTGCCTGAGAACACAAACCTCGATCTCAGATTCCATTCTAGATTTACATTTTTGGCTATAAGGAGAAGAAGAAGAAGGAGAAGAAGAAGGATTACCCAGGAACCATGGGGTAATTAGACATGCCAAGATCGTTTTTGGTTTGATGAAGATCGGTATGGCAGATTCCACAGCATATGATTCTGATCTGTACATCCTCTGCTCCCGTCTCTCTGTATCAAAACCCGATCGATGAGATTGGAGAAAACCAAGAGAAACTTAAAAGATCGAAAGAAGAGAAAACAAACCTGAGAGTGTACGTGTAAGGAGAGAGTAACCCAGATGGGTCTCTCGCAGCCCAGCCTGTTGTTTTCCTCTCAATCTCCATTTTCCCCATCTTTTCTATTCTTTCACTGTTTCAAATGATGCTTCTTGGTCTTTTGTGCACCCTGTTGTCGATTGTGTGTATTAGTTAGTAGTATATATATAGAGAATAAGTTGGAGACGAAACGCATGCGTATGTGTCAGGGAATGGTTGGGTGGAGTTGGAGTAAAAAAAATGATTGTACATTTGGTGGCTATCTTTGTGTGAAATTGTGTATATTGTTGACAAGTTAGTCAAAGCTTTAAAATCTTTAGTCGTTGAAATAAATTATAGACAGAGAATTTCTTTCTTCTTTTTATACGGCTCTCATTTAATAGAAGTTTATGTGAGAAACTTCTAAAGCAAAAATTACCTTTTTTTGAATTTTATTCGCGTTACTAGTTTGATCTTTCAGTTTATACGTAAGCATGTAATTCTTAAATATGTTTATATTTCGAGTGAAACATTAACTTGAACATTGAATATCTTCTAACAAAAAAACTAACTTGAACTCCCTGCGTAACGTATCGAAATAGGCTTTCTCTTTTTTTTTTTTTTTTTTTTTTGAAATAGGCTTTCTCTATTCTTTTCTTTTATTTTTGTTACAAATGATGTAGAATTGGGTCGTTCATTGTGTATAAGTTAATAAATCTATCTTGTACCAAATTTGGGATCAATAATGAGTTGGTTTGAGCCAGAAGAAAATGTTCTTTTGCCAACTCGAAATTCGAAATATCAAATGCAAGAATGAAGAAATTTAACCGGAAAAGAAGACAAGAAAATAATTTGTCAACCTTTACAGGAAGAAAATCCACTATAGGATGTGGACACGTCAGCTGTAGGGTCCTCTGGGGTTGGTGAACTACCCTTGTGGGGCCCAATGGTCGGTTACAGAGTATTTTTCAATCAGAGTAGTCACCACGTGTCAATTGTCACATAGCCTTGACATCCAACTATATAGTTTTGACGGCCAAGATCAACCATTCTTAGTTTTCTTTTCAACATACAGTATGTATGTATACGGATTAGAAAATAACTCTAGATGAGATTAGCTAATATCATATCCTATTTGGAACACCATAAACTCAAGAAAAGGGGGGTAAAGACGCACATTTTTTTTAACTTAGAGAGACTAAATCGGTCTAATGGTTCTGGATACCTTTTCATATAGTTTTTTAAATAAACTTTCCTAACAGAAGTTTTTAATTTGAATAAACAAATTCAAAAGGATTGACCCTGGAGGGTGGAGGCCACACTGCCACACCACAAATAAAAGGCGGACATACAGAAGATAAATTGCCACACACTATTTCATCTTAGACGATGTTTCGGCACAAATTATTACGTCATTGCCTACGATATGTTTGCTCCTTTTAATTATGGTCTATTCATATACGTACCTAAAGATATACTGATTGAAGGATCATCATATCATTTTGAAGCAAAATTCCGAACCTCCGATAGTCATGGCTTAACTTGGACTCATGAAAAAGAGAGATCCATGCATCTATTAATGGTTGCATTTTCTGCCACAAGGACACATCAGTCCTTATGGATCCTGAAGCAGCATCAAGAATACTAGATAACTTGTTCCTATTTGCATGGTGAAAGCGATGTAGGTAGAGAAAGGGGGTATGTGCCAACGACGACATATGTTTTGCCTGAAAATTTGTGGGAAATAGTTAAGATCATGAGAGAAAAGGAGGGACGCTGTGGCGGAGAGGAAGAGTTGATGTTAGAGGAAGCGGAGAGGAGGACGACCAGGTCGGAGCAGAGCCGTCCTTGGGAGCAAGAAAAGCAAGCTGATGCTTGCGGCCCTTGTTTTTATATATACATTTTCGGCCCTAAATTAATGAGATGTCTCTTTAGTCTAGTGGTTTTATTAAGGCGTTTTCTTGTCTATGGTCCTTAGTTCGACTCACAGCAATGCCAACCCGTGTATTCTCCTTTATTTTCTGTATGGATTGTTTTTTAAATTCAATTATTTTTTAATAAAAATGTATAAAATCGGCCCATTTTTTTCCAGGCTTGCGGCCCTACACAACTCAGGGACGGCTCTGGGTCGGAGGCAGAGCAAATGTTGGTGGATGCGTATGGTCATGATAGTATAGAGAAATGGAATACTACAACTTGTTGAAAATGAGTTTAAGAGATTGCTTGGTCTTTTCGTGAACGAGTATATATGTAAAGTAGACAAGTATTACAAGTCGAAAAAGAAGTGGCAATAGACATAAGAAAAATATAGTTGAACACACTCTCTTGAGGAAACACCACAAAAAAAATTATTTCCAAAAATACCACAAAGTTTTGTTTTCCAAAAATACCATAAAATTATTTGTTTCCAAAAATACCATAAAATAAGTTGTTGTTCCAAAAATACCACAAAATTTAATGTTTCCGAAAATACCACAAAACTGAAATACCTCTGCATAACCCAGAAAGCTCAAAGCATTCGTTTCTTCGTTACCCACCTAATTCAGAACAGACCAGCACGAGCCGTTTCACGCAATCTTTGCGTTTCATCGCATTAATGTAATACCCGGACTTGTGGCTGTAAATGGGACCAATGCTTTTATTACACACACAGACACATAGACTTTTCTCTTCCACATGTCTCTCTTACGACCACAGGCTTCAACTTCTCCTCTTCAAATATAAAACAGCAATGTCTTCTATTTGCCTTTCACCAGACTTTTAACTGAAAGGTCATGACGAAGCTTCAGCTTCTAAACACGAATCATACCCTTTGTTTCGCCAAGGGTTTTTATCGTTATCGTACCAGGTAAATTTTACATTACCAATCTCTCACTCTGCTAATCTGCTTAGACTATGAAACTTGCTTACTGATTAATTAGAGGATCGAATTTCCATAAAACTGATACTTGTTTGGATAAACATTTTGGTGACGACGACCTTTAGCTGTTCGATTCTATTCTCGTAACAAAGTCTTTCCCTTTCTGTGATTGGCGTTTTGGGTTTCTCAATCTCTGTAAAACATAAAAAGTCTTCCTTTTTAGTTGAAATTGCTCTAAAAAATGGTAAAGAATGCTTCGGTGAATGATTGGATATGAGTATAGAAAGAACCAGGCCTAAATCTGGATGCCAATTAGGTGCAAACAACTCAAATTGGGAACCTGATTGCATAATGAATAATGGCTTCTTCTTGTTGCAGATTAAATCTTGCTTCCTTGGCAACTTCACCAAATCTGATATCTGGTGGTTACAGCAGCAAAACTTGCATCCCTTCCCGCTTGAAATTGTGAGAGTGCCTTTACACCGTCTCTATTTACCTTTTTTGGTTCAGACAAAAGTGGCTATTGCATACTAATTTGATGATTACTTTACTTTTTAGTTAAAGAACAGTAGTATGCAAAATATGGTTGAGACAATTATATCCTTAGTCTTGCTTAAGTTAAGTCTCTTACAATGCTGTGTTGGTCTCTGGAGTCAGTACTTGCTATGCAACACTATCTGCTGTGGTAAAGAATCACACATCAGCTTTTGATGGGAAAGAAGCAGCGCTGCTTGTAGAAGAGCTCAGAGTCAACTTCAACACCGGCAGAGCAAAGAGCTACGAGTGGAGAATCTCTCAGCTTCAAAACATTGCCAAAATGATTGACGAGAAAGAGAGATGCATCGCCCAAGCTTTGTATCAAGATCTTTCCAAGCCTGAGCTTGAAGCTTTTATTGCTGAGGTTTTTGCATATAACTTTAATGTCCCTTTTCTTCTCTACATTCCAGTTATGTACTGTTAATTGTTAAGTTACTATGGTGTCATCACGTTTTGTCAGATTTCGAATACAAAATCATCCTGTATGCTTGCAATCAAAGAGTTGAAGAACTGGATGGCTCCAGAAACGGTAACTATTCAAGCTTTGCTGCTTCATCAATATGTTTCAGTCTAAACCACTTTGTCTGGTCTCATCTATGCTTTGACTTTTCAGGTTAAAACCTCTATGACAACATTTCCCTCATCTGCACAAATTGTCTCAGAACCACTTGGAGTTGTTTTGGTTATCTCAGCCTGGAATTTCCCTTTCTGTAAGCACAAAAAGTGTTTCTCAAATTTTCTTTTTAAGTAAAAAGTAAAAACAGTTAAAGTTCCTATGTCTTGTTGGTGTTTTTTCTACTGTTCACAGTATTGTCTGTTGAGCCAGTCATTGGAGCTATTGCAGCTGGTAACGCGGTTGTGCTAAAACCTTCTGAAATCGCTCCAGCAACATCTTCTCTTTTAGCAAAGTTGTTTAGTGAATACTTGGACAATACAACAATCAGAGTTATCGAAGGTGGAGTCCCTGAAACAACCGCACTGCTGGATCAGAGATGGGACAAGATTTTCTTCACTGGTTTGTCTCTCTCTCTTTCAAGAGTCTTTTTGATTAGGCTCTCAGGAAAACATGATTTTTTTATAATGACTTTATTTCAGGTGGAGCAAGAGTTGGTCGCATTGTAATGGCTGCAGCTGCAAAAAACCTTACTCCAGTGGTTCTCGAACTTGGTGGGAAGTGTCCAGCTCTTGTTGATTCAGATGTTAATCTACAAGTTAAGATCAGTTTCTGCTTCTAAAGCACATAATTGATAATTCATGTGAACATACTGTAATCACGGTGTTGTGACTTAAGGTTGCTGCTAGGAGGATAATAGCAGGGAAATGGGGATGCAACAATGGTCAGGCTTGCATTGGCGTCGATTACGTCATCACAACAAAAGATTATGCATCAAAATTGGTAAATACTACTTGAAATAAAAGCCAAATGAATCACTATATATAACTATATCTCTTTCCCAAGCTTGCTGATGCAAATTAAGAAGTGCAGATAGATGTTCTCAAGACTGAATTGAAGACATTCTTTGGAGAAAATCCATTAGAATCGCAGGACCTATCACGGATCGTGAACTCCTTCCACTTCAAACGGTTGGAGAGTATGTTAAACGAGAATGGAATCGCTGACAAAGTTGTTCAAGGAGGCCAAACAAGTGAAGATAAGCTGTGAGTGAAAATGTTTTCCTTTTGAATAAATTTGTTCATGGGGGATTAAAACTATCTCTAGTCACTGTATTCTGTAACTTCCTTTACAGAAACATATCTCCAACGATATTACTGGATGTGCCGGAAGCATCTTCCATGATGCAGGAAGAGATATTTGGACCAATACTTCCTGTAGTTACGGTACAAAAGATTGAAGATGGTTTTCAAGTCATACGTTCAAAGCCAAAGCCTTTGGCTGCGTATCTCTTCACAGACAACAAAGAGTTGCAGAAGCAATTCGTGCAGGACGTGTCTGCAGGAGGGATTAGCATCAACGACACCGTCGTACACGTAAAGAAAAAAAACGTTCCTTTTTTTTGTTTCCATACAAAACCAGTGTTCTGTTTTCCAAAAATGCTCTGTTTTTCTCTGCAGGTGACTGTAAAAGATTTACCATTTGGAGGGGTCGGAGAGAGCGGGCTTGGGGCTTATCATGGGAAGTTCTCGTATGAGACGTTTAGTCATAAGAAAGGAGTTCTATACAGGAGCTTTGCCGGAGACTCGGATCTAAGATACCCTCCTTACACACCCAAGAAGAAGATGGTGCTTAAGGCTTTGCTTTCTTCAGACATATTTGGAGCCATTTTGGCTTTCTTTGGGTTCTCTAAAGACTCATGATCACATAACATGTTGTAGTCACTGAACTTGCTGGAACTGTACAACTGTGCAAGTTGAAAATTTTCATGGAGATTATAAGATTAATGAGAAAATTAGGTTATTGAATAAAAATATAACTTCCCAACTTTGTTTGTTGCACGCTAAATATGCAAGAGGAAACAAAAAACTAAGCAAAGCATATATGATAAAGAATTTAATTACTGATGACCCGAACTTTTCGTGAAAACATAAGCTAAACTTGTGTAATGGTAGTAGACACAAGAAGAGTGTGGTTGTCGTCATTCTTGAAAAGAAAAAATAATCCCACTATAGTTAAGACTTAAGAGTATTTTGACGTGTTTAGTTTGTTCGTGATAGTTTTGGTTTGTGAAATTTGTAATATTATCTCATTACGTGTTTAAATATTATTTTCAAAATTTTAGTTTATTTGAAAGCATTTTTTTTATTGCCTGATTTTTGATTTATAATGAACATAATAAAACAAAAAGTATGAAGTCAACTAGTTCTGTAACATATTTATTTTTGCCATGACGTAATTTTGGCATTTCCAGTTTTCCACACATCATTTCATACTATAAGAACAAAATCTTGCCTAAATCACAGTAACACCAAACTACAGCAGAGCAGCTCAAGGTCAATCCCTCGATTTCTCCAAATGACCACACCAGCTCCAGCTGTACACTCACCATATAAACCTCCACATGTTAGGTAAGCTAAATTTAAATGTTCTAAGGACTAAATTTTAAATATTTAGCATAATTGAAGTACTTTGAGTGTATTAATTAGACAACTGCTATGTGAAACACTGTGCAGTTCCAGATTTGCTGGAGGTTTCCGAAATCTAGTTATCATAAATACTACCATAACATATAATTGATGTGTGTACATGAAAACAAAGTTGGTTAGGATAAAGATCCATAATATGGAGATTAACCATACAATGGTTTGTCTCACACGTCACGTCACACTCCCAAGTCTTTATCAAAACATAAATTTCCAAATTAATTTGTTTTTCGTTATGAACAACTAGTAAATACTGGTTTCTTCGATCTGCCCAACCATATTTTCTTCTACAATTATAGACATTGAGATCTGCGCACCATTCTTCGCTTTCAATTATGAGTACAAATTTGTCGAATCTATAAATATTCTGCTGCACTGCATTGCACCCCATAAATGACTTTGTATCTACTCCTCCATTCCTTCAATTTATTATTTTACCATCTATAGTTATTAGTTAAGATAGCATTCAATGGTCTTATTATCTTTTAGTAGGTTTTTATTTACGTACAGTATCTCTATTATTTCCTCGAGGAAATTGTTTGTTTGATAGATTTTTCTAAGGTTGTCACGTGTAACTTGTAAGACTTCACTACTGTAACTAGAAAACGGTAAACCCCCTTTTACCTGACAGTGACTTGAGTTTTTCTGAATTATAACGCAAAGAGATGCCAGTTTTACGGACATGAATAAATTTAGGTGGTTGGTTATTTCCTTTCCTCGCATTTACTACCTTCAGTCTTGGCTAAATTCGAGAAAATGCACATGTATTATTATCTTCCAAGATTACCTTGGCATGATTTTGATATTAAGTAATTTTGTGGAATCTAATGTAAATGGTATATACATATATATATATATATATATATATATATATATATATACAAGATGAACATAATCAAAACTAATATGTTCTAAACTTGTATGTGTAGTGCCTTCATGATTATCAACATGTGAGTATTCGACCTTGTATTAGTCACCTTGTAATAAATTACTCGACCAAAATTTAGACAGAGTAGCTGGATAACACATAAATGCATAGTTACCAAATAAGGCACAAAAATGGAACCTGAAAAATCCCAATTCCTAGCCAGACTACGAATACGTTTGGAGCGTTTTGAGTTTTTTTTTGGTTTGAAATGTCGGTTTAACTCGCTATCCAAACAACACATACTACAAGAAATAATTTATGTGCTTTGCTTATTTATTTATGATTTTCATTCATTGCATGAGGACTCTAGCACTTTCTTCTTCTTATCCCTCTTTCTCTCTCTCTCTCTCTCACTCAAATTAACTCTATAAATATGTAATACGAGTCAGAACGTACAATGACAAGACCAACAAGTTAAAAACAAAAAAAAGACGATATATATCACTAAAATGTATTCTCCAATGAAGAACGTGAAAATGTTTTTCAACTACTTCATGACCCATTTCTTCAAGCTCTGTTTCCTCTCGTTAACGGCTGCTATAGCCATGAGAGCTTCTCGTCTTTCCACACAAGATCTCCACAACTTTTACCTATACCTACAAAGCAACTTCGCATCTCTCACCATATTCTCCCTCTGCCTCGCTCTCGGGTCGACCATGTACTTGATGGCCCGACCCAAACCCGTTTATCTCGTTGATTTCTGCTGCTACCTCCCACCGTCGCATCTCAAAGCCAGCATCCAGAAGATCATGCACCATGTAAGGCTTGTACGAGAGTTAGGCATGTGTTGGGAGGGCAAAGAGGACGATTACTTGATGGACTTCACCGAGAAGATTCTGGAACGTTCCGGTCTCGGCCAAGAGACATACGTACCGGAAGGTCTTCATCGTTTGCCGCTAGAACAAACGATGGCTGCGTCGCGCAAAGAGACGGAAGAAGTTATATTAAAAGCGGTCGAAAATCTGCTCCGTAACACCGGCGTTAGTCCGAGTGATATAGGTATATTGGTGGTGAACTCAAGCACTTTCAATCCAACTCCTTCGCTATCAACGATCATAGTGAACAGATATAAGCTTAGGTCTGATATAAAGAGCTTGAATCTTGGTGGGATGGGGTGTAGTGCTGGAGTTATTGCTATTGATGTCGCTAAGAGTTTGTTACAAGTTCATAGAAACACTTATGCTCTTGTGGTCAGCACGGAGAACATCACTCAAAACTTGTACTTAGGTAACAACAAGTCAATGTTGGTTACAAATTGTTTGTTCCGGATAGGCGGGGCCGCGGTTTTGCTTTCTAACTTGTCTAAAGACCGAAAACGCGCAAAGTACAAGCTTGTTCACACCGTGCGGGTCCACACCGGGGCAGATGACCGATCCTATGGATGTGCGTTACAAGAAGAGGATGAAGATGGCATAGTTGGAGTTTCCTTGTCGAAGGATCTACCTGTGGTAGCTGCAAGAACCCTAAAGATCAACATCGCAACGTTGGGTCCGCTTGTTCTACCGTTAAGCGAGAAGCTTCTCTTCTTTGTGACTTTCGTTAAAAAGAAGTTTTTCAACCCCAAGATCAGGCATTACATGCCGGATTTCAAGCTGGCTTTCGAGCATTTCTGTATCCATGCTGGAGGTAGAGCACTTATAGATGAGCTGGAGAAGAATCTTCATCTATCTCCGTTACACGTTGAGGCATCAAGAATGACGCTACACAGGTTTGGTAATACCTCTTCAAGCTCGATTTGGTACGAGTTGGCTTACACGGAAGCCAAAGGGAGGATGAAGAAAGGAGATAGGATTTGGCAGATTGCGTTGGGGTCAGGTTTTAAGTGCAATAGTTCTGTTTGGGTGGCTCTTCGTAACGTCAAGCCTTCCGCTAATAATCCTTGGGAAGATTGTCTGCACAAATATCCAGTTGAGATCGATATATGATTTAAGAGAGACCGATTCCACTATACGAAGGTAGAGACATATAGACTCGTTTTATATATCGTACTTGGTCGGTCCAAATATGTAAAATTAATCTATCCTTTCTCTATGAATCGATCTCTTAAAAGTTTCTGTGTGTGTGTAATGCTCTCTTTAAACTATTTAAGTATAAGTTATAGTGTAACTTTTTTTACAAGTTAATGAGGGTTTTTTTTTTAAGTTTAAATATATACTTATATATAGGACAGTTCTCAATAATACTATAGTTTATGTTGTGTTCCAAAATTACCTATCAAAACTCTAAAACTCTGAAGTACCACACATTTTAGGTTTAGGAAGGGTTCATAAAATTAAACTTGTTTGAGGTATTTTGGGGTGTTCCTCATATATGATATTATGTATATGTATAGGGAAGATTTATCAATACGTAAGTACACTCAAGACATAGAGATAACCTAAAAAAGAGCATAGAAATTAAAGCTTGTCTTCATGTATAAGAGAAGATGTAACTTATTTATTCGGTTTGTAACTGAAATTACGTACATATACACTGCCACTCTTGTACTTGTAGACACTCTAACAAACTCAAAAAGTTCAATAATTGGAACAATGACATAAGCATGTTAAGAGATCCCACTTAATTAAGTTGGGGAGGAGATATTCAGGAAATCTGTTTTGGGTGTGAAATGACGTAACTGTTATGGGTACTAGACTTTGGTGATTGAAGATTTTGTTTGTCCTTTACATGAAGCAACTTGAGAAGCCCATCATTAATTAAAAGTCTTGCTAACCGTCTGGCAATTAATTTTCCTATGTTTTATTTCAGAAAAACCGGATTGTTGGCTATATGAATGAGACTTATGTATTAATTTATCACAAAGCAGAACAAATCCTTCAACAACTTGAAAAAAAAAAACCATAAAAGTAGAACATCTTATTAATATATAAAGTGTTGTAATATACTACTAGAAGAAAAATAAATGGAAAATAATACACATGTATTATATTAAATCTACGATGCATTAGAATTTACCGATTAAAATAGATTCGTCCTCGAATCTTCCGATGGGTTTCTGTTTCTCCATGCTGTGTTGTGAATCACGCTCCCTGTTTGTTTTTTATTTATTTTATTTCATATAATTGTAATCGTAGTACAGCATGAGATTAGCCATGAGATCAATATATTCGACAACCAAATACATCACCGTAATATACGTCTTAGACGAGATTGCTATAGATCTTCCTGTATCTTTTTGGTTCTTCCATTAAAAGTAAACGATTTCGAACCAAAATAAACATCATTTTTCTATTGGAACTCTTAATTAGAACCAACGAGAGATGAAGACTAATTTAAAGAAAACGAAAGTCGGTGGTTTAAAAATATGAAATGCTCAAATAATGGTTAGTTTGGTCTTCTCATCCGTAATTAGCATTGTGGTTAAAAGCTGGATTGAGCTAGTATGTTATTCATCCTCGTTATGTGCTCCAAGCCTCCAAAAATTGGTTGATGTATTGGACAAACTTCTTTCCTCGACCCCACTTGGTACATTCGACACGTTCAGTTTGTTCTCTGCATATGTCCTTCTTATGTGCTCGAAGCCTCCAAGAACCGGTTGATGTATTGGACAAATTTCTTTCTTGGACCCTACTTTGTACATTTGACACGTTCGATCTGTTCTCTGCATATGTCCTAGTTATGTGCTCCACGCCTCCAAGAACTGGATGATGTACTAGACAAACTTCTATTTTGGTTCATACATCCTAGTTATGGACTTATTTGGTACATTTGACACGAATGATTCTTTCACTGCATCCTTCGGTCTCGTTATCTGTGTTGGTATCATTACTAATCAGTGAGTTGTAATTGGCCTTTAAAAGTTGGTTTGTAGTTACTCTGTCCACTTCTAATTAATTTGATCATGTCATTAAAAACTAAAACAGTTGAATGTCATATTTCACATTATTGTTATTTTAGTTAATAATATCTTTATTTGATTTTATTTTATTAAAAATTACAAAGACACTCATGAGATAAACATGCGTGATATTTGACTTGTAAATGGAGTTTAACCACAAATGTATATTTGACTTTTAATAATTATTTTTCGAAATATTTAAATTTTCGTATGATCGAGTGAATATAATTCGATTGGAAAAGAAAAAAAACGCGTAAAATAATTGATATCCACCATTACCATATCTCGAGGTCAGTGCGCTTATTATCTCTCCCCACTCTATTTCAAGACCAAACCTCTCTCTCTTCTGTAGTGAAAGCAACCCTCTCGGAGCAGCAGCAGCATTGCAGCAATGGCGGAGAAGTCGAGCTTCTTCGTCCATTTCAGCTTCCTTCTACTTCTAGTGAGTATCATAACACGTGCCCATGGAGGGAGGAATCCGGTGCGCCGTTCGTTGATGGACGGCCAAGATCTCTCGAGACCTCTGAAGCTGACGTTCGGTGGGCCCTCTCGGAATTGGACCGACGCCATTCCCATTGGAAATGGCCGTCTCGGAGCCACGATCTGGGGCGGCGTCCCCTCCGAAACTCTCAACCTCAACGGTAAATGTCAAACGTCGTCGTTCTTATGCTTCTGTTGTCTTCATTCTCGTTTTTATTTTTTGTTTTTTGGGATTTAGGTAATAAATGCATTATCTACTGATTCTGTTATTCTATAAAACGCTATAAATGATATAGGCATAAATGATTCTCCGAAAAAGTATTGACATAAATGATTTCGGCGTTGTAAGCAATAGAACAGGGGATCATGCTTGAGACATATTCATAAACTGTAATTAGCCGAACCAAACTGGATCTTTTTATCTTACTTGTGTAATAAAACTGCGTAAAAAATCCACATTGGTAAAAAAAAAAATGCAATCTTGAATCTTGTATGAACATCAATAAGTTTGTACCAAAAAAAAAGGAGTTTTTGCTGGTTTGTTATGTTCTTGGAATCATTTTGGATCTTAAGTGTTAAAATTTCGTGTGTTTTTGATTGACAGAGGACACAATATGGACTGGAGTACCAGCAGATTACACGAACCCGAACGCTCCAGAAGCATTAGCAGAAGTGAGGAGGCTTGTTGATGACAGAAAATATGCTGAAGCTACTTCAGAAGCTGTCAAATTATCAGGCCAACCTTCTGATGTATGTTTTTTCATTCTTCTAATGAATAATTTTCTTTAAGTTCTTGATTTTTGTTTTCACCATGCAAAAGAATAATCCCCTGTTCTTGGTCTCTCTCTAAAGGTATACCAGCTAGTGGGAGATTTGAATATAGAGTTTGACAGCTCTCATCGTAAGTACAGTCAAGACTCTTACCGCCGTGAGCTCGATCTGGAAACAGCAGTAGCTAAAGTAAGCTACTCTGTTGGAGCTGTGGAGTTCTCAAGGGAGTTTTTCGCTTCGAATCCGGATCAAGTCATAGTAGTCAAGATCTCTGCAAGCAAACCAGGATCTTTGTCTTTTAAAGTATCTTTAGATAGTGATTTGCATCACCATTCAGAAACAAACCCCAAGTCCAATCAGATTCTGATGAAAGGAAGTTGTCGTCCCAAGCGTCTTCCTGTGAACTTGAAGAAAAGCATCAACGCCACAAACATACCGTACGATGATCACAAAGGATTGCAGTTTGCTTCCGTGCTTGAAGTGAGAGTAAGCAGTGGCGGCTCTGTGTCTTCCTTGGATGGCAAGAAACTAAGCGTTGAAAAAGCTGACTGGGCTGTTCTGCTTGTGACTGCTTCGTCTAACTTTGATGGACCTTTCACTATGCCTGCTGATTCAAAGAGAGACCCTGCAAAGGAATGCAGTGACAGAATCAGCTCGATCCAGAAACACTCATACTCTGATCTCTACGCTCGTCATTTGAGCGATTATCAGAAACTTTTCAACCGTGTCTCTTTGCAACTCTCTAGCAGCTCAGAAGATAAAAACAAATCCGTGCAACAAGCAGCAGTTTCAACCGCTGAAAGAGTGCGGTCGTTTAGAACCGATGAAGACCCTTCGTTGGTGGAGCTTCTGTTTCAATATGGTCGATACCTGCTTATATCTTCTTCAAGACCTGGAACTCAGGTGGCTAACTTGCAAGGCATATGGAACAGAGACATTCACCCGCCGTGGGAGTGAGTTTTCGAACTTTTTTCTCTTCTTGAAATTTCATCATTTTGCTTATGTGTCACTAACTAAGTCCCTTATGTGGTGTTTGCAGTGGTGCTCCTCACCTGAACATTAATCTCCAGATGAACTATTGGCATTCTCTTCCTGGTAACATCCGGGAATGCCATGAACCCTTGTTTGATTACATGTCTGCTTTAGCAATCAATGGCCGCAAGACAGCACAAGTGAGTTCCTTATCCTTACAATGTTGTCATAAATGAGTGTATCAAGATCAATAACCAACCATGTTGATGTGGCATATAGGTGAACTACGGAGCAAGTGGTTGGGTGGCACATCAAGTATCAGACATATGGGCAAAGACCTCACCGGATAGAGGTGAGGCAGTGTGGGCCCTCTGGCCTATGGGTGGGGCTTGGCTCTGTGCTCATGCATGGGAGCACTATACATACACTATGGACAAGGTAAGAAGATCCTCAAATTTGCTGGTTTTCACACATCAGTTTCTTTAACTTTTTTTATTTCTTTGTAGGAGTTTCTGAAAAAGAAAGGATATCCATTGTTGGAAGGATGTACGGAGTTTCTTTTGGATTGGCTGATCAAAGGTAAAGACGGATATCTCCACACCAATCCATCGACATCCCCTGAGCATATGTTCACTGCTCCTGATGGCAAACCTGCTAGTGTTAGCTACTCGTCAACCATGGACATTGCCATTGTCAAAGAAGTCTTCTCTGCTATTGTCTCAGCTTCAGAGGTAAAAACTAAAAAGACTGATGAAGTAACAATCATGACACCTCATCGTTACTGAGCTATTGATCTTCTGGTTTATCAAAACAGGTTTTGGGGGAAACGAATGAGACTCTTATAGGAAAAGTCATAGCTGCTCAAGCAAATCTTCCACCTGTTAGAATATCATCAAAGGATGGTTCTATAATGGAATGGGCAGAAGACTTTGAGGACCCAGAGGTGCATCACAGACATGTTTCACATCTCTTTGGTCTCTTCCCGGGCCACACAATCACACTTGACAAGTCTCCGGAACTTGCTAAAGCTGTGGAAGTAACACTTAAGAAAAGAGGTTTGTCTTGTTCTTTCTTGTTTCTTCTTTTCCCATTCCGTAATGTCATGTAAACATTGAAATGGTTGTGATGATGTAGGAGAGGAAGGACCAGGGTGGTCCACCACTTGGAAAGCTGCCTTGTGGGCTAGGCTTCACAACAGCGAGCACGCGTATCGGATGGTTACGCATATATTTGATCTGGTGGATCCGTTAAACGAACGTAACTATGAAGGAGGACTCTATAGTAACATGTTCACAGCTCACCCGCCGTTCCAGATCGATGCCAATTTTGGGTAAGTCAAGACACTTTATTGCAAACACTTTTAACCTATACTTTATTATATAATATAATACATGAGTCTCTCTTTTGTTGAGCAGATTCTCAGCAGCGGTAGCGGAAATGATAGTGCAGAGCACGACGAAGGATCTGTATCTGCTGCCGGCGCTTCCGGTGGACAAATGGCCTAACGGTCATGTGAAAGGGCTAAGGGCACGTGGCGGTGTGACGGTTAATGTAAGGTGGACGGAAGGGAACCTCGTAGAGTTTGGTCTTTGGTCGGAACAGAGTGTGTCCACGAGAATAGTGTACAGAGGAGTCTCTGCGGCTACCACATTGTCGCCAGGGAAAGTCTTTACTTTTAACAAAGATTTGAGATGCATTCGGACAGAGACGTTATAGAAGTAAGATACAAGGTCTTTGGTTCTCTCATTTAATAGAGGACGAGCATTGTTTGTTCCACGAGTTATAATATACTGTATGTGCAAAAGTGTAACCCACACATGTAATGTACCCAAAAGGTTTACAATAAAGTAATGTAACTTGGTATCTCTAAGCGACCTTTATCTACTTTTTTATCATTTACCTTTACATTTTTACCTTAGGTAACACGAAAATCTCGTGCGAATAAACTCAAAAGTATAAGAATCTTGACTGTAAAATTAGAAAGTTTATTAGCACATTCTTTGGTTTAAGAATTAAGGTGCAACTTTATAAATAGCTTGCTACACTACTTTCAAAAAACGAGAACAATAAACCGAATTAAATCGATCCGAACCAAATTGAAAAGATAAACCGAACCAAACCGAGTATCCATTCTGTTTGTGGCCCATTTTAGTTTCAGTTGTGCTCTCTCTGTATCGTTTAGGGCTTATGTGTTTAGTACAAGTCTCTCTTTAGTTCCGTCTTCATTTTCTGAGTCCACTATCTTCTTCTTCTTCTTCTTCGGTGTTGATCTGATTACTTTGTTGTTTCTCCTACAAATACTGTAGTTAAGAATGGCTTGGCGCAGTGCAGGATCTGCTGCTCGCTCTTTCGTTTCAGCTACCGCTAGAGCTCCGTCTCTCCGATCTCCGGCGGCAACGCTTCCGCGCCTCCGACCTTCCCAATCCTCTCTGCCCCGCCACCGATTTGCCTCTTTCACAAATCTCAGGTATTCACCATTTCTTCTGCCACTTATCTGCTAGGCTTGAACAATTTTGCTAGATGATATCCGTGTAAAATCCCTATCTGAGAAGAATTGAAAATGTTAAAAGTTATCAGATTGAGATATGAATGTTTATGTTAAAGCATTGATTTGACGATGTGTTGTTACTTGTTATTGATAGGAATTTGGGAGAGATTGGATGCACAGCGTCTTTCTTGCCTCTGCACAGTGTCGTGGCTTCAGTTCGACTCACATCTCACCTAAATGTTAACGTGCGAGCTTTCTGCGAACTCCCTAACGGTACCTTCCCACGCACTTGTCCAGATCGCTAATTACTCTCCATTTGTGAATTGTGAGTGTTACTGTTCTTAGGATTACGTTTGAAAGAGCAAACTGAATTAGTTTTTTTCCTTCTTTTGAATCTCTTTGTTGGAACAATTTTGTGTTACTCTTTTCGTCTTGAAATGGAACAAAAATGGATTTGGTCTTTCCTTGTTTTTTTACTTCTGCTCGTAATTAAGTTATTGTGTTAAGAACATATTGGGATTGGGATTTGATAGGAAATGGAAAAGATGGGTGATGGAAGTGGATTTACAGTCGCTGTCAAGAGAGGTGCTACTGCTTTTGTAGGTTCCTTGTCCATTTTGCTTTTTTCTGTGTTTATGTTTAGGAACTAACAAATTTATCAAACAATGCAGTTAAACTTCGACCCTAGGTATAAAACATCTTGTTCAGTTTGATCCATTTAAACATCCAATTGAGTACTTCGTAATAATTGCTCCTCCATCGAAATATACTGTATGACTAGTTATTCTGTTATAACGCATTGAGAAATGACAAACCTCTGTTCGCATAAAGATTCTGCCTTTTAGGGTCCATAGAGTTTAGTCATTAGGTACCTTCCAAAAGAGTGAACTTCATTTATGGTATCGAAGCATACATGGCACAAATATGGACTTGTTGTATAACAACACATTATCGTTTTGAATAGCTGATGTAAGTTGGGTCCGAAGATCTGATTTAAAGCTTTGGCTGTGACTTGATGTTGGCAGGTACTTGAATGCATGAAGTGGGTGCATCAGTTATCTTGAAGAAGATGGAAACTTATGAAAGGGGTGAACCAAGAAGAACTCATGGATCCTGTTGTCTTGTGTTCCATTAGGAACCAAAAACTTAAGTACATTATTTTCCAGTATTGACTATATCTGGATTTCTCTTCACGTTTCTTGTTTTTGTTAGCCCAATGGCTTTCGAAACTTCAGAGTAGGTTCGGTTTATCTTTACTATACAGCCTTTGAGTAACCATTGTTTCATTTTGTACTTGATTATGTTACTGACTTTTTCCAGTTATTATTGACTGGAAGGAAATTAAAAAAAAAAAAGCTTTTACAAGATAATCTAGGAGAGTAAATTTAGTTTTTACTTTTTGAGATTATGATAGATACAGTTGAACTGCTAGTACCTTGTTTACAATGAGTATTACACGGAATCGAAATAACTGCGACTTTGAACAGTGAGGAAGAAAGTATATTGGGAACATGAAACGGTTTCAGTTTTCACATGAGAATGAAATCCACCACAGCGAATCAGTCAAGTAACTCCTTACATTAACAAACTCAATAGTAAGATTTAAAAAAAACTGTGAATAAGAAGCTCATCAATACGTTCTTCTTGACTTAGCTTGCAACTTTATAATCATCTTACACTTTACGAGGGATCTTCAACTTCTGTGTCATCTTCTTAATCACCGGAAGCCTTTGACTTATAGAGCTTGGATCGCTATAGACTGCTAGATCAACTGGATACCCTTTCTGCATATATATATATATATATCCAAGATATCATCAGCCAGCTGTTTTAGGTTCGATGGAAACAAAGATGATAAGAACAAAGACTGTAAGTGAAACAACATTTAGTAACCTGCTGTTTTTTATAAAATGAAGAGAACTAACCGCAGATAGAGACTGAAATGTTGCTTCTCTCCAACAGCTTTCACGAAGAACAGTGGGTGTCTCACCTTTACCAAACACATAGTGCATTCTCGTCTCTCTCAATCTCATAAGCACACCATCAACTCTAAGCTGTAAAAAAGGCAACGAGTGGATGATGAAAATCAAAGCATCATAACAGTCAATGAAGATCCACATAGAGGTGTATAATGACTAAGAATTTTTCCTGATTTGACTCACCCAGAATCGTAAGAGGAGGAACCATGAACTTGGCATGACTCTCTGAAGAAAACAAACAGAAACAGCACACATAAGTTATCCTTTGTTACTAATAGAGTGCTCAAATCAAATTCACAACATTATGAAAGAATGTGACTGGAATGAAAGACTGGAGATTTATCTACCACTTTCACAGTAAGAAGTGACACTCCATTGTCAGCCAGTTCATCTTCATACAAAACGACCTGAAGTAGTAGAGAATAAGAACATCAAAGAAGAATGTGGCAAAAGAAGACGAAAGTAAATGATTTGTGTTTGAATCGATTAGAGAACCAACCTCATCATAGAAGAGAATAGGTTCTTTAAGTGAGAGAGCAGCCAAATCGATCTGCTCTTCACAGTCCTCCCACTGAAGACTAGCTTCCCCCTCTTTTGCCACAGCCTATTTCACATCAAAAACACCATACATCAATGAGCATGAATGTTTACACTTCATTGATCATCGTGTGACAGGCATAACATGAGAGAAAGTTTAACCTCCTCTCGGTCTTTCTCAACGGCTTCACTTCCACGGTATGGAGTTGTAAAAGTGTAATCATAATCTAATATCACCTGCTGTGACGGCTTGCTGCAAGTACACCAGATTTGTATCAGATTAAAAAAACCATGTACAAGCAGAGTTTCAAAAGGTCAATCTAATCCGAGATTAAACCGGTCATAAAGTTACCTCCTGAATTTCCATTTTTCTGCAGCAGGAACTTCAACTGGTGGAAGCCCTTCTTGCTTCCAACCCGCTAAAGCGTCAAATGCATTGAAATGAATCTTAGTGTTGCTACTCAAGTGTTTCAGGACTAACGCATTCTCTCCAAACACCATTTCCGGTAAGTGAGAAGTCTTAAGCTTTTCTTCCCACCTGCGTTACAATCAAACAACACATTCGTCATTATGTGCTCACAGAAGATGATGCTATTTATTTGGGCTACTCTCAGTTCTCAATCAAATAAGACGGAATCGAATTTACGACGCGCAGATACAATGGAACCAACAAAATAATTCATCGATGATTGAATGTTATGGAGACGCTAAGATGAGAGATAGAAATTGAGTACTCTTCGACAGCGAGGGAAGTGAGAATCGTGCCACGGATGGTTTCGATCTCCCAGCCATGGATGCGCAAACCTCGCCGTCCTTCGGGAAGAAGCTCTGCCCCGGCAGACTTGAGAATCTCCTTATCGACCACCGTCTCCATCTGAAATCGCCGGGAATTATCGGGCACTTTCCTTTACTCCGCCGATTACACTTTTGCGACCAACCGGTTAAACAAGACATTTGACTTCCAGAACTTGATGGGCTTTAAGTTAAAAATGTGGGCCTAATTTATTTTGGGCTTCGACTACTCTATCACTCGGTTGGTTTACTTTTTATATTTGATAACCGGGACAAGCTTGGCTCTCTCCCAAGAGAAGAATGTTCACTACAAGTATGTTATGCTCGAAACTTATGGAAAAGGTCAACATCTATGTTAGATAATCAAAAAGACGACTCAATGGTTTCGCATTACAAATCACAACTTAATTCGTTCGATACAACACAAAAAAAACACAAGGCTGAAGAGATCATGAGCCGAGGAGCGAGCCAAAAACTTTGGAATTTATTCAGAGTCAGAATCTGAAGCAGCACTCTGCCTCACGCTCCTCCTGGTTTGTGTTGTAGATTTCGGTTTAAGAGATGACTCTCCCTCGTAGTGGATCACTTGAGCTCTAGCTAATCTCTCTTCCAGATCCTCTGTGCTGAAATCGTCTTTCCCTCCCAGCTCATTGAACCCAACCTATCAACAACAATGAAAATCCAACTTGAAATCATCATATTCTCAAAGATACCAAGATTGAGTTTTATAGAATTAACTATTATTATACCACATAATCATCCACTTTAGTGTTCTTTATGAGGGCAAGAGTGGGAAGAACAACAATCTTGAGCCTCTCAGCCAAGAATGGACTTTTCTCAGCTTGGATCTTCACAAAACGTGTCTCAATGTGCTGCTTTGCCAATATACTCATGTGCTTATCCATCACCTACAAAATCATTTCCCTCTATAAACATATATACTCTTGAATCCAATGCCAACAGCAATACAAACAATAAACCAAAAGGAGAAAAAAAAACTAAACCCAGCAAAATTTCTTCAAAATTTGACTAGAGAAACTGAAATCTAAGAACAGAAACCCAAAAATTTGAATGCAGCCTAAGCACAATGAGGAAAGTTTGCAAACAATAGATACTCCGCATTATACGATTGAAACCCGAAGAGGACAGAAAATCATACTTTACAAGGCCAATTCTCGCGGTAGAAGTGGCAGACGACGCGTTCGCTGGCCTTGACGGCGGCGAAGAAGTCCTTCTCGGAGGGTATCTCGGAGTATTCGCCGTGTCCCTGGCTCATCCAACGTTTCCTTTTCTCAGCCATTTTCTTCATCTGCTGCAACCTTCTCTCCCTCAGCACCTCCAGATCGTCCTCGTCGGGCTTTTCCAGGGACGCGATCTCCTCGTCAAGCTTATCTTCCATTGCTTTCGCCACCGTCAGAAGCTGCTTCTCCAGAATCTGCCATGAAAACAGCATTACAAATCCAATCGCGCAAAAAATGTTGAGAAAAAATAACCCAATCGCAATTCAAAGCCACATAAAAAAACGTTTAGAATGCAAAATGGTACCTCTTGAATAGGATTATCCATTGTGAAACTCCGGTGAGATCTGTTGGACGGATTATCGTGTTATTTGAATTCAAAAGAGAGATTCAATTTTAGGAGACGAAGGGAATCGGATGTTGAAGAACGGAGGGAGAAAAGAAGATGCACAAAATATAGATCTCGGGTTCTGGGGACTGAGGTTCTTCGGAACGACACCGTTCCATAGAAAACCAACCGGCTTTGAAGAAATCCTTAAATCCGCTTAAAACCGGCTAGAACCGGTGAAACATCCCGAACCGCTGAACCATGGAAACCGGGTATTTGGAATTTTTGCAATTATTTTGTCAATTGGATCATGATTATCTTGTAGGTCTGTTCCACTAGGTCTACTAGCAATAGATTTTGCGAGAGAGAAAATATTTTTAGTTGCTTTCGTTATCAGATTCAGATTGAAGTATTTAATAAGATTCTAGACTGTACAACCCTTTCACGAAAACAGGAGAAGTAGACTGTATCTTGTATATGCAAAAACGTATTTCGTTATCGTAAAACAAATTCTTGAGACACGATGACGCATCTATCGTATTTAAACGCATGTGTGTGTCAGTATGAATCGATAGAATTTAGACCCTTGATTTTTTATATTAAAAGTTGGACCCGTTTTGGTCAAAATTAAATTATGTGCAGTGCACTACTCACTCACTCGTATTTTTTTTAATTATGACGCCAGGTGGCAGGTTTAGGTGCAAAGTCTTTCCGATATGTTTAACTTCCTCAAAACTTGCTTTCGTGTAGAGAAGTTTCTGATAACATCGAAAAAAGAGAAAAGTAGTCGGAGTTCAATCTGCAGATTTGATTGAATGGCTACGCTCACTGAAATCGCCACCCTTGAGGAGAAGTGAGTTCTTTGGTTCTCTCACCTTTTTTGCGTATCCTATCTTTTCAATTAAGACAGAGATATGATCGTACGTTTGGGTTTTGTCTGAAACCTGGTACCTTCGTTTCTGAAAGTTGATGAATTTAGACAAAGTTCTTCCTTTGTCTCCGTATATTGGTTTGGAGGAACGAATTTAGTAGCTTCCTTTTTCTGAATTAAATCTAGATTGTACGTTGATTCTGTGTTTTTGTTTTTGGGTGCTCTTCCCGAGAATTTCTCTGAATTTTCTGCTTCGTTCTTTGATTAAGGATTGGTTTTGACTCTGTGCTATAGTTTTTGCTCTAAGGAATTCAAAAAGGGAAGTTTTTTTTTGTTCAGTCTTCTTCTCTTTATTGGGGGAAACATCTCTGCTTCACGGTGCTTTCTGGGTCGGATTAGTTTGTTAGTTTTTGGGTAATATCGTTAGTCTTGATAAACTACAATGTGTTTTAAGTAATTCCTCCACTAGTATTCTTGTTAATGGATTTGATTAATCTTTGGTTTTTAGGTACATCGAACTATGCAAGAAGCATGGAGTCCTACCCAACACTGCCATTTTATCTGCCTTCTTTGAGGCGGAGGTTAAAAAGTCAAGGAATGAAAGATGTGCCATGAACCTTTTACTGGACAGAGTGAAGTACGATGACTTCCACCCGCTTCTCGAGCTATGCAACGAGATCAACACATCAGAGATAGAAGAAATAGATCTCTTTGTGAGATCCTCTTGCTCTCTTGACGACCATTATACATTGTCCTTAATCCGTTCCGTCAATCAAAAGCTTCGGCTTGTTCATCTACATGACTCTTTCGAGAAAAACTTCTGGCAGTAAGAAAAATATTGTCTTTCTTGTCTTCTTTTTTTCTTGTTAAGCTCTCCATTTTTCATTTTGGTGATTGTTTTGTTTTTTTTTTTTTGCATTGCAGGGACTTTTTCTTACAAGGATTAAGCTGCAAAGTGTTGGATGTGAGCTCTTTGGATTATTATAAGCTTAACATTGTAGGAGAGTTCACACAGCTACACACCCTTATACTTGACACCAGCCGTTTACTTGGTTTTGGGGAAGGCTGTTTCTCTTGCACACCCAATTTGACATATGTTTCCATGTGTGACACTCGTATCTCGGATCTTTGGACAGCAGCTGCTGCTCTCTCCAAACTCCCTTCTCTTAAGGAGCTCCGGTTCCAGATTTGGATCTGTTGCAGTGACTCTAGCCCACTTAGATCACAGTCATCGTCCTCATCTTCTACCCTGGATGGTGAAAACACATCAAACTCGGAAGTTTTCGAACAGATGGATTCTAATTTACCTGTCGAAGAGACTCTTCATAGCATGGATTTCTCGTATACAGTTCCTGAGGAAGATGATTTGGATTTGAATGGAGAAGTATTCATGAGGGAAAAGGTAAACAACTCAAATTTTTTCTTGTTTGTAAGTCAACCGATGAGACAAAACTGAAAACTTTGGGATGTGTTAAAGCTTCTTTGTACCGTTTTTTGGCAGGTTAGGAGAGGGAAGAAGCCATACCAACCCAAGGATGATGTTTCACAAGTTGGTTCATTCACAAGACAGTTTGGGGATGTTGGGTTGAAGTACATATCCTCTAAAGCATCACCGATATGTTTGAAGAAGCATTACAGGATGTACATTATAAACTCTCTTCCCAAACTAAAAGTGTTGGACAATCTGTCCATCAGAGAGAGTGATAGAGACAGGGCCAGTGAAATATGTTCCGCAAACTTTGAGCACTTACCATACAGGAGAAAGAACAAGGAAAATGTAGTGAGAGTCCTCGAGAAGCGTGAGACGAGATCAAGCAAATGGAGATCTCAGAGTTCTTACACAAGGTCTCTTTGTGCGGCTAGGATGAGATCGTCTGCTTGGCCGCTCTTGCGTTCGCTTCCTTTGACTAGGACTCACCAGGAAGATGAAAACAGGAGGTTGAGTCCAAGGCAGTTTGAATACCATCCGTTGGATCCTAGCTTAATGGTGTTTGGGACTTTGGATGGCGAGGTGGTTGTTCTCAATCACGAAAGCGGGAAAATCGTCCGTTACATCCCGTCTTATGGAGCTCAGAGTAGTATCTTGGGACTTTGTTGGCTCAAAATGTGTCCATCAATGGTAAAATTACAAATCCTAAAGCTTTTTCTTTGTTGCCTAAAACGCAAATTCATTTCAAAGTTTTTTTGTTTCTTTTCAGGTTATAGCTGGCTCAGCTGATGGCTCGTTGAAGTTGTACGATATCCAAAGAGCGTCATCCACAGTTACTAGTAGTAGCAGTCACGCCGCTTCTGGCTGTGTTACTTTTGATGAGTTTGACCAGTTGACCTCGGTTCATGCTAATTCCACGGACCGACTGTTTCTTGCTAGCGGATACTCGAAGGACGTGGCTTTGTACGACATTGGCAGCGGAACACGGCTTCAGGTGTTCGCAAACATGCATCAGGAGCACATCAACGTGGTGAAATTCTCGAACCATTCACCGTCTGTTTTCGCGACTTCTTCTTTTGATAAAGATGTTAAGCTGTGGGATCTGAGACAAGAGCCGTCACGACCGTGTTACACGGCTTCTAGTACTAAAGGAAACGTGATGGTTTGCTTTTCTCCGGATGATCGGTATCTTCTAACATCAGCCGTGGACAACGAGGTACTCTCTCACTGACTATTCATTTAGTTTTTTAACTTATGTAGAAACAGTCATATTCATGATTTGATCACTTTTTTCACAGGTGAGGCAGCTTTTGACAGTTGATGGACGGCTTCATCTGAATTTTGAGATAGTCCCGACAGGAAGCTCCATGAACTATACTCGATCGTACTACATGAATGGTAATGATTACATTATTAGTGGAAGCTGCGATGAGAACATGGTCCGTGTTTGCTGTGCTCAAACGGGAAGACGCCTCAGGGATGTATATCTAGAGGTAATTTATACATTTAAGGGTATGAATGTGAGCTGCTATGTGTAGAGGGCATATGAGCTTACTATGTGAAACTTGGTTTGGCTTGTAGGGAAACGGCTCGGACTTCTCCATGATGTTTGTTCAGTCTCTACGCGGCGATCCCTTTAGGGTGAGTTTATATGGTTTATAATTCGGTCGAATTTCCGTTTATAAGAATGTTTTTGAGCATTTGAAGACTTGTGTATGTATGGTTTTGTCTATTGCAGAATTTTAACATGAGTGTTTTGGCTGCGTACACGAGACCGAGCTCAGTGTCTGAAATAGTCAAGGTACATTGAAACTACTGCTTTTGTTTGATAGAAGAAAATTCTCAAAATTTTGAAGTAAAAACCTCTTGTAAAACAGTATATGGTAAGAATGAATTTTTGCAGGTGAATTTGCTAGCATCAAGAGATTCCACAGAAGAAGAATCTCATGGTCTTCGTTGTTATCCTTCAAATAGCATGGGAGGCTAAAGAAAGGGAGATAAAAAAAGGCTTTATTGGTTCCTTTACAAAAACCAAATATTGTAACTACTCTGCTTGTGCTTGGAAACTGCTTATGATTTTGGTAGGAAGCAAATTGTTGTATCATACTAATAGAATTCGATCAATACAATACGATTACTATATATATCCATGTACATTTTGTAATTTGTATTTATCGGATTTTTAGTCTGAACTGTATTAACATGGTGACAATAAACATTAGTACAAAACCACCACTAGCAGACAAAGACAGGCCCGGTTAAACTAAACGAGTTTGGTCGGCAAAATGGATTTTAAAAATGTGTTATTTTCATTTAAAAATAAATCTTTATTTAGGTCGAGCATATCCTAATATATTAAAAGAGAAAACACTTTAAAAATAACCTTTAGTTGATGTGTTATTAACAAGAATGTCATGCTGATGTGTCATCATTAGAGCTTCTCATGTTATTTATAAAATAAGGATTAGTTTACTAGACTAATTACAAACATTGTCATTCATATTTTTGGTTAGAGAATCAAATATGTATAGTTAGATTAATCATATATGAAATTATTAATAAAAGAATCATCATTCTCTTTCCTTAATTGGCAATTACGAAAATTAGTAAATAAGGAAAATATGAGATTCAATTTAATGCTATCATTATATTTTTTTTAAATCATTCTATATCTCCTTTCATCTTTGTTTAACTTTATTTTATAAAATAAAAAATTGACACAATACAAAAAATCTAATAAATAAAATCTAAAACTTTTTCTATATATGCTATGATTTGAATTTTTAAAAACAAAATAATCACTAAAACTATTAAAATTCCCAATATGTTGTTGTGTGTAGGTGTAAAAATATATTATAAAAAATAGATGATATGCAACCATGTAAGTAGGAGAGTAGGTATCTAAATGTAATTTTTTTTAAAATATTTTATATGATTTTTTAGTTAAACTGTATAATGAAATCAAATAAAATAATATTTTTTATAAATGTATTTAATTTTGATCAAAAATTTGAATATTGCTCCATTTGTTTCAATTTTTCAGTACAAAATTACTTATACTTTTGTTATTTTGACAATTTGGATTTTGCAAGATTGATCTTTTATTGGTTGGATTGTTTTGGAATTATAATAAAACATGTTTTAGTTTTAAAAGAAATAAAAAAAGTTAGTTCTAATCCGTGTAAACACCTAAAACTTCTTATCTTCTTATCTTATAAAATACATCATTTGAGTTTTATGTATTTTGCTGAAGTCTAGCATATTTAATCTATGTCTATGATCAATGTTTTAATTTGTTTATAATTTTTAAAATGTTTAATTTCCACATTATAAACGAAGATAAAAACCTTAACAAGGTAAAAAAATCTGTCACATAAAATTTTGAAATAGTTAAATATACATTTTTAATTAAAAAATACAAATTCAGAAACCATCTCCCCGTGCTAGGGCGCGGGTCAAACTCTAGTTTTCATTTAAAAATAAATCTTTATTTAGGTCGAGCATGCCCTCTTCTCACTGTAGAAGTTGAGAAGATAACACAAAACCTCTCGTTTTCCAAATCCACCACACAGAGCGAGGCACAACAACGACGACGACGACGATGGCTCTTTCTACTGGAATCTTCTCTACCTTCCTCTGCGTCAAGACGGCGCCGTTCCAAAACTCACTGTCAACCTCGTCCCTACGTCTTTCCCCTCACCCGGCTAACCTGCGCATGGTGCGAGCCGTAACCTCCGCGACGGCGTCCTCCGAGCCGACAACCACCAAGACCCGGGAGCCACGTGGAATCATGAAGCCTCGCCCAGTGTCCCCCGAGATGCAGGACATCGTCGGCGACTCGGTGATCGCTCGCACTCAGGCTCTCAAGCGCATTTGGGCCTACATCAAGGAACGCGACCTTCAAGTATGGTTTACCGTTTCTCTCTCTCTGAAATGATTTACCGAGCACTCTAATTTGGTTTTGCGTTTCGGATTTTCCTCAATCTGCTTTCGGCATTTCTCTTTAGGATAAGAGGGTTTGGGTGTTTCAGAGTGGTTTAAAATTCTAGGGTTTGTGGTTGACTAATCCTGAAAAGGGTCTTTCGAATTGGTTTATGTGGTCAAAGAGATAACTTTTGATTATTTGGATAAGGTTTTGTTTATGGTGTTGCTCTGCAAAGTTGATTCTTTTGAAGGTCTTTACTCTTTACTGTTTAGTTTAGTATTCTGAAACAGCTTCTTCTGAAATCTTATTGCGCTTGTGGGATTGAATTTGGGGTTTTCAGTTTTTCTCTTGTCATTTGACGAATGCTTCAATTGTTTCTTGGTTTACATCTTTGTTCAGGATATTAGATGTTCTTTGATTCTTGTATGTTACTTATTCCTTGGCCAGTCTAATGACTCTTTGCGCTGTCTAGTTGAAACAAATATAGAGGCTGGAGCTTTCCTTAGCTCGCTTTAGACGTTAGCTTGTGTATTTTCTCATCTTGTTGTTTTGGTGGTCTTAGATTCCTTACATTTAGTGATAGCTTTTCAATGAAATGAACAGATTTGACGACATTATGTTGTCATGTATATCTACTTGTGTGAAGTTTGGTGACTAAAGTGAGTAATGTTGTTCTCCAGGATCCACAAGACAAGAAGGTGATAATCTGCGACGAGAAGCTGAAGAAGATATTCGATGGCAAAGACCGTGTTGGGTTCTTGGAGATTGCCAAGCTCATCGGTCCTCACTTTCTCTGAATGAATCTGGCTGAGAGAAGATCAGAATTGGCGTATGTTTTGCTGAGCTATGAAGGCCATGAAAGATCAGATTAAAGATTAGTAACATTAGGATTTAAGAATTAAGAAGTTTTATGCAACGAAGTAGTTTAAGCCTTTGGAGGATATATTTTGTCGGCTATGTGTCTCCCTTGTTCCATTTGCGGTTAAAATGTGCTTTTGTGTCTTAGGACTTTGAACAACTCTTTTATGCATCGGTTCTTCGTATTTTAAAATTTAAGTGTTTTCAGTTTAGCAAAACATAGACATAACTATCAGAAGTCGTATACGAATAGTACATTTGGACTGAAAATTGAAAGAAACCAAAGCCAATATTGAAGTGGAACTCGTAGTACACCGTCATTCTTATTTTTGTTTAACATAAACTAAATGGAAAGTTAAGCAATTATAGTCCTTTTATGAATTCAAAAGATATTCATAGATTAAGAATAAGTAAAGTGATATATCCACGTGTTTCACTATCACTATCACAACTCATCCTATGAAACGGGGAAAAAGGAAAATCCTTTTCATGATCGACTTTGGAGAGACAACACAATCAAATTCATATTTCCTATCCAATTGGGAACCGACTCTCAGTAGAGGCCATACCATCTTCTGTATAAGGAGAACCTCTGGACTCTAGAGAGCTCATAAATCCAAACAACGAGAGAAAATTAGCAAGTAAGCAATCAATTAGTCCAAAGAAGTTAAGAAGAAGAAGCGATGGGTTTCTCTGGTGCACGCAAGCTTCTCTTAGTCCTCGTGATCACTGCATGCGTCTTCTCCGGGACTGCTGATGCATGGAGCTGGAGTTGGAGCTCTGGCAGCGGTTCTTCTAGCTCGGGTTCAGGTGGTTCAAACTCGAACTCGGGTGGTGGTTCAAGTTGGAGCTGGGGATGGAGCTCGAACGGAACAGATACAACTTGGGGTTGGGGAAGCAGCTCCGGCTCAAAACCACTCAAGCGGAACTGGTTCCACACACAAAAACCACCACAACCACAGGGCCCCATCAAACCACTCATGCGGTTGCGTCGGCTCTCCAAACAACCACACGTCCCCATCAAACCCTCCAAACAACCACACGTCCCCATCAAACCCTCCAAACAACCATACGGCCCCATCAAACCACTCAAGCGGCAGTGTTGGCTCTACACACAACCACACGATCCCATCCAACCACTACTCAAGCGGTAGTGTTGGCTCTAAACACGACCAAACAGCTCCAATATCGCATAGAAGACATATTGAGGTCACCGTGTGGAAAAGCGGATTCCATTACAAAAAATGGGCTTCCATGCATGCGCCGTTTTACGTCAACGATGTTGTTGCTTTCAAGTTCAACAATGATCAGAAGACCAACAACAACAAGAAGAACGATGTCTACTTGGTCCCAGACTCGAGGAGCTACAAGATATGCGATGTGAGCCGAGGGAGGAAGCTAGTCCCAAGAAAAGGAGAGGCGTTGAGCTTAAAATCAGGAGGCTTCAAGTTTCTTCTCCGTAGGGCTCAGACTTACTACTTTGTCAGTGGAGACCACACCGGCTGCAACCACAACATGAAGTTCTCTCTCTTCGCCCACAAACCCTAAAAACACTTCACTAATTGGTTTTGTTTTCTTAATAGCTTTTTAGTTTGTTATACGTCTTCATATTTCGTTTGCTCTCCTTTTATTTTGTTTTACATCAATGGATTAAGATTTTCAGGAACACTTACGCCATCTATTTTTTATAGTATTTGACTATTTTCAATTGAGTTTTTTCTGTTGATTGAGAAGAAAAAACAATGAAACGCAACAGAAATCAGATGAATGAGCCATATGTTCGCCAATTATTTGTAGTTTACGCACATGACTTCAAACGCGGCGTTTAGATGAGTCAATGTCCTCGTGGGTCTGGTTCCGGTCACTAGTAAATGGAAATTAAAATAAACCAAGATTCTCTAAACCGGCCATGTCAATTTTCTTTCTTACGGGCACAACAAGCACAACGCCAGAATCTTCCCCTCAGTTATCGCATATCCAATATTTCAATTATCACATCTGAAAATTCTTAAAAAACGTGAGAACAAATTTTAATTCCGAAAACGACGCAAGGAAGAAAAAAAAAGGAAATGCTTCTTCTCCGTTTCAATCTACTCCGACCTTGTAACCGTCGTCTCTTCCACCGTCTTCCCCGAACTTTCTCCTCCTCTCCTCCGCCAACTACCGGACCTTCAGGCCGTTGCTCGAATCTCAATGAACCTCACCTCACACCGCCTCCGCACCAATCACGAAGTCCTCTCCCCTCGATTTACACCGTCTCTTCATCTTCTTCCTTCTCTAAGAAATCCGTTTTTGTTCTCTCCGCCGCCGCTTTATCAACCGCGGTTGCGTACGCTGCTGTTTTCTCTCCTGATCATGACCAATCAGATCGCAGCAATAGCAGAAACAGCCGTATCTACGATTCTATTGAGCACGCGGTTCAGAAATCGGGAAATTCCTTGAGGAGAGTGATTCACCATGCTAGACAAACCGGTGTTGCGGCCTCGGTTCTGCTGCAGTCGCTCAGGTCGGTGCTCTCATCAGCCAATCATGAGGTGCGTGCGGGATTTGAGCTGCGAGTGGCTGCTCTTCTAGCCGATATTGCGTCCGCGAATGCAGCTCGCAGAGCCGCTCTCGTTGGAGCTGGCGGTGGTGCAGTGGTTGATTGGTTGCTGGAGACGGTGGCCATCCCCGGAGATAGAATTGGGGCCCAGGACGAAGCGGCTAGGGCTCTGGCTTACCTTATTGCTGATCCAACGGTGCGTAAAGACGCTCTGGGAAGGCCCGATGCAGTGCCTAAGTTACTGAAGTTCATATTCTCGTGTCAACCAAAAACCAAAAAGGTGCGTTTTGTTTCCACTAGTTGTTTGGAATGAATAGTGAAAAGCAGTAGATGCTATAGCCTATTAGTTGTTTAGAAGATGATAGAAGGATTGCTGAGAGTAGATGTAATGGATACTGACGAGCCAGCTTATATGAATCTAGTTAGCATTCTGGAATCTTGATTATGCGTCTTGATTATGTGGTGCTTCTGGTTGTGTTTTGCCATTGATGTATAGCTTTTCTTTGGGAGCAGCATTCAAGACGTAGTTCATTCGATGTTTCTGATTCTTTGAAAGGTAGGAGCATGCTTGTGGCCGCCATAATGGATATCGTCACTTCAAACTGTGACACAATAGAAAAGACACCTTTTAAGTCATCACTGCCAGGAAATGCTCAGATGAGAGATATTGCTGCCGCAATCCAAGTAATTGAGGAAGGTGGTATGTATTTTGATGAGCCAGAGAAAGATGATGACAGTGACGATGGAAGAAGTGGGATTAAGGGAATTGGAATTAAAATCCTTGAAGGAACCACGGTTCTGGGACTATCAAGAGCCAGTGGGCTTGCTCCGTTGGGTGACCTTAATGCTAATGCGGGAGAAGGAACTCCTAAAACATTTCAATTGCTTAGTAAACATGATAATTCTTCGCAAGGTAGTCTGTCATCTGCCGTCATTCCTGGCCTTTGGGATGATTTACATTGTCAACATGTGGCAGTGCCATTTGCTGCGTGGGCATTAGCAAATTGGGCAATGGCTTCTGATACAAATAGATCTCATATTCAAGAACTTGATCGTGATGGGCAAGTTGTCATGACAGCCTTAATGGCACCAGAGAGGACTGTGAAATGGCATGGGAGTTTGGTGGCTCGGCTGTTGTTGGAGGATCTTAATCTCCCATTAAGCGATTCTGTTTCCGACTGGAGCTCGAGTTTGCTTGCCACTGTTTCACATGCCAGTAAAACTGACGATATCTCTTTGGCTCAAGTAGCGTTGTCCGCCTTTTTAGTTTCTGTTGATAGAAGTGACAAAGCACAGAAGATGGTAATGGAGAAGGGACTTCCGCTGATGAGAGATAGTGCTAGGAAAACGAGAAAGCACAAAGTAGTGCAAGAAGGTTTGTCAAAGGCTCTAGAATTACTCTGTGCTGGTGAGATGCATTTATCTCTTGAGGAGAGCCAGAAATGGTCCGGCATACTACTCGCATGGGCTCTTGGAAAGGTAGCATCTGACACTGTTCAGTCTTCAGCAAGAAGAATCCTTTCACGTACTTTTGAGGACTATGGACCACACTCTATACCGATTTCTCAGGGATGGTTAACCCTTATCATGAATGAGATTTTGAACCACAGCAAGTCGTTGTCAGCTAAAGGAGCTAGCCAACCTAAAACTGAGAAACCAAAGGTGCGTAAAATTTTATGGTCATTGATTCTGTTATCTAAACAGAGAATAGTTGAAATGCTTACTAGTTTTAGCTTACTTACATCTTTCGGTTTTAGATGTACTTGATAACATATATGTTATTTTGATTATACAGGTAGATCTGTCAAAAGTTGCTTCTGCTACTCAGTCAACCAATCAGCTAGCTGGGGCAGTTGTTAGTCTTGCCATGGCTCAACTGGGTACAGTCACAGATTCTATCAATAATGTTCCACTGGCGGATCTGCTCCTTTCAGAGCCTTTTGCGGTACCGATTAAGAATTTAAAGAAGGACCACCCCCCTAAATTTAATGCTGCTGAGTCTGCATTGGCAACACTGAAGGCCATCAAGTCACTGACTGATGTTTGCGCTGAAGATTCTGTATGCCAGAACAAAATAGTTGATTCTGGTATTCTTTGTTTGCTAAGGCGCTTTCTGTTATCTGATGATTATGAGAAGCTTGGTGCAATAGAAGCTTATGATGCATCCAGAGCCCTTGAGGCTCGAGAGCGAGCTCCAGATAGTCCTGGGGAATCATCAGTCACAGATATACAGGATCCATCTAGTGTTAGAGTTCCAGCTAGTGCACACATTCGAAGGCATGCTGCTAGATTACTAACCATTCTTTCGCTTCTTCCGCATGTCCAGAAGGTCATTTTCGCTGATGAAACATGGTGCAAATGGCTTGATGATTGTGCTAAAGGAAATATTTCCGGTTGCACTGACCCTAAGACACAAAGTTATGCAAGGGCTTCTCTGTTAAATGTATGTTGCAATCAGCAAGATGGTAGTGGATCTGGAAACGGTGACAGTTCCAAGCCAGACATCTCAAACACGAACAGTAACTGTCCTCGCTATGGAGACATGATATTTCTTATTAATCCCGGCCTACCCCATTGGAAGTGTCCTGAAAAAGAACATCAAAATGGTAAGAAAAATGAATCATCAATTGAAGGTGAACCAAAAGATGCTGCTTATACTGCCGGAGATCATGTCGCTGATGATAGCGATCTGTCTAGTTCCATGGATCCTTCGAGTAGTGGTTCACGTGTGCATGATCCTGAATTCGATGTTATCTTTCTTCATGGTTTGCGTGGTGGACCCTTTAAAACCTGGCGAATATCTGAGGATAAGTCCTCTACCAAATCTGGCTTAGTGGAGAAGATTGACCAGGAAGCAGGAAAGATGGGAACGTTTTGGCCAAGCGAGTGGCTTTCAAATGACTTCCCTCAAGCTCGCTTGTTTACCCTTAAATACAAGGTATGTCTGAGTTTTATGCTCATGCCTACTGAATGCAGATCTTTGTAACTGTTTGATCTATATGCTGTGTACTTATCCGTTCTCTGGTGCATCCAGCATTGATGGTTGCCAATTTGATTCTCGTTGAAATATTTTGATACAGACAAACCTCACAGAATGGTCTGGAGCTACGTTGCCTCTTCAGGTACGTTCTTCACTATTGATTGCTTTCGGAAGTTGTACGTTTCATATTAAATTTTGGGAGTCGTATTTTGCAACAAGTTATATGGTGGGATTTTGCAAAATTGCAGGAAGTTAGCTCTATGATATTGGAAAAGCTCGTCTCTGCAGGCATTGGAGAGCGACCTGTTGTTTTTGTGACTCACAGGTCTGAAATATCTTATGTGGACTGTCTTAAGTATATTTCCTATAGCAAACTTATTTGGTTTCTCATTTGTGATTATTCTTGCTGATCAGTTCTTAGCTAAGAGTTATTATACATAAATTTCTGATCAAAAACATTCATCTTGTAGTATGGGAGGACTTGTGGTGAAGCAGATTCTACACAAAGCAAAGGAAGAAAAACTTGATAAACTAGTGAATAACACTGCTGGAGTTGTATGTATACTAAAAACTTAACCATCGTATCTCTCTGTCTTCTCGAGCTTTGTCTTAGATAATTTCCTCATTGAAAATAATGTCAAAAACTTTTACCACACTTTCAGGTATTCTACAGCTGCCCACATTTTGGCAGCAAGCTAGCAGATATGCCCTGGCGAATGGGTCTTGTGTTGCGCCCTGCTCCATCTGTAAGTAATACTATTCATTGATTGAGCTGATTTAAAAGTCCTTTGCTTCATCTCCATATCTCCATAGCTAATCAACCTTATTATGGTTGATGAATTGTGATAGATAGGGGAGCTACGAAGTGGTTCTCCAAGACTAGTGGAGCTCAATGATTTGCTTCGCCAGCTCCATAAGAAAGGATTTCTAGAAGTCCTTAGTTTCTGTGAGGTTTGTTCATTTGTTCTTATGAGTCTCTTTAGATTGTAACATCACATGACTCTGTTGGAATAACTCTGTGATGATTGTCTAATAATCTTACTGCAGACAAAAGTAACCCCAATTGTGGAAGGCTATGGAGGATGGGCTTTCCGGATGGAAATCGTGCCAATTGAATCAGCATACCCAGGATTTGGTGAACTTGTTGTAAGTTGCTCCATTTATATATTCTCCTTTTTGAACTCTAATTGCAACTTCCAAAACAGTTGGTTTAACTTGGGATACACGAAACAGGTGTTGGAGTCAACAGACCATATAAATTCATGTAAACCACTGAGCCGCTCTGATCCTTCATATACTGAGGCGTTGCAGTTCCTGCGCAAGCTCAGCTCGCACCGCTCGAGATCTCATGCAAAACGGGAATCTGGGATACATGATTGATTAACCACGATCGTTTTGAACCAAAATCTTGTAACTAAAAATCTTTTGATAATCTCCGAATGTTTTAGTAGAAAGAAATGCACTATAGCTAATTTAGGGAATTTGTAGGAAACATAATCATTGTTTTGAAACTATCTTTTGATGATTTTTTGTAAATACTTGACATAATCGTTTTGAACCAAAAACTTCGCGTTTTGTGGCATATGCTAATCGTTTCTAATAAAGAAACCATATATTATGTTTACATAATTGAGATTCAACACGTGGCTTTGTTTTGAGCTGTGGGATCGGTTCTGAAGCAGATCAAAGACGCTTTGAATCTCATTCACGTGTAACTTTTGTACATTTTTAGATAACAATGATGGTTTTGGACATTCTAAAACGTTGAACTATATGATAATCAAAATTGGCGGACGACGAATACGAATTTTCTAAACCAAATAAAAACATATCATTTCCTGAAACTAAAGAACAAAAACACATTTATTGTATCATTTAAAAACACATTTAATGTATCATTTCCTAAAACTAATGAACAAAAACACATGTCTTGTATCATTTTCATATTCTTATTCGGAAAACTTGTTTAATGGTATCTTTTCCTTTTTGGTTAATTACAAGCTAAAAGAAAGTTCCGAAATAAAAATTATAGAAAAGAAAACAAGAACATGATTACAAATAAAACTTGTTTAATGATATCTTTTCCTTTTTGGTTAATTACAGCACAAGCTAAAGTTCCGAAATAAAAATTATAGATAAGAAAACAAGAACATAATTACAAATTAAAAGGTAAGCTTGCGTAAGTTACTTGAAGCTTGCGTAAGTTACTTGAAACTTCAGAGGCTAATCAAAAAGAAGAAATAGAAAAAATGAAGTTAAGTCATCAAGAAGACTTAGAGAAAGTGAGAATCAAACAAGAAGAAGAAACTAAGAAGATATGGGAGGAGCTCGAGACAAAATCCACCAGTGAAGACTTCACTTCCCGCGTGAAGTCGGTGTGTGCTGCATTTGCTGATGTTTTTGCTCAACCGTTGCTTAATCTCATAATTCTAATTGGAAGTCAAGTACCGACCTTGATAACAGAGTAAACGTTTGCTGATTGCAACATACATTTGTGGTTTTTTAAGTCGTGTGTTTCTCAGATTTTATGCTTTTCATTGTTTTAGTCTTATCCTCTTATAGTAACTATTCACGTGTGATTAAAAACTGAAATCGTAAACTAACATCCTTTCCAGTTTTTTTTTATTCATTTTAAAAATGAAAATGACATTCCACTACGGATGAAAGATGATCAAGGATATTGACTCTGAATTACCAAAACCACTAACAGAATTCACAAAGACAAATCACAAAACTACATTGACTCAACTTCATTGACTTCAATTTCCATCGTGTTCTTGGTTGATATTATTCTTTTTATTTGTCTTTTCTTGTTTTCTCTTAATTAATTAACTTTCTTTAGTACAACCGAAAAAAAAAATCAATCACGTGACTTGTGGAAGCAAGGCAACGCGTTACAAAAGCACGTGACGTAGCGTATTTGGTGGCCATTTTTAAAAAATCAAATTCTGGGAACTTTACAGGTGAAACCCAATACTCATTTGACAAGTGTCCTAGTTTCCTTCTTCCTCTTTTTCTCTCCTCCCTAACAACCCTCCCGTTTTCGTGGTATTACTACTTTGCCATCAAGTCGCGCTGCTGTGTTCTTTTTTAATTTGACGTGAGAAAGTTGGAAGTGTAACTTACAAAATAAACAGAATGATAAAAACTTTACATTTATCTTCAGTCATACATTGTGGATAAATTTAGTTTTTCTTTAAGAAAAAAACTATACCCCACGTATGCCATATCATGATATCAATGCCATTATGCCAATGTATGATGAAATAAATTAATGGACGTATCACGTATGTGGCGTATCATTAGACGAACTCGTATTTCATTATTCTGCATGAAATGCTTTTGCAAATTTTAAAATAAGAAAACAAAAAGAGCATGTTTAGGGGTACTTTGGCCAATTTGCAAGAGAGATAGCTGTTAAATGACTTGTTCTCCAAGTTGGTAGTGCAAGATCTTGTTACCTATAAAAAGGGAAGCTGGGATAACAAATTTTTTTGATACTTCTGACTCTGAGACGCTTTGGGCGGAGAAGAGATATATAGAAGAGAAGCTCTAAGGTGATCATTCTGTTCAACACCACTGATTAGTTAAGGTAATGATTAACGTGCTAATCTCTTTGATGAATCATTAGTTCATTTTAATCATCATTTTATACTTTTGTCAAGCAAGCTCTATATCAAGTCGTTACCTAAGAAGATTCACCAATTATTGTTAGACTACATATCCATTCATCCCCAAATAAATAAATTTGATATTTATTCCTCTAACTAGACAACCATTTGTACTTTCACATCATTTATAGATATTAGTGGCATGCAGTAGTATGGAAGAAGATGAATTTAGCAACACAATTTTGTTAGAAAATCGAAGAACACAAAATCACCTGACATATTTAATTACTTAAGGAACATTTTTAAAATGTGATTACTATATAAAAAAGGCAGCGTTGCTTGATTTCATTGTAATCCAAAAAGAAAGAATCGAAGAAATGGATCTAATCTACATTTGAATTAAAGTTTGTTATTTTTTTTTGGTAAAAAGGTGGAAGCTTGTTGAGGAAACTTACTCAGTTACTCGTCCATCAATTTATAATCTGGTTTTCGTTTTCACACATCAACCTATTTTCCGTAACTAGTCTTTGCTTCGTATCATGCTCGTTTTCTCAATCTTAGGGTATAAGTTCCGGAAACTATGTATGTCAGCATATCATTAATCACATGTTCGCATTAGTTAATTAGTTAATCAAGAATCATTAGACTTTCTTGATTCAAAATCCTTAATTAGTAATGGTCGACAATCACTAGATTCTTTTTTTAAAATATGTTCTCTTATCTTTCTTGTGTGCCTTGTTTACTTTTTTCTTTGGCTTAATTTACATTTAACTTTCTGTATCAATTAATATACATTTACTGTCTTTTTTTTACTCTTTTTAATTTACATTTACTCTTAACCTATTGGCCATTATATACACTTTTTCTTTGTATGAATGAGATATAATTCGAAGCCTCGTTCCTTTAAATTATTAAACTGTTAGCATTTAGAATATCTAACGAGTGAAGAAACAAATGATAGTGCGGCCATATGCTATTATGCTCTGCCTACATTGAAATAAAATGTATCTAGTTTACTCATGTATTTAACAAGTCAACACAATATTAAATGCAAAACTTAACGTGTACGTGCTTAAGTTAACGCACATAACAGTTTGCGTAGGGCCATAAATAGTTTAATTTAATCATCACAATCCAGATCTTCTTATCGATTTTTATCACGTTTGAGGAAATGAATCTATATAATTAAACTCTATATATACATAACATTATTATATTATAGAGTCCGAAGCATGAACAACTCAAACAGTACTACGTAATATTCTATGCCGTGAATGTTATTCACAACTAAAATTTTGTCATCATCCGTATATGTCTTGCTTTTCTCGCATGCTTTTGTTATTTTGTTATACAACTATCTACGAATGTTTTTTAACTAATTAACTAGAAATATATACGTATTTTAAGTGATTAATTCGAAAATTGTATGTGTTGTTTGTTTGTTATACTTTTGTAGATTACAATCTACGTTTGGTAAATGGTAATACACCGTTCACGATTACACGTGGTAGTTAACTAGATATAATTTGCGTATTTTTTACATTACATTTAAAATTTCAAACGCAAAAGACTGATGTTGTCAATATACATAGTAATAGATTTTGTGAAACCTTTTTTCCTTTACGTTGTAGATTTGACACGCGCATAAAAACAAAAAGAGTAGCATAGAAAAATGATTTTTTGTTATATAATAAGCATTTGCGTAGGCAAAAAGGCGGCTAAGTAGAGAGAGTAAACGTTTGCTTCCCGCGTTATACAAAGCTCTAATTCTCATCATCCTCATGCGTGCAAGCTATTTTCCATTTCCTTTAACGATTCTCATTCTTACTCTCTTCAAGCTTCTTCTTTCTCTCCCCTCATCATTTCTTTATTATTTCTTTTTCCCTTTTTCTTTTCTTTTCCCGGAAAATTATCTCTGTTGTCGTCTCTCCTGATAAGCCCGACCACAAGTTTATCCTTTAAAACATACCTTTTATTTTGGTCAATAGATTCTTCAATATTTTGTACGCATCTCTATGTTAAAGAACTTCTTTGTTCATATTTTCAGATCAATCAAATTCGGTGAGTTTCTAAGAGAAAAATGGGAAACCACACAAGCAAAAAGTCTTCACAGGAGACATCGGCTAAGACCACGACAACGAGCATGCAATACACGACCGAGCTGAGGTCGTACGAGGCTGCATGTAAAGCAGACACGGAGCTGCAATCATTCGACACGTGCATGCAGGCACGGACGAGCCACGTGATAAGCACGCTAGCTACGGGTGTTGAGGTTCGAGCGCTCTCGTTCGATTCTCTCAAAGAAGTGACGGAATGTTTGCTTGAGATGAATCAAGAAGTGGTGAAAGTGATATTGGACTGCAAGAAAGATATTTGGAAGAATCAAGAACTGTTTGAGCTCGTTGAAGATTACTTTGAGAACAGCTTGAAGACGCTTGACTTCTGTGCTGCTTTGGAGAAAGGATTGAGAAAAGCTCGTGATAGTCAGCTTTTGATTCTTGTTGCTCTTCAGCAGTTTGAAGACGAGAGCCTTGTTGAAGGTAAAGTTTCAATTAGGGATGGGGCAAATGCTTCATTTGTCATTAGTGATGGGACAAATCAAAGTTGTTTTCATTTTCGTTTGTCTTAAGTCTTAATTCCATTTTTTAAATTTTGACTTTAATTCTTTTTGTTTTGGTGTTGATTTCTACGCAGGTGGGAATGGATACGAGAAGACGCTTGAGGAGCTGAAGAATTTCAAAGACGCAGAGAGTCCATTCAGCGAAGACTTCTTCAAGATGTTCCAATCTGTGTACAAACAGCAGATGCTGATGCTTGAGAAGCTACAGCTTCGCAAGAACAAGCTTGACAAGAAGCTCAAATCCATCCACACATGGAGGAAACTCTCAAGCATCATCTTTGTGGCTACATTCGCCACAGTACTCATCTGCTCTGTCGTGGCTGCAGCCATGGCGGCTCCTCCTGTGGCTGCGGCTCTGGCTGCAGCTACAGCTGTGCCGCTGGGATCAATGGGGAAATGGATAGACTCGCTGTGGAAGAACTACGAGAATGCACTCAAAGGACAGAGAGAGATCATCAGTTCGATGCAGGCGGGGACATATGTGGCGGTTAAAGATTTGGATAACATCCGGGTTCTGATCGAACGGTTGGAGATTGAGATCACGGGGATGGTGAAGTGTGCGGAGTTCGCTGTGGAGCATGAAGCAGTAAGGACTGGGATCGATGAGATTAAGAAGAAGCTTGAGGTGTTTAAGAAGAATGTGGAGGAATTGGGGGTTCAAGCTGATTTGTGTAGCAGAGATATCAGAAGAGCAAGGACTGTGATTCTCCAGAGGATCATCAAGCATCCAAACAATGCTAGTACCAGCACCTGAAATGAAAACACAGACAGATGCAAAAGGGACTCAGTTTCTCTTCTTCAGCTTCCTGCTGCAAATAATGAAGTGTTCTTAAAAGGCTCTATAAAGTATAATAGCACAGACATATTCTTTCTGAGTTCTATTTATCAATGTTAAATAACTCAAAACTGTTTATTATGAATGTTGTATTTTCTGTTTTCTTTGATGATTGAAAACAATGGGAGACAAGTCTTTTCATATTTGAGAGACTTGGTACCTAACGTTTCTGCAATGAGTTTATGAATCTGTGATGATATCAGAGTCAGCAAATATACTAAAACGAACTCAAAAGTACACTTACATTATGAGTTTGAAATCTGAAAACTAAGGCCTTAGGGAAGTTAGTTAAAGGAATTCAATCCACAGAAGAGACTTGATCATAAGTCTTTAACTCTCTACCAATGCCCAAACCAATATTTTAGACCAATTCCTAATACTTCAACTCGTTAACCAACATTTCCTTTTCACCTTCAGCTCTCAACTAACTGACATAAGGTAGCTACAACTTTCCTGCATCCCCCCTAGGCTACTTACAAAAACCTTGCACTAGACTTAACAAGAACTATCACAAGAGAAACAATCACATTGGTTTTAAAGCTTAATCTTACATTGTGAACAAGAGAAATACATGCCAACTTGAGAAAATTTACTTACCTCAGACAGCTTGGCTTCGGTGATAACTGTATTGATGGTAACAGTAAAGGTCTGCAGGTAATTATTTAGCAAACTACATTGGCTTCATTTCTCTCTTCTTTTGGAATTCCTTCACGCTTCTAAACTCAGAAAAAAACATATCCTTTCTTCTTGCTCTCAGTGCCAAACTCATTGCAAACTGAAACTAAGATAAAGCTATGAAACAAGCATCTCTATGAGAAGAAGACTTATCCATTGCATAAAACATGGGTTAGAAATTCTCATTCCTTCAGTACCAAAAACGTAACCATAACATAATCCTGTAAAGAAAAAAGGCTACAAATCACAATTCTCAAAAACTACACTACACAAGACTGTAACGAATCACTTATTTTACAACTGATTGAGATCCACCGGATTCTCCATACACTGCCTCAAAATGAACTCTGCTCTCCTCCTCTTGTCATCTCTATCCTCTTCACGCACAAAGGATAAAGCTCTATCTTCACCTTTCCTCTGCAGACTCAAATCCAACGGCTCTCCAAGAAACTTCCTCTCGGTTCTAAGCTTAGAAAGAACATCAGGCTTCTTCTTCTTCTTCCACTCAGTGTTAACTTCATCGCAAAACACATCTCTTGCAGCCTCCATTGCAGGAGCAAATGCCTCAATCACTGATAACCCATCTCTCTTCAAAGACTCAACTTTCTCCCCTGAAATCGAAGGCGAAGGCGCTTCACTCTCAGCTTCTCTCATCTCTACTTTCACAGTATCCATATCTCCCCAAACAGAGTTCCCTGAGGAGATTTTACAAACGAACTTCCTCTGCAAACTCAACAAAGCTCTCTCCGCCTTCCGTCTCTGCCTCGCCTGTTCAATCTTATCCCCTCTAGGATCTGAAGCCCTCTCGATCCACATTGGTGTTTCCTTATACGTATGAGGATCGGGAAACGCAGGTAGCCAAAGAGGAATGTGTTTCCCCGGCGGAGTTTCACCGATATCAACAAAACTCGGAATCATCATCGTCTTCTTCGAGCTACCATCGCTAATCGCTACAGGGAAACGCGGCAACGGCTGTGGAAACGGGATTTCTTCACTCGAATTCACGAAATCGATGATTTCCTTCAATTTCACCGATCGCACAGCGGAACAGCTCTCCGGCGAGATTTTTTTCTCGTCGGCATCGCCGGTGAAATCTTCCAAGGCGAGAGCGATGTCGAAGACGTTACACTGGCTCCTGCCGTTTAGGTTAGCGAAGGAGGTGGCGGTTTTACCTAGCTGGAGAATGTACTGGACTGCGAATCCGGCTAGGGATTCGAGAGCTGGGTCTTTGAAATGCTCGTACCCGACGCTCTCGCAGACCTGAGCTACTGCAACTTTTGCGGCGGCGAGGCTAAACTCGTAGGAGCCGGAGCAGCTAGAGGAAGAAGCTGGTAGATCGATTTTATCACCTTCTCGTGTTGCTCTCTCTTCGCTCATTGCTCGAAATTTTTGCAATTACCTATCTAATTTCAGAAATTAGGGCTTTCTCATTGCTCAGGCAGTAGTTACCACCAGGAGAAATAGTTCTGAGGATGAATTTGCCGGCGTAAACGGAAAACAGAGAAAACCTAACGACGGTGTACCGGGAAATAAGAAGAAAAGTAAAAAGGAAAGAGAGGGATTCGTTAGGAAAGAGAAAATGGGTCTTGAGAATTTTGCCATCTCTGGTTTTATAGCAACCAACCTCAAAATTAACCACCAAATTTTTGTTTGTTCGAATAAATCAAATTTAATTGCCTAAATCTCATTTAAATGTTGGAAAAAATTATGAAAATGGTTTCTTATGTCTAATTGTCTAAATGATCAAGATGCTTTTCTTAATTTTTTTTTTCCAAATTATCACTAAGTTGTTGTTGTAGTCACAATCATTAAAGTTTTTTTTCAAAAAAAATAAACATGAAAATGACATTGCTACACTTTATTTGTGCGTTTAGTTACCATTAGGGAGGGACATTTACTGGAGAAGTAAGGATGAAGTAGTATTGACTTTGAGTTACAAAACCAATTACAAAAGTTACAAAGACAGATCGTAAAACTAACATTTATTTTTAGTACACTCTTTGACATAACGACAATGTATTTGAACACAGCCACAAAGACTGAATCAAGCCAGCTGCAGCAACTCTTCACGTTTAATATCGAACACCTTCACCAAAACATCTTCCACCACCTGAGAAACTCACAAAAGTTATTATATTCACATGTCCATGGCACAACTTAAAGGAACCAAGAACAGCTGCAAATGGAAATGAACATTTTACCTTATCTGGTGTTGATGCACCTGATGTCACACCAATAGTTATTGGCCCCTTTGGAAGAAAGTTCTCCTTCTCAACCAACTCTCCGTACTATCAATGTACAAAAGAAAAAGATCTCGGTGAAAGCATATTCGCGGAAGAAATGAGTAGTGAGTATTTAAATGGTTGTGATTAGGCACTTACGTGGAGCTTATAGGCTATTTTGTTGCCAGGACCTATCCGTTGCTCACTGTCGATCCAGTAAGATGGGATCCCACGAACCTCTGAAATCTCCTGAAGGTGAGAAGTGTTGCTTGAATTCCACCCACCGACCACTAGCATGAGGTCAATCTTCTCTTCCACAAGCTCATAGATCGCGTCTTGCCTCTCCTGGAAAACGATTAGGAGTTGATGATGAATAAACACTACTTAAAAGTTAAAAGCTCGTTTTATATAGATGACTTTGAGATTTTAGGGAAATTTTACTTGAGTCGCATCGCAGATTGTGTTGAAGCTGATGAAATGTCCGTTTACGTTTTCCACTCCATACTTGCGCATCATCGTCCTCTCAATCAATTTCCCTGAAGGTTGGCATCAGACTCAGACTATAAGATGTTTGTTTCCAAAAATTTAAAGCAGTGTAGTAGAGTAACTAACTAACTAATTAACTAACCTATCTCCTCTGTTTCTCCCTTGAGCATTGTTGTCTGGTTTGCGATACCGACTTTGATAAGGTCCTTGTCAGGATCAAAACCCTTTGACACAGCATATTTGAATTTCTACAAACGCCACCATAGATATTAGTACAGAAGAACATCAATCTAAAGAGAGAAAATGTTGAAAATTAACTCGTTACCTCCATGAATTCCTCTTTTGTGGAGCTAGATCCATCGAGTTGACCACCAAGAATGTAATCACAAACGTAATTCGCCTGTTCTCTCAGTAAATAAGGTACACATCAGCAACAGTCTTTCGCAAAATTCTACGATTAACAAAAAAAAAATTGACAGTGTAAAAGTCACACCTCTTTCATGTTCTTGACAATGACGTACTTTCCTGCAAAAGATGCGGTTGCGATGGTCTCTTCGTGATCATATTTACCGTGAATCATCGATGTGTATTCACCCTTCTTGTGCTTCTCAACCATGTTCCACACCTTTACAGCCACAAATGTCAATAAAAAGGAAGAATGAAATTTGAGACAATACAAAATTTGTCATGGATTATGTCAGAGTGGAGGAAATGTACCTTTGTGACCCAAGGACAAGTGGTGTCGACAATTTGGACCTTTTTATCATTGAGAAGATACATCTCATCAACACCAGCTCCAAACGCAGGAAGGATAACCACATCATCTTTCTCTACTACATCAAACTGCTTCTTCGAATCCTCTACCGGAATAATCTTCACATCCATTTCTTCTAATCTCTGCCAAAAAAAAAAAACCAAAAAGGTTCATACTTTATACTAAAAGAAGAGTAGCAAGGTCATCAAAGGTATCAGAGCATAGTGACTAACAGACAGACCTTATTGACTGTGGGGTTGTGAATGATTTCGTTAGTAATCCAAAGCCTTTCCTCTGGAAACTGCCTTCTTGCTTCGTATGCAATCTGAACAGCACGCTCCACACCCCAGCAAAAGCCATATGCTTTTGCGAGTTTCACGGTAACATCTCCCCAGGAATATGTATATCCATTGGTTTTCAGTGTCTCCAATACATCACCTGAGAGTGTCAAACACAATAACAATATCAATTGCTGCTCACAACAACTTCAAAAATCTATTATAAACCCAAAAGGGTACAACTTTTTCTACTTCATGCTTGTTAGGTTGCCAAAATTCAATTTCTGAAGTAAACCCAACATTGTGGTCTTCACTATAAGAAAACTAATCTATCGGAACAGGAATAGAATCCATTTCCAACAACAAACCCAAATCTGCAATTTTTATTTCAGCTCAATCAAACAGTGAATTATTTTCCTTTTACTTTCTCGAGTACCAAAACAGAGCAGGCGCAATCAGCAAAAAAGAGGAACTTACTGGTGTACTCGCGATTCATGAGCTTGAGTGTCTCCTCCTTGTAACCGAACCCTTTGCGATTGTAATTATCGCTTCTCGTGAGGTTCTTACGGAACGTCTTCGCGTCAAAATCGGAGTCCATCACCCCGGATGGAGAAGAAGCGTTCTCATCTCCAGAGGAACACCGGACTGACAAAGATTTCCGGCGCCGGAGAGATCCCGATCCGGAGAGATGACTCTGCAGCACGAAAGTATCCGGGCGAACGCATAATCGGCAGAACTGGAGCGCAACAGCCATGGAGAGAGTAGAGAAGCAACGACGATGCTGACTGTAAATTCTAATGGATGGTCCACGATTTATCTCTTTGCATATATGATATCATATATGTAGTGTGTATTTTAAAAATTGACGGAAAACAAAAAAGGATAAGTGTATTTGGAAATTCGTGTAAAATGCAACCAACCATCCACGTGTTGACATGTAAATTTTATGTCTTATTTTGGGGATTTTTTTTCGTTTTTGTTGAAAATACTCGAAAAGAGAGATTCGATCAGACAATCGAAAGTGAAGTCTTGCGGTTGCAAATTTATGTTTAAACACTTAAATGATGTCTGATTGCTGTGATTGTGAATATAAAGGCCTTGAATGGAGGTACCGAACGGATACAGATCCAGTCCAAATAAAAACAGATCAGCCTGCATTTTATTCTCCATTCACAACATAAATACAGATCAAAAAGAAAATAATTAAAAAATAGACCATCTGTATGCAGGCAATTTTTTCTTGTCTTTTAGTGATAAATGTAGGCCAAATAGAAAGGCTGTAAAAAGAGCCTGTACGTTTACAGATCTGAATATTTTTTACAGATCTGATTTTTTTTTAGTTGCTAAAAAACGTTTTTCCTTTATTATTTTAAATTAATTACAAATGTTAGATTTCTACACACTTATATACTATAATATTTCAATAAAATGTATAATTATCTGATTCTCTCAAATTTAGACTATGTTCTATAATTCCTTTTTATAATTTGTGTAATAATATTTGTATTTATTATTTTTTGATAAATAACTATATACCATTAAATATATTACTTTTTCTAAAATCAAATTCTAGAATAACCACAATCTTTGTTTTGCATGTTCATAATTTTTATATACATTCCGTGTTAAAATTTTATAAATATAATTAAATAGCATCATAAAATATATATATATATACATATAATAGACACTCTATATACTGCAATCATAAACTCATAACCGGAAATTATGAGACTCTTTCATTTGTTTAATAATATATTTCTTTTTATTGAGCATTAATTTTTTATATGAATTAATTTCTATAAATAATTAAATATGAATAAATATAATAATTTTTGAGATTGTTTGAAATATCTCTATAAATATGTTTACAAACATGAAAATTCAAATTTCAATTTTATTAAGTGGTATATAACATTATAAATCAGTATAATGAATTTGTGTAAGGTATTTTATAAATTATATTCTAATTGTGAATATTTATGAAAAACAAACAAATTACATCTACATAAAATGTGGATCTTTCGGATAACCAGTCGATTTTGAGTCGGATTCGAATAACATTTTTTTCTCATGTTTTTTTTTCTATTTCCACATTTTATGTAGATGTAATTTGTGTTTTTTCATAAATATTTACAATTAAAATTTTCATAAATATCCAGATATTTTTTAGTTAGTCTCGGATTCTCAGGTAAATTTTTGGTTTTTAAAGATACATTTTCGGATTTCGAATATTTGTTTTGTGTATTTTAGATTTTTGGTTAATAAATACTCAAACTGGCTCAAAATTGGCTGAAATAAAAAAAAAACTCAGGTATTTATTGGTTTTCTAAAATTAATAATCGAACCGATCATCTTTCGATTTTTCTATAAGTATAAAATTTCATTGTCCGAATGACTCAAACTTAAATAACAAATATGTAACAAACATAAAACCTGAAATATTTATAATATTTTTATATTATATATTTGATCTGTATTTATTCTGCATTTGTTCTTGATCTGTATTTGTTAGTATGATCTGTATTTACTGTTTGATCTGTATATTTTGATCTGCGTCATTATTCGAAGCCAAAAAGACTCTAGATTGTTTGACAGTTTGTCATCCTGCTATATCCTCCTAGACATTGCTTTGTTCATGCGCTACAAAATTACCTCTTTAACCTTTCGTAAAACACCTGATCGCATAGCTTCACATGGGCTTGAGGAACGAGCCCGTTAATATTTGGCCCATATGTTACATAACAAGTCCACTTAAGCGCCAGATGTTAGTTACTGACAATCATCATCACTTCCTCTGATTTCTTTCTTTTGGTTTCACAAGTTAATGATGAGATTAGTGAAAGGGGTTTAGGGTTTATGCCAGAGAAATCGACCAAGCCCAGCGATGGAGTCTAATTCGGATCCAAAATTAAACCCGGATACGAATTCCGTCGGTCCTCCTTCTGCTCTGACCTATCTCGATCCTCACTACTGGTACGAATTGCATTCAGCTAGAACAATTGCTCTCTCTCGCTTTCTCTCTGTTTCTGAATGTCCCTGGAAATGCAGGGACGAGAGGTTCACTTCGGAGGAACACTATGAATGGTTCAAAGACTACTCTCATTTCCAGCATCTCATCAATGCCAACATCAAAACTTCTTCTTCTGTACATTCCCTTCCTCTCTCTCTGTCTCTCTTTTGTTATTCTCTTCATCGTAACGCCCCAAACCCATAGCTTTAAGTTTATGCTGCAAAGGTTGTGACTTTGAGTTTTGCTTGCTGTGATAAAGGTCTTGGAACTGGGATGTGGGAACTCTCAGTTATGTGAAGAGCTATATAAGGATGGCATTGTTGACATTACCTGTATTGATTTATCTTCGGTTGCCGTTGAGAAGATGCAGAGTCGAGTGGAGTCAAAAGGGTACAAAGGTATTGCTTACATTATAATCTGTTTTGAATACTTCCCATAGGCACAAATGTAACAAAAAACTAAGATGATTTCATTTCTTTCTTCTGATTCTAGAAAACAAACACTGAAAGTACTACCTCAGTGTCTATGCAAAATTCTTATTTTTCTTAAGCTCGATGTGTTCATATTTGACGTGAGACTCTTTGATATATATACAGAAATAAAAGTGGTGCAAGCTGACATGCTAGATCTCCCTTTTAACAGCGAGAGTTTCGATGTGGTTATTGAGAAAGGGACCATGGTAAGAAACCTGTAACGTAATGTTTTGTGGATGTGGTTCTTTCTTGAATTTTAACTAAAGGAAGCTCATGAACTTTTATTTGTAATCGTGAAGGATGTACTATTTGTGGATGCTGGTGATCCATGGAATCCACGCCAAGAAACTGTGAGCAAAGTCATGGCAACTCTCGATGGAGTTCACCGTGTTTTGAAACCAGACGGCATTTTCATTTCCATTACATTTGGGCAGGTATCTTATTATATAAGTGAATATCTGATATCATCAGATCCTTGCATTCACTCAATTATCATAAGCCTCTAAACTTGTTCTCATTGCAGCCACATTTTAGACGTCCTTTGTTTATGGATCCCAAGTTTAGTTGGTCCATGGAGTACAACACTTTTGGTGATGGCTTCCATTATTTCTTCTATATCTTGAGAAAGGTCAGCATTCAAAGAATCTTTTGCTTTAAGGGTTTTTAAGTTTGAGTTTGATTCTGATTCTGAATGCCCTTTGCTTTTGACTTGTGATATTCAGGGAAAGAGACAAAATGATGAGAAAGAAGAAGATGGGAAATGCAGAGATCCATCAATATCCATGTATCAAGATGAACTTGAAGGCGAAGACTACCTTTTCAGAACACACATCGATGATGACGAGGATTAGGACAAGAGTAACGTTGAGTTTAGTTGCTGTTCCTGTGTAATGATGTTTTGTTTATGTTTGATTTGTCATTTTAGAATCAATCTTTGTGTTCTTTTCGACAAAGTAAAGCCACACACTTCATGTTATATAAACCACAATTGGAAACATTCATGGTTTATGCAATGTATCGGATTTTAAACTATAATCTGAACTGAAACTAAAATCCTAACAAGCTTTATTCAAATACTGTAGATTCGAATTGACTTTGACTACTAATCCTAACAAAATGTAATTTGGGAGATGGATTTGTAAGAATTCTTAAAATTTTCAGAAACTCTTGTTATTGGTTTATGGATTGGAACAATCTTATTAAAATATGTTATTATTGGTTTAATGATTTTAAGTGTCCACCTAAAATCCATTGTTATTCAAAAATTTTGTGTTCTAATGATTTCAAGAATCCATTAAAATCCTTGTTATTGGGACATGTATTTTAAACAATTTAACTCATGGAATAAGATTTCCAAAATACCACCTATAACCCTTAGATTTTCAAAATCCATTATGACAAAATATTTTGATTGATTTTATGAATATACAAATTTTCTCCAAATCTAACATAAACTCTTAATAAATTTAACAAATCTTTTAACTCTTAAAATTTATCAAGTCTAGATAAATTCATCTCCCACTAAACCCCCCCCCCCTAAGTTGTCCCAAATTTTTTATAGAACATATCATTAAGAAAAAGTTTCAATTTTTTTTTATCTTTTCTATAAAAGACATTTTTCCATATCACTGGAAAAATACAAGATAAAAAACTCAAATTCACAACATTGCAAAACCCGAATTGAAAACCAAAATTCACAAAAATTAAAAACCCAATTCCTAGAGGTCCAAAACGTCGACGTGTATTGATTTGCATAAAAGGTGAGAAAGAGGAAAATCCTTTCGGCTTCTCTCTGGCTTCTCTCTCTGTAAACGAAACTTTGTCGATGATCTCATTCACCGGAATATCTCCCTTCTTCGTCTCTACTTGTCTCTCTCTTCTACTCTGTTGATCGCATAACTTTATTCTTTATTAAACTTATTCAGAGTCGTTTCTTCCCCAATTGTGATCGATGGATGGATACTTCTCCGCTGAAGAAGAAGAGGATTACGATTACTCCTCCGATCAACACTCTTTGGACGGGATTGATAATGATGATTCCGATTTGCATCCTTCCTCTTCCAAAAAATCATCCACCCAGGTTCTTCGATCCTCTCTCTTTTGTTGTAACCCATCACTCCTTTGATTTGCTGATGCTGTTTCCTATCGCTGCTTTTCTCTTCTCCCGGAATTTTGCTTTTTTGTTAAAATTTTGAGCTTTTATAATTGAAATTCGATGATTTCGATTGCAATTGTGACTATAGTTTGCTTCGTCAGTCGAAATATTGATTGATTGATTTTTCGACATTTTGACTTGCTACTGTGTTAACAAAGCCCAGGGCTTGTTTGTTTGCAGGTCATCACTCAGGAATCGCTCCTGGCAGCACAGGTAAATGGGTGTCAGAGATGATTCTTGTGGAACGTTTTTCGATTTTGATGCTCTCTAATTGGTTGTTTTTCTGTTTTAAAGAGAGAAGATTTGCAGAGGGTGATGGAATTGTTATCTGTTAAGGAGCACCACGCGCGTACGCTTCTCATTCATTACCAATGGGATGTGGAGAAGTTGTTCGCTGTGTTTGTTGAGAGAGGAAAGGAAAGCTTGTTTTCTGCAGCTGGTGTTACTGTGTATGACTATCGTCAATATGGAAACTCTTCCTCTTCTCACTCTTCAAATATGACTTGTGATGTCTGCATTGAGGATTTACCAGGCGATCAGATGACGAGAATGGACTGTGGCCATTGCTTTTGCAACACTTGTGAGTCTCTGTTGCATGAATTTGAGGATTTAACACAGTTCTTGCTTGGGTTTGAGTCTTTTGACACAGTTCTTGATTGGTTTTAGGTTGGGCGGAGCATTTTGCTGTGCAGATAAATGAAGGACAGAGCAAGAGGATTAGATGCATGGCTCATAAGTGCAATGCAATTTGTGATGAAGATGTTGTGAGGAGTCTGGTTAGTAAAAGTCGTCCGGATCTAGCTAAGAAGTTTGATCGTTTCCTTGTGGAGTCATACATTGAAGACAACAAAATGGCCAAGTGGTGTCCAAGCACTCCCCATTGTGGGAATGCGATACGAGCTGAGGATGACAAGCTTTGCGAAGTTGAATGCTCCTGTGGTGTTCAGTTCTGTTTCAGCTGTCTGTCTCAAGCTCACTCCCCTTGCTCTTGCTTGATGTGGGAGCTGTGGAGAAAGAAGTGCCGAGATGAGTCTGAGACGGTTAACTGGATAACCGTACACACGAAGCTCTGTCCCAAATGTTGCAAACCTGTGGAGAAGAATGGTGGATGCAATCTTGTTAGGTGTATCTGTGGACAGTGTTTTTGGTACCAACTCTTTTTCCTATTGTGCGAGCAAATGTTAAATGATGAAGTGTCTCTCATGTTTGGTTGTTATTTGTGTGCAGTTGGTTATGTGGTGGAGCTACAGGGATGAGTCACACTTACAGGAGCATCGCTGGTCACAGTTGTGGTAGGTACAAAGATGACAAAGAGAAGCAGATGGAGAGAGCCAAGAGGGATTTGAATAGGTATATGCATTACCATCTCCGATACAAAGGGCATATGGATTCATCAAAGCTGGAGGATAAACTCAGAGACACTATGCTTGAGAAAGTGTCAAAGTCAGAGCAGAAGGAGTTGAAAGTCAAAGACTTCAGCTGGGTCACCAATGGACTCAACCGGTTATTCAGATCAAGACGGATTCTTTCGTACTCGTATGCTTTTGCATATTACATGTTTGGTGAGGAGCTTTTCAAAGATGAGATGAGCCCTAAGGAGAGAGAGATGAAGAAGAATCTGTTTGAGGATCAGCAGCAGCAGCTGGAGGGTAACGTTGAGAAACTTTCCCAGTTCTTGGAGGAGCCCTTTGATGAGTTTAGTGATGATAAAGTCACGGAGATAAGGATCCAGATCATCAATCTGTCTGTTGTGGTGGATAGCCTCTGCAAGAAAATGTATGAGTGTATTGAGAATGAATTGCTCGGCTCTCTCCAATGTGGCATCCACAACATCGCACCTTACAGTTCAAAGGGAATCGAACAAGCAGCTGAGTTTCATGCTTCCTGGAATTCCAATGGTGCTGACAAACCACAGCCTTTGGATAGTGTTACAAGCGGTAATCAACTCTTTGGATAGTGTTTCTAGTGATGAAACAATGAATCAAAGCCTAAAGAGTTGTGTATTGTTTTGTACAGGAGAGACATCGAAGCCATCAAGGGACTCGGAAGACACCATTTGCTCTTCTTCACAGAAACGTCCCAGAAGAGAAGAAACTTTCATAAACAGCAAAAGCAAAGTCACTTTGTTGGACTTGAACTTGCCGCCTGATTTCGTCGATCAAAACTGAAATCAGTCTCAAATTAGATTTTTTGTCTTTTGTCCAATTGATGACAGCCAAAAAAAGGGGCTGGCTACATTTATTTAAAGACTCGTGACCGACTCTTTTTGTTCTTTCTTTTCTAATAGTTTTGGTTTTCATACAACTTTAGTTATGAAGTATTTTTGCTTCTTTATTTGTAGACTTCTAAATCATAGATATCTTTATTCAGCTATGAACTCTCTGGTGCTTATGAATGCCTTTTGAGGTGTAAAGTTTAAAGTCCATTGGTAGTTTTTCGAATCATTTGTTTCCATCAATTTAAGTTTTGAAACTAAACAGTGTTTCATTGGAACTTATAAGAAAGAAGAAAAAGGCTAGACTTGTTTTCTCTACCGTAAATAACTTGTTCATCAAGTTTCAGACACTCTCAAATGTTTGGCAATAGTTAAACGAGATTCACACAACATAAACAAGATAAGAGTGCAATGAGGTGAAGAGATTACTAAGAACTAAATCATAAAGTCTGATAAAGAGCAAGCCAAATCCCTCTCTCCTCACACTAACAACAACTTCTTTTTTTATTGAACACGCTAACAACATTTACAAATATCTTCCACGAATGACATGGATATTGACTGTATAAATCAAATCTTGCTTGCGCAACGAGTTAACACAAAACACGGTTTATAGATACAGACTCTCATTGTTAATTAGTTCTAAACTGGATATTTCATCCAGTATCGTAAAAGCAAGACAGAAAGAACGATTTGCTATGTAAAAAGCCAATTTAATGGAGATAAGAATAACTAGTTAAAGATAGTGGAATCATGCCTAAATATTTAGCCTAATATTATCAAGTAGTGGTGTATAGTCTTTTGACATAAATATCTGTTTGATTATATTTAGTTATTAGGAAGATTTTTATAGATACATCAAGTGTTGTGGCCGTGCAGGACAAGGACAACAAATGCTCAACAATGTGGTACATATATTTATTTATCTCTAACAAAACACAAAAAGGTGTTTAGGCAGTAAAGCTATGTGAAATGAGCTATGGAGGAGATTTAAGTACCTTTTGGCTTGCGTGCCTAATATTCCAAACGTATCTGGAGGTTCCAGATACATTTTACGAAGAGTCGAAGAATGTTCTATTTCAGTGTAATAGTGTACATGAAAATACTAAGCAAAGAAAACAAAAATTGATCGATTTAGATGAGCAAATCATAATGTTTTTTTTTTTCAAATGTGTTATAATGATATAGATATGCTTTAACATCAGAAATAGAATGATAGCTAGAGATCTATTTTTTACTATTAGTGTTCTTAAATATAACAAAATACTAATAGTAAAGTTATACATATTCTCTAATAATAAAAAATATAATGGTTCATAAGCTTAGTTAGTCAAATACATTTTCTTTCGAAAACTCGTAGAAACTTCCTCTATTAACAACCACGTGGCAAGCACCTCATCACATATCACAAGATGACCAACCTTATGATATTTTGTTTCTGTATATAAGTGTGCATCCATAAGATCAGTTGTCGCAAACCATAAACAATTCCTCAAGAGTCGTTGACAAAACAACAAACAAAAATAAAACTTCTTAAAAGTCCAAATATTCTCTACACCCTCCAATTTTCCGTCAAAATCTCCATAAAAACCTCTGTCCCTCTTTGCCAACCAAAATCTACAAACACACATGCATTATCCATCAACTTTCTTATTCATAGCTATCACAACCCAAAAAAATTCCCCCTAACCAAAAACAAGGAGAGTTTTTATCATTATTCTTTTTTTTTTTTTTTTTAAATCAAGCATTTGACTTTTGTGCTAAAGATTTGAAGAAAAGAGAGATGAGGAACGACGCAGGTGGTACAATGGTTGTTGATCTCCAAACCGATCCATATAACACTAATCACAATCGCCACGACCGAGACATAAGCGATAATGGTCACAATCACAAACCGAGGCCGAAATTTGGTGATCTCTTGAAAGCTGACCACGACGGAAATCTATTAGCTTCCGTAGATCCCATCATTGTCAACACCAACTTAACTCACCACCGGTTTAGTAGCGTCTCCGGCGCCTCAACCATGTCCATGAGCAGCGGTCCGGCCAGCGGAGAAGGCTCTCCTTGCGTAATGTCGCCTTGGGCCCGCGTGTCTCCCCCTTGGGCTGCGGATTTCAACGACGACAATGTCCTTGAGACAAATGGTCTCATTGGATCTATTGTACGTGAAGAAGGTCATATCTACTCGCTAGCCGCTTCAGGTGACCTTCTCTACACGGGCTCGGACTCCAAGAACATTAGGGTTTGGAAGAATTTGAAGGACTACGCCGGTTTTAAATCCAGTAGTGGTCTAATCAAGGCCATTGTGATATTCGGAGACAGGGTCTTTACCGGCCATCAGGACGGGAAGATCCGTGTTTGGAAGGTTTCGAAGAAAAGGCCGGGGAAGCACAAGAGGGTTGGAACATTGCCGACGTTTAAATCGATGGTCAAGAGCTCTGTAAACCCTAAGCATTACATGGAGGTACGCCGCAACAAAACCTCCGTGAAGACGAAGCATAACGACGCAGTTTCGAGTCTTAGCCTAGACGTGGAGCTAGGGTTGTTGTACTCGAGTTCTTGGGACACGACCATCAAAGTGTGGAGACTCTCCGACTCGAAATGTTTGGAATCGATACACGCTCACGACGACGCGATAAACTCGGTAATGTACGGTTTCGATGACTTGGTGTTCACGGGATCAGCGGATGGCACGGTTAAAGTTTGGAAACGTGAGATGCACGCCAAAGGAATGAGGCATGTGTTAGCTCAAATCTTGCTCAAGCAAGAAAACGCCGTCACGGCGTTGGCCGTAAAAGCAACGTCTTCTATAGTATATAGCGGTTCATCGGAAGGGCTAGTAAACTACTGGGAGCGCTCGAAGCGCGTGTTCGTCGGCGGAGTGCTCAAAGGGCACAAATCCGCTGTGCTATGTCTTGCTGTGGCGGGAAACTTGTTGTTGAGTGGCTCCGCCGACAAGAACATATGTGTCTGGAGGAGGGACACGTCGGACGGATCACATCAGTGTCTGTCTGTTTTGACGGGTCATATGGGACCGGTCAAGTGTCTAGCCGTGGAAGAGGAACGGGCTTGCCGTAAAGGAGCAAAAGCCTCTGCGGTGGCTGACGGAGACCGGAAGTGGATTATATACAGCGGAAGCTTGGACAAATCGGTGAAAGTTTGGCGCGTGTCGGAGAGGATGGCCACGTGGAGGGAGATGGACGACGAGGCAGCAGGATCTTCAGGGCGGAAGAGCTCTTCGTCTCCGCACGAAGGGAGTGGCGCGTGGAGTTCACGAGAACTGGGAAAATAAAAGTAGATGATCGGAGCATAGTGTGATTATTTTACGAAAAATGTCCCGTCGTTGATCAGATGCGAGGAAAGAGTCAAGAGGATTGTTTTCAGTCTCATGACCAAGTCAAGAAGAGGTTTGTGTCACGCCGGTGAGAGTCAATGTGGGGTTGATGGTTTTCACGTTATGAGTTTTGTTTCTTCTTTTTCTTTTCCTTAAAAAATGTTTAAAAATTAAATTGTATCAATAATTTTTTTCCCTAGATTTGTAAAAAAGAACAAAGACTGAATCAAACACGTTTGTTTTATTTGTGTTCTATGTCGTGGTTGCACGTTACAACTTCATAATTTGAAATTTCCACGAGTCGTTTTTCTAATCAGTCTTTCTAAAACTATACATAGGTTCTTGACAATATTTTTTTGTTTGGCACCAGTTCTTGATAAAATTTTGTAAGATCGAGTTTTAATTTTTAATTCTTATCTTATTTCTTTGTATTTAATAGACCTAGTCAAGTTCAATGTATCAATGGTCGCCGACACTGAGAAAAATGTGTAACGATGTGTTTCCTTTTTTGAACAACCAAGCCTGGTCTTTCCCGAAATATGAAATGGTGATTAGTTTGGATGTGTTTAAATTTTCTGTGTAGAAAATTGGGATTGAAGACATATCAACAACGAACATCTAGTCGTGTAAAATTATTGCAAGTGAGTGGTGTCCAAGATAATGTCTCGCAAATAAAAAATAAAGTAACCATCATTTTTCAACATTGTTTAACCAAATCCGTATTTTTAAATTAACAAGTACCGCCGAATATCCACCCCAAGGTCGTTAAATACAATTTTTAGACCTTATCGATCTTTATGAGAAAGGAACAAAAATTATTATATAGAAGACCCTATGATTCTTAATTACAATTCATCTCATGATTTAAAAAAATCCCTATCACAAGCACAACCGAAACTAGAGGATCACTGACTACTGAGACCCCTTTTTTACCAAATAGACGCATAATTTTGTTGCGTAAATTAAAGGACCATAGCGAACTACTCAATGCACAACATGAACAAAAAAATTACCAAACTTTTACTTTCTTTTTTAATCGAAAACCAAACTTTTACTTAAATCACAGATTTGCTAATCTATAAATATCCTATGTCAATTTGGTAATCGAATTAACAAAAAGAAAAACCACTAAACTAAAACATTGGCAGAACCGGGGCGTCATGTGTAAATATACAACTTAAAAATAAATAAATAGGAAGAACGAATCCGGTTATCTACTAACCGCGTAATTTTTTCCGGTTATTAGACCATTCATGGAAGTAATGAACACGGTTAGAGGAAATTGCCCCATCCCTTTGACCATCTCAACGCCTTTTGCAGCGCATCGTTTTCAATTCTCCAACCCGCGTTGACGCCGAGAATTTTCCCGGAAAATAAACTTCGATTTTCTTTTCGTACAGAGAGAAAAGAAAAACAAAAGAGAAAGTCTTCCCTTTTTGTCCAGTCTTCGTCCTTTACTAGTGGAGAAGATGATCCAACCATCAATCTTCCATTCCTCTTTTTGTTCACTTCTCCAATTCCTTTCCCCAGAAAACTGATTTCCGACTTTTAATTTCTCGAAAAGTCTCCCCCTCTTTCTATAGAAAATTCGAAATTTCGTCCCTTTCCTTACGTTAAGGAGCTTTCAGTGATCAATTCCATATATTTATGGAGTTGGGTTATTATTGTTCACGCGGTTTGTAATTGAATTGATTATATAAGCCATTAATGGCTTAAGGTCTTTTTATTTTATTCTCTTTGGAAACATTCATGATTTGGGATATTTCCTGATTTGGGGAATTTTTAGGAATTTAGGTGTTTGTGTGTGTCTGTATCTATTTCCGTGAGCTGAATTTGGTAAGAAGATGGCTTCAGTTTTAAGAAAGTTTCTACCTTTAGCAGCATCACCGATTCCCAAAACGGAAAACCGTGATAGTGACGATGGTGGTGATGAAACTAGTAGCAGTTACCGAATTGATTATTCATTCGCCGATGTGTATAAAGGTCCCGTCATTGCCAATGTGCCACGAGCTCTTCCCGTCGAAGTTGATGACATTCCGACGGCTCTTCCGGTTTCATTTTCCTCCTTGTTGCCAGATGTCTCTTACCCAGTGGTCCAACCACTCGTCAGGAGGACTAAGAAACCACCTGAATCTGGATCCGAGAAGAAGAAGAACGGTTTGGTGGTTGATTCTGATTCTGCAGCTACTTCTTCAAGTGTGGTGTTGAAACGGCATCATGTTGTTTCCGGCTCATCATCATCGTCGTCGTCACTGTCATCGTCAAAGAGGTTAGATGTAGCGGAAGAAGAAGAAGCCAGAGTTTCTGTTGATTCACCGTCGTCGTCATCATCCGCAGCAGTAAGAGAGGAAGAAGACACGTTAGATGGAGATAACGAAGGAGGAAACCCAAACCGTGTGAGATTCGTTGAACCAAGTCGCCAAGCTAGTGAAGGTGACGAAAGCTCTTACCTTTCTGATGGGGAGAGTCTAGCTGCAACGCCTAGAGCTGAAAGGAAAGGCAAAAGAGGATCTTGCTACCGATGCATGACCGGGAACCGTTTCACAGAGAAGGAAGTCTGCATTGTCTGTGACGCCAAGTACTGTTACAACTGCGTGAGAAGAGCCATGGGAGCGATGCCAGAAGGAAGAAAGTGTCAGACTTGCATTGGTATCAGAATCAACGAGTCCAAGAGAGCGAGTCTCGGCAAATGTTCGAGGATGCTGAAGCGTCTTCTCACTGATTCAGAGCTTCAACAAGTCATGAGAGCCGAGATGTCATGCCAGGCGAATCAGCTGCCTTCGCGTCTCATCGCTGTCAATGGGAAGCCTTTAAGCGAAGACGAGCTTTACGAGCTGCAGACGTGTGCAAATCCACCAGACAACCTCAAACCTGGAGACTATTGGTATGATAAGAATGCTGGCTATTGGGGAAAGGTACAGTTTCATTTATATTTGTTCTCTCTCTGTGTGCTTAATTTCTTTGAATAGCTCAGCTGAATCAGAGGCATTATGCATATGTTTTAAACAGATTGGAGAGAAGCCTTGCCAGATTATAAGCCCTCAAATGAACATAGGAGGGAGTAACATCAAGAATGCAAGCAAAGGTGACACTGGAGTTTTCATTAATAACCGGGAGATAACCAAGACAGAGCTCTGGATGCTCAAGGTTCTTTCGCTTGAACAACCTTCAAGCGTTAGTGTTATTATTCTTCTCTGATTCATCATGTGAAAGTGACTGTCTGTCTCTTTGTTTCCATGTAGTTGGCGAAGGTGCAGTGTGAAGGGAAGCCTCATTTTTGGGTGAATGCAGATGGGTCTTACCTGGAAGAAGGTCAGAAACGTGAAATGGGGAACATTTGGAGTAAGGTAAAAGGCTTTTCTTGTTCACAGCGTGTGAATGAATATAAACCTGTAAAGACAATTTATGGATGTTTTTTTTTTCATTTCAGAAAAGAGCATGGCTTGCTTGTACTGTGTTCTCTCTGCCAATGCCTCCGACTTCATCGGCAGTAGAACCAAATGATGTGCCCTCTTACGACCAGAAAATGCTGAACAGGCTTCTCCTCATTGGTAACGAGAAATGTGGCGCCACTACTATCTACAAACAAGTGAGCTATTTTGAATGCAAGGTTTGACATACAGTAGAGAGAGAATCATTGGATATTGATTTTTGTTATTTGTTTTAGGCAAGGTCTCTATATGAAGTCCCGTTCTCTGAAGACGACCGTGAAAGAATCAAATTCATAATCCAAACAAATCTCTATGCTTATCTGGCGATGGTTCTTGAAGCACACGAAAGATCTGAAGAAGAGATAAGCAATAACCAGTCTTCGGAGCAAACAGGTAAATTTTTGTAGACCGTACAAACAAAATGCTGCTTATTGAGTGACACTGATTGAGAGTTTTTTTTGTGATTTAGGTAATACGGGAGATGAGATCATTGCTGCTATAACAGTTAGCTCGATAAGCCCGAGGCTAAAACATTTTTCAGATTGGCTTCTGAAAGCAAAGGAAGAAGGAAACCTGGAGATATTTCCAGCGTCAAGCCGAGAGAATGCACAAACCGTTGCAGATCTCTGGAGAGTCCCATCCGTTCAAGCCACCTACAAAAGACTTCGTGATACTCTTCCCAGAAACGCCGTTTATTTTCTTGGACGAGTGAGTTTTTTCTTTTGCATCAAATTAGCACTTTTGTTAAAGAACACTAACCTAAAGTTGTGATCTATACAGATTCTTGAGATCTCGAGAGCAGAATACAATCCTTCTGATATGGACATATTGCAAGCGGAAGGACTCTCGTCTATGGAAGGACTTTCTTGTGTGGAGTTCTCATTCCCATCTACAAGTCAAGAAGAATCTCTGGAGTCCGAATATCATCACGATCCAAAAATGAAGTTAGTTCTGTTTCTTTTCCTCTTGTTGCATTCTGAGTCTCCGACTATATTAAAGCTTACTCTCTCTCTCTCTTTGTAGGTACCAACTCGTCCGGTTAAATCCAAAAAGACTTGGAGAAAACTGGAAGTGGCTTGAAAGGTTTGAAGACGCAGACTTGGTGATATTCTGCGTCTCGCTAACGGATTATGTAGAGTACATAGAAGATGGTGATGGGGTTCTTGTGAACAAGATGATTGCAAACAAACAGCTCTTCGAGAGCATGGTGACACACCCGAGCCTAGCTAACAAAAGGTTCCTTCTGGTTCTAACTAAATTCGATCTCCTGGAAGAAAAAATCGAGGAGGTTCCTCTGAGAACATGCGAGTGGTTCCAAGACTTCAACCCGTTGATCAGTCAGAATCAGACGAGCAGGCACAACCCTACGATGGCTCAGCGAGCTTTCCACTTCGTAGGGTTCCAGTTCAAGAGATCGTATGACTCGCTCGTGGGACCCTTCTCGATGCGTGGAAGGGTCTTTAAGCCGAAGCTGTTTGTGACGCATGGGAGCTTGGAGAGTGAGACTGTGGACAATGCACTTAGGTATGCGAGAGAGATTCTCAAGTGGCATGTTGATGAAACCTCCATGTTTCAAGAGATGTCCACTACTAGCATCGATGCAAGCTTGTCCAATGATTGATATATTCTTCCAAAATTTGAAAATTCATTTTTTTCCTTTTTTCTATTAGTCGTCTGTGGGAGAAAAAAATACATAATTTGTGGAGTGTCTATGTATGTAATATGTTTGTATGATGATGTCTGTGTTTGTACAATAGTTAATGTTCAAGAGTAAGGAGAAGAAACATACATGTGATTTGATTTTTTTCTGGGGTATAAAAGAGAAATAAAGTGACTTTTTTTTCCCTTTCTCAAAACAAGCCGTTTCCTGAAATCTTGAAAGTATTGTTATAAGATGAACATTTTTGTAATATGCTTCTGCTTCATTCAATATATGAAAACAAATTTGATATAAATATATACTAAGCGACTAAAGAATTAAACATTTAGATAACAAAAAGGTGAAAAACAGAGAGGAAAGAGATGGAAGTAGAAATCTGATGAGCTCTGACGTTCTGTAAGGACGAAAAGAAATTCAGAGTGTTTCTTTGTTAGGCGGCCAATCCAAGACAAGACAATACAAAAATGAATTCACAGTTAATGCGTAAAAATTAGTTGGAAACAAAACAAAATAGCAATGAACTGATTTACTTTAAGGATCTCTCTTTACTTTGATGGAATGGCCAAATCTTTGTGACTACACTATATCGATGTAGTCAAGTCAAGCAAAGATGATGTAAGGTACTTTCCAATTGCTAGTATCAATGATGAAAACTGAAAAGAGATGCAAGTACTCTTCTTTGACCGTAATTTCATAGGACTTGAGGGTCTTTTTTGAAAATTGTTTAAGGCTCAAATTGTAAATACCACATTTCTCTCTGTTTCCTTCACGCTCTCACTCTCTTTTTTTAAACCATTTCTCTCTCACAGCTCCAACATCCTCTAGGCTCTAGAAATGGCTGAATCTGATCTTCCTCGTTTCTTCAAAGTTTTCATCTCCCGTTTCTACTCTGATTCCTTGGTAATATCTTTTCTCTCCCTTAGATTTAATACTGTTTTGGTATCTTTTCTCTTTGACCACTCTTCAACTGCAGCTAACTGTCGTTTCATTTCGTGTGTTTCTTTGGTTTTATCTTCATTGAACCTTCTCTGTTTCTTTCGTCTTCCTAGGTTTTCCTCTGTTTTGTGTACTAAAGATATTTATTTTTGGCTTTCCTCTGTTTTGTGTGCTAAAGTTGTTAAATTTTTAGTTTTGTCCAAAGAAATATGTTAGTAATCACAAATTAATCAGTTTCATCTGTGGACTTCTGCACTAGAAATGTTTGAACAAGTTAGTCTTCCTCAGATTTGTTCCTTAGTTAGTATCTGTTCATAAATATACACAAAGGTTTTGCGTTTCTTTTGGGTTTTGCTCTGTTTCACCCCTTTTGCTCTCATCTGAGTGGTAAAGTTGTTCACTTTCAGGTTTGTTAAAGTAAATATGTCATTTTTTTCATATGAATCAGTCTCATTTATGGAGATTGGCACTAGCTATGGTAGTTTTCTCAGATTTGTTATCTCTGTTCATAAATAGATACATATATTTTGCTCTCTGAAGCTTGTCTTTGACTCTTTAGGTAATCTCTTGACTGTTGCCGCTTTGAGATTTAACAGTTTGTGTGTTTAACATTTTGTGTTGAGCAGCAAATCCCCATTTCCTACCACGACCAACTTCCTCATCCTCTGCCCAAAACTGCAACTCTCCAAGGAAATGGCGGATGCTTTTGGAAAGTCTCCATGATACAGAGGCGAGATGAGGTGTTTTTCGAACAAGGATGGTCCAAATTCGTCGAGGACAACTCTCTGGCTGATGGAGACTTCCTCACGTTCGTGTACAACGGAGATAGCGTCTTCGAAGTGAGCACCTACGATGGCCGCACTGCATGTAAAGTGATCAGAGCAAGAGCTACTGCAGTCGAAGACGACAAAGATGACGAGATCTACATTCTCAGCAGCGGCAAAGACACAGATTCTGGTTCTGAATCCGAGACAATAGCCAATGAAATCCTGAGAAGCAAGGAAAAAGGTTCAGTTTCTTAAACATCTTGTTGGCTTTTTCATCAATATCTCTTAATTAAACCGTTTTGCTTTTATGTAGACTCTTTGCTCTTTGTGATGTTTTCAGGAAAGTCGAAAGTGGAAGATGTGGAGGAGTCCGATGAGAAAGAAGACAGTGATGCTCATGTAAGCAGTGAAGACACGGACGAGACTTGTTCTGAATCCAAGATGTCCAAAGCAGTCGCTCCGAGTAGAAGAGTCAAAGGTTTTAAACAAATGATTAGCTCTTTTCAGAAGTATTTTGGTTGTTTTTGTATTGTAACATGTTTTGAGAATTTTTGCAGGAAATAAGAAAGTTGTGGTGGAATCTGATGAAGGCAGTGACAGTGATGATGAGGAGTATGTTGAAGCGTTTGGTCGATTGGATGTTGAAGAGAGTTCTAAGAACAGTGACACTTCGTATGATCCGGATAGCGACGACACAGCCAACAATTCTGTGAAAAATAAGAAGAAGAAAGGTAAAAAAAATCACATTAGACTGTTGATCTTTTGTTCAGTGCTTGTACTTATGTAAAATTGCTTTGTGTTTGTCTTGAGGCTTCTCAGGAAAGTCCAAAGTAAGAGATGATGTGGATTCACTTAGTGACGGTGACGGTCCTGGTACTTCGGGACCGAAACGAAAGAGAGGAAAAGGTTAAATCAAATCAAAACATTGGCTTGATTATATACATCACTAATCTCTTATGCTTATATGGAAATGTTTTCTTTCTTCTTTTGGAATCTTTACAGTGGATCCAAGAATCAAAGATCCAGAGAGGTTCTTGGCTGATCCAATGAACATACATTTCGAGACAATCTTGAAGAACAGGAAACACGAGCTGGTAAGATCGAATTGCGATACATGTTTGGTTTGCTTTTTTAAGTTTTAAGATAATTAAATAACGTTTTTTTTTTATTTGCTTACTCTCTGTCTCTAATCTTGAATTCAGTTGGTTCATGCACAAATAGTGAGAGACTATTACTTGGAGTTTAAACCTACCGTTGACTACATGGACAATCACAAAGACGGGAAGCTTGTAGCGAAAGCTATAAGATGGGCGGATTCGCGAGTGTGCATCAAGAAATGGAAACGCATATGCGAGAGGAACAAGGTGAAGGAAAACGATGCGATTTTATGTGAACTCCTCCGCAGAGGACGTACTGTTTACGCTGTTAGAGTCCATATCGTCCGGGAAGCAGATCTGTAAAAACACTTTATTAGTACTACTACTTTTGTGTGAGAATGTGCTGGTCGGTTTGTAATTTGGTTTTATATCCATTTTCTAGTAACGAGTGAAAACTTTTTTAACTCATGGGATCTGTTTACTATCTTATTGGATGTCGTTTCTTAGTAATGAGGCGTAACAAGTTTACTATGAATGTTTCTCTCTTTCTTAAGTTTTCGCTTTATTCTTCACACTAAATAGAATCTTTACCTTTCTTCTTCGTTCTCTTGAGATTGCTTGTTGATGCTCTTACTTGGCAGATGCTGTACCTGAGAAGAAACAAATACTAAATTAGTGAGAGAACCGAGAACAATTTTGAAAGCTTTCGAACGTGAACGTGATAAACAGAGCAGCTACTCTGTTTTCGAGTCTTTTTTAGCAATTTTCTTGTGAACAAAGCAGAACAGCCAAATTTTCTAGAGTTTGTTGTTTTGGAAAGTTTGATTTGGATCATTAATTACCATTTAATATTTTTCTGTCTTAGATCATAACCTTAATCAATTAAGACTTGGATAAGATGGATTTCATCTTTAGCAATTTTCTATGTTTGGCTAATTAAAGAAAAGAATTGTGTATCTTTCTAGCTTGTCACTATCTTGTAGTTCTTTTACTTTTAATTCAATGAGTATAAGTGCGTGCGAGTATGCGTTTTGTATACGTATGTAGTGATGCTATAACATTATAGTTCAATGAAAAGCCACCTAACGCTTTGAAATCCAAACTTTCGTCCTGATATTGAATTTAAACCACCTCGAATCACTCATATTCTGAATAGGAGTCTTTATTTTTCGTTTCTACGCATTTGAGTTGAGTTGTTTGGACTCAGGCTCTAAACAAGCAAGTTTCTACAAGTTAGCATCTAATTTTCTTTTCTTTTTTTATTACCAAATAATAGATCATACCAATGAATTATGGGAATATCAACAGAGCGTATGTTTTCATTTTATCTGTAGATGCATTATAATAATACTAAGCATCATAAATTTTAGAGAGAAAAAACGATTGCAAATTTCGTTTGACAAAAATAAAAGTCTATGAATACACAAATTTTAGAGTAATAATCTTGCAATGTTATTAAGCAAAATAATAAAATATGCACCGAGTACATCGTACACATCAAAAATGTTTTCGTTGTCATTGTGCGGTAGAGCTAAAAGTTCAAAGTTTTTTCTTAAAAGTGCAAAATGAAAACGACTAAATACTTTCAACTTCTTCGAAATAATCTGTTTTCAACTTGTTCAAAATATATTAAATCCATATCTGAATTATCTGTATTTTGGGTTTTACTTTCGAATAATAATTTGTATTACCCTAATTACTTTTACTCAATATCTACATCCACTGTTGTTCGTTCCTTTATCCGAAATGGACGGTTCTAGTTGTTGAGATATTTATAATTAATCTTGAAAAACAATCATTTGAAAGAAAAAAAGTAAAAGGATGAAGAGTTGGTGATCGTTATAAAGTAGTAAATATTAGTACTAATCCGTAATAATCTAACTGGTTAGTGGAAAGGAGATAATTATTAAGAGAAGATAAAGTGCAAAAAAGTAATGACGCGGCGAGATAATGGAGAAAAACGTTGGTCAGCGCAAAAAACGTGTTCTAATCATTTTTGCACGTGTTGAACGTGCATCTCCCTTTGGTGGCTTATCCTTTGGTTTCCTGTTCCTATTTATTTTTTGTTCTTTTTAGTTTAACTTCAATCGTAGCCTGCCGTCTTAAATAAGAATGTTGTAATTTATTGATGTCGACAGGTTCCAGTTACTGTAAGAAAAAAACTTAGTTATTATAACTGTCTATCCTTAGTATAATTGTTTGAAATACTAATTTAAGAGAAATTTAAGATTTTTTCATTTTTATTCCGTTTTAGAACAAATACTATTACAGTAAAACTCATGCTGGTATTGTTATGTGTTAAAGTAATTGTCCTATATGTAACACAATAAAAGAAACGAAGAAAAATGGATCTAGAAGATGAGTTTAATTAACTTGTCAAAGGTAGTGAATGAAAGCGAAGGTTTGACTGGTTCACGCTGATCTCAGATTTTTCAGTGATTTAGAAGTTGATGTGTACATATGATGCTGAGCTGGCATGTGGATTCCCTAAGCTCTTACGTCACTGTATAAGTGTGTTGACCCTTCCTCGACGCTGACCCACCACGTCTTCGCTTTCTAGACTCTCTTGAAAGTCTTGAGCTTGGCGCTGACCTTTTTATTATTTTCCCTTCTTGGTCTCACTTTGTCCCGTAGCCAATTATTAACACACATAATTTTTCTAAATTTTGGAGAAAAATAAACACACATCATGATTGACTGTACTTTTATTCGATAAATTTTATTTATGGGATCAAATAGAAGAGATCCCATTTTATTCGATAAAGGGTAATTTTCTCTCATATTAGGTTAATTTATCATATGGTACCTCATTTTATTAAACGTCGATTTGATCTATACATGATAAATGAACAATGAATTCTTCTAATTGTTATTCATTGTCCTTTCACATCAAAGTATGCTAATTATTCAAACCAAAAAAAAAGTATGCTAATTATTAGTACAAGTCGAACTGTAATCTTTACAAACTTAGTTATTTTGCCTTCCCCCTGTTTTGTAAGTTCAGGAAAAAACTCTTGAAAATTCATATATATGTAGCTGACTAGTGAGCAGTGACCATCGATCTTTTACTTATTGAAAAGCAAGAAGTAAAAAGCGTAGGACTGCGGTTTCAAGTTAGAGACTGTGAATGCAGATGCTAAAGAGTGATGATAATGTGTAGATCTTAAAGAATCATGTTGTAAAACTATATAACGATCAGTATTATTTATTGATTATTTCTGCTTTTAATTTGATTACTTTCTACTTTTTATATCTGCAGTCAGATTTCGAACACATTACGACACTTATAGTTAATTACAAATCGAACATTATCCTACAGTTGGATCGAATCTGACTTTGATACCATGTCAACTTTGATATAATCACAAACGTCACATTTACCATGGTTTATTTGAATCACAATTCACAATGTAATCTGTTCATGTTACACATGTCTATTGGCATAGCTTTCAAAAATGTTGTTGGATCGATTCGACGCAATACATAGTATAAAAAGACAAAACATAGATATGCTTTTGAGTTTCGAGACAATGGATCCAGTTATCTACAAAGTCAAATTGATCTCTATTTGTAAATGTGAAGGCCGATATAGCTCAAACAGCAAAGCGAAATAATGAGTTAGAAAAGGCACGTGATTTATTCTAAGCCAATCATTTGCGCACCTAGATGCTTATCCCATTAAACATGTTTAAATCTGTGTGAAAACGAACAACTGATAAGCGCTATAATAATAATAAAAAAAAAAGTGGTTTTTGTAAAGCGTCACAGATGATGAAAAATGATTAATACTTTATGTTAAAAGAAATGTCATGTCGTATAAACACAACCCAAATCTAATAATTTTTTAAAAAATGTCACTTTCAAACATGTCAAAATATTCGAGAAAATAACGCACGTGCTTCCGAAACCAAATCGTGTCTGAAGAGTGTGCCAGTTGGCAAAGAGAACGCCACGTAGACATTTCAAAACACGGAATCATATAAATAGAGCTTCTTTCCACTTTCAGTTTCCCCAAACACAACAGAAAATATCTTTTCATCTCCAGGCCCCTTCAAACACTCGCAGAGTCAAAACAAAATCCGAAAATCAAATTAACAGATTAAAGGAATGCATTATCCAAACAGCAGACCCGAATTCGCCGGAGCTCAATTACCGGAGCGAAATTCGACCCGGACCCGGTACCCATATCAGCAGGAGCAGTTGTCGCCGGAGCAAGAACTCTCGGTAATAGTCTCCGCCTTGCAGCACGTCATCTCAGGGGAAAACGAGACAGCGCCGTTTCAGAGTTTCTCCGGAGACAGCACAGTGATAAGCGCGGGAATGCCTCGGTCGGATTCCGACACTTGCCAAGTGTGCAGGATCGAAGGATGTCTGGGCTGCAACTACTTTTTCGCGCCAAATCAGAATATACAACAAGGAGTTGTAGAAGAAGAAGAAAGGACGACAACAAGTAGTGGTACTAGTAGTAGAAGAGAGAGCTCTGTGACGACGACGACGAAGAAAGCGGAAGGCGGGAAAATAAGGAAGAGGAAGAACAAGAAGAACGGATACAGAGGAGTGAGGCAGAGACCTTGGGGGAAATTCGCAGCTGAGATCAGAGATCCCAAGAGAGCGACACGTGTCTGGCTCGGCACTTTCGAAACCGCTGAAGATGCGGCTCGAGCGTACGACCGAGCCGCCATTGGGTTCCGTGGGCCACGGGCTAAGCTCAACTTCCCTTTTGTGGACTACACTTCGTCTCCTGTTGCAGCTGATGAGATTGGAGTGAATGCAAGTGTGAGCGCGAGCGTGAGCGCCACGGATTCTGTAGAGGCAGAGCAAGAGCAATGGCGTGGAGGAGAAGGAGGAGGAGAATGTGATATGGATGAGTATTTGAAGATGATGATGATGATGGATTTTGGGAATGGAGATTCTTCGGATTCAGGAAACACTATTGCTGATATGTTCCAGTGATTAAATTGCCATGAGATTTTAGGAGGAAAGGATTTTTCAGTAAATTTGTTTGATTCATAAGAATGAGCTCTCTTCTTGTTGGCGTGTTTTTATAGCTAAGTGCATATATAAAGAGGTTAAAACCCAATTTTGTTCTGAAAGATACAAAAGAAGAGTCAAATTTGTTTACAACGGAGAAAACTATAACTTGTGATAAAGAGAGAAAGAGAGAAGAATATCTTCTTTTACAAAGCGTCGCGTGCGGCGATCCGGCAAACAATGGCATCACCGAGAGAGGAGATTCCGAGTTCTTGGCTTGTTATCTTGTAATGCTGAAAGAACCAATGTATGATGAGAATTCATTTCTGTAGCATAAGATTTTTACTTGTAAGCAAAAAACATTTTACCTTTAGTATCTGTGTTTGGTTTGCTAGCGTTTTTAACTCGTCTAATTCAATTTCCTTGCCGTTGACCAATTTTGCAACCTCCTCCATCTGGTTATGTGATCTCAAAACATGTCACACGGCTGATAAAACAAAAACTAAATACTCAGAAAAAGCAACAATCATGAATTGAATATAACCTCAGCGGGAGAAGCATTGAAACGGGCAGCAATAATGTAAGTAGAGGTTTCAGAAATCCCACATCGTTTCAAGGATTCTGTAATCTAGTTGGAGGAAGAAATAACCAAACACATCAGAGAAGTTGTCAAGAACAAAACAAAACTCCTAAAATTGCTATTCTTATTACAAATTCACAAACCAGAGTAACTTGGTTAACGAGAGGCTCTCAACACTAATAACTGCTCTCTAATTAACTCACAACAGCTATATAATCTAATAAGGTATAACTAGATAAGAAATGCTTTTTCTTACATGTTTAGATCCTGAGTAATTGTAGACGAGCTCGGAATGAAGAGTTCGGGTTGATAAGGAATCGCGTGATTTGGAGACGAGAGCTTTCTGAGCAGCAGCTAAGACAGGGAAAATATCTGGAATCTGATGATGAAACAATTCGTTAAGATCAAGAAATCTAAGTCGTCTTAGAATGTAAAAATGGAGGAAAAATATAGATAAACGTACAAGTGATGCATTGAGACATGAGACTTCCAGCTTCAGACTTCCGTCTAACATGGAATTCAAGAGCTCCCTGAACACAATAAAACTCCTAAATGTTTGTCTCGGATTTCATCCACATAAGTCAATTTGAGAAATTGAAGAAAAAGGAGGAAGATTTTGACTAAAACAGACTTTCCCTCAATCCGTAAATCTATGACTAAAGTTTCGAACTTTATTGATGGTGAGGATCTGACCAGTAACACAAGCACTATGGAAAAGGCTAAATTTTAATTCTGATAACCAATTGCGTAGATTACGGAGAAATTGATACAATCCTGATTTATCGAATTAAACAGCAGAAAATCGAGAGAGAGAGCGAAAGAGTACTTGGAATTGGTGACATCGGTGAAGAGAGAAACAGAGAGAGTGTTTCCACGGTCGAGATTGAAAATCTTCATAGCTAAGTCGGCGGCAAAAAGTAGGGAGGAATTAGGGTTTTACACGCCGGAAATTCGAGACACAGAGCCGGCTAGTCAAGACTATTCAAAGATAAACCCTCCTTCCTCTTCGACAGCGACAATCTTTTCTCTTCAAAATTTTCATGAAAAAAAAAGGGAACAAAAACAGACAATCGCGCCAGGAAGGGATCGAACCTTCGACTTTCTGCTTAGGAAACAGACGCTCTATCCACTGAGCTACAGGCGCTTTTTACGGGATTATTTATTCTAAAATCAATATATCCTATTAAATACACATAAATGCATTTACACCTGGGTCTGTACGACCATCCTCACATTTGAATGTCATATTTGCATGGTCGATTATTTAGTTGACCTTATAACAATCTATATACACTGTAAAATGTAAATGAAAACAATATCTTAAGTTGTAAATTAGCTCCAAAGTGATCCAAAGAATAGGGATTTGTCATAATCTTGTCCATATTCTGTACATTTACATATTCTTTGATTTCTTAGTTTTCATATCCTCGGAATGTTGTTTCTACGATACATAAGTTTGTTATAATAATCATCCAACTCTGTGTGATACGAAAACAACATAGTTTCTGATAAGTGACATGACGGTAATATATATCAACACAAAGTCAAACTCAATCTCCTATTGACAACATTATCTAAGACGTACATCGAACATATGGCCTAAACAGCTTAACCAATCGTGGAGATTTAAACAATTAGTACTTGATGTCTCTTGATGTCTGCCAAATATTTTGTGACAAATTATACAATTAAATCTCATTAAATAAACGAATAACGTAAAATTCAAATTCTCTACCTAAACATAAACAAAGCATTTATTCTCCCCAAAGGCCAAATGTGAGCTGGATATTTGAATACTTTTGCTACATCCAACCAATCCAACCCCCTAGCTAATTGGAATCATCACGAAGAAAACACCGACATTTGACTAATAGTGTTGGGCTTAGTGTACGAAACTGAAGTCGGAAGTAGAAGTTCATCGAACCTTCTTCTTTTTATATATTACCGTCATGTCACTTTTAGAATATTATACACAGTAAGATGTGAAATCCAAGATCCCACCTTGTACGTCGAGCCTCTCTTTTTGTTATTTTATAATAATTCATTTGATGCATAAAATCATCACAAAAAGACGAAACTTTCTTCGATTTTGTGAGCGCAAGAGAACAAATTTTGCTATCTATATGGGAGACCATAAGAGATTTACATTTTCATATAAATTATACACAGACTAGCAGACGTCACATAAGATAGAAACTTAGATGATAATATTACTGTAATGTATAACCAGCTATAGTCTATAACCAAATAATGTGTGTAATTAACCAAATACTTACCATTTTTGGTTGTTGGAGTGAGACTGAAGAGCAATGTGTGTGTAATTACTATTAACGGTGTGTCGGAAACCCAGTTGCGTGGGAACGCAGACCAACAATTAATTGCTGTGTGTGATTAGCCAATAAACAGCTATATTATCACATGCATTACTCATTTACTCGGACTCCAGTTTTATCTTATGGTCAGGAAATCGCTAGGTTCTAAATATTTTGTTGTGTAGTTAAATGTTTTGGAGACTTTGGATAGCTAGCAAAGTATTACTATTTTTATTGACATTTATGTTAGAAGCATAAAACAGCTTAGTTTGGGAAATTTCTTAGAAATTGTATGGACTTTTTTTATAAATGCATGTGCACAAACTTAAAACGTTCATGTGCTTAAAACATCCCTTTGCGTTAATTTAGTGTTTATCTTCAAACAATTAAATAGAAGGAGTAATGTTTTGAGATCATAAATGGCTCTTCTAGGGTATTAAGAGACTATTAGATTTAACTCTTCCCCGCTGTTGATCCAAATTGGGTTATAAGTTAATTATTATCAATTAAGAATCTAATCTTACATCTCTATAATCAAAAGGACAACATTTGTCTCTTTGTGTATGTGTGTGATCTATGCACAATATTAATAAATAAAAAATATTTATACGTACTCACTATCATATAAATACAAACGATTTCCCCTTAGAGACTGCAACAACAATCACAGTAGAATAAAAACAAGAGAGAGAGTGTGTGCGAGAGATAGAAATGGAGTGTTCGAATGTGAAACAACATCAGTACGGTTCATACACAGAGCCGAGGATCTCATTCTCTAGCGGTTTTGCGGCGACGAAGAACGAAATGATCAACTACAAGGAGGCACCTGCGTCGTCAGATGATTTTGAGTTCGGAGTCAATAACTTCTCCATGATCACAGCAGATGAGATATTCTTCGAAGGCATGATCGTACCCCTTAAGGAAGAAGTCAACACGACGAAAAGAATGTCAACTCTGAGGGAAGAGCTCAGTGAAGAAGACGAGGATTCGCCGAAAAGCAAGTCAAAAGGGTCGAGTGGCTGGTGGAGAGAGAGATTAGGGCTAGGATTCGTAAGGTCCAAAAAAGATCACAAAAGAAGTTCCTTTTAATGGTGATTACTCCCGGTTCCTTACTTTTCTTTTGATCCATTCTTTTCTTTTTAATTTCGGTCGTATTCTCTTTGTAGCTGTAATGTGTTTTCTTTTTCACTTCTTCACTGTTCCTCGCCGATGTAAAAATTGTTTGCGGTTGAAGAGTTTTTGTTTTTGTTTTGTTTCCAATGTTTTTTTTTTCTTAAGCTATTTCACTTTGTAATGAAACTTTGCTTCTTGAAGGTTTTTATTTCATTTATCTTGGAAGTTGGAAGAAATATATTTTGTTTTTTAATCTATGTAGAGACGACCACACATGTGGATGATAAAAAATTATGTCATGCAATGAAAAATATTAGTTAGTTTATAAACCCTCTTTTGATCAGTTTTGGTCTCTATGGAGATGCTTTATTTGCAAAATACCTTAGGTAGGATGATCATTAGTGATATCATTAATGTGAGAGATTTCATTAGAGTATACCCAACAATCGAATAAATTGAAAAACAAAAGCACAAGTCAAACGAGAAAAAAGTATGTCACACGAATTAAATTCGTATTATAAAAAGTACAAAAAAGAAGACCCATAGATAGTGGTCAAGCACGGTGCTTGTCAGCAAAAACGTCATCGTTTTATAGCTTGACCTGTTCGTCTCGGGGTTTACGCTCTATTTTTCCATATAATTTGTTTTCTCCTCTGCAATTCTGTAAACGAAACATTTAAATTCCAATGGCGCATTATAATGTCAATAAATTCGATATCCGTAAATTCGAAGCAACACAACGGTCCTGGGCTTCTTTAATCATATCATTTTCCTCTAAAAGAAACTTTTTTCATCATTTTTGGGCATAAAATAGTTTCTTATTTTACTCTATCAGGGTGTCTGAAAAATTCAATGTCTTTCTGTTCTGTTCCTTTCTGATCTCTCATCTCTGATCTCATCTCTCTCTCTCCCTCTTTTTATCGAGAAAGCCATGGCCGATGACCCTTCTTTCATACCAAAGGTACCTTTCGCTGAGTGTGGCTTTTAGATTTTACGCTTTGTCCAGTTTTAATCTGCTTGTGAATGTTCTGATTTGATTAGCGTTTCCTTCTCTGGGAGTGATCTTTAGCTGATATTTACTAATTTTGTAGGAATTTTCACATGCATATAATTCAATTAAAAATTGATTCTTTGAGCATCTGAGTCTAGCGAATTAAAAAAATAACAAATTTTCTTTGATTATTCTACAGACGAATCTAAAGGTCCCCCATTTTTGTTTCCATTTGACTCAGACAACCAAACAAAGCTAACTAAGGCATAAATGTATTGTTCTTTTTTTTGTTGCAGGATAATTTAGTCTTAAAGCTTCCTAAAAAGTCCTCAGCTGTATTGAGAATGGTCGTTCTCCTCTTTGTAATGGTCTGCACTGTCTACATTTGCTCCATCTGTCTGAAGCAAATAGGAGTTACCCCAAACTATGGTTTCTTGAACGTTGAAGTCTTTGAGAGGCCTTGTCCTGAGCCTAACATCCAACCTTGGGACATTCCTTTTGTGCATTACCCTAAACCAAAGACATATAACAGGTAACCATTGGTTACTAAGCAACTAAAGAGAAACGTTTGAGCCTTTATGATTCACTAATGGTTTTTCTGAATGATTTAGGGATGAATGTTCTTGCCAACCGGTTAGATACTTTGCGATTCTCTCGATGCAGAGATCTGGCAGTGGCTGGTTTGAGACTTTACTAAACAATCATACTAACATAAGCTCCAACGGAGAGATCTTTTCAGTGAAAGACAGGAGAGCTAATGTCTCAACCATTTTTGAGACACTTGACAAAGTCTACAATCTAGACTGGTTGAGCAGTGCCTCTAAGAACGAGTGCACTTCCGCTGTTGGTTTCAAGTGGATGCTTAATCAGGTAATGTTTTTTTGACACTGTGACATATTTTAGTAACATTACTATATCTTATGATGAATTTTGGCAGGGTCTAATGAAACATCATGAAGAGATAGTAGAATACTTCAAAACCAGAGGCGTCTCTGCAATCTTCCTCTTCAGAAGAAACCTATTGCGTCGCATGATATCGGTACTCGCAAACTCTTACGACAGAGATGCTAAGCTGTTAAACGGGACTCACAAGTCTCACACCCATTCACCAAAAGAGGCTGAGATATTAGCAGGTTACAAGCCAATGATCAACACAACGGTTTTGATAACAGAGCTGAAGCAGATTCAAGATATGACTTTGAAAGCGTTGGCTTGCTTTAATACCACTCGCCATATGCTTCTCTACTACGAAGATGTTGTCGAGAACCGCACGGTAATTAATTGTTACCATCTTTTGGTTTTAGTCATTTGATTGTTCTTGTCTCATGTGTGTGTTGCAAATTTATGATCAATCTTGTGAATGCAGAGACTAGACGATGTGCAGGCGTTTTTGAAGGTCCCAAAACGTGAGTTAAAGAGTCGGCAAGTGAAGATTCATCGAGGTTCGTTGTCACAACATGTACAGAATTGGGAAGAGATCCAAAGCACGCTAAAAGGAACACTTTTCGAAAACTTCTTACGCCAAAATTACCGCAGATGAGTTTTAACTTCTGTACATATCATATCATATCAAATCTTGTAGGAAAATTTTGGTCTCGCATTTAATTATTGTTTCTCTTATTTTCCTTTGGGTTTAAATGTTTAATCCACACCATTCACTGCTTTTGTGAGTTTTTTGTTTGTTTGCAATCTTCTTACTGTTAGATTTGGCATTAATTCCAACCGCAATTGATAATAATAATTTTTAAAAAATAGATGGCATAAACAAATTTGTATTCCTAGAAAACTCAATCCATTGTTGTTAACAAGAAAAAAACCCAAAACAAAAAAAAAAAACGAAAGCTGAAAACGTTAAAAATTAAAAAGCTAGTAAAAAAACCAAAACCAAGGAGTGAAGTGTTTATTCTGCGAAGAGAGCGAACTTCATCTTGTGGTTGCAGCCGGTGCGGTCTCCACTGACAAAGTAGTAAATCTGACGCCTACGGAGAAGAAACGTGAAGCCTCCGGTATTTATGCTCCACGCCTCCCTATTTTTTGGGACTAGCTTCCTCCCTCCGCTCACATCACATAACTTGTAGCTCCTCATGTCTGGGAGCAAGTAGACATCGGTCTTGTTCTTGTTGGTCTTTTGACCGTTGTTGAACTTGAAAGCAACAACATCGTTGACGTAAAACGGTGCATGCTTTATGGCCCACTCTTTGTAATCGAATCCGCTTTGCCACACATTGAGCTCAATCCTTTTATTATTAGGCGGTATCGGAGTTGTGTCGTTGTATGGAGAGCCGACACTGCCGCTTGAGTGGTTTGATGGGGCCGTGTGGTTGTTTGGGGAACCAACACTACCGCTTGAGTGGTTCGATGGGGACGTGTGGTTGTTTGGAGAGCCGACGGTACCGCTTGAGTGGTTCGATGGGATCGTGTGGTTGTGTGGAGATCCAACGCCACCGCTTGAATGGTTTGATGGGGCGGTGTGGTTGTGGTGGCTTTTATGTGTAGAGCCAGTGCCTCTCCAGTGGTTTGAGCCGGAGCTGCTTCCCCAACCCCAGCCTGTACCTCTTCCGTGAGAGCTCCATCCCCAACCCCAACTTGAACCCGAACTACCAGAAGAACCCCAACCCCAGCCCCAGTGGGAACCAGACCGGCCAGAGCTCCAACTCCAGCTCCATGCATCAGCGGTGCCGGAGAAGACACATGCAGTGAACACTAGGACCAAGAGTAGCTTGCGTGCCACAGAGAGATCCATCGCTTACTTCTTTCTTCTTTCTTCTTGGATTAATTGATTGCTAAACTATTCTTTTTCTCTCTCGTTCTCGCTGTTTGTTTTTGTGAGCTCTTTGGAGTTTAGAACTTCTCTTTTTATAGCCAGAGAGTAGGTGAGGGTCGGTTTCCAATTTGGATAGGAATTATGAAGTTTCATTATGTCGTCTCTCCAAAAATTAACCAAAATTATCTCGTCTCAAAATTCGATCATGAAAATTAAAGGATTTCCTTCTTGTTCTCACACTACTACTTACCACATTTATCTTTCCTTTAGATTTAAACAAGTGGATATATGATATATCACTATATATCAGTTTAGTTATTCCTATTTTATGAATGTCTTTAAAATCCAACAAGAGTTTAACGTTTGATTTAAACAATTATAGATAATCAAGTGGAGATAATTTGTATATATTTTTCTTTCTGGATAATTTTTGTTTATTACCCTTCCAATTTTTTTATTTTAATGAATTGTGAAAGAAGAAGAGAGAGAAAGCCAAATGATCAGACTCCTACTTGTTTTTTACGGGACACACATGACTGCTTGATCAAGCTTCTTGGTCTCGTGGACGATCAAGGCCATCTTGATAACGCATCAGCTGTGCTAACTGAAGTTGGTCTGGTACTTGAAGATGACTGTCCACTTACATACCAGCTGTACCTGAGGAACTCTAACTAGGTAAGAAAGTCTAACTCTTTTATGACATTTATTATATATATGTTTGTAAACCTAACTCGTTTAGCTGCATGTATGTTTCTAATTATGATGTAAGAGTACACATCATTCGGCATGAGAGTGCATCATGGTTTTCCGAAGACATGGATTTTCAAATAGGGAAGCTTTCTTACCCATTTGGAGTTCCTCGTGTATAGATTGTACATCACTGTACAATGCTCTTCCAAGACAAAATCCGATTCACGTTAGCACAACTACTATGTCCGCCAACTAAAAGAATATGAAAAAAGTAAAAAAAATGAATAAAAGAGTAACGATTTTTTTCCCATTTTTGTTTCTCCTATATTTGGTGAAGAATATTTCTATTATGTTAACCTTATCAGATAAGGAATAAAAAGGAATCATGCATGGATAAAAAATTACCATCATTTCCTTGGTCACAGTTGAGAAAGTTTAGTAATGTTAGCGTGGAACTTATTTTTAATTAATACAGTTTAAAAAAATATTGTTTGCAATATACAATCCCAAATAACTTGACAAATTTGAACTCTAACATAATAAAAAGACCATAGTGATTTAGTTTGGTTTCATATTTTTTCAGCCTCAATTAACACAAACCGGTTCAAATCGAAATTTATTTCAACGCAAACCCAACATTCCCGTTGAACCGGTAGGCTGATTCTAGATTGATTGATTTAAACCGAACGAAACCATTCAAATGATATAATTTTCAATGTTTTCGGTTTTTCCCCTAAACATACAAATTGCTCCTTCCACACCCAAAAAAAAAAACTGTGAAGTAGAAGAAACAAAATTGGGATTGGGAATAGCAACGTTTTTGCTTAAGAGCCTGAAAATGGTTTTGTTGTAGCTGCATAGCTTAATCGAAGACACTGAGACGGAAACTCCGAAGATTGGTCCGTCTCTCGAGATGGAGGAGAAACGACGCGATGCTGGAACCCTAGCTTTTGCTGGTAGCTCTGGCGATTCTCCGGCATCTGAGCCTTCGACGCGGCGGCGCGGCGGAGCTTCGAAAAGAAAAGCGAATGCTCTCGGGACCTCCAATTTCTCTTCCTCGTCGTCGAAGAGGATGTTGACGCGCGAGAAGGCGATGCTTGCGTCTTTCTCCCCGGTCCACAACGGGCCTCTGACCAGAGCTCGCCAGGCGCCGAGCAACATGCCGTCCGCGGCTGGGGTGAAGTCGGAGCTCTCAAATGTCGCGGTGGGTGCTGACGGCGAGAAGCCGAAGGAGGAGGAAGAACGGAACAAGGCGATCCGTGAGTGGGAGGCTCTGGAGGCTAAGATCGAAGCTGATTTCGAAGCAATTAGATCTCGAGACAGCAATGTTCATGTGGTGCCTAATCATTGCGGTTCGTTCTTCTTCTTCCTCTGTTTGCTTCGACTAAACCAAATTCTCGATTAATTTTACAATTGTCACTATTTTGCTTTGCAAATTTTGAATTTGGAGACTTTCCAAAGTAGAGAATCTGAGGAAGTTTAGGTTTTTATGTACTTCATATAGAAAGGAGGAGACTTTAACACTGACATGTGTAAAAACTGAAACTTTATGAAGGTTGGTTCTCATGGGAGAAAATCCACATGCTTGAGGAGCGTTCATTGCCGTCTTTTTTCAACGGCAAGTTGGAGGGTCGCACTTGTGAGGTATACAGAGAAATACGGAACTGGATCATGAGGAAGTTTCATTCCGATCCCAACACACAAATAGAACTAAAAGACTTAGCAGAACTCGATGTTGGAGACTCGGAAGCGAAGCGAGAGGTGATGGAGTTCTTGGACTACTGGGGGTTAATCAATTTCCACCCGTTCCCATCAGCAGATGCTAGCTCTACTGCTGGTGATCATGTTGATTTAGGGGATAAGGAGTCGTTGCTTAACAGTTTATATCGGTTTCAAGCGGATGAGGCTTGCCCTGCTCTTGTCCACAAGCCTAGTCTCACAGCGCAAGCTTCTTCATCAGGGTTGTTACCAGATCCTGTGGCAGCTGATGACCTGATGAAGCAAGAAGGTCCAGCTGTCGAATATCACTGCAACTCCTGTTCAGCTGATTGCTCTCGCAAGCGCTACCACTGCCCTACGCAGGTGCTTTATCTCTTTAACTATGATCCTGTACCATTTTTTCTGTTATTTGGTTTAATAGTGTTTTGAAGTTTGTATGCTAATATTGAGGGTTTTGACAGGCAGATTTTGACTTGTGTACGGAATGCTTTAACAGTGGAAAGTTCAGCTCAGATATGTCATCTTCCGACTTTTTCCTGATGGAGCCTGCTGAGGCCGCTGGCGTTGGTAGTGAGAAGTGGACTGATGATGAGACTCTTCTTCTCCTTGAAGCTTTAGAGCTCTTCAAGGAGAACTGGAATGAGATTGCAGAGCATGTTGCTACGAAGACTAGAGATCAGTGTATGCTTCATTTTTTCCAAATGCCAATCGAGGAGGAAATTCTTGATCTAAATGACAACAAAGATCCAAGTACAAAAGACACTACAGATTTAGCTGTGTGTAAAGATGAGAAACCTGTTCTGAAAGATGCACCTGAAGAGACGGAGAATAAGAGTCGTGTTGATGAAGTTGAAACTGTGAAGGAAGTTCCAGAACCAGAAGATGACAATGAAGGTAAAGTTTCTCAGGAGTCTTCAAAGCCTGGAGGAGATAAGGGTGAAGAAACTAATGAAGTGGAAGCTGAGCCAAAAACGCCCAAGCTAGAAACGGTTGTTGATGAAAGATGTCAAGATGAGGCTGATGAAAACATTGCTCTGAAAGCTCTGACTGAAGCCTTTGAAGACGTTGGTTATCCCATCACACCTGAAGATTCTGTTTCCTTTGCTGATTTAGGAAATCCTGTCATGGGACTGGTAAGTATGCTGCAATGGCGAGATTGAGATTTTCTCTTTTATTACGTAAATGCACCCAATTCCTTTTTCTGATCCGGCAAGGTTCTTTACTTTATAGGCAGCTTTTCTGGGGAGATTGGCGGGATCTGACGTTGCTACTGCTTCAGCACGGGCTTCCATAAAATCTCTTAATGGCAACTCTGGATTGTCGCTTGCCACAAGACATTGTTTTATTCTGGACGATCCACCAGACAACAAGAAGGATGTAATTGAATCGAAAAGGTTCTGTGTTTTTATTCTGCTCCCAGTGTTTTGAAGATATTGGTTGTTGTTTTCTTAAATCTGAAACTAGCAAGACTTTTGCAGTGTGGATGCAGCAGGGAAGGATGAGAATGCCCATAAAGATGAGCAGCCAGAAGAAAAAAAACAGGAAGCAGAAGATGTCCCATTGAAATCAGATGATATGGAAATGCCAGATATTGATCCAGCCAAAGAAAATCAGGATTCAGTGACTGAAGAAAAGCAACCAGATATCGAACAAGATAAGGGATCTAGTAAGCCAGCCGCAACTGAAAATTCAGGGAAACCAGCGGATATAACTAGTCCATCTGTGGACAAATGTTCAGCAAAGGAACTTGAAGAACCTTTGAAGGATGGAAATAAGCTTTCTAGTGAAAACAAAGACGCCTCTCAAGAAACTGTTTCTCAGTCAGCTGTAGATGCTTCTTCTCAGCCAGAAGCATCCAAAGATGTGGAGATGAAGGATGCATTACAGTCAGAGAAGGATCCTCAAGATATTGTCAAAACAGTAGGAGAGGAGGTTGCAAAGGATGATCCTATTACGACAGACACGTCTGTTGCACAGCATCCCATTGGATTAGCTTCTGTACCGGAAAATGGAACAGCTGAATGTCTGTCTCTCTCTCTCTATCTCTGACACAGTAGAAACTAGATTTGCAATATGCAATTGCATGATTCTTTTATATCTTACTGGTTTGTTGTTTAAACGTTGTTTTGCAGGTGAAAATCCAGATAAAGAAGGAAATAAAGAGAAGGATCTTTGTCAAGGGACAAAAGACAAGCATAACCTCGATAAGCTTAAGCGCGCAGCTATCTCTGCTCTCTCAGCTGCTGCAGTAAAGGCAAAGCTTCTTGCGAAGCAAGAAGAAGATCAAATCCGACAACTTTCTGGATCATTGATAGAGAAGCAGGTGAAAAAGTCGTTATAACTATTTGCTTCTAATTACATTCCGTTTTGAAACATAGTAATGATATGTATTTTTATAATGTCTAAGCAGTTACATAAACTAGAAGCAAAGCTATCAATCGTCAACGAATCTGAAAGCTTGACGTTAAGGGTGAAAGAGCAATTAGAGAGGTCAAGGCAACGACTCTACCATGAAAGGGCACAGATCATAGCAGCTCGACTCGGTGTCCCACCTTCAATGAACTCAAAAGCATCGTTACCAACAAACAGAATCGCTGCAAACTTTGCTAATGTGGCTCAAAGACCTCCCATGGGTATGGCCTTTCCGCGCCCACCAATGCCAAGACCTCCCATGGGTACATCATCACACTCTGTTCCTGGTTCACTTGTATCTGCCACAGCAATAACCGGAAGTTCAAATCCACCTCCGGCTTCAGACAATGTTTCTTCGGTTTAGTGGTTCGACATCATACTTTTCAAGACTCGCGGATGTTGTGTTTCTAAGCCCAGGTACATGATGAGCTTGGTTTGTTTTTTTTTTTCTGGAGATTTGTCGGAGTTATGTAGGAAACGGAAGTTAGTTAGGGGTTTTAGACCCATCAGTTAATGTAACTGTGAAATGAAACTACTTGGGAGATCTGTGAATGTGTTTTATTTATGGTTCCTATGAACTTTTATGAATTGTAACGTTGAACAGAGATATATGATTCCGCAAAAAGGTTGGGGATGTTTAATGAGTTAAGGTTATATACACAAACTCGTACGTGTTGTAGTAAGACTGTCCTGTAATAAGTTAGAGCCTCTTAATTCTCCGACAGGATCTTTTTGGAGTGTTTTCTTGTGTCATAAGAGTATATCAAACTCAAAAGTCCAATGTTTGTGACCATTCCTTACGCAACCGACGTTATGAGCTAAACATTCTCTCTCTTGTGTCTGTTTGCCAACTCCCGCCAATGAGTTCGGTTTGGTCTTGTCTTTGTAGTTTGGTTCTTTTCTTTAACTAGTTAGATCCGGAGTTTGGTTAGACTTTTTTGGTTTTTCAAGTTTTTTTACTTCCAGAAAAAGACATTGATTTCAATCTCAAACCGGTTCAATTATTATTATTCTAAACCGGTATGGTCCGAATGTTGTTCAAAATATTCAAACGGCACACATGCAAAAGTAGTAGAGGCCAAATTAGAGAGAGTTCGGTTTCTTGAAAGAGCAAATATAGATGATAGATGGTAGAGAAAGGGAGATGCTTTCTCCTAATTATAGTTTTAATATTTTTCTCCTCCTTCGTAGGAGAAGCTATTTCTCCATATCCAAGAGAAACCATCCCGATCTCAATCTCTCTTTTTTCTCTCTCTCGTTCTCTTTCCAATCTTCTTCACGTTGTATTCATTTCTTCAAAATCCGGGTTTCAATCGCATAAAAGCCATTGGTTTTTCTTGGACAACAAGGCTGTTGCGTCAAGGATCACCGGGGAGAAGGTTTCTCCGCCGTTGAGAAACCTTTCACCGAGAAAAACACATCGTAATGGCGGAATCTCCGGGGAATTCACCTCCTGCCCCGGAAACCCCTGCAACACCGTCAAATGAGACATCACCGTCAGCTGGATCATCCCCGCCGACACAACCCTCTCCATCGCCACCCTCCCCGGATGCTGCTCCTCCCCCGACACCACCCTCTTCACCGCCCCCTGCGCCGCCGAGCCAGGAAACGTCGCCTCCTCCAACAACATCATCACCATCACCACCATCTCCGCCGGCTGAAACTAAACCGCCACCGCAAACTCCAGAGAATCCTTCTCCACCTGCTCCTGTAAACCCAACTCCGGGAACGCCACCGGCACCGCCTCAAACACCGTCGAACCAAGCACCTCCTTCACAAAAACCATCTCCTACATCTCCTGGTGCCAGTAATGAACGTAACAGAACCAATGGTGGCAACGGCAACAATGGAGGAGACACTTTCCCGCTTCCACCTTCGGGAAACAGAAATTCCAGTGACACTTTCCCGCTTCCACCCCGGTCCATAAGCCCTCCTCGGAATAGCGGAGGTTCAGACTCATCATTTCCACCAGGGGATAATCAACAACAACAAGCCAACATTGGATTGATCATCGGAGTCCTTGCAGGAGCAGGGCTATTGCTTCTACTCCTAGTGATCATTTGCATCTGTTGCAACAAGAAGAAGAAGAAGAAGAAACAACAAGTCAATCACATGCACTACTACAATAACAACAATAACAACAATCCCTTTGGAGGACACACAGGTAATCAAAATGTTTAAGCACAATCAAAGCAATAGGTTAACGTAATGGTCAAGTTAACATAACCAACACATTAGGTTTCATAGTTTAGCGGTAGCGTGCAAAAGAAGCTAAAGGATTTGTTTCATAGTGTAGGAGGTAATGGTGGTTATAATAATTACAATAATGGAACATCTCAAGACCATGTGGTGAATATGGCTTCTCAAGGAGGTGGAAGCTGGGGACAACAGCAACCTGTGTCTGGTCCTCATAGCGACAGTTCCAACGGTCCTGGACCGTCGCCTCAAGGTGCGACTCTTGGTCACAACCAAAGCACTTTCACCTACGACGAGCTGTCCATTGCGACAGAAGGTTTCTCTCAGTCGAATCTGCTAGGACAAGGAGGATTCGGGTATGTGCATAAAGGGGTTTTGCCTAGTGGCAAAGAAGTTGCAGTGAAGAGTCTTAAACTTGGAAGCGGACAAGGAGAACGTGAGTTTCAAGCAGAGGTCGAGATCATTAGCCGTGTCCATCATCGTCATCTTGTCTCTCTTGTTGGGTATTGCATCTCTGGTGCTCAAAGGCTTTTGGTTTACGAGTTTCTACCTAATAACACTCTTGAATTCCATCTTCACGGTACGTTCATCTAACAAAACATTTACTTACGTATGGTCTCGCTTTTATCAATATTAACATGTTTGAAAATTTCAGGAAAGGGTCGTCCGGTTATGGAGTGGTCTATACGAGTGAAGATTGCTTTGGGATCAGCTAGAGGACTAGCTTATTTGCACGAAGATTGTAAGAACAATCTCTCTCTCTCTCACACACACACACACCTATAGTCGCTCTCTATGAGAAAAACTAAAGATTGTATGTTTTACATGAATGGTAGGTCATCCTAAAATCATACATAGAGATATCAAAGCTGCAAACATTCTTCTTGACTACAGTTTTGAAACCCAGGTATATATATATATATATATATATATATATATATATATATATATATAGTCACCATTAATCACCATTGTGCTACTTTGTTTTTACTTTCATTTTCTTAATTTTTTTTGGAATCTGTGTGATGTGTAGGTGGCAGATTTTGGATTAGCCAAGCTATCTCAAGACAACTATACGCATGTCTCCACTCGCATCATGGGAACTTTCGGGTAAAACTGTCTTTATATTCATTCACACTTAAACCACTCTGTTTCAATTGTCTAAACATTTGCTTTGTAACAGATATTTAGCTCCAGAGTATGCATCAAGCGGAAAGTTATCAGACAAGTCTGATGTTTTCTCATTTGGAGTAATGCTTCTTGAGCTTATAACCGGACGACCTCCAATTGATCTAACTGGAGAAATGGAAGACAGTTTGGTAGATTGGGTAAGTCAGAGACGGTTCTTCTTATTACTTTTTTTCAGTTCCCAAAATCAAAAACTGAAAAACAAATGTGTTAACCATTTCGTTTGTTTGCAGGCAAGACCGCTGTGTTTGAAAGGAGCTCAAGATGGAGATTACAGTCAATTGGCAGATCCGCGTCTAGAGGGAGTCTACGATCAACAAGAGATGGCTCGAATGGCTTCTTGTGCAGCTGCAGCCATCAGACACTCAGCAAGAAGACGGCCTAAGATGAGCCAGGTTTTTAAAAGACAAAATCAAAATCCTTTTTTGTTATCAATCAATGCACACAATCTTGATGACATGCTTTATGAATCTTGGAACAGATTGTACGAGCACTGGAAACAGATGTATCAATGGAGGATCTAAGTGAAGGAGGAAGACCAGGACAAAACTCGTATTTGAGCCCCGGAAGCGGCGTGAGCTCAGAGTATGACGCGAGCTCGTACAGTGCAGACATGAAGAAATTCAGGAAACTGGCATTAGAAAGTAAAGAGTATCAAAGCAGTGACTATGGTGCAACGAGCGAGTATGGTTTAAATCCTTCTGCTTCAAGTAGTGAAGAAATGACTAGAGGTTCTATGAAACGCAATCCTCAGCTTTGAAAACATAAACACACACACACACACACACACAGACACTTCTCATATATTCAGTTTTCTTTTTCTCTCTGCCTTTTATCTCATTTGTTTGTTCATTTTGCGCCAAAGATTTGCAGTTTGTAAAGCCCAAATTATGATATTTTTTAGGATTGATTTTTGACCAGAGAGACTAAATATCGTGTGTTTTGTTGAAATGTTATTTTTAGCCATACACAGTTATGGTTTTATACTTTATACGCATAATAATAATCAATAACTTTTTTATATATGTTTATCATTTTTGTGTCAAAATCCAAATATTTTTGAGAAAATAAACACATATTGGAGCGCTTGCGTCATTTACTACAACATTTTACTGAAAATGACGTGGCAGCCTCTCGCAAGAGCATCATAAACTGACGCCGACGCAGCAGATCACAGCTCCTCGGCTGCTTCTAATTTTTTTTTAACATTTCTTTTCTTCTCTTTCTCGGGACCGATCCCACACTCAGATAGATCCTTCCTTCTCTCGCATTGCATCTGTTGTAGCTAAGGTAATCAAAGCGAGATCTGATTGACGACGGCAATTCAAAGGCAGATCAGCAATGGCGCAACCCTACGTGAAGAAGGACGATGATCACGACGACGAGTGTATGTCCTCCGTTTTTTGTTTTCTCGCTTAATTTGGTCATAATTGGATTCCATCTTCGAAATATCTGGTTTGTGCAAGGCGTTAATCAGATTTGAAGCTTCTTCTAGATCTGTGCGATTCTAGATATCGTGGATTGTAATTTGTTTGTGTAGATCTACCATTTCAAGTCCGAATTACACTTATATCGAATTTCGAATTGGATACTGCGCAGTGTTGATGATTTTACGAAAACTGTTTAGTTTTGTGATCAATCTGGTTTTGTATACCACATTCGATCCAGTGTGAATGGTTGCTAATTCGGTTTTCAATTTTTTTTTTTGGCGCAGTGGAGTATTCTCCATTCATGGGAATTGAGAAGGGAGCTGTCCTTCAAGAAGCTAGAGTCTTTAATGACCCTCAGGTTGATCCTAGAAAATGCTCGCAGGTGATTGCTTACCGATTATTTACCCTTTTTGTTCTGGGATTTTATCTTGTTGGTGGTCATAAGCTTTCTGTAAATCAACAGGTCATCACCAAACTTCTTTATTTGCTTAACCAAGGGGAGTCATTCACAAAGGTCAGTTTTTCATTTTCATTATGTCAATACTTGTGTAAGAGTACTCTATAGCTCATGTGGTGTGAATATCTTATTATATGTATGCAGGTTGAAGCAACGGAGGTTTTCTTTTCAGTGACAAAGCTTTTCCAATCGAAAGACACTGGTTTGAGGAGAATGGTTTACTTGATCATAAAGGAGTTATCTCCATCATCAGATGAGGTTTGCCATTTTCCTCAGTGTTAATACGAAACTCGGGGCATATATTGTAGGTCTATATGTGGATAAGTTTTTTGGTCTTTTTCCCCATAGGTTATCATTGTCACAAGCTCTCTCATGAAGGACATGAACAGTAAAATTGATATGTATCGAGCAAATGCTATCCGTGTTCTCTGCCGGATTATAGACGGAACCCTTCTCACTCAAATTGAGCGATACTTGAAACAAGCCATTGTGGATAAGAATCCCGTGGTTTCAAGTGCAGCTTTAGTCAGTGGGCTTCACTTGCTGAAGGTATATTTTACACACCAGAAGTATTAGGTTGTTTCTAAGTTGGGAGGTTATGTTTATATTCTTATATTGTTGTTTTCAGACAAACCCAGAAATTGTTAAACGGTGGAGCAATGAGGTTCAAGAAGGTATTCAGTCCAGATCAGCCCTTGTTCAGTTTCATGCCCTAGCTTTGCTTCATCAGGTAAGGCTGTTGCATTGGTATTAGGAGTTAGCAAATGATAAGTATTGCTGCTGTTACATTGATCTGAAAAGGCTCTCAACACGATATATTTTCTTTCTGTGTTTATAATTTTAGTGAGAACTTATCTAATAGCTGTTTGTTAATCAATCATCTTTTTCAGATTCGCCAAAATGACCGCTTGGCTGTTAGCAAGTTGGTTGTTAGCTTGACCAGGGGATCTGTTCGCTCTCCCTTGGCCCAATGTCTTTTGATACGTTACACCAGTCAGGTTAGTCCTCTATGCCGTTCGATCGCCTGGTCTGTGGGTGAAGGTATTTGTGTAATCAGGCTCTTGTTTCTGTTGTTCAGGTTATCCGTGACATGTCCAACCATGGTCAGTCCGGAGAACGCCCGTTCTATGAGTTTTTGGAGAGTTGCCTGCGCCATAAGGCAGAAATGGTGATCCTTGAGGCTGCCAGGGCGATCACTGAGCTTGATGGTGTGACAAGCCGGGAATTGACTCCAGCAATCACTGTTCTCCAGCTCTTTTTGAGTTCTCCCAGACCAGTGTTGAGATTTGCAGCTGTCCGGACTCTGAACAAGGTTTTCAATTCTTTTCTTTGTATATTGAAAAACACTGGAATGATGATATGTTTTCTGGACATTGTTTCCTTTATCAATCGAGATAAAGTGATATTTCACTGTACACTAAACGAAAGTTTGAAAACAGGTTGCAATGACCCATCCTATGGCTGTCACCAACTGCAACATTGATATGGAGAGTTTAATTTCCGATCAGAATAGAAGCATTGCTACACTTGCAATCACCACTCTCCTGAAAACAGGGAACGAATCAAGTGTAGAGCGCTTGATGAAGCAGATAACTAATTTTATGTCAGATATTGCTGATGAGTTCAAAATTGTGGTCGTGGAAGCAATAAGATCGTTGTGTGTGAAATTTCCACTGAAGTACAGATCCTTGTAAGTGAAGTTTAAGGGTGTGTTATTTGTAGTTTTGATCTTTAGCATTACTATTCTTATGTCTGTCTTAAATAGGTCACCGGTATTTTTATAGCATCATGGCTTATGATTAACTTCTGCCACCTTTTCAATTGTAGGATGACTTTCCTAAGCAACATTCTTAGGGAAGAAGGTGGATTCGAGTATAAAAGAGCAATAGTAGATTCTATTGTGACCATTATTAGAGATATCCCTGATGCGAAGGAAAGTGGATTGCTTCATCTTTGTGAATTCATTGAAGATTGTGAATTCACATATCTTTCAACACAGGTAATTATTTGTCTCCATCTGCCATCTGGTTGTTGCTATTAATAACTGCTTATGTGTATTTAAATGTGTTTTGTTGCACAGATCCTTCATTTTCTGGGAATCGAGGGGCCTAACACCTCAGATCCTAGCAAGTATATACGATATATCTATAATCGTGTACATCTGGAAAATGCCACTGTCCGGGCTGCTGCTGTTTGCACCCTTGCAAAGTTTGGGTTTATGGTTGAATCCTTGAAGGTATGTATAGTTATCTTATTAACCATGTTTTCCATTTTATCTTCCTTGACTGATGATAATAATATTATCTTTGGATGTTCTGCAGCCCCGGATTACTGTTCTGTTGAAGCGCTGCATCTACGACAGTGATGATGAGGTACGTTCCTAGTAGAAAATTTGCCTTTTAGTCGTTGGTTGCAGTGATATATCTGTTCATTTCTGTTTCTGTATGTCTGTTTGTGTACCCTTGAGTGAATTGCGTCATTTAACAGACATGCATTTTTTTGCCTAAATGAACATTTTCCGATAAGAGATTACTGCAAGTTATTTGATGATTCCTTCCTTGATCACGCGACCTCTTTTTATCTTAAGGTCCGTGATAGAGCAACACTCTTTTTGAGTGTTCTTGGTGGTGATGGTACTGTCGACGCTGATAAAGATAGCAAGGAGTTTCTATTTGGTTCTCTGGAGGTTCCTTTGGTCAACATGGAAACTAGTCTGAAGAATTATGTGAGTTTTCGATTTCTCGGTTTTCTTCTTTTCATATGCTTCTCGGGACATGAATTAATTTATATTTTTGATCCTGCAGGAGCCCTCTGAAGAAGCTTTTGACATCAACTCTGTGCCTAGGGAAGTAAAATCCCTACCCCTTGCAGAGAAGAAAGCCCAGGGTAAAAAGCCCACTGGTCTTGGTGCACTACAAGCTGCACCTGCTTCTGGTTTTGATGGCTATGAAAAACTTCTCTCAGCTATTCCAGAGTTTGCCGCCTTTGGAAAACTTTTCAAGGTGAGTGCTGAATTTTCTTCTGTTTCAGTCTGATGTTATTGGCTTACCTCGATTCGTTTAAACGTGTACTTTCTTTTTCAGTCTTCTCCACCTGTGGAGCTAACTGAAGCAGAAACAGAATACTCGGTCAATGCAGTAAAGCATATCTTTGACAGTCATGTGGTGTTTCAGTACAACTGCACTAACACAATACCAGAGCAGTTGTTGGAAAGGGTAATGAAACGTTGGTGTTAAGCATATATCATGCCTTCTTTCCTCATTTCTTATGTTCTGGCTTGGGTTTGTAGGTAAATGTCGTTGTAGATGCCTCAGAAGCAGAGGAATTCAGTGAAGGAGATTCAAAGGCCTTAGACTCACTTCCTTATGATTCGCCTGGTCAAGCCTTCGTTGCTTTTGAGAAGCCAGCAGGGGTCCCTGCTGTTGGAAAGTTCTCCAACACATTGACTTTCGTTATTAAGGAGGTACATGTTGATAATAGGCTTTTTTTCACTTCCATCTCTTTGATTATTTATTTATACACACGCTAAACGTTCCTATTTGTTCGTGCATTATTGTAACAGGTTGACCCAAGCACGGGTGAAGCAGAGGATGAAGGGGTAGAAGATGAGTACCAGCTGGAGGATATTGAGATTGTAGCTGCAGATTACATGGTGAAAGTGGGGGTCTCCAATTTCAGGAATGCATGGGAAAGCATCAATGAAGAAGAGCTCGTAGAAGAATATGGCCTTGGCCTAAGAGAGGGTTTGGGAGAATCAGTGAAGGCTGTCATCGATCTTCTTGGCATGCAGCCTTGTGAGGTTAGTCTCTGTTCCACTTTTTCCTCAATACTCAACGTGAGAGGTCAAATATCAAACGATGGTTTTTTGAAAAACTTGAGAAACAAAAATTGCAGGGGACGGAGACAATTCCGAGCAATGCAAGGTCACACACTTGCTTGTTGTCAGGAGTGTACATTGGGAACGTGAAAGTGTTGGTGAGGGCACAGTTTGGAGTAAAGAGCTCAACGGAGCTTGCAATGAAACTGGCGGTTAGAGCAGAGGACGTCTCTGTCGCCGAGGCCATTCACGAGATTGTTGCCAGCGGCTAAAACACTGATGCTGAACCAACGCCTTCTAAGGTATCTCTATCTACAGGTAGCACCAAAGAGTGTTGTTATCTTCTTATAAGAGTACAAGACCAGATTCTCAACATAATACACTTTCTTTCTTCCCGTTGCGAAAGATCCTCACTTACCCAACCTCGAACGTCATCTTTTTATATAGTATAATATAGTACCTTGTTTTTCTGCATTACTCAACTGTCAAATACTGTTGGAGATTTTCCTTTCATGACGATTTTGTTTTGTATTTGATAATGATGATTTAAAGACATAATTGACTTGCTTAGAGATGGCTTATTACAAAGATTTTATGGAGTTTATGGACTAGATTGAAGTTCAAGTGATGGTAGTACTAGTAACAACTGGTGGTTACACAATTTGATTGGAGAATTCATATAGCAAGTAATGCGGTTTAAGGTTTACTAATGGCAAATGAAGAATAGATAAAATCAAAATCACACTACAAATAAGGCCAGGTTTTGATCCTTTCTAACAACTCCACTACTTCAAAGAAAGGCACATTTCCCGAATTTCTCCACAATGATTACAAATCGATCTTATGGGTGTTTTACTTCCAGACTACAGAATATATATTAACCAAACCACCAGAACTGGAAATGGAGCTGAACAGACGACTCCTACGTTTGCTTTTCTTCTTCTTCATATCACTCTCCTGTGCCCTCCAAACGCCCATATCTGTGTAATTCAACAATAAGACGCACAAATTTCCTTACATCTTCGATGTTCTTTGTTTTTCATTCTTATCTTTATTTCAGTTTCATTCAAAATCATAATATGATATGATAAGCAGAGACACTAACCTTTAGATTAGAATCCCAACTTCCTGTACATAAGGCACTTCCATCTGCTGACATCCCCAAACAGCTTATCCGATTCTTGTGTGAATCCTGCAGTCCCCCCAAATCCAATACAACCTGTGCAACAACAAACCCCCACATCACACAATGAGCGAAAAAGATAACTCTCAAACCTCATCCTCAGTACTAAGCAGCTTACCTCTCCCAAGAGAGTATCCCAAACGCAGCAGGTGTTGTTGCTTGCGTAGCCAGCGAAAAGAAGCCTCCCCGAGACAGAGAACGCGATGGAAGTCACTGGTACATTCTCACCATCCCCATGTGGCTGATACACCTGGAGCTGATGACCAGTCCTTATGTCATACAACCTGCACGTTCCATCGTCTGACCCTGTCCCAAATCTATACCCATCCGGAAAGAACTTGACCGTATTCACATCTCCCTCGTGCCCATGAAACGTCCGCACTGCTCTGCTCGCAGCACGAGTGTCCCACAAACGTGCAGTGGAATCGCATGAACCAGATATAAACCAGTTTGGGTTTGATGCACTGATTGAAACACTGGAAGAAACATGGCACACACTTTAGAAACCGAATCAAATCAAACTAATTCCAACAAGCCAAGCAAATAGAGCCAACATCCATACCTTAGTACGTCAGCAGTATGTCCAGACTGAAACTCACCACCAAAGACAGAAGTTTTGAGGCCAGTAGTCACATCCCATAACACACACGTTTGATCACCTGAGCTCGTGATTAGGTGAGCATCCTCGTTCGGGACATACTGGCAGCAAGAAACATACCCTCTGTGACCACTGAGCATTCTCGAAACCGGTACAGTCCCGTCTTTATCAGCGGTTGCGCTAAGGCTGAAGATGGAACACACACTGTCCAATCCACCACAGGCAACCGTCTGGCCATTCGGAGAGAAGGCACACGTCATCACCCAAGCACAAGGGAGTTTGATAGCGTGAGTTTTCTGACTCGTTAGCGCATTCCACACGATTAGTCTCCCATCTTGAGAAGCACTGACGATCCTGTTCCTCTCAGGCGTCCAATCCAATGAATAAACCTGTAAATTCCCCACATTTTAAAGATACAAGCTAATATAACAGACTGATTCCGCCTAAACTCTTCAAAAATGGAAACTTTTAGTTTCCCTTAACATAGTTACACTATCTAAACCGTTTATCACAAAGCTCAAAACTTCATAAACGAGAATACTACTTGAAGGAAAATATAACACTTTGCAGCTATAGTTCGTCAAATCATACGGAATTGCTAATGAAATTCTGTAGATTTATGTAAGAAAGGATCGAATTTGAAATTGTAAGATGGAGATGAGATCGAGATTTTTCACTCACCTTTCCGGTGTGTCCCTGGAGAGTACGACAGCAAACCAGATCCGTCGCACCGAAGCTTACCGGAGAACGTCCCTGCGCCGCCGAATACGTGGCCACTACCGAAATTCAATAGCAAAACAGATCTAAGAACAAGTTTTTGTCCATATCTAGATTGTGAAGGAGAAGAAGAAGAGAAATGACGAACCATCGGTGTCGAGGAGCTGGAGGCGTCTCTGTCTAAGCGTGTCACGGAGGTTGTTGACGGTCTCCGTAGCGACGGCGTGGCGTTCTTTGAGCTCGGAGACAGACATTTCCAGCTTCGGAATTAACCGATCAAGAGATTAGAAGAGGGGAGTGGAAATGTCTAGAAGAGAAGAAGCTTCATGATTGGGAAAAGGGAGAGATCGAACCCTAGAAAGAGAGATGATTTTTGGGGGAATTACGTGGGAAAGAGCAGATGAAAAGCTGAAGAAGCAGTCAGACACGCTCGGTGTTGTTGATGTCTCTGACCTGACCCAACCCAAATTCTCAATGAGAGAGAGAAGACAGTCAATTCGACGCTTGACTGTTCTCATTAGTGGACCCCATTCACAACTCCAAACGACGTCGTTCGTAGTTAGTTCCAGGTTCTTTTGCTACTTGTATGATTTCGATTTTCTTTCAATAAACCATGACATTGTTGAAGAATGATCGAACATCGAACATCGAACATATGATTCTGTTATTATGTAGGAGTTTTTTACTGTTAGTCTTAAAAAAAAAGTTATGTGCAGTAATTTCGTTATTTTGGAAAATCAGTGATAAAAATCCAAAAGTAAAACATTAGTTCGTTATATGAATTCTGCTTCACGTTATTTTTACTCAATAACCAAGAGTATAGACTATAAAGTAAAGAGTTCAAAAGGGAGAATGGAGTTTACTACATCTGTCGAATCTAGTTATATTCAGTCCATGAAAAATAACCAAACAGAAGTCTAGTGGAAGTAGCCGTTACAGACTACGACAAAAAATTATTATAGAATATGTATAACTCTGTTTATAAAACTAATAACAACTTGATTGCACAGAGAGAGATAAAGAGAAGGGAGAACCAAAAAAAAGAAGAAGTATTTAATTACCCCCAAGAGCTAATTGGGTCATTAGACTCGTCATTACATATTTACATGTAAGACTATGGACATAAAGATGATCACTAGAAAAGACAGAGAAGAAGAGACATTTGGTTCAACAGCTCCATTCTTGTGCTCTACCAATTTACTGTTCATTGCTCCTGTACTTCCTGTTGCTCCTCCAGGATAGACGCAACTGTTATAACCTATCAAATTCAAATGCATGATAAGGAAACCAATCAGTATGATACAATTTCTCGCTTAGCAAACTTAGTATACTCAAAAAGCTCCTGGTCTTTGTTACAACTTTTTAATACAAGGTCGAAAATAATATTGGTTGGTACTTGGTGTGAGAGTCAAGGGGAGAGAAAACTTACTAGGGTTTTGGGAGGTAACTGTTGCGGTTTGAGAGAAATCGCAATCTGTAGACTTTTTAGGAGACTTTTGGAAATACATATTCATGGCAAAAGCTGCGTGTGAGGCCACATTGTTAGGCTCGAAACAAGCTCCTCCTGGTTGTATCGCCCCACAGTCTATTCCTTGCCCGCACGCCCAATCCAAGCTCGCCTGCAATTGCTCATTCGTCGCACCCTTCTTTGGTACACACCATCCCGTCGTCGTCACTTTTCCTGATGGCGTCTGCTTTTATGATCAAAACATAACCTCGTTAAATTAAAACCTCAACTGTTTATCTGCATCGTGCATTTTCACCACCGTTATAATAATATTTTCTTTCTTTCCAAATAAAAACCACAACTTCTAGTACATGTTAAATGAAACCACAACATTTAAGTATTCTAAACAAGATTCTTTTGTTAATAGTATAAAGACAAATGTATAAATCAGCATTCTAGACAACTATGAACTAACCTGACTACTATTGCTGCTACTACCGCTACTCTTGGCAAGGCCTATATCATAGGCCATAGAAAGATCGGTTTTGAAAAGCCCGAAGGCCCGTTCTGAAGATGGTCCAGGCTTTAGATTCTCATCGTAGAGTGCGAAAATGTATGTGTCGACAGACTTTCCAGGCATGAGAGGTGTGCCAACCATTGACTTTAGATGAGCTATTAGGTTTCCGTTGTAGGCTTTGGCATTATCCACGCTCGGTCCGACCTCGTTTGTGTCTCCTCGTGAAGCCCAACCAGTTTCCGCCACCACAATCTCCACCTTCTCGAAGCCCATCGATTTCAAAGCCGAGTGAACCGCATCAACCTACGAAATGATGAAAGTCAGAGCCTGTAACGTGTATTGCAAGAAATTCCAGAATCACGAACAAAGACTTCTTTATACTAATGAGTTCGAAGACCCAAACACGTAATATGTCCTGCAAAGTCATCATCATCTTTTCCTATTCTGCTTTTTTTATAAAGTTGTTTTATTGACTTTGGTCGACGCTACTTACGTGGATTTGACGATTACGAGTGAAAACAAATGCTTCAAGAAACATCTAAAAAAAAAAAAGAAATAAGTAGTGCGAATCTAGCTGTCAGACAATGAGTACTGCCGACGTGTCAACGTCAAACATACTTAATCCCTGAGTAGAAATAATTTTAATAAACCACACAGTAACCAAATTACTCCAATAAGCAAATTTGTTTTTATGTACAGATTGTGTGTGTTGAAGAAACTAAAGAAAGTGTAAATTCAAACACTTACGGCAAGTATGTATGGACCCGTATCATCATCCTAGACACACAACTGTCTTTTGTACTATATAATAATAAGAATATAGATTCCTTCTAAGTGGAAAAGTGAGAACAGAATAAGTTCTTTGCTACAAATACAATCTAATGCAAAGAAAAATTCTTCTATAGAAAAACCGAAAGTTCAAACTATATATTCCTCCACGTGAATACTTTGCAAATTGTTTTTTTATTGATCTTTGTGTGTCACAACAATATATTACTTGAAACTAACCGACCTAAGATTAACTATGCTTTGACATCTAACTAAATTAGTTCAGTACACCAAATTCTTAACCAGAGTAGAGTAAACACTTTTTCAGATTTTACGAAATCTTAGAATTTTAATTTATTACCAAACACGGCTGAATTAATTAGTTTGGACCAGACCCGAGAAAACGTGGACCCAACTGTAATAAATTTTACCTGAGCGTCAAACATGTTCATGTACTTGATTCCGGTATTGGAGTCGACCCGTCCCGGGTTAGACTGGAATAGGCAATACGACAGTGTTTCGGGTCTCGGGTCACTTTGGTACGCGAAGAACGGGTACGGGTTAATCGCGAAAGGCGAGCCAGTGTCGCTTAGGAACTGCAGAATTCCCTTTAAACCGGTTTGATAACCGGCCGCAAATGAACCGGCTGATGGCGGTTCCGAATTTCCCAGTACCGACATCGCGTGCACCGTCGACACCTTTATTTTCCCGCCGAGCGACACCGCCTCGAGAGCTTTCTGAACATTTTGCATCGCCGGGAGTAGCTGGTTCACTAAATTTGGGTCATTCGACATCAGCACCTGCGAAATTCGGATCAGAATTGGGGAATTTTCTCGGGAAAAAACTTTAATTGAATTTTACGGACCTCGTTGCCGACGGTGATGAGGATGATTTTGGAGGCGGGGTAAAAAGGGAGGACATTGGAGTTGATCCATTGAGTGGCGACGTTGGGATCGGAGGCGAGAGAAGGAACGTCACCGTTAGCGGCGCCGATGACGATGCCGACGCCGGTTCCGGCCAAAGCTTTGATGATGGCGGGATCGGCGCCGTAGAGTCTCACCTTCTGAATCGAAGTGGACTGGAGTAGCTTGGCGGTTTCCGATGGCGGAGGGAGATTGTCGGCGACTTGACCGTAGTTAACTCCGATGAACGGCTCTGCATCTGTCAGGAAACAAAAACAGAGGAAACAAAATGAAGGTAAGATTGAAGAAGAGTGATTGTCAAATATCTAAACAGAATACTTCTATATTCTCTCAGTGAGGAGTAAACTAAAGCGGTGTCGTATTGATGGAGATAATACTTACGTGAGGAAGGGAAGTGAAAGAGGGATATGAGGAGGAGAGAGGAGAAGATGGAGAGAGCCATGGCGATGATGGTGAGAGAGAGATGAGTGAGAAGGAGGAGAAAGAAACAGAGATAATTAAAGAAGAGGTTTTTACTGTAACGGTTATATCAACATTGAAGAGAATAAGTCTTTTCCGAGAAGACACGTTGGCGCTTGTTTTTCCACACTCCACGTGCTGACTTTTATTTTCTTAGTCTTGAGGTAAGTCTTCGTCTCGGTCAACTATTGTAATATTTCCGGAAAGAAAAATCTTCTGCAGAGAAATTTCGTGAAAAAAAGGTGTTTTGTTCAGAAACTGATCCGTAAATCTGATTTAAAGGCTAAGACTTTAACATTGTTAGTGGTTGTAGAATGATGAAATTGGTTAGGATGTAGGACTCAAAAGTACAAAAAATGGTTGCGACATTCCTTGTCTGATAACTCGCAATTGAAGGTATACGTACGCAATACGTTCGTGTCATGTAGAGATTATTCATTACATACAATTTTGTTTTAACTTCTCATAAAAAGCAGACGACATTGTTCCTCTTTTCCATGCTATTTCTCAGCACAAGTGTGTAAACCCATTCTTCACGTTTCACCCACCACCACCAATAATTTTATCTTTTGTGACTACACAATGTTTACCTCGATTATTTATGTTGACTATACCTTCTATTCGCATTTTAAATCATTTTTTCCTCAAGACTTCTTACTACGCTCACATCATGTTACTTAAGTATGCTGTTTATGTCTGGATGTTTTACTTTTAACTAATCATTATCCGCCTTCATAGCCGTATACAATTCAGTTGATTAGGTTAGAGACAAAAGCATTTTCATTAGAATCATATCATATCGTTGATGATGGTCAATGCCAAAGCCAGTTGAGTTCCTTTCTTGTCAATGCCAAAAGAAAACAAGAAACCCAAATCCAATCCAAAACCCCAAGGACGAACACAACAAACAAAAAAACAAAAGAACCTCCAAACCCAAAATTGGGGTACAGACAGAGACAGAACCAACAAACAAACAGATTCTCTCCTCTATTATATAATCTGAAGATACCAAGTATATCTGTGAAAGAAAAAGGACCTGATATTCAAGCAAAATCCACAATGAAAAGAGATTGTCCTTGGCTTTAGGCACCTGAGTGCGAGACAGGTGTTGTCTCGAACTTCCCTTCAGTGAACAGATGGTTGTACTGTTGAGGCAGTGCATGTTCCACCTACAGTGTTGTAACAACATCACTATTAGAATCATTCTTTCATTTAACAGTGTCCTCTCCCTCACGAGCCTCTTTGGCTACAATGCACTTGTAAAACCAATCACCACACAGTAACCAGACTCCAGAAAATTTCTCATTGATCAATGTATAAATTTTAAAGAAATCCAAAAATCCATACCCAATCTCCATCAGGGGAAGCACCGGGCACCATTACATTGATCTCACTCGATTTGGCTGTTGTTATAGCTGTCTCTAATGAGTCTTTGTTCAGATATAACTGACAGCCAGTCGTGTTGTCTACAGAAACGGTGGGAGCTGAACCCTGAATCAGCCATAGATGAGTAAAGACAAAGCAAAATCATCAGTGTTCACGAAAAATTGCAGACAATAATGCTATATTAGAAGATTGAGAACCAAAAGAAGATATATTTGGAGCCATTAGGGAAGTTAGATAGATGGTAGAAAACAAACCTGACATTGCACTTCTACGTTGTTGCAATTCACAATCTCAAATGCAGCAACAACATCCTATACATACATGTTAAACTTTCCGTTATCAGAAATCACATAACTGTATACTGTAGGGATGTAAGAGGGGGCAAAATTATTCCACTCACCGTGAAGACAACACCCATTTTGGTGCATTTGTCAATGGTGATGTTATTCACTTTTCCTACAGAATAAGAAAAAACAACAGTAAGGGTCTCAAAGAAGTTTTAGCAGATATTCAACTTTCACGGTGGATTGGAATGGCGCAAAGTTACCTTGTATCTGCAAGACAGAATCTTTGCAACCAAATACATACACAGATTGCTTGGAATCACACTCGCTGATAATCAAGTCCTTCTTCCCAATTTGGTTCTCAACAGCCCACCTAATAATTCATTAGAAGCCAACAAATCATATTATACCATTTCTACCATAGCAGTTTTGCATTTCCACTATGAAGTTATTGTTAAGTAAAACTCACTTGCGACCCATTTGAAGTTCCATTTTTGGTGGTCCAGTTTTCGCAAACGCTGGTTTACTGGTACGGGTTTCCTTCTCAACGGCACTAACTGCTCCAGATCTATCAGCACGGTTTTTTGTCTTCATATCATCCGTCACTTTTTTTAGACCTGGAAAGCAAAGAACGAATAATAAGCCACTTGTGATTCACATTCCAAACAGACATATGAAGACATACACAACTTCAAACTCACCTGAGGTCACAGAGCCTGAGCTGAGCTGCTGGAAGACAGCAGACATCCCTTGTTTCTGGTTCGACGACGATGACGGCTTCGAAGATTCAGCACTGAACAGGGACGCAGATGGTGCTGGGGGAGGAGCAGGAGCACCAGGTGGACCCTTTACAGGAGCACTAGCAGGTTTCCCTGATGCATTCCATACAGGTCCCAAGGCGTAATGACTTTTAACATAATCCCTTAAACCAGGCACGTAAAGTTCTTTAATGGCTTTAGCCCATTCCACATGATCTGCGTCTTTGTTACGGTACTCCACCAGAACCTGAACAAGGACATGGGCAAAAATTGGGGATCACAGAATTAACAATGTGCAAAGAGCATCAAACAGCAACTTAAGCTTATCCAATATGAATAAGCAACTCTAAAGTCCTTGTTCCCTATTCTTTTTCCAGAAGCTCTTAGAAATTTCAGCAATAAGCTCTTTGAAATTTTGGCTAGGCATTTAACTTCAGTAAGAACATATAGGAGACTGAAGTTTGCACCTTATTGTTGTAAAACTCAGCCATTTGCCAACTTTCTTCCACGTGAGCAATTGGCATGCTCATACCTTGCAGGGAAAAGAGCGAAATTACATCACAAAATGCCAGTTATTGAGAACGAAGATATCATAATCAAACATGATGGCTCTGCTTACCACAATCTTTTCCAGTGAAAGCAATCCACGCCAATGCAGATAGACTATCGGACGCAGCCTTCAAATGATTGAAGAAATCTGATCTCTTTCCTTCTGTCATTGCATTAGCTTTCATTGTAACATCATTCAACGGCGTGAAAAATCCGGCCAATCCAGCCATATCAGGCTTCTGTTCAATCAGAATAATCTCCAAAAATCAAAATTCAATCCAATCCACGATTACACACCTTGTTGCATGATCAGAATTCAAAAGTTACCTGAGTTTGCTTGATCCGGATAAGCAGCTCCTTTTGTGCCGAAAACGCTTCGGCGACAACCTTCGTCACATCTAGAACAGGTCCACCGATCTTCTCAGCCGCGCTCAGAGCCCTACCGACGCATTGGGAAATCAGATCTTCGTAAGCCAGAATCGATGGATCAGTCGACGCGACATCGGTTCCGGCGCCGGCGGAAAAATCTCCTCCGCGGGAAAGAATAACTCCTCCTCCGTTGCTCGATAGACCCTCGAGCTTCGTGACCGCAGCTTCCAGGCGCTTAATCAAAGCCTCCTCCATTTTCGCTCAACAAAAAAAAAAGTGTTCGCAGCAGATCTGGATGAAATCGATTTAAGAGTGGATTTGATTTTCCTTTTTGTGTGGGGTCTGTCTTGTGTTTGTGGGTTTCATGATGATGGAGAAGTCAGGAGAATATGTGATGACACGTGGCCGCCGTTGGATAACTAATCGCAGGTGGTGGAGTGGTCGTGGTTTGTCGGATCTCGGTTGAGCTTGAATCGGATCGGAAATGTCCAACTCCGGCTATTGCAAAAATGAGTGACAATCGGTTATCTGTTCGGTTGTTTCAGAATTCCTTCCGAATATTTCGATTTGAAAAAATATTTGGTCCGAGTTAGAACCAAAATAATTTCGGTTGAGGTCGGTTTTAAACCTGAATTAACAGAATACCGATCAATTTCTGTAAAAACGAAAACCGAATCAAATTTCTGAATTTTGGTTTGGTCTGGTTCGATATTAATGCCCACAGGTATTGTTTGCACTGCTTCATGTGGCAAAGCTATGAAGCAAATCAAAAAGAGAAGAAATGAAACTTTCTCTAGGTTCAAACTGTATTTTATTATACGTATATGTATATGATATTTACAGATTACAACACTTGAAAATTAGAATTCCATCCTCATATATCTAACTTCTATTTTCCAACTTTCTCTGTTTTGCTTTCAATTCATCATATCTATGTAATCAATCTAGAACAAACGTGAAAACATCTATCAGTCTTGTTGTGTAGCAAATAGCTTTCAACTCTCAAGTGGTCTCCCAGAAACACCGTGATGGACATTCTTGTTTGTCTGGGCTGATCTGTGTTCCTGTGTTGAATAAGAGAATATGAAAAATCACATTAGCTCTTAATCAACATTGTTAAAAAGAAAACAACTAATTGCACAAGCAACACTTACAGGACGGAAAGAGAAATCTTCAGCCTCAAGCATGTGAATGATCTGTCCCATCTTTGGCCGTTTACTAGCATCAAGGTCAATGCAACGCAAACAAACAAGCAAGGCTCTTTTCAAAGCTCTTGGAGGAGGAGGTGGATTCTTGATTTTAGGGTCTATAACTTCTTCTCCACGTCTACTTGCAACCATTCCCTTAAACCAATCCACTAAGTTCATCTGAAAAAAACGTTTCACAAACAGAACTTTTTTACATATGTTCTTGCGGATGTTCATATAAAAGTCCTCAATATATGAGCTTACCTCGCCAGGTGGTCTTGAATGATCAACTGGACTCCTGCCTGTAATAATCTCCATGAGCAGAACACCGAAACTATAGACATCACTACACTCATTGAGCATACCCGTACTTGCATATTCCGGCGAAACATATCTACAGAAATTATAAAAACATGTCAGAAAACCAAAATGTATAGTAAGTAACAATCTGAATGTGATAATGTCTATATATACCCAAAGGTTCCCATCACACGAGTTGTCACATAGCTAGTTTCAGATCCTAATAACTTGGCCAAACCGAAATCAGACACTTTTGCGTTCCATTTCCTATCGATCAAGATGTTACTAGACTTCACATCACGGTGCACAACCTTAGGTTCAAGCCCTTCGTGTAAATAGGCTAATCTGTTCATCAAAAGCCGTCAATGTTAAATTAAGAGGCAGAACGCAGATAGAATGATAATCGAAAAGAAGAAGATAACGAAAGATATCATTACCCTTTTGCTGTTCCAATGGCGATCTTCATGCGTAGATCCCACGTAAGAGGACTCACCGGACCTACGTCACCGTGTAACCACTGCTCCAGGTTTCCATTATCAATGTATTCATACACAAGCATCCTTTGAGCACTGTCTGCACAATATCCCATCAGACCAACCAAGTTCTTATGTCTTACTTTCCCAATTGCTTCTACCTCAACTTTGAACTCTTTCTCTGCCTGTCCCCTGAAGAGATTCATGTTTTTACCATCATTAATCAGATTCATTTAATATAATCAAAACCTTAAATCGTTTTATAAAACAATACAGTGAGAGTAAGCAAGAAGTTTCATCCATGCCTCTAGACCAAACATTTTATATTTTTCAAATAGCATCAAACTTTCCGGTGGTTGTGCTGCAACCAACAACATGACTCTGTCCAACCTAACATTCAATATAATATATCTCTACAATCTTGCTACCTAAATAGAAGATTTGTCCATTTTTTTATTAACCATATGATAAAATCAAACTATGGAAGAGCTCTAGCTTAATAATCCCAATTCAAAGTATCAAGTGACCAACCCCAGAAAACAAACATTAAAGATCACTTTCCAGGCAGTTTTATACCAAGGGATCGACACCATCTCATCATCTAAAGGTAACGACTAAACAAAAAAGAGCATAGAGAACAGCTATTGAAAAAGATTTAAAATAGAATTAATAGAGCATAAAGAACAAAGAACAAAGCACAATAAATTTTTCCTTTTGTTTTACTCTTTTAGTTTCACTAAACCTACCAAAAGAACAGCAATTTATAGTTGGTGGTCGCAAAAGTGTTTACAGAGATCAGAGATGTATATAATGGTAATACAGGCAGGACCAGTAAACAAAGTAGAACTTAAGAGTTTCATTTGATATATTCAAGTCAAAATCAGAAACAACTAATGCGTAGAAAATGTTTTTCTTTAAACAACCACATGTCGGAGAAATATATAAAAAAATGTATCGCCATTTCCTTGGGTCAGCAGCAGCGAGAAATAAGACAAGTTTTTAAAAGCATATTAAATCAAGTACCAATGAAGGAGCCTTGACCCAAGAATTACGGAGTCCGTGAAATGGAGTTAATGAGAATTGTCAGAATGCTGAGGAACATTATTTAATACACTCTGACAAGATCTAAAAAATTCAAAAATTTCAAAAAAACCAAAACACTTCAATCTGAAAATTATCAAAATGATGAATAATGATCTAAATCTAAATTAGTAAACTTTTGAAAAACTCACTTGTTGTTGAGGAGATTCTTGACGGCGGCGACAGACCCGTCGGGGAAATCAGCTCTGTAAACGATACCGTACCCTCCTTCTCCGATCACTTTCTCGTCTGAGAAGCCACGTGTCGCAATCTCCAGATCTTTCAAACTGTACCATCGTCCCCATCCCATTGCCTCGGTACCAACGTCACCGCTTGAAGCCACCGACAAATCGTCGAACCCACCACTCGCTTCTTTGCTTGATGCTGCTGTGACCACTACAACTTCGTTTCCGATTTTACTCTTGGAATCATCGGACTTCAGAAATTTTCCGACTGTCTTGATGTCCTCCGATACCTCCTCCTTGGAGAAAAGCGGGATCGAGCCGGAGCTGTGCTTCACGCGCATTCTACGGGCGCGTGAGACGCGATTCAAGCAGACGAAGAGGAAGATCAAGAGTGAAATCAATACCACGAAAACAGAGATGATCGCGATGACTAAGTAGAGGTTTAGCCCGAAAACGGCGGATTTCGTTGAAAGCTTGTGGAAACTCGAGTTTCCAGATTCAGACATCGCGACAATGAGAATTGTTGGTGTTTTAGTCTCTGTAAGAAAAAAAATGAAAGAGAAGAAAACGTTGGGAGAGAAAAAAAACAAACAGAAGAAGCGGATAGCTTTAAACAAAAATGTTGCGAAGTGACAGAGACAAGACTAGCAAATGCAACGGGTAGAAATTGAGTGTTTTATATCTAAGGCACGTGATTAGCGTTTTATTACGAGAATGCCATCGAATACGCTTAGGCTTAGCTAATTGCCTAATTCTATCTCCAAATCGAAGGAGTAGATTGTACGCGAGTGTTACAACTTACGCATAAAACATTAACTACACTACAATTATAAACGAATCCCGACATACCCCACTCTTATACTATTTGTCCGAAAAAAAAACAAATTGACTACACTATATTCTTGGTAAATTAATTGGAGGAGCCGAGGAGCTATGTACAGTAGAACCTCTATAAAACAATACTCGATAAAACAATAAACACTATAAGATAATATTTTTCTCCGGTCCCAACTCGGGCCAGTGTAAAAAATAGCATAATGCGATAAGATGATAAGACAATAATATTTTTGAAACTCCTATGTAAAAATATAGTCCCAACAATAAGCTAAGATAATAATTATAAAACTAATGCATATATATCTAAGACAATTTAGTAAAATATGACTCCAATGTAGTTTGTCTTTTCTGAAAATTGGATTCCCGTTGGAGCTCATCTCGAATTTTTCTTATTGCATCTACAATTTCTGGAGGTGTATTCTCAACATGCAGCCAAAAGTTGTGAAGAGTTCTCGAAGCCACAATTGCATGCTTACGTGTAACTACTTGCACATGTCCTTCCTCATCATCTTCAACTTCATCTTCACCATTAAGAACAGTAGACATAATTTCTTACTTTGAACTTCTGAGCATGAAATATGTAAATAACAAAGTATAAGGAAAATTTGAATAAAAAATCTGAAAAAATATATTTCTATAAAGTTTCTTGTTTTTGATAGAATATTTCTATAAAATAATAATTATTGTTTATCGATAAAATAATAATTCTTGTTTTATCGATAAAATAATAATTCTATAAGATAATAAAATTTCAAAGTCCCAACATTATTGTTTTATAGAGGTTTTACTGCAATCTGTAATAGCTGGATTCCACTAAATCGTTAATTGTACGCCGCTGCTAATCAAAATGGATTAATTAAATACTTTAGCATGAAATGTTGGTGCTCCGACCTATATTATATTATTATTAGACAATAATAGTAGTACTATAGTTTTTTGTTTTTTTGGTCAACATAGTAGTACTATAGTTTTACTTTGGGATCTTACAAGAATACGTAAGAGTAGAGTGATTGAATTAATTTTTAAAGTATCTCGAAAACAGAGAGCTAATTTCTTAAGAGAGAAAAATAGTCAAAGGTTAGATTACATTGTAATGGGCCGATTCTATTAAATCAAATATAAACTCACTAAAATCGTAAAATCTCAAGAAAAGCACAAATCATCTCGTCTCCTTTATGTTTTCCCACCCGACGGTTTTCTCAAGAAGATTATTTACTCATCAAAAAGACAAAAACTGAGTATTACCCCAAGAATGTTGTGTATGATTGTTGGGAATTGATAGTTTTCTTAAACAAAAAGTATGGCTGTTGAAGGTAGTTGGACTGGCGAAACTTGTTTTGAAAAACAAACAAAAAATGTAATATCAGAATATCTAATTTATCTCAAAGTGTCAAGAAACACTTCCCACCTTTAGGAGATGTCAGAAGTCCGTGGAGTCCCATCTTACTGGATCGACGGTGAGCAACGGATAGGTCCTGGTAACAAAATAGCTTACGAGCAGCTGTTTTTTTTATTCTTTTGGGACTATAGCTTTTGTGAGTTTCTCAAAAGTGATATCTGGATATACAACGGTTTCATGAACTGTGAATTGTGGTTTCATTTTGGGATGTAATGTTAAGTATGGTTGGTTTTAGTAGTTTTTTTAACCAAGTGTGAATAGTAACTGTGAGAGGAAAACAATGAAGCTAGCTAGTGGACATGTGAGTATAAAGATTTGAAAAAAAAAATTGGGCCTAGACCAAGCCCATTTTCACGTCCATTCTCGTGAAGATCTCCATTTTTTTCCCTAAAATATCGGAAGGATACAGTATGCTGAAATTATTGAAAACTTGTACTCATATCAAAATTTCAAATCTAACGTATCTCTTTGTTTCCATATTCATCTGGAAAACAAAACAACACAAAAAAAAGCTTCATCTCATATTTTTCTCCGTATGTCTGTCTTCGTCTTCCATTAGTTGGCTAGCCAATGCACATGATGCCAAGATTTCTTCCACGTATTCATCAATGGCGACTTCTCTCCGTTTTTTAGATATATCAAACTCCACCCAACCAGGAGAATTTCTGAATATGACACAAACGTAACCCTCACGCTTTCTTCTCTTCACATCTCACTATGTGTATATATCCCCACAAACACCCAGCTTCATTTCTCACTTCATTGTTAATTCCTTCTCCACAATTTGCTGTATAACAAATCTCTCATGGACGACGAAGAATCCGTTAATGTAGGACCCGTGCAGATCCGGACCCGGAAGTACGTCAAGCTGAGTTATCACTACTTGATTACTCACTTTTTCAAGCTCTTACTGGTTCCTTTAATCTCGGTTTTCGTCACGAATGTCTCCCGGTTAAGTCTAAACCAGCTCCATCTCCATCTCCAGCACAATCTCGTCGGATTCATCTTCCTCACCGCCGTCGTCATTATCGGATCAACAGTCTTCTTCATGTCCCGACCAAGATCCGTCTACCTCCTCGACTACTCATGCTACCTCCCGCCGTCGAATCTCCAAGTCGGCTACCAGAAATTCATGAACCATTCAAAACTGATCGAAAACTTCAGCGAGTCGTCGCTCGACTTCCAGCGGAAGATCCTCGAGCGATCCGGTCTCGGCGAAGAGACTTACCTCCCGGAGTCCGTCCAATCCATCCCGCCGCGTCCGACTATGGCGGCGGCGCGTGAGGAAGCGGAGCAGGTAATCTTCGGCGCGCTCGACAGTCTCTTCAAGAACACAAAAATCAACCCTAGAGAGATCGGTGTCCTTGTAGTGAACTGCAGTTTGTTTAACCCTACGCCTTCTTTATCCGCCATGATCGTGAACAAGTATAAGCTTATAGAGAGCGTGAAGAGCTTTAACCTCGGTGGGATGGGATGTAGCGCCGGCGTAATCGCCGTTGATCTCGCGAACGACATGTTACAGATCTGTAGAAACAGTTTTGCTCTTGTGGTTAGCACAGAGAACATCACTCAGAATTGGTACTTGGGTAACAAGAAATCTATGTTGATCCCTAATTGCTTGTTTAGGGTTGGTGGATCCGCGATCTTGCTCTCGAACAAGCCTTGTGATCGGAGAAGATCAAAGTATAGACTTGTTCACACGGTGAGGACTCATAAAGGATCTGACGAGAAGGCTTTCAACTGTGTGTACCAAGAACAAGACGAGGCTTTGAAAACCGGAGTTTATTTGTCTAAAGATCTTATGGATATAGCTGGAGAAGCTCTTAAGACCAACATCACCACTTTGGGTCCTCTTGTTCTTCCCATAAGCGAGCAGATCTTGTTCTTTGCGGCTTTTGTTAATAAGAGATTGTTCAACGGCAAGAAGAAGAAGAAGAAGAAGAAGGCTTACGTACCGGATTTCAAGCTTGCGTTTGATCATTTCTGTATTCACGCGGGAGGTAGAGCCGTGATCGATGAGCTAGAGAAGAGTTTGAAGCTTTTGCCGGAACATGTGGAGGCTTCAAGAATGACGTTGCATAGATTTGGAAACACTTCGTCGAGCTCTATATGGTATGAATTGGCTTACACGGAAGCTAAAGGAAGGATGAGGAAAGGGAACCGAGTTTGGCAGATTGCTTTTGGAAGCGGGTTTAAGTGTAACAGCGCGGTTTGGGTGGCTCTTCGTGATGTTGAACCATCGGTTAACAATCCTTGGGAACATTGTATCAGTAGATATCCGGTTAAGGTTGATTTCTGATTTCATCATAACCGGTAGATTTGTCTGATAACATTGGTTATATCTTTATTGATGGGTAAATGTATGTGTATATGTTGTATATAAAGATAACACGTAAATTGACCAAGGAGCAAACAATATTGACAAAATTAGATTCATATACAGATAAGAATAAGATAACCTAAATTCTTAGATTAATCCGGGTTATCTTACACAATTAGCAAGTTTTTTTTTCTTGCTCAAACACAATTAGCAAGTTTATAAGGGTCTGAATGTAAATTTAGAGTTTTAGGATTCAATTTTAGCTGTATGCGAATAATTTAGTCCAGACTATTTGGCCTTAACTAAACTTCGACTCATTTATTTACTGAGATTTGAGTCTAGACTTGCGTAAAAACTCAATCCCGAGAAACAACATTCATCCCATAATTAGTCAGAGGATATTTCAACTAACCCAATCAATGCTAAGTACAAAGATTCTCTTAAATTTAACACACATGTATCATATTTAGCACCATTTTTAAAATCCAGTTTACTTATAATCAATGCAAACAAATTACTCCGATACCTTTTATTTGGAATAATAATCAATATATTATTCACAATGTTTATAACGTTAAAAATACAACGTTTATTGTTTCAAATGAAAAAGCATTAGTTTTATCGAAATGATTCAGTATTTTATTATTTATTTATTTTTCAGTTCACTGAACAATTTTCCTGTTTTGGCACCTTTCATTGGACTACTAATTTATTACAATGTGTATCCATGCATGAGCAGGAGTATACACATGTCTATATACATGCATGTAAAAACGTAACGGACCACAAAAGAGGATCCATACAAATACAACTCATCGCTTCCTCTATTGCTCTCCGACACAAACTGAACGATGACGTCCGTTAACGTAAAGCTCCTTTACCATTACGTCATCACCAATTTTTTCAATCTTTGCCTCTTCCCTTTAACGGCGTTTGTCGCCGGGAAAGCCTCTCGGCTTACCACAGACGATCTCCACATATTCTATTCCCATCTCCAGCACAACCTTTTAACCATAGCTCTACTCTCCACCCTCACCATTTTCGGTTTGGTTCTCTACATCCTAACCCGGCCCAAACCGGTTTACCTCGTTGACTACTCATGCTACCTCCCACCACCGCATTGTAGAGCAACCGTCTCCAAGGTCATGGAAATCTTCTATCAAGTAAGAAAAGCTGATCCTTTACGAAACGTGGAGACATGCGAAGATGACGCGTCTTGGCTTGAGTTCTTGAGGAAGGTTCAAGAGCGTTCCGGTCTAGGCGATGAAACCCACGGCCCCGAGGGACTTTTTCAGGTTCCTCCGAAGAAGACTTTTGCGGCGGCGCGTGAAGAAACAGAGCAAGTGATCGTTGGTGCGCTTGAGAAACTATTCGAGAACACCAAAGTCAACCCTAAAGAGATTGGTATACTTGTGGTGAACTCAAGCATGTTTAATCCGACTCCTTCGCTATCGGCCATGGTCGTTAATGTTTTCAAGCTCCGAAGCAACATCAGAAGCTTCAATCTTGGTGGAATGGGTTGTAGTGCTGGTGTTATAGCCATTGATCTTGCTAAGGACTTGTTGCAAGTTCATAAGAACACTTATGCTCTTGTGGTGAGCACTGAGAACATCACTCGAAACATTTACGCTGGTGACAACAGATCCATGATGGTTTCAAACTGCTTGTTCCGTGTCGGTGGGGCGGCGATTTTGCTTTCCAACAAACCGGGAGATCGGAGACGGTCCAAGTACAAGCTAGTTCACACGGTTCGAACGCATACCGGAGCTGACGACAAGTCTTTCCGATGTGTGCAGCAAGAAGACGATGATAGCGGTAAAACCGGAGTTTGTTTGTCAAAGGACATAACCGGTGTTGCCGGGAAAACGGTTCAGAAAAACATAACAACATTGGGCCCGTTGGTTCTTCCTTTCAGCGAGAAGTTTCTTTTTTTCGTTACCTTCATTGGCAAGAAACTAATGAAAGACAAAATCAAGAACCTCTACGTTCCCGATTTCAAGCTTGCTATTGACCATTTCTGTATCCATGCCGGAGGCAGAGCAGTGATCGATGTGCTGGAGAAGAACTTAGGGTTGTTGCCGATCGATGTGGAGGCGTCTAGGTCAACGTTGCATAGATTTGGGAATACTTCTTCAAGCTCGATTTGGTATGAACTTGCATACATTGAGGCAAAAGGAAGGATGAAGAAAGGAAACAAAGTTTGGCAGATTGCTTTAGGGTCAGGGTTTAAGTGTAATAGTGCGGTTTGGGTGGCTCTACGCAATGTCAAGGCTTCGACAAATAGCCCTTGGGATCATTGCATTGACAAATATCCGGCTAAAATTGATTCTGATTCTGCAAAGTCAGATACTCGTGTCCAAAACGGTCGGTCCTAATTTGTTTTTATCTGAAAACGTCTCATTTCCGTTTATTAGTTAATAATAATTTGATGGCTACGATGTTTTCTCTTGTTCGTTATAAATAAAGAATATGTTGGTGTTCTACTATTTCGATTGTTTCAAACGCAAATTTTGTTTTGATACATGAAATGAAATTCCTAAACGCCGAACACAAATGAAAGAGATGACGCCATATCCTCACAGGCTGAAACAATCAATCTATCGAGAATTATATTTAGGATTTGTTAGATAGGTGCGCCAAATATACCCAACCCTATGAACCGGTCGTCTAGTCTCGTAATCCAATATGCTATCCGGGCCGGTAATGTATTATATGTATTTACATTCATATTCTTCGATTTAATGATTGACAAAAATATAATATTAATATTAAATTATTAATTCATAGATCATTAACCTGTGTGTGTGGGGATAAAATGTAAATTTAAGCAAGATAGGTACAATCCCTGTATTTGCATTTTACATATAAAAAAGGGATGCATATTCTAGTTTTGTTGTACGATTTTGAATTTTAGAGACACGAAAGAAGGGAAGCCCATAGAACTCAACTGATAGTTGAATTATGAGAAATTAATGATAAGTGTCAGAGAATTGGAGCAGTCCCCGAGGAGCCTACTAAAAGAAACTATTTATAAACCGATGTGCATTAAAAAATGTTAGAAATTTTCAACAAACCCACCGATTCTTGCGAAGAAAATTACCACAGCGGTTATGGGAAGAAGAGATGTAGGAATTAGGATCCCATCATGACCACTATTTTTCTACATTTGATGTGATATCTAGGGACTAGGCACTTCCCCAATCCCCATATACAATTATACTCCACTACATATTAATATGATGCAACACTTTCACACGCACACACACATACTTAAACGTGCAGATATAAGTTCTCCAGTTTAATCAAATAAAATGGCTAGAAATATATGTAGTTTTCATAATAAATACAGCGAATGTTTATCTCCAATTCAACACACGAGAAGTGCCGACATCTACGTATACATACATGGAGAAACATATACACGTAATTATTTATGAGCATATATGTAAGTAAAAATTTAAAAGGGGATGGGGAACCCACAAATTAGGTGTGTGGCATTACTTTGATAGTGTATGCATGTGTAGCAAGATAGTGAAGTAGCTTTCATCTTCTATGGACTTAGTCCAAATTTATCACATCAAAAAGCAACGACTACTTCTTTCTTTCAAACCAACTTTATACCCTCTCCCTCTTCCTTATCTACTAACTCCATATTACAATTGGATTAAACAAAAAAAACATTGGATTTTTATTTCTAGACACGAGAAGATTCCATGTCCTATATCAATCACATAAAGAATGCCATACTTTGTATATTTGAGAGGTCCTTTTCTTGGAAATATTTGTTCACGGAGTTTTTCGGTGAAAGTGATCTAAAAACTAACTTGTGAGTAATTTATGAGATGGGCCTTCTAAGCGGAAGAGCATGGCGATCACGTGGCAGTCTCTCTTGCGCCGTCTCAGTACTAATAACCAATCACAATAGAATAAGCCAATAGAGCATGGCGATCACACGCAGGATCGATCTGATACAACAAGATTCAGAAAACCTCTTATGTCACTATTTCATGTGAACAGTAGCCAAAGACCATAGTTATTAAAACGACATGAAGTTATTTTGTTTAAACTCCTGTCACCCATTAAAACCAACGTCAGTTACATAAGTTTTACCTTCATTGTGTGACAAACGGCACTATCACACCCACGTGATGTTCACGTCCTCGTATAGTGAAAGAAACTTTGAGACCTTCCATCTTTTTTCACACTAGTGATTTAGCACCCAAACTTATCCTTTTTTAGTGAATCAAAATCGAATCCAATGATCCAACAATATACAAAATGTTTTTAGTTCATATGCATAAGTTTTTTCCAAACATCAACTTGTAAATGAATGTTTAAGAAAAATCAAGTTTTTAAATATTATTTGTCTATCAAACTAATTATTTTTTTGTTTTGTTTTTGTATTTCTTGTCACTATTTTTTATTATTTCTCATTTTTGCAACGATTCCAAAAACACAATATCTACAATCATCTAAAACTTCCAGATTTGGACATGGGCCTACACTTATTTGATGCGATGAATTTGGACTAAGTACAAAGGCAGATGTTTTTTTTGTTATAAATATCCATTCCTCTTCTACCCTCAACTCACATTTACTCTGTTTCTCTATCTCCCTCTCTCACACTGCAACTTGCTTTCTCATATCCAAAGAAGAAGAAGAAGATGATGATGGATGGAGCTACAGAAGCCGACCTTTTCCTCCACTGTACGGACATGTCTGTCTTAGAGCGCCAAAGGGCTCACCTCAATTACCACCATCCCGGTCTCGACTCCACTCTCGCCGGCTTCTTCTCCGATTCCTCAATGATTCACGCCGGCGGCTTTCTGGGGACGGCCGGTTTGGAATTTCCGGTGATTTACGGGGAGACGACGATGGAGAGTGAGTCTAGACTCTCAATTTCGCCGGAGAAGATTACTCCTGCGTCGTTTGGGTCTGGGAATTTCAAGAAAAGAAAGTTCGATAGTGTCGTCACTGAGACTAAGGTTCGAGCTAAGAAAAAATTGAACTTTGAATTATACAATATGGAAAACAAATAAAAAATCTTACTTTGAGAGTCACTTTTGTCTTTCTAGGATCTTGATGAGAAGAAGAAGAAGAAGAAGATGAGGAACAGAGAAGAAGTTGAAGTTGAAGTAGAAGAAGAAGAGAAGTCGAAAATAACAGAGCAAAACAATGAGAGCACCAAAAGCATCATGAAGATGAACAAGAAATCCAGGAAAGAACAAAACGATTGCTCGAATGGTTCATCAAAAGTGACCAAGGAAATGCAGAAATCGGATTACATTCATGTTCGTGCACGGCGAGGCCAAGCCACTGATAGTCACAGCATTGCAGAACGAGTGAGAGAGACTCATTGATTTGAATTTATAGTAAGAACTTATGTTTTTTTTTTTTTCTAACCATGGAGACTAATTATTATTACTTATGAAAATGTGAAGGCAAGAAGAGAAAAGATCAGTGAGAGGATGAAGTTTCTTCAAGATTTGGTTCCTGGATGCGACAAGATCACAGGCAAAGCAGGGATGCTTGATGAGATCATCAACTATGTTCAATCTCTTCAGAGACAAGTCGAGGTCTGAAATTCATTTCCCATTTCTTATACAAAATGACTTTTAAGACTATAATTTTGCAGCAGCTTCTTAATTTGTTACTCTAATATTGTTTGAAACAGTTCTTATCGATGAAACTAGCAGCTGTGAGTCCCAGAATGGATTTCGATATTGATGAATTTTTCGCGAAAGAGGTTAGTCATTGATTTGTTTTTGCATATAAAGGTTAACTAGATTAACTAAAATATATCATGTGAATGGAAACCAGGTTGTCTCAGCTCCAGTGACGAACCTAGCAAACAATGTGACGCCATCACATGAGATGGTTAACTGCTGTTATCCTCATGAGATGGTTAATTCCGGTTATCTTCATTTCAATCCAATGCAGCAACATCAAGTAGTTACCAGTTCTGATGCACTGTCATGTTTGAATGCATATAACTTTTTGTTTAATAATCTTCCTTTTGGATAATGTTGCAGAATTGTCAAGCTCCTTCGATGTGGGACTCTGATGTGCAAAATCTTTATAGCAGTTTAGGAGTTTGATTAAAAAGCGATACACAACTTGACAATGTTCCCTAATTCTTGACCAGTTTCAGGTACATATGCAAAATTCTTTAGTTGGCATACTTTGTTGGGTTTGTGACTTTGTGGTTTAGGACAAGTTCAAATTCCCCACTTGGCTTCCATTAAAAATTTACAGATATAAGATTTTGATTTATGTAGGTTCTCCGGACACAGACATCATTTCAAGAGGGAAGATCAAATTCACATATTATTTCAAAGGAAGAGAGAGCAACTTGTAGCTGTTAATTTCACTATATTGACTTAGGATCTCCCGCCAATTATTTTAGTATTGTGATTTCATTTGTGAATAGATGCAAAACAGTAGTTATGTATTTTCTCATCAGTAAACCGTAAACGTAGTCTTCTAATGTGTTTCTCGTCTTCTTGTGGTCATCCTACCAGAGGAATTTTTGATATTACAATGCCACTCTAAAAGCAATATAAAAAGACAGAAACAATTATGTAAGTACAAAGAAAAATAAAGAACGGTCAATGCATAATGCACCACGAGTGTAGAGAGTACAAGAACTCAAGATTTCAATAAATTTTGAATAAAACAATGGTTGAGAGATGATATAGCAAGTGAATATGCAAGGAAAAGTAAACTAAAATGAAGACGCAACAGAAAGCAAAAAGCTTCTCATTTGTCTGATTTTGCCAAATTATAAGACAACTGAGCGACACCTTTGGCTATGAGCTCTTGGGTGACAAAAATAAATAAATAAGCCGTAATCTTCTTCTTCTACCACTAATTAATTGTACGGAAAGGGGAAATGGAGGAGGGGAAGAAGAAGAGCAGAGTTCTGATAATCGGAGCAACTGGAAGATTAGGGCATTATTTGACCCGTTTCAGCATCGAATCGGGTCATCCGACTTTCGCCCTCATCAGAAACTCCACTTTCTCCGATCCCGATAAGTCCTCTAAGCTGCATTCTCTCTCCGACGCCGGCGTTACTCTCCTCCTCAAAGTATCTCTCTTTCTCTCGAAAATCATTTCTGTAATTCATTTCTTCTGGAATTCGTGAATTTCTGGGTTTGGTGGATGTTTGACTAATGCAAATCTGAAAGTTTCGATTTTTAATTCGGTTGATTTGGTTCTCGTTGTCAAGGGCTCATTGGATGACGAAGCAAGCTTAGAAGAGGCAGTGAGGAAAGTAGATGTGGTGATCTCTGCAATTCCATCAAAACATGTTCTTGATCAGAAACTCCTCATCAAAGTCATCAAACAATCTGGCTCCATCAAGGTCTCTCTTCATATCTTATAATCCTCATTTCAATTCTCTTCTTCGATCATGTCATTGGGACAAAATGAGAACATGGTTAATTACTTTTTGCAGAGGTTTATTCCTGCTGAGTATGGAGCAGACTCGGAGAAAACACAAGTCTCAGATCTTGATCACGGATTCTATGCAAAGAAAGCTGAGATCAGACGTCTGATAGAGTCAGAGAAGATCCCACATACTTACATTTGCTGCGGACTGTTCATGAGGATTCTACTTCCATCGCTTGCGCAACCAGGGGGGTCTCAGTCTCCTCCAAGAGATAAAGTCACAGTCTTTGGAGATGGAAACGTCAAAGGTTACTCCTTTCTTTCCTCTCCAAGTCCCATCACTACAAATCTGAAATCTATGTGGTCTGAAATTGAGGGTTTCGTTTTCTTTGTGTAGCTGTGTTTGTGAATGAAGTTGATGCTGCAGCATTTACAATCAAAACGATAGATGATCCACGAACACTCAATAAGACACTGTACCTTAGACCGTTAGGAAACGTATGCTCCATGAATGATCTTGTTGAGCTCTGGGAAGGGAAGATTGAGAAGAAGCTTGAGAAAAGTTTTGTTACAGAAGACCAAGTTCTCAGCAAGATTAAAGGTCTTCTTGCCACCCATTGCACACAACATCTCGTCTACATTTGTGCTTTCGATTTGCAAAAACTTGACTTTCAGGGTTCTGTTTTTGTATGATGCAGAGACTCCATATCCGGATAACATGGAGATGGTCTTCATATACTCTGTCTTTATCAAAGGAGATCACACATATTTCGACATTGAGTCTTGTGGTGGAGTCAATGGCACTGAGATCTATCCTGATGTCAAGTACATGACCGTGAGCGAGTTTCTGGATAGTCTTGTCTAGAATTTGTTACCAAACACCAAAAGGGATCACAGTTTTGTCTCATTTGTTTCAGGATCTTTCTCTCTACACTTCCAAAACCACTCTGTTTTAGTTAGATCAGGAACTTTTTTCTCTCATTTGACACTGTATCTTTTACCTAATTGATCCGAGTTTGGACCTTTTTGCGTCTAAGATAGTCTTGTGTGTCAAGTTCTGATGATGATTGAAAGAAGGAAGCATCCAATGAGCAGTTACACTCCATCAACAACTAGAAGAAAACAAAAACAGAGGATTTGTTTTATTATGAACAAACCATACAGTATTTAGTTACGATAGAAACAACACTAAAGGAAGCATGTATGGCACACAACGGAACACGTCAAATACGTTGATAAAGTTTGATTTGATGAAATGTGACTTACAGTCACAGAGTGTGTTTCTAAAAGACACGAAGTTAAGAGAATTGAGTGATCCGAGTTCTGTTTCACTTTGACAAGACAAGCTGTATTTCTCTGCCTCAAGACAAGCTTTATCTCTCCGCCTCTTCTTTGTTAAATAATGATAATTATTTATTCTTTAGTACTTTCAAACGAAAACACCAGTTTAAGATCTCTCTCTCCATTTTCCTCAACCTTGAACACAAAAATATTTGCTTCAAGACAATAGTATCAAACTTCGTTTCATCCTCCACGTATTGGCCACTGATCGATCAATGTAACATTACTTTCTATCTCCTCTTCAGTTTCATGCATTTCTTCATTCTTCGGCACACTGAATTTGTGTGTTTATGTCTCTAGTGAAGTATAATGCCTTTATTTTTATTTTTTTTCATTTTTAGGTAACAATGTCAGAACATGTTATGAGGAAAAGTGGTGTTCATGGTTATGAAGGAGCCTGGTTAAGTCGTTGGACTCAGAGTGGCGGTAGATTCGAATTACAGGCTCATCATAGTAACCGAAATGCCAAGTGCTCTACGATTATTAACTTGCAAGAAGATGGTCATCAACTATCGAAAGGTTCCACAAGTTCCATGAAACTAAAAGGAAAAATCTTGAGTGGGTGTCTTGATCTATCTCCTAATCCTGACCTGAACAAAAGACCGCTTATTGTTGGGGACAGAGGAAATTCCATAGATGGGGAAGAAGGAGAAACAAGCAGCTCAGCTACTAAGAGTATGGATGCGAAAGACTTTCTAAGCGACAACACCAACATGTTCAAAGAGGGTAAGCGTATACGTTTGGACCCTGAAACCACCGACAGTAGATCAAATGTCAAACGTCTCAAGTCAAATGCCTTGGATGATTATACCGGAAATGAAACCAAGAGCATGATTGTTGTCAAAGGACCATCAGGGGAGAAGGTGAGCTACTTCTTCCACAGAATCTTGAAATGTGAAATCAACAAACCCTTCCGGCCACAGATCAAAAGTCTGAACATGGGAAGAGGAGAAGAAGAAAAAGAGAATGTAATGCTTCACCCATGGATTCAGAGATGGTCTGGGAAAAAAGCTGCAGAGACTCATGTGCAAGGAGGTGATCGAAAGGGCACCGTGCTAGAGAAGCAGTTTCCAAGTGTTGCAGCAATGGCATTGATGGGGAAGGCTCTCAGAAGGTTCAAACCTGAGTGGTCTTAGAGAAGCCAACTCCCTCTTTGTTTGGAATTCTCAGGATCTAAGGTTAATGCATTCTACATTGCTGGTGTTATAAACACAATATAAAACTAGAATCTACTACAAATAAACTTGGAAGTGTGTGTGCAAGAACAATTGGTATCTTTACTTCAGTGTGTAAAAGTAAAATTCTTGAATCTTGCTTCATAACAATATTGTAATGCCCCAAAATTTTATTTGAATCTCCATATTCCATTGTATTAAGAAGTAACATTACAAGGGATGAAAGTAAAGATGCATTCTAGGAAAGATTTAATGGTTCATGAAGACATTGTGTAAAGATAGATAAACAACAAACACAATAAAAACGAAACTAGCTGTGTCCTGATCGTTCCCTTAGCCATCAACTCTTTGATCGCCCTCTGAGCAAGCGATCCATTGATCTGTTCCAACACACAAGCTCGTGTCACAACAACCATAGATGATTATAGTATTATAGTATTTTTGTTTTATCAACAAATGTTTTGGATTTGGCTTAGTCCGGTTCCTGAATTAAACCAGAGATGATTTACCTACCTACAATGCACATATAATTCATACATGGTACACTAGGCCTTACCTTTAAATCTAAGAATATGCAATTATCTTAAGAAAAATTATATTATGTTGCAAGATATATCAGTTTCTTACCAAATGATAATGTAGTAAATTACAACAAATAAAATTTGTCAAAAGATCAGCAGGTCCAACAGATTATCCAAAATTTCGCTATGTTTCGATTTCGATGGATTGAGTAGAAGTCAACAATGAGTTCGGCTACTAAAATACGTAGAAATGAGTTTCACTAGAAACCATGCATTGCAGAATCAGATAAAAAAGCTACTTGGCACATAGGACCATACGTATATGACTTTTTTCTTTCTTTCTTTACGAGGGTCGATTCGTATATGACTTCCACCTTTTCTTTTTAAAAATTTTGTGTTGGAAAAAAGTTTCCTAAACGCCAAAATTCTGAGAAAAAAAAGAAGAGAGAAAATATTGGATGATAACGAGTATGGATAATATAAAGAAAAGATAAGAGTTTTATTAACTTCGCTAGTTAGATAGCCAATAGCCACCATACAATTGAAAAAACAAACTTTTATTAAATCAATCATGTCCATTGTCCATTACGGAAAGTTAATTAGTTGAGTCAAAAACACTAAAAAGAGAAGTTAGTTGCATTGGTTTTACGAGGTGGGGTTTTTCATATTACGGAAAAGCAAAGTTAAAGTTCATAAATTATTAAAGAGCAGCCCCCAAAAAAGAGAGACGAAAAGTTTATAATGTTGAGTATGTCTTAGTGAAGAAGGAAATCACTCTCATCACTTAGTGTGATCCATATTGCCAAATGGACTTTCTGCTAGAAGAAAATCTATTTCTAAGGTTTTTGTTTTTTCGTGAGTAAGCTTTTGTTAAATATATTGATTATTTTGAAGCTTGAAGCTAATCTTGTGTTCTATTTACCTTATCAACTATACGAAACACAAAAATTCTACCAAAGTTTGTAAGACCTCATATTCTGAGTAATAGTGATGCATATATGTAAGAAAACTTATAGGAATTAACTTCACATCCCATTCAAAATATGTTTAGCCAAAATAAATCACATAAGATATTTGAAGAAAACCGAATAAATGATGAAAACAGAGCAGGGAATAACCGAATAAGAAGAAGATGTGACCGGTCACGGCCTCATGGGCGATGAACATTAGCAAGGACAGCTTTTGGGAGCACTGAGAATAATGTTTTGGATAAAGTAGAAACTAAAGAAAAACTATTATGCTGTTCACAATTTTAATTTAATTATAGAACTAGTCCAACTTTTTTCCTTGTTTTTCCAAACTAAACAAAAAAAAATTCATGAGTAATAGCATTTTCTGCATAGTCTATGAAATAAAGTGCAATCAAATAAAATAAAATAAAAAACTGAAAATTTATACTTCCATAGTCTATAAATAAGAACTGAAACCAACTCAAAACCTACAAGATATAACCACAAAGAAGAAGAAAAACGGAGATCTTCACACAAAGATTACATAACAGCAAAAACTGGTCATTCTTCACCATGACTATTGTTCTTGTTCCTCTGTTTCATCTCTTGTTCACTGCTTCTCACTTCGTTTCCGAAAATCCCACTTCTTCTGAGTGACATAAAATCCCTGTGAACCAAAAAAAAAATCTTTTTTTTCTTTTTTTTTTTTCCTCTGTTTTGCTCTATTGAAGAAATCATCTCAATGAACTCAATACAGTTTCAACACTTTAAGATGGAGAAAGCAAGAGGAGTCTTGACTTTCCAAGCAATAAGATCGTTCACGAACTTATTCAGACTGATCGAACTGATCCTTTTCCTAATCTTGATCTCCAAACTCTCTTTCCCTTCAGTGAAACTCTCCGGCGACGTTTTCAGGGAAGCAGCAGTGTTTCTCGTTAGCCCTAGGTTCGTTTTCTTCGTCGGAAACGCAATTGTAATTATTCTTTTTGCGAAATCCAGAGGATACATCTCCGCTCACGAGCCTACGTCAAAGACAACAGCAGAAGCTCCATGCAACGATCTTTACCAAGAGTTTCTTCACAAGAGTGAGAAGAAGAGATCCGAAGTTTATGAGACGAAAACAGCACAACCGAAGAAGCCGAGTGGAGTGAAAAGGGTTAGTTTCGGGAGAAGCCAATCGCAGAAAGCGTTTGAGGCGGTTCAACCGCTGGAGAGTACATGTGGCGGGAAAATCATGAAGAGGTATGAGTCGGAGAAGCATATGAGAGTTTGTGACTCCGACAAGAAAGTAGCCGTGAGAGTTAAGAAACCAGGAGATGGAATGAGCAACGACCAGTTTAGGACAAAGATTGAAGCTTTCATCGCGAGACAAAAGAGAATTCAAAAGGATGAAGAACACTTGACAATCTAGCTTGATCGTCTTTGCTAGTTACTGTATGTTTCTGTTTTTTCTTTGTTGTTCCCTTTAGTTATGAAACTGAAATGCTCTGTTTCAAAACATTCCATAATCTTGTAACTTTGCCTTCAACTCTTGTAAACCTTTAAGGTTGATTAAGTAAATACAGCATATGGTATTGGATATTACATTTTTTTTTAATTGAAATTTCTACCTAAAAGATGGACAACTTGAAAAGGCAATTCTCAAAATAGCATATTTTAAGTTTTTGTTCCAAATGTACCACCATTAGTTTATTTTTCCAATAATAGCACAAAACACATATGAAACACTAGTGAGTAGTGACGTACGTAGTATATAGTCAGTCAACATATATTTTGAGTTTTACTGAATAACAACTCGCTTGTCTAATGACTGTGGAAGCCATTCAAAATGATGATGGAACGTACAGTTGATAGCAATATATGAAATTTGATCACACACCTCGAGTTTAATTACTTTGATGTGATACATTGCAACATAGCAGACGTGGTTAGTTACACTAAAGCATCGAATATTCGAAATGCTAGTTGGTTTCTCATCTGGAGAGAACAGATAAAAAGTAAATTGGAAAAGCATATAAACGGTGTTTCCAAATGCTGGATAGCATTATTTAGGGCCGTGGATAAAAGGGAATAGATTGCATTATAGAGTAGGGAATTGTTGCTAGTATACATGTCCTCACGTCATCGACCTTGGTCTCAGCTTTCTCGGGAATATATAAAAGTCCCATAACTTACATATATTTGCATGCAAAAATGTGCTATCGATAAGCCAACACAAGGGTATTGATTCTTTGATATTTGAAACTAACTTAAGATTATATATCGGAAAGGCTTGAAATTTATGTTATGACTTGAATTACGAACACTAAACTTCAAAGATGTCCGATGAGAACATTCGTCAATTCACGATATTTATGTATTCTCTAGAAGCTTGTATCTAGTAGCCACTTAATAATCGTTTTAGTAAGATTGATATTAGAATTTATAAGTTATAATTGCTTTGCTTTTGAGTAACTGCGAGAGAAAGTATCTGACGTGTAAGAACCAATATCTGGAAAGGGGAAGAGACAAGATATGCTCGATCGGATGAGAAAAGATTGATGCAAATCTATAGAATCTAATGAGAATGACGAATACACGTGAGAAAGACAAAAACCTACTAGGAACAAATCTTATAATACAGAATACTTGGAGTTAATTTGTTTACTAATTTTTATACGTTTATCTTACATGTGATTAGTTGATGATGTGAATATATGATTTCTTATACTAAAAAGGTATCATAAAGTTTGCTTAATGATCTTAACATGTCTTATTTCCTATATAGACATTTGGAGTAAAATACATATATATTAACACCATTTCAACTTTAGAGTATTGTTAAGATATTTCACGTAACCAAGAATTTTTAAATCGAACTAAAATGTACAATGACAAAAATAAAAGTCCAACAAAATTAATAAACGCATATATCATACACGGCAGGCATGACAAAACTGAAGAGGCAGAATTTATGCCATATAACGTATTGTCCATTTTAGGGTTAGGTTATTAGGATCCCATCCATTTGCTCATGTCACATAGACAAAAACATCACTTAGAATCTTTCTTTAGCACAATGTATCAATTATCAACCGAATCAACTAAGTTCTTCTCGATAGAATTTCAAGATATTTTGGTAGAGGACGAAATAAAATACCCTTTGCATAGAGGAACTAGCTAGCCTAAATACGATTCTAAATTAAATGAAAATGTCGTAGTGCATCATCTGGAAACTACTAAAGTATGATTAGTTTTGCTAAGCTATGTGAGACTAATTTCCTTTTAAAATATTTTAAATGTCGGCAATCTCCTTTTCAAGTTTAAAGATCGTAAAGCTGTATGATAAAGTATCATATCGCTAATGAATATACGATAAATGCGATTTCCTCGCTTATCTACTCATAATTCTTCGATTACGTTTCCAGTTATGTAATCCATATCTCAGACGTTTGAATCAAAGAAGGTCAGTCACAAGAAATACAAGACTTTTAACCTTGGCTAAACCGATAAAAGTCATTGTGAATAAAGCAAACAGAAATATCAATTCCAAATAAAATATTCTTGGATGTCAAGGAACTTCCACAAAGTTTCAAAATTCAACTCAATTTTCTTAACTATCGAGCTAAACCGCCATTTTCATATCAATTTTCTTGTGAGGATCATAGCCGGTGAGCTCAAAATCAGCGGCAACAAAAGAATCTATGTGTTTCTTCTCCGGATTTATCTTCAAAACCTGTAAATACACCAAAGACAAATAAGTACATAGATGCAACCAACTACTGTTGTGATATTATGCGTTCATCAAACTCAAAACAAGATTTTAAGAGAAAGTGATCATGCGTCTGTATATACTCACAGGAAATGGTTTTGGTGGGTTCTCAAGTTGCTCTTGCAGAGGCCTGACATGGTTTTTGTAAACATGTGCATCTCCAATCACATGGATAAAATCACCAGGAACAAGATCTGCATAACATCAACAAAAACATCAACAGATGAGAAATTCAAAATCAAATTTGCTCTGTACTTTACTGAAAATCTGAACATTACCACAGACGTGAGCGAGGATGCATGTAAGAAGAGAGTACGAGGCAATGTTAAACGGTACACCGAGACCCATATCAGCTGAGCGTTGATACATTTGGCATGAAAGCTCTCCATTCGCAACATAGAACTGTGCAAACATGTGGCACGGAGGAAGTGCCATCAGCTTAAGATCAGGAGGATTCCAAGCCGACATTATAATCCGTCGATCATCAGGATTGTTCTTGATCTTGTTGATCACATCTAAGAGCTGATCAAATCCTTGGCCAGTATAATCAGCATGCATATCTGTGTACCTGAAGAAAAAGATGTCAACAAAACGGCTAAACAGAGAAAATATGTTTTGTCAAAGCAAAGAGATAACAGAGAAGATACTGACTTAGCTCCAAAGTGTCTCCATTGAAATCCATAAACGGGTCCAAGGTCACCTTCCTCTCTCTCAGTCAGTCCAATACTGAAATTCAAAGTTTTCACTTTTATCAGTATGTGATGGCCATAAAGATTCAGACTTTTGAAAAGACAAATGTTGGTAAGAGTTTACCCATCAAGATACGGTCTTGACGCATTCCCATCCCAGATATGGATACCCTTTTCTTGAAGTACCTGCCACTTACTCAAGCTTCTCAGAAAAACAATAGTATTGTTCATTTACATACGCACCAAATGTAGCTCAATCACGGTTGCTTAAGGCAATGAAGAATATGATAAGATCTGTTTTGTTTACCTTTGCATTGGTTGAACCGCTTATGAACCATAGAAGCTCCTCAACAACACCTCTCCAGAAAACTCTCTGCAAATGAGATGCAATTATGCAAACATATCTTGTAAGCTTCAATATCCAGGGAAGAAGACAAAGCAAACTCTTTTGGGGGTTTACACTTGAAAAGTCATTGTGAAGGTGAGAGCATACCTTTGTCGTCAGAAGTGGAAAATTCCTGCGCAAATTGAACGTCATCTGGCAACCGAATTTAGACAATGTACCAGTCCCTGTCCTATCGTTCTTCAAGTTTCCATTTGAGATGATCTCTTTGACCATATTCAAGTAGAGAAACTCCTCATGCCGGTCAAAAACCTTCTTAGGAAGGAAATCAGAAAACTTCTTGCAATCAGCCTTTGACGCATCACTCTCGTCAGAGGAACTCTTCACACGGACATAAGTAGTGAAGGAAAACCGAAGTCCATTTTCAGATACTGGAAGAGACGAACACCAAGGCTGATACACAGAAGTGTCAATGGCAGGAATAAATGTATCACAGTCAAGACTTGCATCAATCTCAGTTAAGTGGATGGCTTCACAGCTCGGCTTGTTCAACGATTCCCTACAATACAAAAAATGTCAAGACGATCAAAGAGAAAGGAAATGACGAATAAAAAGAGTGTTGGAGTAAAGAAGACACACCTCAATACATCTCCACCACCTATAACAAACACCTTCTCAATAGACAGACGATACGGAGGAGCAGCTAACAAATCCAACGCAGAGTCTATGCTACTGCAAGTGACAACATTCTCTGTGTTGGCTATATCGAAACCGCTTGAACGAGTCAAGACAACGTTGAGGCGACCAGAGAGTGGCCTGTACTTTGTGGGAATTGACTCCCACGTTTTCCTTCCCATCACAATAGCGTTCTTCTTAGCGGAATCCGAAGTGGTGATAGTGAGATCCTTGAAGAATTTGAGATCAGTAGGCAAGTTCCAAGGAAGTTTCCCGTCTTTACCGATTCCCATTTCCTTGGTTGCAGCTACCACAACTTGGTAACTTCTCTGCGGCTCTGAAGCCATGACCACGTTTCCGTTGAGACTGCTTGTCATTGTTGAAATAGAAACCTTGAAGATGTTTGCTAATGAGGACGACGGCTTGAGAGAAGTTTTACAGAGCAACAAAGCCTGAGAATTTGGACACGTAATAGAAGTTTGAGAAGATGAATAAACAAGACGAAATGTCAAACGGCGATTAGAGTCTGAGAAAGTTCAACACTGACCGATTTAAACGCAAAAGGTAGAGTCTTTGTGTGATTGAGCAAACACCTAAGAAGAAAAGCTGAAAATTTTCAGACGAAAAACAATGATTTTTCGTATTAAAAGCCAATCCATTTCTATCCTTAAATCTGAATACTTAACCAATAACTAAGAAGCTGCTTAAAATTGAGTTCCGATAACTAACCTCATTGGAGTTTACCAGAATGAGTCCTCATTCAGAGTGAATCTACACGTTCATAGATTTGCAAACAGTCAGCATTCAAAAATTGAATTTTTACAGCCAAAACAGAATCACTCTATGAGATTCCCTAACCTCGAGACGGAATTAATCAAGCGCATAAAAGTTTCAGAGAAGAGTTTTAGGAATCGGGGATTCAGGCGGTGTAAAGAGACTGAAACGCCGCGACTTCGCCGCTTTCGAAGAGGATACAAACGGCGGGAGACGACGGCAATGGATGATGATTGGACACATTGTATACTATTGGGCTTAAAATGGGCTCGAATTTAGGCCCTTTATCGCCAAGTTCCTGATAATTTATTAGCTTTGCCTAATAAATTGTGTGGTTTTAGTTTTCTTTGTGCTTTTATGCTTTCAAGTTTCTTTGAAACAAAAACTTGATTTCACTTTTGTTTGTTAGTCTTCTGCAGAATGTTAATTAGACAATACTTATCGGTTAATCTGTATCCAGTCGATTTAACAGTTACACAAAAAACTACCAAACCGTACCGAGAACTAGACTTAGAGCTTGTACCAAAAGATGACACATTTAGCTAGTCCAACTTTTTCAACACGATGCCTTCAAGAATCCCATCAGTTCCAAAGCTGCCAGTGAACTCTTGCGGATGGACCGGACCCGGTAACCGGAACGTGACAGAAAACTCACCGGGCGGGCAGAGATTCTGCGTCTGCATCTCAAACACTTGACAAAACCGGTTCACTCTCTTCTCCCCTGTTACAGTCACTCCTCTAACCAGTACCTTCCCATCCTCTTCTACTTCACACCTAAAGTATCCTGCAACACACAAACACACACACACACATTGAGTCAATCAAGAAACCGGTTTAGTGGCACTGCAATCACACAGTAGCAATCAAAAGTCACTCACTTTCATCTCTCTTCACACCAGGAAGCGCTATACGGAAGAGATAAGCGTCTGCGCATTCACCGATATCCACCAGCCCCATCGCCGGTCCAGCCTCAGCTCCACATATTGCCCCACTTACACAAACCCCAGCAACATTGTTTTCTTCGTTGTCCTCTTTGGCCGGTTCCAAGCTCTCGTCAATCTCATCCTTAACCTTGATTGAAACAGAGCTAATAACAGTTTCAGCTACATCAGTGTCAAGGCTCAAAGCAAAGCTCTGCAATCCGGTTAGCCGCTTAAACCGGGCAACACAGTCTCCTCTCATACAAGAAGTATCTGGATCGTTGATCAACACAATGCTCTTGAGAAGCTTATGCCGATTCCCGAGTCGGCTTTCAGGGTGAAGCTCTGGCGGAAAAAGATCCGAGAAGAGAGGGATTCTCATATCCTTGACTGAATCGTTCCGTTTTCCGATGAAGTATTTACATAAAGGTCTCGGCTTTACGATGAGAGATGGATCTGCGTTCTTGAGAACGTGGTGGTAGACTCGTTCGAGCTCAACCCGTTTGATGAGTGAGCCGCTTAGCTCATCTGTTTTCGGGAGATTCGATGCTTGCATCTGAAATGCTGATTGCTTCTTCTGCTGATGATGATGATGTTTTGTTAAATCTGGCCCGAAGTAAGTCCCTATGACGAAATGTAAGAGAAACAACTTGTCGTCTTTGATATTCTCCAGTGAAATTAGCACACTTTGTTCTTCAGAGTTGATTCCTCGCATTGTATCATCCATATCTAATACACACAAAATCAAAGATTGAACCTTTATGAGTTTTATATCCAAAAAGGTGGAAGCTTTTTGCAATGATGTTGCTGTACGATTAGCAATCTTAACAGAACCAACAATAAAAATCCTAAGCATGCAGCAAGAAATTATAAGCGATTTGGATGAGAGTATACGAGACTGCTGCACTGATTGTAATTCTAGGTTAGAGTTGGAAATTTTGATTTCGTTTTGCATGAAAAGGGCCATAATTAAAACGATGAATTTGTTAGGAATATTGACCTCGGTGATCTAAATGATCGAGTTGATCTGGGCGGAGGACTCTCAGGAAGATGAGTGTTTCTCTCTCAGCAACTTTCTCAAGCTTTCTCGCACCAACCCAGTCTCAGCTCAGAGCTCTCTCCACACACTCTCTTCTCTCTGTTACTAAGCACTCGTACAAGAAGAATTAGAATAGAAACGAAGAAGATATAAAGCTAAAAGGAAAAACCCTCTTTACCCTTAATTGGTTTCTACCAAAACACACAGCTCACGTGGCTCTCACATGTTAAGCCAAACCTTTTGCGATCAAATTGATCCAAACTGTTACATGAACATGATGGATAAACCAACATTTAGTTTTTTGGCGAATAATAAACTTAGATTGTTTGTCAATTGTTGTCATATGTATCACTTATTATTAGGTCGAAATTTTGGCTTGTTGTATAATGTTATAGACCAAATTTCTTTAATCTAATATTCCTTTCATCAACCTATAATTGTGAGTGATATATGTGAACCATGGAACAATTATGTATCTCAGCACCGTCTGTTGGGAATATCGCCATGTGGTCATGGGATGTATGATTTATTTGTATGTATATTTGGCTATTTGCCATTGTTTGTTTTAAAAATAATAGTATATGATTCTTTGTCATTGTTAATAAATCAAAAATAAAACAATTTCATTTGGGGTTTCTGTTGTTTCCTAAAAGCCAAAATTACTCTATGAATTTGATAAATTCGGTTACAAGAGACCACTACAATATAAAAAATAATATCATGAGATACTTTGGTTGACATCAAGATTTTTAACATCGTCAAAATGTTCAAGTAGTGGGCTGCACTTCTATGACAAAGACATCCCTCTCTCTTAGTCTCTTATATTCATTTTAATTTGTTTACTTATTTTTCTCTTCACATTTAATTTAGTTAGTTATAAGAGATTGGTTGCTAAGACTCTATTATTTGTTTTTGTTATAAAGTTAGATTATATCCATTACATTATACATATATATAAAAAAAAGTCTAGGACCACGTCAATATATAAGTTGATAGAATCAGTACCAAAAGAGTTGTCTACATGTTGTGAAGTACTTTCAAATGACTCTCTCCATTATCTTCAGCCTCCCTTAGCTCTCCCCATACAGTCTTCTCCAATAAGGTAAAAACAAAAAAACTCTCAGTTTGATCTTTCTCATCTTTTGGATCCTAAAGCACATTTTGGTTTACAACCCATCTTGATTCTTTAGATTCATCTCATATTTCTCATACAAATTGACCCAAAGTTTTTTAAAACGATCTTCACAATATTGTCTTGGTAGGTATCCGAGATTGCCGTGCGAAACAGAGTGCTTTAAAACTTATTTAACCATGGCTGAGACCAAACCTGGTTAGTCGTAATCTCAACTATTTCATTGGTTCGTGTAGTTATCTCTTAAATAGTATCACTAATGCAAATTGAATTTGTTCAAAAATCAGAAATAGATATGTCAGAGGAGGAGAGGAAGATAGTGAAGATGTGTTCGCTGAAGAAGAAAGCCATAAGCGCATCGAACAGATTCAAGAACTCATTCAAGAAAAAAGGTCGAAGAAGCAGCAGCCGAGTCATGTCCGTACCGATTGAGGACGACATTGACGCAGAAGACCTTCCATCTCTTGATGCTTTTCGCCAAGCTCTTGTCCTTGACGAGCTCTTGCCCTCCAAACTTGATGATCTCCATATGATGCTTCGGTACAGACTTTTTTTCCTTAATCATTACCAGTCGATCTCTCTGCACTTCTTACCTTAATCATGCACACTATTGCTTGACCAATCATAAAAGAGTATTATTGCACTTTAGGCCATATCTGGAAGTATTAGACTATTAGCCTATTAGGTGATAAGATTAGAAGTTTTGAACCCGAGATTACCGGATGGACTTGGCAACCTGACAAAAAAACACCCGACCATATATGGATCATTACAACAACTATTTGATTGCCATATTTATTATCGAGTAATCCTTTAAAATACCACTAAAACACGTTTTGGAATAAACGACTTTCCCAAAAATGCCAAAAATATCAAAAACACACAATTTTTTTTAAAATGTTTTTGTGGTATTTTTGAGAACTGTTCACTATTGTAGGAGTAAATGTTTACGTGTAAGAAAAAAGAAAACACAACGTTTAGTTACAAACTCGAATTACATTAAACTTTATCTTAAATCATTTACATATGCAAATACTTTTTTGTCAAAGGTTACTTTTAGAAGTTAAAATCTTATATCTAAAGTTTGAGGACAATCTCTTTTTTTTTTTTTTTTTTAAACAGATTCTTGAGGGCAAGAAAGTTTGACATTGAGAAAGCTAAGCAAATGTGGAGTGACATGATTCAATGGAGGAAAGATTTTGGCGCTGACACGATCATGGAGGTGAATCTTTTTCCTAAAAAACTCGAAGCATTTAATTTTGGGCGACACACCGGTCTCATGTTGGTGAATCCTCTTTGACAAGTTTTATAATGTATGTTTCTAATTAATGATGAAGGATTTTGAATTCGAAGAGATCGATGATGTGTTGAAGCATTACCCTCAAGGCTATCACGGCGTAGACAAGGAAGGCAGGCCAGTTTACATTGAGAGATTAGGTCAAATCGATGCTAACAAGCTACTCCAAGTGACAACAATGGACCGGTACGTGAAATATCATGTCAAAGAGTTCGAGAAGACTTTCAAGATCAAGTTCCCTTCTTGCTCTGTCGCAGCCAATAAGCACATTGATCAGAGCACAACTATTCTTGACGTGCAAGGCGTGGTATGTATACGAAAATTTCTTCATTTCATCTCTTTGAATTCAAAAGAGTGAATTTTTCTATTGACTAATTACATGTGTCTTTTTTGAGTGATTAGGGACTTAAGAACTTCAACAAATCCGCGAGAGAGCTTCTTCAAAGGCTTTGCAAGATTGACAATGACAATTACCCAGAGGTATTTTTTTATGAAAAATATCATCTTTCGAAAGATCATGTGACTCTAATTGACTAATTGTTGAGTTTCCGATTTTTGTGTAGACACTGAACCGAATGTTTATCATCAATGCTGGTTCTGGATTCCGGCTCTTGTGGAGCACGGTTAAGTCATTTCTTGATCCCAAGACCACAGCAAAGATTCATGTTCTTGGGAACAAATATCATAGCAAATTGCTCGAAGTCATCGACGCTAGGTAAGACCTCACGTCTACGTGGAACTACTAAATATAAGTTGTGCTTTGGCTATCAAAACTCGAATATTCTGATATTCATTAGATGGTTTTCTGTTTCTATTGTGTAAAAAGTGAGTTGCCAGAATTCTTTGGAGGTGCTTGCACTTGTGAAGACAAAGGAGGTTGCATGCGCTCTGACAAAGGTCCTTGGAATGATCCTGAGGTTCTCAAGGTAATATAAGGAAGTGAAATTATATTTAAAATAAACCATTTTCTTGAATCTCATACTTACAAAAACATATGCTTTAATGGAAGCAGATGGCTATAAACCGCGAAGCAAAAAAGTGCTCACCGATTTCAGAAGATGAACACAAGCATGTAGACCAAGGAAGATCAGCTTCAGTTCCAGAAGTAAGTTGATGAACAATAATAATGTATCCTAAATCAAATAATTAGAATTCTAAATGTTAGCTTATACTGAGAGTTTCCATTAACACCGTGCAGACTCTTGAGAGAAACATGAAGAAAAGGGATGAAGACAATGCGCATGAGAAGCAGATTACAACCATTGACAAGTCCATGGATACGGCATGGCCTGCAAAAACTCTGAAAGCCCAAAACTTTCCTAGCTCTAAAGGTATATAATATAAACACTCACACTTAGCTTAATTTCAAAAAATTGTCTTCGTCTGCATGCATTAATTAAACTTTTTTCTAGTCTTAGAGTGTTACGTGAGGAAGGGGGCACCAAAGAAAGGGGATGGATTACTTGTGGGAGGGGTCATGGCCTTTGTGATGGGCATTGTTGCAATGGTTAGGCTATCAAAAGACGTTCCACGCAAACTCACCGAGGCTGCTTTATATGGAAACTCAGTTTGTTATGAGGAAGCTATGTCTAAGCAGAATCAAGCTCAATTTGCAGCACCAGTCTCGAGCTCTGAGTATATGTTGATGGTGAAACGTATGGCTGAGCTGGAAGACAAGTGCATGTTCCTTGATATGAAACCGGCTAATGTCGAATCTGAAAAGGAGGAGAAACTTCAGGCAGCGCTTAACCGTGTTCAGGCGCTTGAGCAAGAGTTAACTGAGACCAAGAGGGTAAAACAAACTCTAAACCACCAGAAATGTTCAATATATAATGATTCTTAACCTACAAATCTCATATTTCGGATTCCTTTTTTTTGTTTAGAATTTGGAAGAAGCTCTTGTGAGCCAGAAGGAGATTTTGGCATACATTGAGAAAAAGAAGAAGAAGAAGAAGCTGGTAAGAACAAGATAATATTTAACTACCGACATTATTGTCATCTGTTCCTAATAACGGTCTTAACATTTTTTCCAGTTTTTCGGGTTCTAAACTGGAGAAAGGAAAGAAGAGGAGATCATTAAGCAAGAGGTTGAATCAAACTGAGAGAGTTTGTTTTGTGATTTTTGTTTTTCAAATGAGGATTAGATTCATTTTAAAAGCAACAGACTTGTACATTTATCTAAAGTGAATCTATTTGTGTCTTTTTGCCTGTGACATTGGTTGTGTGTGTGATTTTCTTTTTCTCTTTGACATTTCTTGT